ATACCCTGGACTGTTCCGGTAGGCCCATGTGCCAAACCAGTTTGGTGCATGACAGCGTCCACAAGTGCATCCATCTGGACCTCCCATTCCTTACATTGTCGCTCTGTGTGATCGTGTCGTGTTCTTCCATCATAACATTTGCTGTAAAGATTATGAGCGTGTACATACAGACAGAGGTAGAGATGATCAATGCCTCACCCGCTTGCAGATACCCCTCGGAAAAGATCCCTACAGAACTCCTCTTTGCCCCCAGCATTACTGAAAAACATAGCCTCTTTCACCAGGTGGCAAGGGTAACAATTCCGGGTCGTCGTCCACATGCACATCAGGCATGTCGTTTTCGAGTTGCTGGAGATGTTCGCGGTCCTCAAAACTCATACCTACTTTCATGTATGAGCATCTTGTGGGTTACAATAGTAATACTACATACCCAATATCTTCTGCAGCTGCTCGTCATAAGCAATTTGTCGATGTTTAGATGACTGTGCAACAGGGCACGTCGCGGATTGTTGTGAGCCTCCGAACCGGCCTCCGCTAGTGACCTTGATAGATCTTGCCACACCGCCCTTGTGTTTGCCAGGCATTGAGGAGAGAAGCAGTTAATGGTGTCGTAGATGGAGGAAAAGCACAATGACAATGTATGACAAGTGTACCATGCCACCACGCTCACCTACCACCCACACATAATTTTACACGTGACTGTGCACAACAACAAGTCCCACAGTAAACGCTCACACTCGCTCACTCACGCTCAAGGCCATAACACCTCCATATCCCCGACACTTCATTGGTTGCCTTCCGCGTGGATATTACAGAGAATATGTTGAGCTCTCTATATGACTGGGGATATCTATGCATCAGTAACCAGGAAGACAAGACAATGTGTGCGTGCCAAGGGGACTGCACGATGCGGCAAAGGGAGGCCGCGTACTGTATGAGATCAGTGCGCATTCTTGAAGCAGATACGAAGCACGCGCAACATAGAATAGGAAAGCGCAACATGGCGAAGAGAGGACACGCTGATGTGTCTAGACGTGCGTCGACGGCCGATAGCCGAGGGGGAGAGGACGTCTGAGAAAAGGGTGATGAGGGAGAGTAAGGGCTCGAGTTCCCTAGGATGGGTGGCCACGACCGTGTGCGCTGCGATACCGCCGACTCCTTTACACTGCGGGCCAATATATCTGTGCTTTTTACTCGAGGACACGGGCTTAGCACCAAAAGGGCACAGCGCGGGCACAACCTCGGCGCACTTGTAGACGCAACCGCAGATACGGTGATATGCCCGGTACCGAGCCACCACCCGCCTGGCCTTCTTTTCGCGGTTTCCGCGGGTTCGCGAGACCTCAACGGGGCAGAGGCCTCATCGCGGCGCGGGCGCGGAAGCTTCGCACTCGCGCGGAACGACTTATCGCGCGATATCACGACCGCATGGGCAGACACACGCGGAGGGGGTGTGTTCCGCATCGCCGGACCGGTGGGGCGCAGGGGCGTGTTCCACGTTTACGCGGTAGACGGCTGGCGCATCGCGGGCGCCGGTCCCCTCCGCGACGGACATTCCGTAGAGACTTTCTGATCACTGTAGCACGGTTTTGGCTGGCCCTGTAAATACCTACGCCCTCGGGCTGTGAGAATTCAGATCCCCCCTTGGCTCAGATTTCACCTTCTCTCACGAAGAACCCTCGACGACCCTGCGAACTGCGAACTGCGAACTGTGAACTCTGCAAACCCCTGCAAAATAGTGTTTAGCGTTGCGATAGCATTGCGAACTCCCTGCGAAGCCTAACACGGGCTGCAAAGAGGCCCTCCTGCGTCCCGCGGAGCGCCAGCTCAGCTGAGTTGTCATCAGTCCACCGTCCTTCCCTCTTCCGCTCCCTCTACTGTGTTCTCCCGCGTACTGCGCCGCCCGAAGGGCACCCGACACGAACCTGCTTCTCCTCGCGCTTCGCGAGACGTTCCGCAGCCCGGTCTCGACCTCCTAGGGCTCTCGACCGTCTCCTTCTTCCGTCCTTACCGGTCGGTTGAGTGCATCAACGGACACAGACGCAACCGCAGACACAGACACAGATGCAGGCGAGGGTGCAGATGCAGATGCAGACGCAAGACAGACGCGGACACAGCGCAGACGTAGTTGACGATCCTTTATGCTTGGTCAAGAGCGGAGCGTAATTCACCAATAAGCCAAACGCGACAAGACGTCCACAGACATTGACAGCCGGAGCGGAGGTTTAGAGGAAAGGAGGTGGGAGTTTTCTGGGGAGTCTCCTGTGTTGTATTTCGCTGTCTGCTATGAGCGGCTACGCTCGGCCCGGCGCTTTTCCGCCTGATTCCCGTTTGCTGCCTCGTATATATACCGCGTAGATTACAGCTTTGTACCTCACGCGTTTGCAACGAGACTCCCCCGTTCGCCCTGTCTCCAGGCAAACCGCCCGCTGTGTACGCCCTCCTCGAGCTCCGAATTCCACACAAACGCGTCTCCTCTGCACGAAGGATAATTCGCGCATGCCCGGTGGGGCCGAAGCCACCCGCGCCCGGCGCGCCGAACTCGCCCAATCGTGCGGACTCGTTCATTCGTGTCTCGCCGCCGCCATTCCCCTTCCCTCCTCCCGCGCCGCCACGCTTGCCTCCGTCGCGTCTTGTCGCGCTCGCGCACCCGATAGGCGCCCATTCTCGCCGCTGTCCTCGTCGCCCGCGCCGCCGCGCCCGCCTTCTCCATCACGCTCGCGCGTCCGATAAGCGCCCGTCGCTGCCGCCGCCTCCGTTGTCGCCGTGCCCGAAGCTGCCGTCCTGCGCACACCCGCACCCGCCGTCGTCCCCGTCGAAACCCCGCTCCCCGATTGAACCCGTTCTGGCGACACGCCGATTGACCTCGCCAAACCGCGTACCCGAACCGCGATCGAACCGAATCCGCTCGTTTTGCCGCCCGCCGAGGGCCCGCGAATTTTGTCGCCCGACCGCCCTGTCTTCCTGATCGTACCCGCCGGCGGATGTGCGCCATCCCGCCGAACCATCGTCTAGCGTCGCCCGCCGATGGGTGTGCGTTGCCGAGGCCGTCAAGGCCGCTGTTGGGTGTAGGATTGGCTTAGGGCTTTCTGAGTTGATGCTGAGGTTTTAGGTTGTGAGCTCAAGGGGGTGCGTCCCCGCTTGTTGTTTGTTTTGTTTCTGTGCTCGCTGCGCCGCTCAAGGGGGTGTGTTGTATTTCGCTGTCTGCTATGAGCGGCTACGCTCGGCCCGGCGCTTTTCCGCCTGATTCCCGTTTGCTGCCTCGTATATATACCGCGTAGATTACAGCTTTGTACCTCACGCGTTTGCAACGAGACTCCCCCGTTCGCCCCGTCTCCAGGCAAACCGCCCGCTGTGTACGCCCTCCTCGAGCTCCGAATTCCACATCCTGGACCCCCTGTTGACTATGTACAGGGTCCTATCTATGCAATGGTACTCGGGGCCGACCTACTTGGCTTGCACAACATCGTGATCAAGGCACACCTTGAGCAGCGTGCAGTGGGTACAATCGCGCTGTCGCGCTCTGCGCCACTATCTCTCTTAAGTGTTATGCCGCCCCAGGGCACGCCCCGCGCAGCCGCGTCCATTCCTCCTCCGTCCCGGCGCGAGTGGCTTCAATGCGGGCCTCCAACGCGAGCACCCCAACTCCAGTGCGGCTTGCGGCGCGACATGCCTCCAGCGCGGCGCGACATACCTCGGGCACAGCGGCTTGCTGGCCTCAGAAGCGGTGGATGCTCATCAGCGCACCACACAAACGTACGCGTGGCTTGGAGAGGGGCGCGCAGCCCGTAATCAATGCGCACAACATGGATATACATGCGCGCAACATGGATAGACGTGCGCGTGAAATGGAGGCGACAGCTCGACAAAGAGCAAGATGCCCTTCCCCATCACACCCAAGTCTTCTGTTGTGAATCTGCCCATCTCGACAGCAGCCATCGTGGTGTCTGGGGCGACAACAGACCCGCGCGCTCACAAGCCTTCAAAGGACGGCGTAAGTTCCATAGACGTGCGTGCAACATATGGAGGGGCGCGCACAACACTTGGGGGGCAGGTGCACGGGGCGGAGGTGGGGGGCGCGCGCCCCTTCCATTTACAGAAGGGATACTGTACGCCCACGTCAAAAGGAGTTCCAGGCGCGGGAATGGGCAGGAGGGACTACTTGATATAGTAGTGTTCGGTAGGATGACAAATCCAAAAGTAGAACTATCGGAAAACATGCGGAAACACCCAAATCAGGCAGGACGACATGTCAAGACAAGGGGAGACGTTATTTGGGAGCACCGGCTGTGGGTCCTCCGACATAGGCGGCAACATACGGGGTTAACTGGATACACTCCGGGAACTGAGGTGTTTAGATTAGAAGGTAACGAAGGAAATAAAGAAGAGTAAGGGAATGGGCAGGAAACGGTCCTAACTAGTGGTGTTGGATCAGCGGATTGACAGTACTAATCGGAAGCGATCCATGGGACGAGTAGGTGCACAAGTGACCTATTCTTTTCCAGTCTGCCTTAGTGAACCTGCATACATGGGCTACACTTGTTGCTTTCTAAAGTCAATCAAAAAACCCACAAAAGCGGAAGTTCATTGTTTACTAATTACAGTGTTTGTACAGACATATTCCAGTCGCCTCAGGTGATTATCCACAAAAAGAATGAAGCCAATAGGACCTATGGTTGCTGAGATATTGCCTTTGCAGTGGAGGGAGGCAGAACCTGAGGAGGGGTGTCAGGGGTCCGAGTCTGTGGCAGGTTGATTAGATGCCAACGAGATTAATCTGGGGCGAGATAAAGAGAAGCGCCCGATAGATAAGATTAGAAAGTTGGCAATTGGTAGTTGATCGTGAAACTGCGCGCGACCTAAGTACGACCTCAGTCCGACCTCAGTTAGCCGAGGTTTCACTATCAACTATCAACTTTCACTTGCAGCTTGCAACTCGCCAGGGGGATCTGGCCGCGTTTCCAAGGATTTCAAAAGGTACCTGCCTTATATGGTCATTAGGCGCCCACGAAAGTCGCAAGCTGCGAGTTGCATGTAGAAGTAAATATTTTTTATACAAATCGATCGTCATAATTGCCTCGTCCGATTCTTGCTTCTAGCGTATGTACGTCACATCTGTCTACTGTCTTTGCATGCCCGCGCCGGCTAACGCTGATATTTCAGAAGGAGGGATCGGCGTCCTGGTCATCGGACTGCATCGCATAGCGGCTAATGCGGCTCGCGTGGCATTCCCAGGCAGAACAGTACATCGGCGAATCGCTCCGCGGCAATGCTTCCTGAGCGCGCTATACGTTCACACTCATGTTTTCATGTTTCTGCTTGCGATTGTTGCATGTGCAGTTCAGACGTCATCGGGTGTTCATGGTGCTCGCTGATGCTCGGCTTAGTCTGGCTAGAACACGCGGTCCGTTGCAGCCTTCTCCCCGTACGCAGTAACACTGGCTGATATGTCGTTGCAGCTGCGTACTCACGATGCCACCTCGTTCTCATCCCTGGCACATGTAGAGTCGCATCTGATCCGATGGGAACATCTTGTGTGCGCCTCTATGTCGGACGCCTCCTTAAAATGCCGGGCGGGCCCACCTTATCATTCACGCACATTTACGCCCACACGGTCCCCAGCGCACTGCTTCTTTCTTACTGCTCATACACCAATCTCCTCGCTTGCCTATAGACACCGAACATGCCTCTCACTCCGGCCGACGTCCCCTCCCACATCGCGACGGAATTTCGTCGTCCTCTTGACCTGGTAGAGAAGGGCGCGACGGTTCCGGATCTCTACGCTTGGAACGCGCAGGAGAACGCGAACTACCCTCTTTTCACCTATCAAGACGGCGACAAGGTCGAGTTCATCACCTATGCTGCTGCTAACCGCGCCATGGAGCGCGCCGCACGTTACATTGTGTCCGGCCTCGACTCTAGGGAAGGTTACGCCCAGGCCACTGCCAACCAACCCACGATGGCAATTTTTGCGAGTGCTGGTGAGAGCGCGTTCCCACCTGACACTTATTTCTCTCGGTGTATACGAGACGTCCAGTGACACGTACTGACTACACACTGCTCTTATAGACACGATCACGTACTTTACCACGGCAGTAGGCGTGCTCAAGTCGGGATGCACCTTGTTCCTCGTTTCCACGCGCAATACAGCCGCGGGGGTGGCAGACATGCTGAAGCGCACGAACACGACGCAGATTCTCATCTCACAGGATGCGACCACCCGTGGGATCGCGGCAGACGCGCTCAGCCAGCTCCCTGGCAGCCAGGTGACTGTGCGCGACATGCCTGTGTTCGAGGATCTATACTCGGACGCGACGACGGACTCGGCGTTCACCGACGTGAACGTGAAGCTTCCGGAGACGCATAATCCAGATGCATTGGCTATCATCCTGCATTCCTCCGGTAAAATCCTCTGTGTTGCCGGCGATTTATGGTGTGATGGGCTGACCAATATCATGTCCTACACAGGTTCCACGGGCCACCCGAAGCCAATTCCTTGGACGCATAGGCGGCTAGCCCTCTTCGGACGAGGACCGCGTATGTGTCTTTGGGATCCTTCGCTCGATCCGGCGCTGATGTAGTTCTCTAGTGTTCTGTGAGGTGGACACCTCACGGTCCATCATGGGCTGCCACGGAACGCCCATGTTTCATGGACTGGGTGCGTTCATGTACGCTTCTGCGGTACGTATTGTGTGGCCCTTCCAAACCCTGCTTCGACTCATGATTCGCTCCGAATACAAGGCTATTAGTGGCTACATCGTCGCGGCTCTCAAACCTGCGAACCCACCAACGTTCCCCACGCCTGACGCGGTGTGGCAAGGCATCACTGCGACCCACGCTGATTACACTTGGACGGTGCCTTCCTTCATTGAGGTAGGGGTCCGTGTATATCGTCAATACCCATCAGACACTGAGTGTCGTCCTGTCGTAGGAATGGGGTCGAGACCCAGAGAAGGTCGAGGTCATGAAGAAGATGCGCGGTGTGGTGAGTGGAATGAAGCATTTGTGCCGGATGATAGGCTGACTGTCCTACCGTAGCTTTTTGGAGGCGCTCCGCTCAACCAGGAAGTCGGCGACTCGCTCGCTTCCCAGGGCGTGAATCTGTTCACGGTATACGGCCTGTGAGTCGGATGACTTCTCTCGACAAACTTGATTTTAACGAAGTGGCTAGGACGGAAGTCGGCTTGGTCAACGTATTCGTGCGCCGTAAGTTCGCGTTCACGCTTTCCGATGTCCTCTGTTGATTTCCATGGCGATATCTAGCGAACCCGGGCATGGACTGGGCGTACTTCGTCCCTATCCCGCTCCTTACAATGAGTTTCCGCCCGCACGGAGATAACAAGTTCGAGCTCATCATCATGGTGAATGGGAATCGAATTGCTGGGACTGATCCCATGACTGACGGCGACACATTCGCACAGTCGCGACCCGACCTTCCTTTGCCTGTCATCAACACGCAGGTAGATGGTCACGACGGCTACGCAACGAGTGATCTCCTCGAGCCGCACCCGACCAAGCCTGGTCTCTGGCGGATTTTCGGACGGGCCGACGAGCAAATCATGCTGTCGAACGGAGAAAAGGTGGGGTTGCCGTCCCTATTGCCATACGAATGGCTGTTTTAACCCTTGATCCTAGACGAATCCGCTGCCCCTCGAGAAGATCATAAACGCGGACCCACACGTCAAGTGCTCGATCATGTTTGGCCGAGGAAGGTTCCAGAACGGAATCCTTATCGAGCCGCAGGACGAGTTCGCGATCGACCCCAAGGACACGAAACAGCTGGAGGACTTCAGGAACAAGATCTGGTTCGTCGCTGTCATTTCTATATATCGCGCTTGTAACATTAAGTCTCCATAGGCCTTCCGTTGAACGTGCTAACCAATGGGCGCCGCAGCATTCGAGGATCTTCAAGGAGGCGAGTGACGTCTGGTACACAACTTTCAAATAGGAATCCAACTAATCGCACCAATCAATTCTCAGATGATACTTGTGACATCGCCGTCCAAGCCCTTCCAATTCAACATGAAGGGCCTCCCTCGCCGCAGCATCATTCTTGCCGAGTACGACAACGAGGTCGAGGCTCTATACAAAGATATCGAAGACAGCGCCCAGGGAGACTTGCAGCCTCCAGAGGACTGGGACGAGGAGAGCACGCTTGCGTTCATTCGTGGGGTGGTGGAACGCACACTGCGCCATGCTCTCGCGGATGACGAGGACATCTTCCGTAGCGGCGGAGACAGGTGCGTTCCAATGCCTTGAGTATTCGCGCGGCTGGATAACCCGCCGAACCGCTATAGCTTGCAAGCGACGTGGATTCGCAACACCATCTTGCGAGCCGTTCGCCAGACGGACGCGAGCGCTGCTAGACGCCTTCCGCCCAACATCGTCTTCAAAGCGCCGACAATCTCGGGCCTCGCCAGGATCGTATACGCAACGATAAGCAACGGCGAGACGCTCGACGACGCATCGCTCTCCCCACAATCCCTCCTCACGTTCGTCGAGAAATACTCGGCCGACTTCCCGGAGCGGCCTGCTACTCTTGTTGACCGCCCGGCGTCCTCCAAGGAGGTCGTCCTCATCACCGGTACCACCGGCGGATTCGGATGCGACGCTCTCGAGCACTTGCTGCGCGATGAGAACGTAGAGCGTGTGTACGCGTTCAACCGCAAAGGCTCGAAGGCACTGGAACGCCAGCATGCGCAGTTCCAGGCCAGGGGTCTCGACGAGAAGCTCTTGGACACGCCCAAGTTCAAGCTCGTCGAAGTGGCTTTGCACGAGCCTGACTTCGACATCGAGCCTGGGCTTCTAGACGACATTAGGAACTCCGTCACTCATATCATACACAATGGTGAGCTGCCAGTACACATTTGAAAGGGGGTTCGTCTCGCATCTAATGTTGCATGCGCAGCTTGGAAGGTGGACTTCAATCTGTCCATTCACTCGTTCCAGCCCGACATCAAGGGCGCGCGGAACCTCATTGATCTGGCCATCAGCTCGCCTTACAAGACGGCGCCCTCTATTTTGTTTGTCAGCTCCGTCGGGGTCTTCATGAGTATGCTGGCATATTGGATCCATAAACGTCTACTTCTGTTAACCATCCATTTGCAGACTACCGGGGCACGGCGCCTGCACCTGAAGTATCTCTCGATGACCCGGTGTCCCCATTCGGCACTGGCTATAGCGAAGGGAAGTGGGTGACCGAGCACGTCCTGCAGCGGGCTACGAAGCAGAGGGGCGTCCACACGGTCGTCATGCGCCTCGGCCAAGTTTCTGGTAACAAGGTCGGGTACTGGAACGAGAGGGAGTGGTTCCCTGCACTCGTCAAGTCGGCGCTGTTCCAGAAGTGCCTGCCCGACGTCGAAGGGGTACGTTCCTGGGCTCTGGTTCACATTCGCACTGCATTCTCACATGCGTTTGGTACAGAACATCACCTGGATTCCTGCCTACGAGGGCGCAAAGGCGTTCGCCGAGATGCGCTACTCCCCGGAGCCGTTCTGCCACCTCGTCCACCCTCGCCCCATCCCGTGGCACGACGTCATCGCTCCGATCGCGGAGGACCTCGGAGTCCCCCTCGTGCCGTACGCCGAGTGGCTTGCTACGCTCCAGAGAAGCGTCGAGGAGGGCGGCGCGGATGAGGTCGAGCTGATGAAGGCGAACCCTGCCCTCCGGCTCCTGTCGTTCTACAAGGAGCTCAAGTCGTCGCCAGAGCGCGAGCCCCTTGGTATGGTATATCTTTCGACGAAGACGTCGACGCGGGTCTCGCCTACGCTCGCTGCCCTGCCTCCGCTGGATGCGGAGCGCGCGAAGGGGTGGCTGGCGGCGTGGAAGCGGTCTGGGTTCTTGTAGTCTGTGTCATGAGGTTGTCTGTCATGTAATAGAAGAACGATATCATACAACGTTCAGTTCCCGAGTTACCTCTTGGAGGTATACGTAGGTACATGCAAGACGAGATCGACGATTCGGCGGCTTGGTATAGTCTCTGAATATACCCGAAGATCAAGTATTGAGTGGAGTGACCTCGAAAACGGTTTCATCGACGACCGGGTCGGTTTGCACTTCCTTTGATTGGAATCCAGTGTTGCGCCAGGCAAGGTCTTCTGAGCATCGGGATGATACACCCTTGTGAGAGCACCGCCGAAACCGATACAAGGAGTCACGTACCCATCCTCTTCCAAGCCACACAGTGATCCTCAAGTGTGCGCAGAGCCTTTTCGAGGCTGGCAAGGGACTCCAGGGTATCTTCTGAGGAATAGACGTTGACGCCATAATTGCCCGTGAGTTCCGGCTCTTCAGACCGCGCTCGCGCCGGCTTTAACACCGTGTCGCTGCACCGCTTAACCCAGTTGACCAGCTTCTCCGGGAAAATGGGCACGAAGATCAGATGGCTGTGATTGAGCGTGTTGACGATGTCGTGCACGAAGTGGCGGTACTTCGCGGAGCTCGCGATGTAGAAGCCGCTTGGCGCCCCACTGTAATCGCGCAGGATGGACGCGAGGGTGGAGAGGACGTCGTGGGTGCGCCCGCGGATGATGTGGTGGTCCTTGTTGTCCGAGTCGGAGGCGTTTGCGGTTAGTGCGCCGGCTGCGTACCGGAGGTACTCGCGCACGCTGAGGAGGTATTTGAACTGCGCGTCCGGGTTGCCGGGGGCTCCGGCGTGTGCGTTCGGCGTTTTGGTGACGGAATCGGAGAGCCTTCGTGTTTCTTGATACAGGGAGTCGAAGAGGATTTGCTCGATGGGCGCGTGATTCCCCGGTTGGGCGTGGGCTTGGCGAAGAGGTAGTCTAGAGATGACCGCCCGGGGGTTAACAGGTAAGTCACACGCCGGAAGCCTTGTAGACCTCATGAGTTACTATGCCTCACCTAGCTATCTGCCTCTCAGACGAGAGTGCTTGGCAATGCGACTCCAGTCGAATCAGGGACTTAGAGTCTTCAAGGTCCCATATCGGATCAGTGGTATTTTGTATCCACCGTTCCAGCCAGGATGCCGCGGAGTGCAGCCACTCGACTTCAGCGCCACCCTGCGCACGGCTTGGAGCATAATGCTGAGGAGGGGGGAGATAGCGAAGACCATCCGACCACGAGCGGTCGCAGAGCTCCTGATACAGGTCACCCCCAGCGGCGTGCAGGTACAGTGCACAAAGGAGAGCGTGATACACCAGCGTCTCGTCGTGAGGATGGCGGTGCTTGTCTTCGGTGCTGCCGACGTGACGCGTGATGGACTCGTGGAGGTTGACGAAGTAGTCGAGGACGTAGTGAGAGGGGAGATCCGGAAGACATATGGTGGCGGTAGATATTGCGTCGGTATCCAGTGTGGTCTCGTAGGCCATAGTGAGGACCTTGACGTCTAGAAGATTACCGGACTCGTGGATAGCGAACTGCTCGCGTTCGCGCCACGTCAAGACGCTGTGTGCTTGACGGGCGCGGTTAGAATTGGATTTATCGGCGGAGGATGTGTATTGGATCGTAGAGGAGCCAGGGGTCCGGAGTTGGAACCAGGGCCAGACCACGTTCGCAGCCTTTAGGAACAGGTTGCCTATCGGCGTGAGAATCCGATGACGGAAATGACTGCAGGCGGAGAAGAGCGCAAGCGTTTGCGGCGAGAGGTAGGCACAGCTATCGTCGAAGAGAGGCAGGACGGTGACCGTCGCCGTGATCACAGCGACGCAACCAACGAGGACCGATGCGACGAGCGCCACCGCGGGATGGAGAGTCCACAGAAGGAGGAGAAGTCCAGCGAGAAACAGGCCAAGGGACAGCAGCAGCAGCACAGGGATAGCGACGATGAATCCCCCCACGTGCCACTTCAACAGGTTATCGAGGCGATATTGTCGTAGCCGCGCGGCCTCGCGGGAGCTTCCTGATGACCAGCTATACTCGTTCAGCCACTGTTTCACCAGAATTCCGATGACAGATGAGGCGAGACTAAGTATGAGACTAGAGAACCACAAGATATTCAGCCAAATGGCTGATCGCGGCACCGGAGGCATAGAGTCTCCAGCCTGAGCACGTATCGGAAGATTGAACGAATGTGTGGAGTTTAGGAACGGGGGGTTGATCGAGAAGCTGCTGAGTTGCTGGGCTATTTGCTGCAGCACCACGGTTGTGGGATCTGGACCGGGCGTTGGCTGGAGCAATTGGTACGATTGAACGTTGAATGCCGTCAGGATGGCCGAAAACAAGGCAGCCTCAGCGAGAAATAATAAGGTGAGTGGGCGAGAATGAAGCGGAGTGTGTGTGACACCTACGAAGAGGAGATAGAAATCAATTTCCGAGTTCCACCGTTTTATCATGTCGTCGCCGTATGTCTTCGCTTTAGCCGCAGCTGCTGTCCAAGCCTGGTCCTTGTCATGTTCGCTGTGGAAATTCTTGCGTTGCACCAGTAGATCCTGAAAAGTGAACGGTCTGCGTGAGATTTACTAGAGGAGTGACCAACTCCTGGGGAGATCACTTACATCTAGCTCAGCCAGCGCAGAGACGGTATTATCCCCGTACGCTTCCGTAAGCAAAACTGAGCTCTCGACTTGCTGAAAAGAAGATTATGCGATCAGTCCATTCGATCTCGGTGACCAATCCAGCACACACGCACAGTTAGGTCGTCGTCCACCCCAATATGGGGAAATGAGTTAACATCTAGACCATGATCGATAGTGGGAGGAGCGGTATCGTTTCCTTGCCAAGACTGTGAGTCACCCTCAACGCTTCGGACCATTGTAGATGTTCAAATGTATGAACCGCTGTTGCCGTCACGGTAGTGGGAGAGTTTGGCAGTAGGGTAGGGTGGACGCAGGACGCAGGCGGACCAGAAGCTGGAATAGCCTGAAAATAAGTCAAGTCCCATAAATCATTCGAGCGCGGAGAGCAGTCTTCTGCCTTCCATGCTTGTCGATGGCCCGGCAACCTAGATCACATTAATCAAGCCCGCCGCCGAGACGCTTCCCCAATTTAGTATTGCCAACAACGTATACGGTAGTGACGTACCGTGAGATCGCGTATACATGCACGGCATCAAAATGAGTGACAGTTAGTAGGAGCACGCCCAGGCTGTAGACTAGGAGTACCACATATACGGAGTAAGGTGTCAGGTTCCCTTAGCTTCAGGCGTAATTGCAATTGTGAGCCGTGGTGGCGTCGTGCATTCTTCAAGTCTTTCAACCAGACCCAGAAGTTAGTAACTTTGGCTATACCGCCTGCCTCCAAATTCGCACATCACTCCTGCGCCATCAGTGCTTACGTGGTTAGTGATCAGCGCGATGCGCGAGAAGCCCACCTGGATTTGCGTGCGCAGACACGCGCCCTCCGACATTGCACGGGCCGCTATACACCTGTGCAAGCGCACTGGCGCACTGGCTCTCAGATCGAGAGAGAGAGTACTTACATCCCGCTCCGAGCAGCGGTGGGACCAGTCCAATGGAGTCCAATGGACTCCGCCGGAAAGTCGTAGTCCCAGCGGGTCGGATGGTTTGTCTCGAGCTTGGAAAAGTACGTATTAAGACTTGGATATTGATGCATTTGGGCGCTTGATATTCGGCGAATGCCGTTAACGTCGATTTTCGACCGAGGCTTCGCGCCGGTCCGCTACGGCCTCCTCCGACTCTCACCGTAATCGCCAGTGTTCCTGAGTACCGGCGCATCCCTGGACCCTCTGATACCATGGAGAGTACTACATACAGTGTAATACATGCTAAGACTCACATATAGCTCCTGCCCTCAAAGTTGCAAGAATATCGAACTGGAATAGTGAGCCTGCAATTTCCGATTCCCCCGGCTTTCGCGTACCGGTCTACTCGTGGCACGAGTAAATCTGGTCTTTTCATTCACATTTCAGGGAGTTCGGTACCTGTCTGCCCCGTCTCATGGTTCTCTGTCATCGGCCACGAGCCCGATCATGACACCGGTATGTTGATGGTTGTTTTGGACCTTGATATGCACGACCACCCTCTCATGGAGGTCATCCACCATCCGAAATCCGCAGAGTCCCAAGACTGCATGCTCTTCATTGCGCTCAACGTTGCGCTCGGCTTCTTAGGCCATCCGTTCGACGGTAAGTACCAGCAGCTGATCAAGATTGAAGAGCACGGCCTCAACAATACGCTCGCGCCGTCTTGAAGATGTGTACGCACTCGCATGACCACGCGAAGGGCGACCGCGGGACGCCGTACTTGCGCCAGTGGACTGAGGTCTACCTCCACAAGGCGCTCGTCCGGCTCCGCACGCAGATCAAGGCGTCGACCTCGTCATTGAGGACGCGTACACCATGCAGCAACTCTGCGCATGCGAGGTGCGTCCCCACTCCCGCCTCCTCACTCGCCATCACCTAATCATCTCCGCAGACCGTGGCACTTGGGTATCCCAAGTTCTGCGATCTATTCACCCCAACGGAGTAGGAAGGGTTCGACTACAGTATTGACTTGCACTTCTGGTATAGCTCCGCGTTCAGCTCGCCAGTCGCGCGCGGGTTCGCGATTGGGTACGTGCAGGAGCTCGTCGCGCGCCTGTCACACACACCCATCAGCACGCACAACGCTACGCCCTCCAGCAGATATAAAACTCGGATTCTAATAATAATAATAGCGCACACAACTCGTCGACGAACGCCACGCTCACGGACGATCCACGCACGTTTCCGCTCAGACAGAGCCTGTACGTCGACGCGATGCCCGAGGTCATCGCGCTCTACGGTAAGTCATTCGACTGAGTGTGCTATCATGTGTAGCTAATAAGCATGTAGGTACAGTGCTTACGGCACTGAAACTGACGAGCTCCGCGAAGGACAGGCCGCTCTCGGCGACCCACATCCCGCACAACCGCGCGTTCCGCACCGTGGACCTCGTGCCCTTCGCCACCAACGTTCAGTTCCAGCGTACACGTCCTTTACTCTGCCTCCCTCCCTTCTCACGCTCATACGCCACCTAGTGCTCTCGTGCAACTCGACCCCAGACACACAGATCCGCGTCAGCGTGAACGATGGAGTCGTCCCGCTGACAGGCTTCCGCGGATGCCTGGAGAGCGCGGACGGGGCGTGCCCGCTATTGGTGTTTGTGGCAGCGATGCGCGAGATCATCGGGGAGACGGACTGGGCATGGGCTCGTTTGGGCAATTGAGAGGTCTCGCCGGGGACGGCGTACAATACGACGACGGGGGCGCCTCTGGAGAGTAGCTGACGCGTCGACATCCGACTGGAAACGTGGGGCGATCGAAGCCAGCATTGCGGTGCAAGCGGCAGCGCTCCGCTTCCGTCACTACCCACTAGGCTGTCACTACGTAGGCTGCTGGATATGGGACGCGTTCGCTGCGCATCGCAGATCCTAGGCCGCCGAGGCGTGCATGACCTGCCTTATTTGCCCTGTCCATGGGCGGCCGCCGGGCACGAGGGAATGCGCAGGAGGCGAGCGGTAGCGGAATAAGCAGCCCGTTCTGACGGAGCCCTTTGTGGGATCAGATTTGTCCTCATGCGCGCTGCAACCATGGGAATATTGCGAAGATGACTCCTCGGGCAAATTGTCGGAGATACTCCAAAGCAGGATGCCTCGCCTTCGCCTTCGTAGGATCCGGGTCCTCGGAATACGACTACAGTCACTTCTTCCTGGCTTGTTTCGTAGCGGTGTCGCTATCGCCATATCGGTGCTGCTCTAGGGTGACAGCAGACCACGTTGTCGCCAACCATCAGCTTCGCGGTGGCGTCAGGAAATTGTGCGTGAGCTCGCCGAACAACAGCTCGGGGGCGCAGGGCCTCTCTGGCTCTCCAACGTTGTCGCTTTTGCCCGTCGGGATGCGACGATCTCGTTTCGCATGAGATTGGACGCTCGCTGCTGAAACCTGGAGGTGGCTGATGTGTTCCCCACGCCGAATGACGGGAGGAGGAGGAGGAGGAGGAGGTTCGGTTAGGATACATTCTGTTGGCAAGTCGCTACTCATCTATGTATGGGGACAAAATTCGCTGTCTCGAAGGGCTAAGACGCACAATGGAACTATCTTGTGTCCGGAGCTGCCAGTGCAGAATACTAATGGACTCGGACCGTGCGAGGGCTCACAGCGGACCCATGCTTCGTTTACACTCGAGCGGCGCCCGCGAGGGCTGAATCAGACTGTATACACAGACGGCTGAACACAAGGCTGGCACGAGCGAAGCACCGGTCCTGAGACCGTCTGGGCAGAGGTTAGGGCAGCCAACCGTGGCTGTGGCCGTTGCATGAGTCCCTTACAAGATTCCCGCGGAGACGACACAACATCATGTAACATTCAAACGCACAGCGTTCAATCACAAGATGGACAGTTACATCTGGATAGCGACACAGTCTTCCAGCGCAAGGAGAGCGAGACGATACATAGTTTCCTCGAGTGAGATTGTCTGAGATGATAGAATGAGCTCGAAAGTAACAGCCTCGTGTGAACATGGCTATACATACTAGATGTCTTGGTTTTCCGGGTGTTCCGCCTCTGGCTGCGTGGAGGTGGCAGGGGCCTCCCGAGTAGCCTGGTCAACAAGGGCATCCATGTCGATATCGATGTGGTGCGTCTTGCCCTTCTTTTTAGTCAACGGACTCGTGGTCAAGATGGGCTTCCCTGCGGCGTCGCGAACCCACACGCAAATGTGATTTTCCGCGTTCCGATCACTTCCTCCTTTGTGGACCCTGCTCCTGAGGTCATCACGCTCTTGAGTGGCAGCATGGTAGACATCATTTGGCAGGACATACCTGATTTCCACGCTCTTAGCTCCCAAATCAACAAGTGTCTTGCCGCTGTGATCGTTGTAAGCCTTAGTTTCGCAGGCTGAGACGATCTTGGCTTCGATGCGGGCCTTAAGCTCGGGATTGGTCCCGTAAGGGTTCGAGAGGTTGTCACCCCAGGTGACTGTGATCTTGGGCTGGGAGTCGGACATGGGAGGCGAGCGTAGTACGGGGGATGGTAAGGCTTGTGGCGTCGAGACAAAAGATCGAGGGTCGGTGATGCATTTGCGGTTTTGTTGAGCTCGTTTTATAGATGCGGCTTCCTGCAGGCATCCCTGCAATTGAAGCGTCAAAATGATACACAACGCCCATGCCGCACGCCGTTCTGCAGACGTACCAAGGTGTTCAGATCCAGTAAAGTACCACCGCATTGGGCATGAAGTCCTGTCGCGTGTATCAGGGTGTTCGACGCGATTTGGGCAATATTGGCATTCTTCTATCCCCTCACAGACATGTGTAGACACTCTGTTCCGCGCAAGAAAACGACGATCCATGGTGCCGCGACTTATGCGGCTGCGAACGGAATGAGTTGTTCGGGACGCTTGCTATATCCGGGAGCAAGCCAACGCAGTGCGCACATGATACCAGATTACCGGACGCGACGGTGCACTTGTGCCTCCCGCCGGCTGCGGCTCCGGTCTCTCCCAGTTGCTTCTTCAAGCCTTCACAAAAAGAAAGGACACCGCATGTATTTGTGGCAGAATGCGGCTGAGTTTCCACATCGACTCAAGGCAAGGGCGTGTCAATTTGGCATCCCGTCATCAGGAACATCCACCGGTTCGGATACGGGAAGCAAGAGCGTAGCAGCTCTCACATTTGGCAGGACCATCTGGACCGCACGGTTGAGCAAGTATCCGCATAGAGGAGTTACTCACGGCTAAGTGCCGAGGTATTGGTGCCGCTCTTCGATCACCGGCGGTGTTGCGGACACCCAACTATCCCAGAAGGGGTGGAATAAATTTTCATGCCTGTGTACTGCAGCGTGGCGGTCCAAATTTACAGGCAATTAGCGGGTGCGAATCCATATGGCAGCGGTGCGCGCCCATACCTGCTGCGCTACGGGAACACAAGGAGAAATCTGTATATGGCAGGAGCAACACAGCATAAGATCGGTCGCGATGAGGTTTCTGCGCATATCGGGAAGCACTGTAGCAAGTCGATGGATCTCCGAAGCAGGCTGGAGACTGAGTCACGCTCGGTGGAGAAGGAGGCGTGTACGTACCTTCCACAACAAGAGTCGCCTCAAGGCACCCCTTGCGCCAAAGAAGTGTGCGCCGGGAGATGAGCGGAGAACGACGATTCGAACACGCCCTCTTCTTCCGCAGAGGCAGCTTGTTGTGCACAAGGGACGAGGACAAGCGCTGCTCGGCGTTCGACCAAACCGAGAGATGCATCGCCACCGCCAGACATCACGTGGTAAGGGAACAACGGCATATGAGGACTCTTGTCTTGCACGTTCGATTCGTCAAGCCCTCCAACCAAACTCCCGCATCAGCGAATTCAAGCTTTCAACTTCGAACTCAACATGCCCAACATGCCCAAGTCATCTTCTCGCTCGCCGCGCAACTTCTTCACCGACCTGGTGAGGTCCGCCACAAGCATCGTGCGACCCGCCTCTACGCCTCCGGCCTCTGCCTTCTCGCGCTCGCACGCGCCGCTGCCGACCGGCTCGAACGCCCACCCACCCACCACTCTGGACCCATCCCTTGACCTTCGCCGGATCGCCTTCCATGAGGAGCCTTACACTCTGAGTCCGCTGGAGGGGCCGTATGGATACTTTCCCATGCGGCTCGGTCAGAAGCTGCGCCGGGGCACATGCGAGATCGTACGCAAACTCGGATACGGCACCAACTCAAGCGTGTGGCTCGCTAAAGAAACTACGTGCGTTCCTCCTCACTCTCGACGTCCGGGAACTGACTGTCGGCTCGCATCTCCCAGGCCTGACGGGCATCGTTATATCGTGCTTAAAATCATGTCGGTATACGCCACAGAGGTCGAAATCCGCAGGCTCTGTTACGAGGGTGCAGTCGCCCATGACATGACCGCACTTGGGAAGCCTGACCAGGCGCATCCCGGGTATCGTCACTGCGCAATCATCGGAAGGACCTTTTTTGAACACAGCGCACATGGTGAACATCTTTGCTCGCTTTTATTTCCTTACGGCACATCACTGGATGATCTTCTCGAGACCTCTCCGACTGGTCGTCTTCCGCTTTCTGCAGTGAAGACGATTACGAGGCAAGTACTTCTGGGCCTTAGCTTTTTGGAAGACAAGTTTCAGAGGGTGCATACAGGCCAGTCGAGTTCGAGCGTTGCGCGTCACGTTCACCACTCACACACCTCGCAGATGTAAAGTCAGCGAACATTCTCCACCACCCGCGTGCCAGTACCGAGCAGATTGACCGCTTCCTTGCGGACAACCCGCCGCAGATGTATGAGGACACGCCCCCGGTCAATCCGCGCATATCACCAGAGCCCATTCCGGCCCTGCGGTCGCAACCGCTCCCCAACTTTGGGCTGGACCCGTCGTATGCGAACATCAGTATCAAGCTCATCGACTATGACAGTGGTATGTATAACCTGTTTTCCACGTTCAGCGATAGCTGACAGCCGGTCTTCTAGCCATACGCGCGAAGGATATCCGCGCGGACACACCTATATGTACGCCGACTGAGCTCCGCGCTCCAGAGATGCTACTCGGACATGCGTGGTCGTATCCCGTCGAAGTTTGGGCAGTCGGCTGCCTGGTGCGTGTCGAGTCGTCCACTTTACGCGGTCCCCACTTACATCTATATGTCGGCTAGATATTTTATCTGCTCACGCACGAAACGGTCTTTCCCACTGACACCGAGGATCTTCTGCCGTTTATCTATGATTACCTTGGGCCGTTCCCTGAGGATTTTGTGCGGCGCTGCACGAAGGGTCGGAAATGCATTGATCGCAATGGTGAGCTCTGATAGTTTCACGCACGAACAGTTGTTGACCCAAGGTCGCAGGGATTCCACTCGGCGCCAAGGGCAAAGACGGCGGTCAAGGCTCCCTCGAGAGCAGATTCGCGACGTTGTGCGATGGCCTGAGTGCGCAGGACATCGGCGATACCTGCCGTTTCTTGCGCAAGTGCTTGGCGATTGACCCATTGGCTAGGCCGACGGTCTCTCAGTTATTGCAGGATGCGTGGCTGAAGATTTGATGGCGTTCCCGTAGCTGTATCTGTCGAGGGTAACGGGGCGTTGCGGCTGGGCCGAACGCCACGTTGAACGGGAGCGTTGCGACATTGGGGAACATGGCCTGTTATGGCAAGTCATATGTTTGTTTATTTCTACCTCCTCCCTCGCCGCCTCGCGCGAGTCACTCCGGGCGAGGCCAACCACTCGCTTGTTTGTTCCTATTTACACGCAAACTTCGGGCTCGTCGTGCGCCCGCGCCAGCCTTTTCACCTCACACGTTCAGCCCCGAATCCGTGTGAGGTGAGCCATTCTATCATTTATCCTGTCTGTATTACATTACTCTCTGGTCGCGCAGATATGACAGACAGCGCGACCAGGTCAGCTCTATATTCATACGTTCAGCCCCGAATCCGTGCGAGATCTGACAGACAGCGCGACCAGCTCGCTTAACGCGCCCGCATAACCTTAAAAGTTTGCAAGTGAAACGCGCATGAATTGTGCTGCAGATGTACGCCATAGTACTTGATTTATTCTCGAAGGATTGAGATAAACCGGAAAAGTTGAAGCCCGGGTGCAGTGCGGCATCATATACTGTTGGATTTTGGTTTCGAGCGAGCGAGCGCCTACTCGCCGGCGTTTGCCGAAGCGTTCAGTATCGAGCGCGAGACCCATTTTGTACGCTATCCGTTTGCCTTCGTATCACGACGCTACCGTACGGGACAAACGGAATACTATTCGCTTCTTACTCCTGCCGACGATTTCTTGCTTGCTCCAACACACACAATAATACTGCAATGGGCGCTGTAGCCTGTCGGCACCTTCAAGCTTCAGAGCACGAACGGCAAGTTATGTGATTCCGGTGTAAGCATCTTGTCGTGGTCGTTCAAACTTGGTATTTGACGTGACGCGCTGACTTCAAGATTAGAGAGGCACTAGGTGTTGTTCGAGTCAATTACATGCCATAAACTGGCCTAGAACAGTCTCCGCCATCTGCCACGTGCTGCGACGTACAGGCTAGGGCGCTCAAGTTGCCATCACTACGACATACTGATTGTTCACCTCAAAGAGACGTCCGGCCCCGATTCCTTGTACCGATGATGTTCCTAGCAGCCAACTCAAGCACGATCCACAATAAAGGCTGGGTGGGTGGGAGGGCTCGCCTTCACAACCCTATTCTTCGAGTTTTGCACGCTCGTTAAACCTGTGCAGACACGTTGCTTCGATGTGGTTCTTTATGCATGGCATGCAATCGTCTCAACGAGCGATAGGCATCGACAATTTGAATCGTGGACAATCGGGTTCAAGTATATATAAGTCGCACGAGCGCGACCACCCAGTGAGTCCTCTGCTCTTCTGCAAGAACACTTTCCGGCAGTACACTCAGCTCAAACCCCAATCAGCAACAAACATCCGTTCAGACATATTGCACCCATGGCACCGCCACATACACTCACCATGCCGGCGGACGGCACCAGGCTCGAGCTACTCAAGTTCAAAAGTAGGCGATGCTACCATCATCACGCCGCCCAGTTGTTTTACTTCTCTACCCATTTTTCAAGTGCAGCTGCGCGAGTGGAACGTCGCTGCAGCGAGACTGCCGCCTCAAAGTGGATACGCACCTCGCCCTCTACCTGAACCTCGTCTCGTCATTCCAGGCTTGTTTTTCGATTACTCGTCTCCCGATGGTCCGCAAAGGTTCATCACCTCAGCCCAGGTGTCCGTATTTCTCTTAGTATGTTATTCGCACAGGGTGCCTTGCGCTATGCGCCACAGCTGACCAGGCTCGTATGGCCACAGGCAGCGCCATATATGAATCCCCTCGGTATGCACAACCTCGCGCGACTGTGTCGGCCAATGCGGACGGCCCTCATGAAGAAGGAGAGCCGCCCCATCTGGAGGGAGATGTTTGAGAAGAACCCGAGCTATCCGCCATGTCCCAGACATATTATCGAACCACACCACGCCACCATGATAGCTGGCCGGGAATGCAGCGTAAGTCCGGGCCTTCCATGGAGAATGTGTGATGTGACCGCCGTGATTTTCTGATAGGCTTGCGGAGAGATTCCGTATTCGTGCCAAGAGATCGAAGTCAGCACACTCGTGAGAGCTAAGATAGGCTGGGTCCTCTGCGACGTCTGCCTCCGATACAAGTAAGCATCGAATTGTGTGCTTGGCACACGATGCTTTATTTGACCGCGAATCTTGCAGCCTCGTCGACGAGCAAGAACTTCTGGGCTTATACAATGCGGCTATACCGAACAGACCCGCGGGCGTTCGTTTACTCCCGCGCAACCCCCTTAGCGACCTGCGAAGGTTTCTGCCGTTTCACCGTCTCAGTCAGTTGCGATTTTGCTCGTATCCGCTTTTGCCGCACTCATCACGCCGAATAGGTTGCTTCTCCGAGGGAGGCGTGGAAGTCACTTACTATTACAGGCCCGAGGCGGAGCTATTCGTACGGAACTATCTACGCCTCATGGAGTCCCAGGAAATACTTTGCGATGCACGTTTTGAGTTTGCTAGAAACCTGATGGTTGAGCTGCGCGTCGAACATGCTACTCTCGTGAACGAGGTGAGTAGCCAGACCCAACACACTGAGATGTTTATCTATTGACCCAGTACAGTTTGCGGACAATTGTCTGAGGCACGTCAGAGTCGCGGTAGAGGCTAATCGGCTTGGTGTTCCCAATTACACTTTGAGATCCGCGTATGTGCACATGGTCCTCCCCGTACGCGCAATAATGTCGCTCACGTTAGGCATCCTCATCCACACAGGATCATGGAGAGGGTAGATGTTGCAGACCGCCACTATGAACTAGAAGACCTCCAAAGGAGCTCCTTTTACCTCGACAGATTCCTAGACCACTATGTGACGAGCGACGGTGCGACATATTTCAGATGCATGCCTATCCACGTTACGCTAACGGATTTCTCACCAGATGTGTTCAAGAGTGCGCTACCGCACATATGGCAGGTATTGGCCCCCAAACGGGCCGCGAGGATGGCCAAGAAGGCGAGTGACTTCATGGAACCCGTCCTCCTTTACTTTGAGGAGCTCGTTGCAGGGATATGGCTGAGCGATGAAGAGCGCATGATGCTGCCAAACGAGGCCCATCTGGCGCAGATTCCCTGTATCGTCAAATTTCAACGCAAATGCGATGAGCCGCCGACGCGAGAGCAGTTCAAGAAGGTCGAGGCTAACCTGACGCACGCGCTCCGCTACGGCGCGTACGTAACGAAGCTCCCGGACGTGTTCTTCGCCCCGCTCGAACAATTTTTCACCCTCCACGCGATGGTCCTTCGCTACGCCCCTCCTGAGCCGGAGACCCCGCCTGCGCGAGCCGCCAGACTCTTGCGCACGGCGGCAGCTATGTTCACGTTCAACCGAGGCATGGTGCAGGCCAAGGGCCCAGTCGTGCTGCCGTTCCCAGAGATCCACATGCACTGGCGCACGAATTGTCCGGACCAGGGCTGGGACCTCTATCAGATGGCAGACCAAGAGGCGTTGGGGCACCCAAAGGTTGTAGATGGCAAAGGCGTTTTACACGCGATGGTGCCGTACGCGCCTGCCCTGTACTATCTCAGGGCACTGGGGTTCCCGGACGACATTCCGCTGCAAGATATGGATCAGATCGTGCGCGACGGAAGAGTGCAGTGTCGTTGTGGGCTCTCGAGGCTCCCGCCTAATCGTGGGGTGTGGGGATGGGCAGATCTGGTGCGTGTCCGCCGCTCTCCGGCCGCTGTCCGTGCTCACTTCGGACAACGAAAGCTCGCGCATTGTGAATACGAGCACTCGCAGTGGGAGAAGATTTGGGGACCACGAAGGTGCGTCTTCCCCCGCCCTCCGGGCGCGCCCTGAACTGATGGCGACGACGCATATCTTAGTGCCACGGCCGCACACCCGGCTTCTACCACGTATACCGGAGTGTACGTCCCATGGGTAGACGACCACGCCCCAGGCGGTCTATTTTATTACCCAAACGGTCACGCGGTTCCTGACTTCGAAGCGGATCTGGCACCACTGGTGCACATCCTAGAAGGGATGCTGCACGCCAAGCCTGGCAGAGAGATCGTGGCTTGTAGGCTCTGCTGCAACTTGGCCGGCCCTGGGCAGGATCGCGCGCATCTCGACGCATATTGGAGGGTGCCCATTCCATCGGACCGCTTGACGTTACAGCCATTGTTCATGGCGCATCACCTCCTTCTAAGGTCTGTACTTCAACGTTTCAACTCCCTACCGAGTCGACGCAGGATGTTGACGGCTGGATGGTGGTGCTGCGCATCTTCTACAGACACCGCGTCCCGGAAATTCGGTACGAGTACCTGGTTCTGAGCCAGTAATACCCGACGTTGGCGCCTTGATACACAAGAACATTCGACAAAATGCGACAAGAGCAGACATAATTTATCAAGCCTTTCCATGGATTCATACGGCGACATCAATATTGTGCTTGACACGAAGCCGCTGGCAATCGAGACAGTCGTGGTTTTAGATATACTGATAGTCTCTACGACTTCGGTGGAGATGACTTGGACCGCCTTACCATTAATTTAATCAGCCGGTGAATTACGCTTCCTTCGTACTTCCCTGCTCGAGTATGACTATGAGACACAAAAGCGGCATGTCTTTCGAGGGGATATCTAGCGACCAGAATCCGTTGAAACGCCTGCTGGATAGACAGTAGTTAAACCCGTGGTTCAGACCGATATTTGATGGGATATGTGCTCATGTTTCTTTAATCCAGATGCGCATTTGCGAGGGAGAGAAAGAGAGAGCAAGAGAGAGAAAAATCAAGCTGGCCAAACGGCGATGAACGGGGTGACGCACTTTCCGGGGTCCTTGGCGCTCCGACGCCAAGCGGTGGTGATCCGGCTCCTGCGATTGGATAGGAGACCAGAGACCTCGAACACTCGCGGGACGACTGGTGCGGTCCTCCCGTGGCAGGCAGTGAGGTAAGTCCCTCACAGTCAAGCAGTCCTCTTCGCCCGACCTCTTGGCCACCACGCGCAAGTTTCCCTATCCTGGTTCTGCTGTCAACCTTATATACCTTCGTCACGCTCTACAGTTTGTTTCCTACCTTTCTCCCTTACCACGAGGATGTCGACGTCGGCGCTCGGCCAGAAGATGCTCGGGAAACTGCCTCTTGGAAAGGGCGCGGCCGAAGATGAAGACCTTGCGACTCGCGTCCTTATCATGCTCGTAATCTTCGCTGTGTCTCTTGTCGGTGAGTAACTTCCCATGGAGGTCATTGTAGATGAGCTCTGATATAGGATCGTTCGAAGCCGTCTCGTTCCCCACGATTACAGAGACCTATCGCTCCATACGCGTGCCGAGCCTGTTCTTCTTCGTGGGGAAGCATTTCGGCACGGGAGTCATCCTATCCACCGCCTTCGTCCACCTATTACAAGATGCGTTCAAGGCGCTTCAAAACCCGGAGGTGAACGAACGGTGGAAGGTGGAAGACTGGGCAGGATTGATTGTGTGAGTTTTAGTACCTTCGTTCGAGAGTCAACGTTTCAACGCTTATGTTGTGGACTGCCCTTTCAGGCTTGGGTCACTTCTATCCATATTCCTTGTAGAATGTAAGTCTTCTCAATTCCAGCTGTTCTCAGATCGAGAGGCCCCCGTGGAAAAACACACACAGAGGCGTTCGAGCCCAGACGCGGCGGCGACGCTTCGCATATGGCGGGTAGGAAATTGCGAGCACCGCGAAGGGTTACGCGTACCCAGGCGTGTACATCCGCGTCCTCCCCGCATCACCGCCTGAAATCGCTGTCCATGATTATTCTTTCCACGGGCCTATCGATTTGAGAATAGCTGGACCAACTTACGACTAAGCGCTGTCTGACTTTCCCTCCAGACATCTCCACCGCATTCGTGGACCGCCTGCAATCATATTCCTCCGCGCCCTCCAGCCCTACCGTTTCGCCCAATGCCTCTTCACCTCCATCCATCCAGATGGACTACGACGACGACGTGCCTGTCGCGTCAAGACCCTCGATCCTGGTGCAGAGTCCGAAAGGGACGGAGTCGTGGGTCTCTGGACAGCCCATGCCTCATAGTCACAAACACGACGTGCGCCATAGCATACACCAGGTCGGCGAGTTTGACGAAACAGGACATCCATCAGCTACTCCGCTACCTCTCGCCCCTCCAGAGCTGGCAGACGAGGCCGCGGAGAACGACGATGCTCACCACCACGCCGACGAGAACACGCCTCTCAACCATTCCGTTCTGCCGCCACCGCTAGTAGGAGGGTCATACGGCAGCACGGCGCACCCCTCCGGCCATCACCCAGTGCGCCCGAGCCTGCACAACGCGCATATATCCGACGAAACCTTCTTTTCCGGGGGCCACCACAGACACGAAACACGCGATTCACATCACAAGCACCACGTCCCCGTCTCCCGATGGTCGTGGTTCAGATTCCCGTGGGCCAGCGGAGAGGATGCCTCCCCGCTGGACGCGGCTGTGATATCGCGACTTCCGTCCATGCACAGCCTCAACTCCGGGCGTCGCGGTACGATGCGAAGCCAAGCTGCACGCTCGTACCGCCAGCAACCTAGCCATGTGCATAGTAACGATGGGCACGAGCACGCTGGGAGGCCACACGCGCATTCCCATGCGGACATGGAGCAGTGGATGAACGGCATGGATGACAGGCATAACGGGGCTGCACATGCACCCGTTGACGAGGAGTGTGGGAGTGACTTGGACGACGAAGAGGTCAAGATCGGCCGCAGGCGGCAGGTGATCGGCATTCTCGTGAGTATATGCGCTTTTTTCTGTGCATCGACGGTTCTGACGGCATCCTAGGTACTGCAAATGGGGATAATGATCCACTCCTTGGTGATAGGACTCACGCTGTCTATCGCGAATGGGCCCGAATTCAGTGAGTGAATGCGAATCACGCCTGTATGCGGGGGTGTTGATGTTCGACCGTGCAGCGTCACTCGTAATTGCGATCGTGTTCCACCAACTGTTCGAGGGTCTGTCGCTCGGTATCCGAATCGCCGGCCTTCCGTCCAAACATTCAGAAGGTACGCTGTCCGAACCTCTTGCCCTCCCCCGACGTGCTCATCCGTCCCCCCATAGATGGCTTCAAACACCTATCGGGACGCACGCTCAAACCGCTTCTCGCCGTCACCTTCGCCATCACGACCCCCCTCGGGATCGGCATCGGGCTCGCCGCGCTCGGCGGCGCCTCCTCCACCGGACGTGCGTTTCCCCTTCCCTCCCCACTCTCCCCTCCCTTCTACTCCCATACTGACCCCGTCCCCCTCGTGCAGCGCGCCTGATGCTCATCCAAGGCATCATGTCCGGGATCTCCGCGGGGATGCTCATCTACGCGGCGTGCGTGGAGATGCTCGCGGGCGACTTCGTGATGGACGCGCACCTGTGGCGGAGCAGCGTGCGCCGGCAGGTGCTTGCGCTCGTTAGTCTGCTCGCGGGCGTCGCTGCTATGGCTGCGATTGGATTGTGAGTTGTCTCATGTGTGAGTGGTGCTGTAGTGCGGGCGCTGATTGTTTGGGGTAGTTTGGACTAGGATGGGATGGACGATACCTGCCACTGCCACTCGGATGTGGGCTCTGTTCTTTTTCTTGGATGGCGCGGGCTTGGACCCTCGGATAAGCACGCGGCTGGACGATGTATCATGTGCGGTAATGTACAGGATTGTGTAATTGTATAGACGACCATACGATGACGACTAGATCGTAATGCGAGGATACGTGCACGATGTACCAGCTCCAGATGGATGCATGCCTGTTCCTCCTGGAGTGGCACGGGGGTCCGTCGCTGTGTGGCCCTTCTGCCACTTCCCGCGCCGCTTCCGTTCTTGTTCGCGCTGGTTAGGGAATCCTCGAGCGGGCGCAAACAATGGCACGGTGTGCGATCTGTTCGACACAGTCGATAGGTTTATTTATGATATTGAAGTCTTCTGCGTGCAGTGGTCGCAGCGTCAGAAATGCTGATATATCGCACGGGCTTCGCGAGCCACCGCCCGGTGCTCAGCAGATAGTACACAAGCACAGAGCGGGACGAGGCAGGACTAGTACTGTTGACCGGCACTTGCAGCACGCTGCGCGAACCGCATAAGGAGTGTCGAAGCAAACGCTTGGGGCCGCCGTCGATGAACTTGAATCGTGTGGGGAAGCGAAAACTCGGATTATAGATAGGCAAGAAAACGTCGTGCGGCGAGGGAGGTTTGGGCATATACAGAGATTCTAAGAAATTGAAATACAAGAATACGGATTCGTAACGACCGAAGTGAGGGAAGGGGAGGAGCGAATGGTGCGAAAGGGATACTGGCAGAGCCGACGGGTCGAGAAGTGATACATATAAAAACAAGAAGCAGGTGGAGAGCGGAGAGATGAGGGCAACAGAGAGCGACGAGCGTCTAAGACCTAAAGAGAGGAATTAGGGCCGGTTAAGTGTATTTGAGTGTCGCACTTACCTTCGAAGGGGCAGCTTTGCCGCATAAAGCTTGACCTCTGGACGTCTACTCGGAACCGGGTGGAAGAGACGATGGATTCGGGGGCTCCTACGCAGCCTTAGCGGCGGCAGCTCTGTCGTGACGACTACGTGTTAACTCATATCTGGGTGTGTGCAGAAACTGACATACTCGCAGAGGTTTATGTAGCGGTCCATGGTGACCTTCAAGTTATTGGAAGTCGTGTTGGTTTCCCGGTACCTGAGACGTGAACCGATGAGTGAGGAGAACTCCCCGTTCTTCTCTTTCTCCTTGACCAGGCGCAGACGGAGGTCGTCGAAACGAGCACGGTAAATCAGTTCGGGAAGGTCCCAGGAAGACTTCACGAGGAAATAATAGAGGATATCGTGGCGGGTGTTGAAGGTGTTTATGATGTTGCATAGGAGGTTGAGGTAGTCGCTACAGCCATATCGTATGTCTTCCCGACCACGCACTTCGAAGAGATCGTCAAAAATCACCATGTACAATTCCTGGAGGACCTTGAGCAGGTTGGCACCGGTATTGAAGTTTGCTGCGGAAGTCGTGCTCGCCGAAGGGTCCGGCTGCATGTAAGCGGCTGCGCGGTAGAGGTATTGGTCGGCGCTGCGCAGGTAGTTGAGGAGAGCTACGGAGTAGTGGTAATGGGTCATGTGGCCGGAAGCGCGAAGAGCTTCATGCGTTGTATTGGCGAAACCCAAGCATCTGGTCATATGTCGTTGTAGCAAAGCGATGTCTTCCGGTATCTGATCAGCCAAGGTATCTAGTCGTTCTCTTGTAAACATACGGTTGCAAACTCATTCAATGTACTGCTAGGACGCACCGTCGAGGGAGGGGTCATATTTCTCTGCTTGGCCAGTGGTCTTCTTACCACCCTGCAAGCTTTTGGTGTAGTAACGCTGTACTTCCTCCTGCAGCTTCTCGAGGGGGGCACGCGATACGGAACCCGCTTTATCTTGATCACTTCCAGCCAATCTCTCCCAATCTTCAACACCAGCCCTGAATGCCCATTCTGCATAAGTGGTCGGGTGAAGATAATCCGAGAGACGAGCGGGAGGGATCGAGTGTTGACGGGTGTCTCGCAAGAGCTCCATGTCGCCCACGCTCAACGCGCAAAGGAGGACTTGCCAAACCAGCAAGTCGTTTACAGGGCTGATGGGAGAGATGTTCCTCGCCTCGAAGTGCTTGGTTACGGCCTTGTCGAGGCGAACGTAGTAGTCGAGGACGAAGTCGGAATCTTTGGCAAGTAGGCAGATGGTTGCGGAAGAGACCGCATTGTTGTTCAGCGTCGAGTCGTACCACTGGATTAGCATGTCGATGTCGAGTGTATCTCTGCGCTGGTTGACAATGGTTCGCTCGCGACCGCGCCAGGTGGTACGACTTTTCGAAGTCCACGGGAATTGCCCTCGAAGCCACGCCTTCACTGTTGCCTTATTCTTGAGACGCCTTCCACCGGGGACTATCCGGAGAATGGCCCCTGTAATCCAGGGAAGACTCGGGGTAATGGGTAAGAGCACCAGCCGAAGGAGGGGGCGTATCGCACGCGGCCATAGAAAGAGCAGGGGTCGTGTTTGCGGGGACATGTAGGCGCAACCACTCACACACAATGGCAACAGAGTGACGGAGATCGCTAAAAAGGCCACGACAGCGACCAAAGCCGAAGCGACGCGCGCCACGATGGGATGGAGTTCCCAAACGAGGACAAGGAGCCCTGCAAGGAAAAGCGCTAGGGAGATGAGGAGGAGTATTGGGATAAGAGCGATGATGTGACCAATGCGCCACTTGAGCAGGTTGTTCAGCCGATATTGCCGCAGTCGAGCAGCTCCGCGAGAGGTCCCCGACAACCCGTTTCCGTACTCGCCCATCCATTGCTTCGCTAGGATACCAATGACGGTGGAGGTCAGGCTGAGGATGAGACCGGAGAACCACAGGGTGTTCAGCTTCACCGCATACTCCGGCGTGGGAGAAGTCGTGCCGAGGAGAGTCGACAACACATCGGAGAGGGAGGGGTTTATCGCTGTGGCGTTGACAAATGGCGGAGAGATGGTGAAACTCTGCAGTTGCATAGATACACGTTCCAAGGCACATCAGTAAAATGCGGACCCGTCTTGAGTGTCTTTTGTAGTCTTGGGTCTCTGGAGTGATCTTGGACCTACACCATCCATCCTGGGAGTGTCTTACAGTGCCCTGCAAACCGTCTTGAGAAAATGGCTGCAGGGTTCACTCTAAGAAGACGAAAAAGATGGCTCAATGCAAAAGATCAGAGATGGGTGCACTGGCATATAGGCTCGAGTCGAGTGCAATGGGCGCTTTTCTACCCTAAGTAGATACTCAAACGGTGCATTGAATTTGAACGTGCAGAGCGATTGTATTGCGGGATATGATATTTCAGTATACAAAGAATGTTGATATGTCGCTCTTTTCTCTTGCTAATTAATGCCTCGACCGTCACAGGAGGTCTTCTCCTGCCCGCTTATATGGGCGCTTACTTATTCAAAGAGCGAGCAAGTGTTTTCATCGCCGCGTACCATCGTGAGCCTGAGGGTCTGAAGCTGGTCAAAATGCGATTTCATGAGAGTGATGATCTGCGTATTTATTTACATAGAATGTGCGGAATATATCGAGCGAGTGCTCGGGACCGATGCCCGTCGGGAGATGTCCATCACCTGCAAACCCGATCAGGTGAGCTCCTCTGATGATAGCGTCCAGGTGGATGACCGCCATGAGAGGCTGGTCGTGGATATCGAGGTCCGGTTCAACCATCCACATACCGGTGTCATGATCGGGCTCGTCACCGACAATGGAGAACCACGAGATGAGGGCACATGGGTACCGAACTTCCTGAAATGTGAATGCAAAGAACAGATGTACTCGTGCAACCAGTAGACCACGGAAGCCTGGGGCGTCGGAATCCGTGTTGGCAACAAAAACACAGTCGCGTCGGGGCGGGCCGCCTCGCCACGAGGCGACCGAGCGGATGCGTTCGTGGTGCATCCCACGCTGGCCGGAGGGATCACTTGGCGCATAGTATGTCGCAATCGCTGAAGGATATACAGATATGTTGCCGTTGAACACTGGACAGCGGAGGAGGCCGGCGTCAGCTCCCGAAACGTCGGAATTTGGTGAGAGTTGATCGTAGAGGAAGAACCGTATCAAGTCTGGCAGCATGCCAAACCCGATGGCTTCGCCAAGCTCCAACGCCTGTTTTGGAAAGCCTGGAACTAATACAGAACATGAGTACGCGAGGCGTAAAAGCACCCAGCAGAAATAAAAGACTTACTTGATCGTTTGGAGAGTACAACTTCGGCCATCACATTGATGTCCGAGTTGTCCGATGCATCAGTCCCAGCGTCCGGGGGATGGTCGTCATCGCCTTCGCGTTCATCGACTGGTGGCACAGGATCCCCAGGCTGATCGTGGTCAGGCGGTGCAATGCCTTCTTCGTCATCGACTAGAACAGGAGCGGCATTGCTGCGGCACGAAGGGGCCTGTTCGTCGAGTCCGTGCATCTCCGAGTGCGGGTTCATGAAGTGTGGCAGGCGCGGACAGGGCCCTTGGAGCATCCCACGAGCTGTGAAATCAACGCGGATTGCCGCCAGCTTGTCGAGTCGCTGGTTGATTTTGATAATTTGCCCGAGTGCTTGGTGCCGACTAGAGCGACGGTAAGGTTTCTTGACGGCTGTGATATGCTTGGCCTCCATCATCGACGAGCACACACCATTTGGAGAGCCGAAGAGCTGAATGAGACGTCGGTAGTGTTTGAGAGCATGTTGTCGAGGAAGCGAGATACCATCTGGACGGACCCCAACCGTCTCAAAGATGACGCGCTCGCGGTGGAAGCATGCCAGAGCTTCGTCGATGGCGGCGAGCGTGTCCTCATTGATTGTGTCGCGTCGCACCAGATAGCAAAACTCCAAGAACGCGCTCAGAGCGCGTACCATCTGCGCCGGGACATGACCGGCTATGGCAGGGAGGAAAACCTGCGGCAAAGAGATCAAAGGTGCGTAAGCTGAAGCCGTCCGGGTTCTCAGAGAGTATGAGTAAGTACTCGGGCATGCGTACCTTCATGAGGGCTTTCGAGTCATCGCCTGTCCACTGTTTGAATCCACGGCCCTCCGGAAACCTTCGCAACCCAGGAAAGCTCGGAACCGCTGCGATTCTGAGGGGATCTTGTCAATTATATGATCATTGACATCATAACCGAAGTACTTGCCGTCGATCAATGTCCGCCATGATTGTAGCCGCACCCGTCTTCCCGTGGACTTGGATTAAGTACTCCTCAACCCAGGTGACCAGATGATCCTTGAACGTCCCCTTAATTACCTGATGCAGGAGATCAGGCGACAGCAACTCATGGATGTCCGCGCGAGGGAAGTCCGCGGTAAAGGGCTGCCCGTTCAAACGTTCACCATCAATCATTTAGCACAGACAAAGATCAAGAGAAGGCGCAAAGTACACACCATTAGATCTGGGACTATTCCGTAGTCGTCCCATAACATTTTTGGATGTAACCCTTCCAGGAGGGCTTCAGTATGTGAATGCGACCGGCGTGGAGCTTGCTCGGTATCCAGATCTGTCGGCGGTGCAATACATCTGCAGAAGTTAAAGTTAGAATGTTTAAAGCTCCTGGTATGACCGGTCTAGTGCAGCGTACCGAGGACACCATCCTTGTACCACACAGGACAACAGTACTTGTTCCGGATAATCCGCAATGTAGGGTCCAAGTGAAAACACAATACGCCGGTAGTGTCCGTCTGCACATCTCACAACCTCGTAGTCCGTCATAGCATCGCGAAGAGACTGAAGGATGAAGCGGAGGGACGTGTGGAAGAGCTCCTTGCGGAACTTGCGGAATGTGACACTGTTCTGGTACTGTCGATCAGCTGTCAGGACGTTGATCGTTAGTATAGACCCATTGTCGGCACTACTCATAAAACGCACTCTTCGGGATAGCAAGGAAACCAATCAGAGTGATCCCGTTGCGGTGAGCGCGACGCATACTATTTGTGATCCCGCCGTTCGACGCATATAATGGGTAATACTCATTCTGTCCCGTCGCAACAGAAACCGTTGTCTTGTCACTTCCGAGGATCGTCGCACATAGCGCAGCCCCGTGCATGCCCGGGTCTTGAGCAAGAATGTCCTACAACAAGATACTTAGCAAGCGGCTCGCACCAAACATTGCGAAGCGGTCACATACCGCCTGATTCCAAGCCCAGTCGCCTGACATAAAATCCTTGTACTGGCGCTGTCCGTTGGCAAGAAAAACGCGCTTCGGGGTGTGATCGTATGCCCCGGAGAAGTCAGGATTTCCGATCTGATTGCGGAGAACTTGCCGGGGATCACGGAACCAGACGTCGTATTCGCGCACCATCCACGACGGCATAGCGCCATTTGGAATGTCACCATTGTAAGTGACAGAGAAGCTCTGCCACGGAACTTCTCCCTGAGAGGACGCGTCAATCGTGTCGTAGAGGTGGCGGTGGTTCGCAAAAGGGGGATCGAGATCTTCCGGCAGCGTACATGCCCATAGCTGCATGAGCTCGTCGATCTTGCCACCGGACATCTCTGCGCGCCGATAGAGGAAATCGGCGATCTCGAAGTCGATGCGACTGTTGAATGGGCTGAAGTCGTGGGGATTCCTCTCGGGAGGCGGGGATGCAGCAGTCCCGTCAGGAAGGAAGTTGCCATCCTTGTCACATATGCAACCTATGATCAGGTGAGCGTGAAGTAATAGCGGCTCGGACGGCGGTGACTGAACGCACCATTGAGGTATGGATGGTATTCTACCCGCTCCTTGCCAGTCTGAGTGCAGCCGCTTGGTGCAGCGTCCCCTTGAGGTGGTCGGGCAATCTCCGCATCCTCGTCCGGTGAAAACATACCGGCGAATGCTGGCGGAAGACCATCTACTGCACTGTCCAAATCGTTCCGTGCTGGCGCCGCAATCGCATCATCACCGCGCGGCAGCGTAGATGGTGGTCGACGATGAGCGGAGTTGACATGTCTAGTGAGCCCTGAGCGGTCAGAGAAGAGCTGTTTGCAACCGGTGGCGGACGCGTGCGGGCAAACAAGTGTACGAGGGCGGAAGCGGTAGATCTTGCTCTTAGGCATGGCTCGAAAGTGTCCGGGGCTGAGGTGGTGCAGCAGGTAAGTCTTTGAGAGCAGAGCGGTAGACTGATGGGAGACTTACGAAGAGCCAATCTGCGATGCCTGTTGCGGCGGACTCGCGGAGTCATCGGCGGAACTCTAAACCTGCACTTGAAGTTGAAGGCTAAGCCTCGCCATGCGGTGCCAGCAAATCGAAACCATCACCTCTCACTTCTGTCTGTCAACAGACGTCTGCCACTGTTGTCTTCCCTGCGCTCGACACCTCACGATGCCAAGGACGCCGCTTGAGCTTCCACCTGCGCTGCGGACACGGTCTTCGAACCGCGGTCGAGTTGTAGGTGCGCCCGACATGCCACGTCCTAAAAGAAGCCACGAAGCGGTCGCCGAGGAGAAGGCAGAGAAGGAGAAAGAGATCCTGGAGGCGCAAGCAAAGCAGGCAGAGGCGGTTGCACGTGCTGCTGCAATAGAGGAAGCCTCCGGAGAGGCCGTTGAGATCTGTAAGGCTCCTCAGCACGATGACTCCCCTGCTCAGCAATCTGGAAGAACAAGCACCAAACTCACCGTGAAGCTTCCTCCCTTCAAGGGCAGGCCTAAACCTGTGGCCGCAGAGCCAGGTAAGATTCATTGAATGACGATCTCTGTCCACTACCATGCTCAGGTTAGATCATTGTGGATGTAGAGACGATTGAGAGCGCACCTGAGTACTCGGAAGGATATGAGGAGGCCGAAGTCGATGAACTTGAGGACGAGGATCAACCGGTCATCGACCTGAGCGAAGACGAGTATCAAGACAGCGAGTCAGCTGAAGCTCTAGGGGCGTCAGACAGTGAAGTCGAGAGCACACCTCAACTTACCCTGGCTGCAAGCATCAAGAACCTAGCGAGGGTCGGCCGTGCAGAAGTAAACGCAGCAAAGGAAGCAACGCATGCGCTGGCGCAGTCGCAGTCAACGGTCGGGGTGGGAAAAAGGAAGCAGACAGTAGGCGCGGCTGCACCGTGAGTAGTTCTCAGCTCAACCAATATCACTTCCTTCCTGAGGCCTGATCGCCTTGTTCTGTATCATACTATGCTCTCTTATATCTTTCCAGAGTACAATCTGCCCCCAAGAAAGCAAAGACTGTTCAGGCTCAAACGGCACTGGTACCGAACTGGGAGAGCGTCGTGAAGTCGGGGAACCGTGGCCGCCAACATTCACCTTCCCATGTCAACATACCCACTACGGGAGATTCGAGGCGCTCATCCTCTGTCTCTAGCACCGCATCAGCTGCGCCTTCAAGCAGCGACGTCGACACTATCGCTAGCGAGAAAGAAGATGAGTGCTTCCTTCCGGGCTCAGGAATCGACATCAACAACGCACCCGATCACGACCAGCAACACGATGACGATGATGACATCCGTCCCTCCACCCAATTGCACTACCGTGAGCGTACGAACACATCAGTACTCGAATTGCATTCGGGAAAGGCCGGCGAGCAGAGACGAGCCGTCTTAGGTCAGGCTGTCGAGACTCAAGCCAAGGTATGTTGCATGTCGCACTGTGCAGCGCTATCGCATCATTCTTGCCGCTTGCGGTGGCTCGCCGGGGCGACGTACAGCCTGGCTAGCACATTGTACTCATTGTCATTCTTTTGGCAGGGCTCCATCCTCACGAGGGTGATTCCACGCACCACTATCACGCCAGGCACAAAGACCGCAGGCAAAGCTACCGCTCAAACTTCGACGCGCCCTATTGAAGATGTCGCAGACGGAGGACTTGCGCCGCAGAAGTCCAAACGCGCTGTCCGCGGCAGTGGCAAGCGCCCTAAATCCAAGATCTCGGATCTCCCGCGCGTCATGCACGAGCCATTCAATTCTCGGTTCGTCCCTCTGGTTCGTCAATTTCTGGGCACAGTGTCCCCATGGCAGGAGATCACGCTCTCGGAGCTCCGTCTGCTGCATCGCAAGGCGTTCGGTGAGCAGCTTAGCACCCAGAACCCGCTCGAAGAAGGCGATGATTGCTTTCGTCTGGTACGTCAGTACTTCTTCTTCAGGACATGCTCTGATCCCATTTCCGACCTTATAGATACACTATCGTATCGATGACTGGCATAGCAAGTTTGGTGCGACCGCTCTGGAGACGTTCGAGGAGATCGTCCGCGATCCGGACAATGCGGCCGTTCTTACGGGTCCGGAGCAGATAGGCGCGTATGCCGAGTTCCTTCTGGGAGACCGACAGAAGAAGGCACCATTCTACTGGCATGTATGGGAGCAGAAGGATACCGGCAAGCCCGAGGTTCGTATATTGTTCCTTCTATTCTACTACGATGCTGACAAGGCGCTTGCGGCAAAACAGGGACGTTTGCAGAGCGACTTAATCATTGGGACGTTTGCGTACCATATCTCCGAGCTCCAGATGGTCGATCCGGGAGAGCGTACGCAGGAGTTTTCCGAGGGCGCACTCACGATGTCCGTACTTGCGGTAAGTCTTTTTATTTCAACGTCCCCGAGTGATCTCGACGCTCACTTGATTTTGACACTGACAGGTGACCCACGTACTCAGTCATTATACAACCGGCGAGTTCGCGCCACCCAAGGGCCGGCTCGGCTGGTTTTCGGAGGACAACTACGGCGACAGGATCATTTTCCAGGAGGGCCGGAACGTCTGGGATCGGAGGATGACGCGCATTCTCAGCGTTGTCAAGAACCTCAAGGACAGTGAGTGGACAAGTATCTACGAAAGCGCCTATGCAGTCCTACGAGAGCGCGTCGAGTTGGAGAAGAAGCGTCGGGGTAAGAAGCGTGCAGTGGGCGCTGCTGAGGGGCCTGGCACGAGTGCGGTCGAGGAGGAGGACAGTTTGATGCTCATCGACGACTAGCTAGTAGCAGTAGCAGTAGCAACGGTACAACACCGACCTACAATCACATCATTCCTTCGTCCTACTCCGCTGTCTTCTGCATGAACTTCTAAGATATACTGGACTGCTGCATTGTGTCTTTCGCGCCCATCTTCCCGGCACATCTTATGATCTTGGCACAAGATCCCACATCTTCCATGGGAACACCATCCTGTTCAGGATGAGGGACATAACCTACATAGGAACCCTGCTTCTTATGTCTTATTGATCTTACTGTCCCTGCACAGGACCACAAAGACGGGTGCGCATTTTACTGATGCAATGACGGTGTTATCGGGAGGAGACGACTGGAGAAGCTTATAGGACTCCACGTTGAAGGTGGTGAGGATAGCAGAGAACAATGCGGCCTGTGCATGTCGGTGGTATCAGGATAATGCCAGTAGTAGCAATATATACACAAAGATACACGTACGAAGACGAGATATACGTCAATCTCCTTATTCCACCGATGGATCATGTTGTCGCTATACGTCTTGAGATCCGTTGCCGCTTTGGACCAAGCCTCGGCCTCTTCCTCCTCAGTACGCATAGCCTTGCGCTGCGCCAACAGCCCCTGAAATATTCCATGTGAGTTTTGTATGTCTCTTTCTGTGTGAAAAATGACGAACTTCGAGCTCGCGCACAGCCTTTGTCTCCTGCAACCACTCCAGATCGACCCCCTCGGTAGACTCTGGTTGCGGGCTAACCTTGGGCCTTTCTATCGCCTGCCAAGGCAGGTTGCACACATTGTCTGACATGGCTAGAATGCCGTTATAATGCGAAGAGTCCGAATAAGCAGAAGCACAATGGAAAAGGCCTGCGGCGACACGCAGAAGAGATTGGGAGACCGTATGATTTGACCCCAACTTTAAGTAGAGAGTCCTCGAGCTTCAAGTTAGTTCGAGGAGAGCGTCTGCATGACCAGGAAAGCAATTTATTGTCGATGTAAGGCTAGACACTAGTGCTGACGTGGTTTCCAATCCTTTACACGTCCCGCGGAGAGCCACGCATGCGTGTAGCACCGCGTCGTTCGCATCGGTGATGAGCCTTGCCATATAGCGAGTTTCGTGCCATGCATTCCCCACTTCGACGTAATCGCCGCTAGCTGTGGCTTGATAGGCGCATTTGTGTCCCGTAAACGCGGCCGCGGCCACCGTTCACATTTTCGAAGGTGTCCGACAAGCCGTCATGTTGGACGTGTACGAAAACAGGGGAGAAGAGCAGAAGATGGCAATGCGGCCGCGGCGAAGCATAGCGGTAAGCCAATACTCAAACGCGTAGTTTGTATAGTGCGATGCGCGCGTGCATTTGCTCGATACACGGCAGCGTCGGCTCAAGATTTCCAGAGTACACCCCGCCGAAAGAAACGGGCGACTACGGGAGGCAACGATCTCCTCTTAGGGTGCAATCCGAGAGTGTCTGTGGGCTCGCCGATTGCCCCTAAGGTGCAGATAACCGCTACCCAGAAGCGAATCGATTCTCGCAGCTGAATGCACCCTTGTGTACACAGATGGGAAAGTCATAGCGAAGTACACTCACCGGTTCAAATCTATAGTAATGCCCAGCGGTATTGCTGGCGCGTTTGGGATCACCGAGAATGCGCGAAGGTTACATGAACGCATTTGAACCGACGGTTTTGGGATAAGTGCATCCCATGCTCCGAAGTTGTTCGTCAGAGCAGGGCTGTCACCCCACATTCGCGTCGATCAGACCGTCCATGGCACTAGCGCTGACGAGCAAGGACGTGCGCCGCTGTAAGTGCCATTCGAGTAGAGAAGAGGGTACCTATACCGAGACAATCAGCCACAGTTAGGTTCAAATGATTGTCCCGCAGTACCCGTGCCTTGCTATGTAGCGGCAATTTGCACCGTATGGCTACGGTCCGTTTATTACTGCATATGAATTTTCCCGTGTCTGGCACCCGCCGCCGTACATTCGAATTTGAGCGGTGGAAGCGAACGCTTGGGTGGAAGCGAAAGGCGGCGCGCAAGGTTCTGTCGGCGTCGATGGTGTCCGTCAAAATGACACTTCGCGCACCGCCGCGACGCTGGTCGTGCGGATCGGATATGAGAGTTGAGTATCGACGGGCGTGATTTGGGGGAGCGTGGTCCGCGCGGGTGGCTTCCGGCCAGTGCCTCGTTGCAAGCATTTGATTGAGTGGAATTCTCTGCGAGGAAAGATCTTGTCGGTTGGGTCAGCCAGAGCCAATGGGTCTCTATCTGATGATGGCTCGAGGCGCAGAGCTGACGCGGACGCCTGGAAGCGTAAATATGGACTTCTCCGCCGAGGTCGTCGCATTGATCAGCATGCGGCGCTGTTGCCTTTTTCACTGACGCGCACCTTGGGATGGAATTCGGCGCCTCCCATAGATGATACCGACTGCATCGCACTGAAGTACCTACGTTATACCGGCCGTGAGTATATGCGCAACAGCATTCGTACAAGAACGTAACTTGTTTTGTATGAAACGATTGTCCGAAAGGATACTAGTGCGGGAACCTGCGACATGCGTTGTCAGAAACAGAAGCAGTGACGCTTGGAAGTAGGAAGCGGTCAGTCCACCTTTGTCATAATAGGGACCTGGCGAGCAAAGGTAATCCGGCAGCCGGGTGGGTGAGGAGCGCCCTCTTCTGGCATTCATTAAAAATCACTAACACGAGGTCAGATGGTTCGAAATCATCACGGACTGAACATAGTCCATTAGAGGGATCGGACCGCTGGTTTTGTATCGCAAGGCTGGCTGATTCGCAACTCGAAGTTCCCTAAGAGACCTGTGACGCTCGGCGCGCATGTACCTACTCTGCAACAATATCAGCATCACACACCTCATCATCCAATCAAGTCAAAGCAAGTAAAAAGCACGTACGACAAGCCCTGACAAGTTAAGGACCGCGGCTGGTGCGCGACGGATTGAGGATGCTCGGAGGCGGCTAACGTACAGCGCGCGGACCAAGTTTTTTTATCGCCAGTCTTGGAGTCAGAGCACTCTTCTCAGCAGGAGCAAACATCATGCAGCGGTTATCTCGAATCTCTGAGGGAGTGAGATATTCTGTCCTGGTCACGTCTGGTTTGTCTTCGTCCGAGTCGTCCCCGAGAGACTCAGAGAGATGGTGGGCCGCAACAGCACGTCGGAGATTTGAGCGCCTGATTGCCAGCATGCGTTTAGTTGATGTCGACGCGCGCCAATATTCCGCTCGGCACTGTGAAACACTGTGGCGACCTCTGTCTCTGACTTCCACTTCGCCCATGCAGGAGGGTCGACGGCGCGGTTACATGCACCCTAAGTACCTATTCCACATTGGTATGCCCACGTGCGAAAGTTGGCCCGTGGTCTGCGCGTCGCGACTGCTCCACTGGCAGCGCCCGCGGTCGACAGAAAATTCGAGCTGGCTGTCGCTCAGCAGAGTCGAGATTGCATTCTGAGTTACTTCGTATTTTCGTCCACCGACGCTGACGGCTTGACACGCCGTAGCCCTGCCTTTAGGAGTCATGGACGTCGACACGATGACTTGCTCAGCCGCCAAAGAATGACAAAAATATCGTGAAGTGCATCTTTCACCACCAGCTGTTATCTGGTGAACATACGGAGCCTCGATGAAAACTTGCGGAACTACAACGTGCGCACTTGGCCAACTCGGACTGGAAGTGGTGCCTCGCGATAGCGACGAGGTCCATTGAAGTCAGGACCGTAGTGGACGCCTACCACTGCGAAGCCTCTCATTGGCGGAAGTAACCGTCCAATAGGGAACAAGATTGGATCGACCTCTGAAATAACGAAACGGGGTCGATCGATCGCAGCCGCGGAAGAACTGCATTCGGTCGAGAGGCAGTCATGCGAGTTATTTGAAGCTGCTGAAAAAAGGGAGAGAGGTGAGTGAAACATCCTCCGCATACGAAGGGGGTATCATCTGCAACCAGCGGCCACGTGCAATTTGGCGAGTTCTCACTTTGCCTAGTACTTCAAGGTTTCGTTTACTCATACGAGGCTCGACTCGGAACTAGGCTTGCTCAACGGAGGGCCGCCGGAATACGCTTCAAGCTTGATCGACGACTATGCCTCTGAGGGGCTTCGCAGGTAAAGAGCACCGGTGGTGCTCCGCTCCGCAGCGTCTATGGCCGGGGCCGTTTTTCGTCGGGAACCCAGGCCGCGGCGGTGGCGGCAAAATTGTCCCCGCCGACGCATTACCAAAAGAGGCGCGTCGGGCCAAGTTTATGGGCGCCCGACGCTCGGAATTTTGTGGTGAGCTCTTTTCCCGGAGGAGCGGAAGCTTTTGCCGTGTTGATGCGCCCCACATGCAGGCGGGGCTCCGGGAGCTGGGAGAATCCTGGAGAGCGATGCACGACAGTGACGGTGCGCAAACCTCCGACGGCGCAGCACCCTCAAACCTTGTGTCGCAAAACTTCGCATTTCTGTCGGTTTGTCATGGTGCACGCCACGATGTTGAAGCGAGAGTCCTGGGGATATAAGAGCTAAGTGCGAAGGCCGAAAAACCTCAGCGTTTGCTTGTCGTCGCGTCGCTTCTCCCTCATCCTCCCCTTCCCTCATCCTCTCTCTCGGCTTGTCAGCCTCCCTACCCGCCGCTCCTCATAAAAGCCTCCGCCACCCTCCACACACTCTCCGTCTGCAGGCACAGTCCCTCACGCTCTCCTTCGTTGCACAGCTTTGCATATTCTACCGCTATTCTATCTCGCTAATATGAAGGCCGCCGCCACTTTTGCGCTTTCCGTCCTCGCTCTTCTCCCCTTCGTCTCGGCCCACGGCTATGTCAGCCAGGTCACGATCGACGGCACGTCCTACAAGGGCAATACCCCCGGCAGCAGCAGTGGTGAGTACTTTCGGGGTCAATACGGGCCGTCGCTCACCACATACTCATGATGTTATTCCGTCATTTAGTCAAGTCGGCGATCCGCATGATTGACGACGTCAGCCCCGTCAAGGGCGCGACGAACAAGTACCTCTCGTGCGGCCAGAACGCGCAGAAGGCATCGACGGTCGCCACCGCCAGCCCCGGGAGCAAGGTCAGCTTCAAGTGGTCGGCAATAACCGGTGGTAATGTAAGTCTATCGTCCCAGCCTCCCAGCCTCACAACCGGTGGCTGACCGCACGCTTTCCCTGCAGTGGTTCCACAACGTCGGCCCGCTCATGACGTACATGGCGTCCTGCGGCACCGCCAGCTGCACGAGCTTCAACTCGTCCGGCGCGCGCTGGTTCAAGATCGCGCAGGCGGGCCTGCAGAGCGACGGCACGTGGGCGCAGGCCGCGCTCCTGACTGGGGCCGCGGCGACCGTGACGCTCCCGTCGAACATCGCCCCCGGCGAGTACCTCATCCGCCACGAGATCATCGCGCTGCACACGGCGATGACTTCTGGGGGTGCCGAGTTCTACCCGTCGTGCACCCAGCTGAAGATCGGGGGCAGCAAGACCGGCACGCCGAACGCGACCGTGTCGTTCCCTGGCGCGTACAAGGACTCGGACGCGGGTATTCTTGTCGACGTGTACGACCTTGTCGGCTCGTACGTCTTCCCCGGCCCGGCCATCTCCAACCTCTCGGGCAAGACCTCCGTCGCCACTAGCAACACCACCACCACCGCGTCCGACTCCGAGACGAGCACTTCGTCGGCGACCTCGTCTACGACTACCACGGTCTCGCGCCGCGTCAGCCGCGTCATGCGCGCCGTCCTCTAGGCGTCTCTCCCCCTTCCTCTCGTTCCTCCTCTCTTCGCTTTCGACCATCTTTGCTGCACATCCCTTCCTTCGCTCTCACCACTCATCACCACGCACCTCCCGGAGACGGTGTATAGACATAGATGCATTGACTCACCCCCGGATCGTACCCCTAATAGCGTCGCCCTCTACCTTTCCTTCCCCGCGTCTTGTACCCTATCGCCGCCCGGCCGCGGCGCCGGCTCGATGCCCCTTCTCTCGTTATCGAAGAGCAGACGCTCCCTCCATCGTTGTATCCACTAGCTGTTTTTTGATTCCATATGTATCTAGAGTGTCAAAAGTACGCCCGGCCAGGGGTCGTTGTACGGATGTGTTCAATACACTTGTTCGCGCTTGCCACGGTCTGACCCATGTTCGTGTGTTGGTAGTCCGATGATATATCCTATCCCGTGTCTTATTGAGCTGTTGGTTGCCATATCTTGTTCGCGTAGCGTTAATGCAGTCGACGCCCCCGGCCGTCTATCGGGGGCGCAAGGGACGGTATGCCGCTTATTGGCTCAGAACCAGATGTTCTTCACGGACTTCCCAGAGGCTATGCCTAAAATAGAATTACAGCGCGAACAATCAGTCGTCAGTCTAGGAAGTCGACCTGCAAGAGGCGAGCGTGCCGACCTTTTACAGAGGTGAAGTGCCATAAACACCGGCCCACGAGTCGTGCGGTCCGCCGGATTGTGCGTTCTCCGGTAGGCGTCGATATACATGCGGTCCTGCCCGGGACCGATCAAGTCGCAGCAAACCTTGCATGCCAATATCTCCCTGCCGGGCTTGGCGTGTAGTATTTCTTCTATGGTGCGCACCATCGACGAGAGATCCAGCCTGTACTCGCCGGGAGTGGATTGGTCCTCACGGTAGCGGAACAAACCAGCCTCCGATGGGGTGTGGTCGTCTGACCACTTGGGGGTCCATGGAGGGTGCGCGGCAGCGGCACTAGAGTATACATTATCGCCCTCTATCGTGGGTGCGCGCGGAGAGCAGAGAAGAACGCACCCTGGTCGTCCCCAGATCTTCACCCACTGCGAGTGTTCATATTCGCAATGGGCCAGCTTTCGTGGTTGAAGGTAGACGGTTAAAACCTAGATAGTTATAGAAGCGGCGAACACGTACCAATTCTGCCCACCCCCACGCTCCGCGATAGGGCGTGACCATAGTAAGCTTGCATGAACAGTGTATTCTTTCGCTGCGCACGAGTCTGTCCATCTCTGCTAGAGAAATATCGTCCGGGAGGCCCAAACACCTGATGAACTGCAGGCTAGGCGCGTACGGCACCATCGCGCGCAACACCCCTGGAGTTTGCATAAGCTGCTGGCGGCCGAGCGCATCTACGACCCCATAGCTGTCCCAGAGGGATAAGGGATGGTTGGTGCGCCAGTACTCGTGGATCTCGGGGAACGGCAGCACGATTGGGTCCTTCTCCGGCGGCGCCCAGCCTGGTACGCACGCGAACATGGACGCTGCATACCCCAGGAGTCTCGCCGATCTCTTCGCCTCGGTGTCCAATTCTTGAGGGATCACGATGGAGCGAGGGGTTAGCACGTGCTGGACAAACAACTGCACGAGCGGGGCCAGGAATACGCCAGGGAGCTTTTCCATGTAATCGCGGATCGTATTGTTCAGGGCGGGCACGACCGTCAGGAACTCCTCTCTTGCCAACAGGCCGTCGTCGTGTTGGATTCGGAGCTGGATCAAACATGGAGACGATCCCATATGGGCATGGTTCGGCAGTTGCTTGCGCTGCTGCTCGCTCAGTGGCATCTCGGCGACCAGCTCCTCGAAGTAAAGGATGGCGTGTTCCATGAAGTCACGCGCCTTGTCGTGAAACCTCGCGGATCGGTGGTGATTCAGGGCTTCCCCAATGTGCGGAAATGCGTCCGTCCACACCTCTGTCCAGATACCGGTCAGCTCTGTGAGAATGAAATCGCGTAGAATAGGGCTTTACCTTCGCTCGTTAGTGGTCGGTCGAAAAATTTGTCGTGTTTGCAAGGGCGCCTTTGCAGGTCTTCTAGAAGTTCAAAGCCGTGGGCTTCAACGAGATCCCCTCTCTCCAGGATACTGTGCAAATCGAGAGGCTTCTGTGTCAACGAGGCAAGGAAAAGGACAGTGCTACTCACGCCCGTCGCAAAGTGTAACTATCTGGACCCTTTTCAACTTCTAGACACTTGACGAGGCTATCAGAAAACTGTATAGAGTATATGAATGCATAGTTTGACTGAGTTGCATCTCGTAGCTCACCTCGTTCACAAGAGTAACATGCGCGGCGCGCGTATCAGCCATTATGTTCCAGGCCGTCTCTAGATGGGGATCGTGAAATACTTCCTGTGACTCCATCCGGCGCAAGTATTCCCGCAGGAATACATCCACTTCAGGCCTGTAATAGTAGTTCGTCGGGACCACATCCTCGTGCTCTTCGAAGAAACAGGCTGCTCAATTCACTAGTGAGTAGTGTTCAAATGGATGATGATATAATCGCGTTACTGAGTGGGTGATGCGGGAGAAACCTTCGCATGTCGTATAGGGGGATCCGTTTAGGCAACCGAGAACCCTCGGGCCTGTCTGGTAAAGCGGCGCTGTACCGATTCAGTAGCTTTTCCTCGGGGATGAGGCTGTGGGATTCGATAGCATCAAATAAGGCATCGTAGGTCACGAACACGATTTGACGCTTACTTGTACTGAAGGCAGACGTCGCAGAGGAGCCAGCCAATCTTAGCAGTCATTGCGACTACGCTCGGTTCTATATCTTCTGATAAGGTAGGACAGATGTCTCCACAGGCCTGTATAGAAATAGTAGCAGTGTCATCACACGTACTGATGTAAGCTCGCTAGTTAGCCTCGGACTCACATTGCACTCATTGCCACACAGCAAGGTATCGTAGTGTGGCTCGATGAGATGTGTAGGGCATGGCGGGAAGGTCGGGTGCTTCCTGAACATAGCCTTCCATACGTGACGGTTCGCCTTCTTCATGAGAGCCGTTCGCATAGGCTTGCACAGCCGGGCGAGCTGATACATAGCATGGGGATCCAAATGTCGCGTTATCTGTGGCCGTCCGAGCCGAGTCAGTTGAAGCATGCTAGACGCGGCGAAACCGTTCGGAGACCATACCAGGAGTAACGCGGACACCTGTGTTCCGGTCATGAGCCTTCCCGGGCCAGCGGGAAATGCGTCTACATCGACTCCGGCGTTGGACACAGCGGGGAGCTCCTCGTATCCACTTTGAGGTGGGAGTCTCGATGCAGATATGTTCCAGATACGTAGCTGCACTTGATATAGGCAGAGAAGTAAGCAATCCAGCCGGCGCACTGAGAATGGTGTCGCCTACTTTTGAACTTCGCAATCTCGAGCGCGGTGTTATCTGCCGGCATAGCGATCGTAGATGGTGGCGCCATTGGTGAGTTGCTGGACGCAGAGATGCGCACGTTGCTGGTCTGTGGGATAGGTCGAGTGTATCGCTGAACGCGGTGTTGTCGCACGAGAGATATCGCTGGGCAGCTTCCGGGATCGTCGGCTTTATAACTGCTCGACTCCAATTGTGCACCGTCTTCGGGTGCCTATCATCCCAGTCACACGGCGTGTGCGAACTCCCCGATGCCCTTTCCGGATACGCCTCCTGTCCTTACAACCACCAATCTTATGATCTTGTCGAGCACGTCATGCTCCTGCGAGCTCGTCTCTATGCAGGGTTTCCTCACGCCACGCGAATGTATTCCAGCGAGACCGAGGATCTGGGTAGGAAGTTGACAATTGCACTATGCCTCGATCGATGAGAGCTGACGGCGCACCTTTCCTGATAAATGTCCTGCTTTTATCGCACTCAAAGTAGCTCCTCAGCTGACCGAGTTCAAGCCGCACGTTTTCTCGGAACAAACAATACCTCGCCATCACGATGGTGACATGAGGACCTCGGAATCTATAGACGCTGCAGCGTGTCATGACATAGCGACCGCGATATGCCGGAAAGCCTTCCAAGCTTCTTGAATGATACGAATACGAGAAACAGCCCCAGCTCTGCTAGGGAGAGTCGACGCGTCCCATCGTGATCACTTGTCGTTCGCCATGCTTGATGGCTGAGGCTGGTGCTTCTAGCGGTTGAAGTACGCCTCTGTTTGTACACCGAAGCTACATATAAAACAGCACGTTTATCAGCATGCCGTCAATAAAGATATAATAACAAGCGCATATACCCACTCGTCTGTGAGATAGTCTTCGATTTTTCAACAGGTTCGTCACCTCCGGGGACGGATTTAGATGAGTGCGCGGCGAAGGTGCGTGTCTATTTTAGCGCCCACGCTTGACCAAATAAGTACAACGCGAGAAGTGGCGCTCTCTACACGAGGGGCGCCACTGCACACTCCTCGTCAGGACCCCCGCCTATGCCGCCAAAGGTCCGATCGCAAAACACCCAAATTTGGGGGTTTCAGTCGACATGGATTTCGGGCAAAATACTCGACATACTGAGTAGGACATACCTTTCCGAGGTAGGTTTTGGTCGACATAGCGATCGGACCTTCGAACGGGCGAGGGTCCAAAATTCGATCATTATTGAGGTCAAGCTCCTCATATGAGCATACACGTACCTAACCGTACCCATATTCGTGGATTAACGTGGTTATGGCGTCCCAACGGTCGACATTGGCTATCAGATAGCGGGTGTCTCGTTGGCTGGGTAGCTTTTCTGTCGACATGGACGATCGGACCTTCGCCCCCATAGGCCCATTTAGTCGACAGAGATTATCGGACATTGAACCATATAGGGCTCGTTTGTACGACATGTTGACTCGGACATAAGGCCCCTTTTGAGGGCACTTTAGTCGACACTACGATCGGACATACTGGGGCATAGGCGGGGGTCCTTCCTCGTCCCACTCAACACGACTCAAATGCTAAAGAATGAGATTGAGCTGAACAGAAGAGTGCGGACGCATGAAAACACAGTATGTTTGTCGTAGATGCCAAATCTACACTAGGACTACCGAGCAACGCTTCAACGTCTACTGTTGAAGCCCACCGTGACCTTTGCGATCGGCTGGCACTGCGACGTAACTTTCACAGCGAGTCGTACGACTTGTCCGCGCAAGGTTTGCCCTCTGTTCATGCTAAAGATTAAGAGACTGATTAGGAATTGCAGGATGGGTATTGAGCGAGTGAGTACCGTACGTGATTCAGACAGGCTGTTGTCGCTGCTAGTGTAGGCGTTGCATCCTACAAATCCAGACATACACCGCATGGTCGTGTCCTCTTTTCCGAGCGCATCTCACGAATATGCTTGGTGTCGTATCCCTCGAGATATCGCTGACTGCACAGCTTTGTCCATAAAACGAAACGACGTGTCACGGCGCTGTCATGGCGAGGACACCGCTAGCGAAACAGTACGCTCTCCTACCGCGTATACTCAGTTTGTCGGAGCCTAACAAATTTCCTACGTTGTTCACCAGTGTTTATTACCCAGTGAACCTGTGGCCGATGTGCGTATCCACAGAGTCCGTCAATCTCGTCCAGTGTGGACACTTACAATAGTGTCCAGTACGCGCCCTTGTAAGTTGTCGGATTTTATGCCAGTCCTGCTCTCACTCACTGCACCGGGTCTGACCCGTGCGTATAGCATGTAATCAAAATTCCACCTTTAGGCACAGCACACGTATTGCTTTATCGATTTTTATCAAACACGGATGTCGTGTAATCAGCGCAGAGCGAGTACCGGCGGACAACGGCCTCAAATTTACAGGAACGTTTTCGCAAATCTCTTCAACCAAATGATTCGAGAGACATCATGCCATACAAGAGGGTCAACCGAAGCCTGGACCACCGGTATACCGACCCGCACTACTACATCTGGCAAGTCCGACGTTCAGTCCCGAGTCTCGAGCCCGACTCCCGACTCCCGACGCGGACTTCCACATTAGGCAATCCCGACGCTCAGTCCGAGTCGCACATCCGACACTCCATATAAACCCGCCCACATCCCCATCCAGCTCCTCACCAATCTTCCCTCCGCACCCCCATCATCTCCACACTTTCACACCCTTCCCACACCCCTTCCACAATGTCTTCCACCCTCTTCGCCCCTTCCACCCGTGTCCCCTCCGCCGAGCGCTGGTCGTTCCTTTCCCCGCCCCCCATGGCTCTGTCAGACTTCAACGAGGCCCGCCCCCCGATGCCGACGGACGCCACCCCCGAGTACGCCACGACCAACACCCAATGCCGTCTCGTCCGTGGCCAACGCCAAGTCAAGCCCCGCAACCGCGACCGCCGCCCCGAATACCGACCCCTCATTGACGGTGGCGCCCACTTCCAGTTCAAGCTCCTGCCTCTCCGGGATGCGCAGAGGCGTCATTCCATTGTTTACCGTACGCTCTGAGCTACGCGCCTGCGGCGTTGATTTCCGTTTCTCCTCTTCGTCCCCCGTTTTCTTGAGCGCGTTTATGTGTTTCCCTGCTAGACCTGGACCTGGACCTCAACACCGCGCGCGCTGAAGACCTCGACTACGAAGACAAAGGACCGGCCGGATCAGAATCTAGGTGAGGCTGACGGCCGCGGCTGGACGCTCGTGCGAGGTGGGGAGTCATGACCCCTGCCGGACCTTGGGTCTGCCAACGCTCGACGCCATTTTCAGCTCATATTTTTGTGCCTTGTTCGCCGCTGCTCTACATTCTACACACAGGTACCCACCCCGAGGACGACAGCAAGCTCAAGATCGACACGGCCCCCCGGACCTGGACATGGCGCCGGCGAGTTTAAAGCTGACTGAGGGCTTGGATGACCCTGTGATGTCAGCCTCCCCGACATTGCCACGGTAGTATCTCGCTTCCCTTACGTCCAGCATTTGCGCACTGATACTTTTTTCCCTCCCCCTTTGGCTTAGGTCTCCGGTGGCGATGACTGGGGCTGGCCACCCCGGTTGTCGTCTTCCGTCGGAGCGGGGGTGGGGGCCTTCGGGCGCCAGCCCCCGCACGTATCCGTAAAGTGAGCAATATCTATCTCCCAGCGCAGCGACTCTTTGCTAATGCTTTCTATATACCCCTCCATAGATCCTTGTATTCTTCGTCGCGATCTTAGACTCGGGCCCAATTTCCTCCCGGTTTCCTTCCCTCTTGCCCTCGTTTCTCGGATCAGGACTGGTTCTTCGCGGTTTTGTGTCCACTTCCTCCGAGTCCAGTTATGCCCCGTTCGTCGCTTCCCTCTCCCTGCGCAGGGATTTCGTTTTCTCTCTTCTCTGTTTTGCACTCGACTTCTGCTCCCTTCCTTCGGTTCATGTCGTGGTCGTCGTTCTCTAGCGCGCGAGTGGTCGACTGTTACACTGTTCTTCTTGAGTTGGGCGAGGGCAGGGATATAGGGCGAGAAGAGCAGCGAAGAGAAGAAGTTTGGCCAACTTCTTCTGCTGCTCTTCTCATCCTATATCTCTTGATTCACCTGTGCTTGCCCGGTTATTCCTGTGATTCTTCCTATTTCCCGTCCCTCACGGGCGCCTATTGCCTTGCGAACTGCACGCGGTGTTCCTTCGACTTTGCTCGCTTTTCAGCCTGCCACTCGCCGCTTCCTAAATTTGTGTGTGATGTGTCCTGTTAGCCCCTCGGCCCCTTGTAATTGTGCCGTACAGTCTTCTATGCGTGTACCGCGCAAGCCTTAGACCGTCAGCCTATGCTCTAGCACAAAAGTAGATATATGTTGTTGGCAACTTGAACCCCAAGCACCTTGGCTCCCAACGTATACAAGAAGCGAGCCAGGTTCGTTACCGGGAGAGCTTTATAATCTATCACGATATATTTAATGAGCTACGTCGATGTGCCTCTTGAAGGTCAGACATGCAATCCTGAGGTGCCAGTGCCATCAGCCTAGCAGGCAAGCAGAGTGAGTCGAGTGAGTGTTAAGTCAGGAGCATTGATATGATTAGCTCAGAAAGAGTTGAGAGTATAGCTCGAAAAGCTTCACGCTTACAACAAGGCCAATGGCAATAGTGACGGCTAGACAAGGGGAACTGCCTGCTATGACCATCGGAGCTCACGACGTGGGCACCAACACCTACTAGCACGACGCTTGGTACTTGAGCTATATCCCGTCGAATCCGCGTGGCAATTCAAGACGATCATGTAGATGGACCTCCCGGCGGGTTCAACGGCACGACTGACCGAGATTCGTCCAAGCATGCACCGGAAGGACATCGTGAGCGGAGATCGTCTTCGACACAAATGCGTCGAGCTATAGCACGATTCTGGGCTCTAGATATCAGTAAGCATGTTCGCGCTCAGCACGGACCGAAAGATATCAACATACTGCGTCATACCAATGGATTCTGGAGGTTTAGTGTTCGACAAATTTTCGAGGGCGTTCAAAGGGTGCAGTAGTCAGCCTAGACTTTCGGTGCGAAAGCCGATACGGGATCATCACGAGCGCGTTTTTCGGTCGTTTGTCGTCTTTACCTTCCGAAAGGGTGTTGCGCAGAACATGCAGAGTTAGTAAAGAAGGAACGGTAGTCTGGAGACTATGTCGAGTATCATGAGGCATGTCAGGGCATGTCGCTCTCCACATTTACTCCCGGCTAAGAGATAGTCTAAAGTTTTGACTCCGCGAACGAAGCCCTTTGTGGCGAGCGTTTACACTCCGAAACACTCGGGACCTCCTCCGACAAGGTCCGAAAGACGCAGTTAGAAACAAGTCAGTGCCTGGGCTAGATCCGATCGAGAAAGCGGGGAACGCCGTTGATAAGCTTGTGCGGGGTAAATACACACGCCGCCTCGCGCCGAACGCACCTTCACGAGCAACCACATCCATCGAATGGTCCCCCCTCTCATACTTTCATCCTCTAGACTGCTTTCCAACCTAGCGTCTGCCGTATCCCAGTATGTTCCACGTAGCACCTCTTTCAGCGCGCACGCGCGCAGAGACATCCACGACCCGGACGAACGCCCCCAGTTCATCGCCTTCGCCATCCTCATCCCCATCCTCGTCCTCCTATCGGGTCTGTTTGCCGGTCTGACGCTGGGCTACATGAGCTTGGACGAGACGCAGCTCAACGTGCTCAGCATCTCCGGAACGCCGTAAGTGTCGTATTCCGTGTGCCGTTCCCGGACACGTTCAGTGGCGGCATGCGCCACGAGGCTTACGTCCCTCTCGCCACGCAGCAAACAGAAGCTCTATGCGAACAAGATTAAGCCTATCCGCAAGAACGGGCACCTCCTGCTCGTCACACTACTCCTCGCGAACATGATCGTGAACGAGACGCTGCCCGTTATCGCGGACCCCATCCTCGGTGGCGGCGTCCAGAGCGTAGTCGTCAGCACGGTCCTCATCGTCATGTACGTCTTCTTCTCGTCCCACTCCCACACCCAGACTGGCTGTCACCGGTCATCACGCGAAACACGTTTGCCAGACGCGTTCTCGTGGTCCGATGGCCCCCACGCGTCTGGTACACGTGACGCACGTGGCCTTCCCGCCGGCTTTACGAAGCGCGAATGGCCTTCCTGAGCGGCACGTCGAATTCATATGGGCAACGGGCGCGTCGTCCCCGCGTTTCTTTGCGCTGAGAGCTATGATTCTCCGTGTACACCCGATTTACGCCATATCGGAGCGCGCCAAGCTGCTCTGCGGTGGCTGTGTCTCATGAGTGATCGGAGTGCACAAACGTTTTCTGTGGTCACTCTCATATGTGGTGCTGACCGTCAACTTCCAGCTTCGCAGAGATCATCCCGCAATCTTTGTGCACCAGATATGGCCTGTACTTCGGTGCCAAGATGGCCGGCTTTGTACAAGTCCTTCTATGGTCCTTTGTGAGTAATCTTCGACAGCCGCCGTAGAGCCCACAGTACCTTCGGAAGGCTGAGATAACTGTACAGGGCATTGTCGCTTGGCCGGTGGCCAAGCTCCTAGAATTTGCCCTCGGTCCTCACCATGGTATCATCTACCGACGCGCCGAGTTGAAAGAGCTCATTGCTATGCACTCCAACGTAGGGCAGCTGGGCGGCGATCTCAAGACTGACACCGTTGCCATCATCGGAGGGGCACTTGATCTCCAGGAAAAGGTATGCCCGGAGGCACTGCTATACGGAATAGCTTCGGTTGACATGGTTCAAGGTTGTGCGTCAGGCGATGACTCCAATCAAGGACGTCTTTATGCTGAGCATAGATGCGAAGCTAGACTACGAGACTCTGCGGAAAGTTTGTCTGACGGGCCACTCCCGCATACCGGTCTACGAGGAAGTAGAAATACCTGTTCCTAAACTAGTCGCCAAGGTCAACATTGCCGAAGCGGACCTTGACGCCTCGGCGTCTCGCCTGAGTCTCGACGGGCGCCAGCAGCAGACACAGAAGGTGAAGAAGATCGTTGGGATCCTTCTCGTGAAGCAGTGCGTCCTCTTGGACCCGAATGGTAGGTGCCATGTCTCGGCTACGGAGCTCAGGCACAGGAAGGCTAAACGTTGATATTGAACCCGCCAGACGCCACCCCGGTGAGGAAGATCCCGCTGAACAAGGTACCGTTCGTGCCGAACAACGAGCCGCTGCTTGGCATCCTCGACAAGTTCCAGGAAGGGCGGTCGCACATGGCAATCGTGTCGCGGTTCAGCGTCGAGCGCGCGGCTAGTGTCAAGAAGGCCGTGAAGCGCGGACTGACGCAGCGTCTCCTCGACAGTGTCGGCATGGGCGACAGCGACTCGAGCGATGAGGAGGATGACGAGGGTGGAGAGAGCAGTCATGGAAAGAAACGACCGAAGAAACCGAAACGGAGCAGCAGTGACAACGATGCAACGCTCAAGGACGACTCTTCGGCGAATGCGGACATAGACGAGAAGCCGGAGCAAGCAGAGGGCGGTAGTCGTGGGCGCAAGCGGAGTAAACGCAAGCCGGCCGTGGATGTCGAGATGGGCATCGTGGAAGAAGGTCCTAAGAAGCGCGGCCTGGCGTTGCCGAAGGTGGGCGGCTGGAGTCGTTGGGAGCAGAGCATGCCCGCCGACGCGGTTCTTACCCGGGAAGGTGTTGAAGAGGTATGTCAGGCGTATCGATTCCCGGAGCCTGCGCTAACGTCTGGCGTAGTTCTTGCAAAGCGTCGACCCCGCGGTTATGCCTCTCGGTATTATCACCTTGGAGGACGTGCTCGAAGGTGACTTTGTTCGCTCCATGAAGTCGTGGCTGTACTTATCCTCCTTCTGCAGAGTTGATTGGCGAGGAGATTTACGACGAGTTCGACCCACAGGGACATCCCGATCTTCATGCATACGCCCAAGCTGAGGTCAAGGGCGCGTCCCTGATGAAGCGCACCGGTTCGGCCCCGCAACTCGCCGATCTAGGCTACACCACTGCTGCTGCTGCTATCGGCATTCCTGTCCCTCCTCCCCCGCCTCCGCCCCCTATCGTCAAACCTATCGCTATCCCCGCTCTTCGTGGTCTGAACTTCAGGGGACTCAGTTTCCCGCGCTCCCGCAGTGCTCCTCCTACTCCCCGGGATGCTGTGTCCACCGAGAAGGAGAAGGTTCTCCAGGAGACGGCGCCTCCCTCGGTGCCCGAAGGGATTGTCGTCACCCCCGCGCCGCTTCCAGGCTCAACCCCGGTCAATGAGAAGCCTCAGCCGGCCACCGTCCTCGACGACCCCGTGAAGCCTGCGACGCCGCAGGTCGTCATTCCGGCGGACAGCGCGCTCGCGGCAGCGAACATCGGTCGTTCTCGGTCAATACACAACTCGACCAACCCGTCGAGCATCCCTGTTATCCCGGTTCCGCCGACGCTCGGTCTCGCGTACGGCCCGCCCTCGCGCAGCGCGTCTCCTGCGCCGTCGCTCGAGCAGGCGATCCTTGTCGAGCGCAAGCGCCGCGCGGCCTCGGGCTCGGGCAATGCGTCTGCTGTCAAAGGCGGGTGGTTCAAGAGCAGCCCGCTGAACGGAGAGCGCGCTGGAGTGGTTGTTGCCGAGCGCGTCAGGCGCAATTTGCACCCTGACAGCGCTGCGAGAGAGGGCCGGGCCACTGATGGCAGCACTTCCGAGACCACAATACTGGTTGGCGACTTGGGCGAGCTTCGTAAACCTGACGATAAGGAAAAGGCGGGGCCGGACAAGGAGTGAGTGCTGTGAGCTGTGGTAATCGTTTTTGCTCTCTGTTATGCTTTGCTATGCTGGTGCTGGTGTACGATTAGAAGGCGTCGGTTTCGGATCGGATGGATGGATATGTTTCTCGTAATGACGGAGGAGTGTGGCTTCCCGGTTTCCTGTACCATGCCTGTTCTTCATATGCCCCCTTTTTTCGCGTGCGTGTACGACTTTCGTAGTTGTGTCTGTACATCAATCACAAAGCAAAGCATCATGCCCCTTCAGTGTCCCGTAGAGTGTCTAGCCCGTCTTCGCCTTCAGCTGCTTCCAGAGCGTCGAGAACATCAACATGCCGACGCCCACGATCGCAATCTGCAGCCCTACGTAGTTCAGCATGCCCACCTGCACGCCCGCCCCACCCCACACCGCCCCAGACACGCGCCCCGTGTAGTTGCTGTACTGGATCACGAGGCTCATCTTCGTGTTCCACTCCCCGGGTATCTGCTTCGACAGCAGACTGAGCGTGACCGTGCTCGACAGGTTGAACCCGAGCGCGACGAGGAACCAGCACACGAAGAGCGCCCCGAACGACACCTTGTCCGCCGCGAGGATCGCGAGCGCCGCCAGCAGGCCCGCCAAGCCGAGCGTCGTGCCCACCGCGAGCGTGTGCCGGTCCTGCACGCGCCGCGCGGCGAAGAGGTTCGCGAGGAGGAAGGGGATCGTCGCGGCGCCGCCCGCGGCGATGAAGTTGCCCGCGGCGAACGGGGAGTAGTGGAACGGGTTGAGCGGGGACGCGGAGCCGGTGAAGACGGGGAGGTTCGCCTCCCAGCCGCCGAGGATGAAGAAGCAGGTCATCGCAAACCAGCCCATCGTCGCCGTCACGCCGATCTGCGCAGCGCTCATCCGGCGGAGGGAGGGGGGTCCTGGTGGGGACGATAGGTTCTCGACGGACGTGCTGCCTGCAGGGACGGCGACTTCCGCGGCCTCCTCATCGTGTTTGGGATTTTCGGGTTTCTCTACTCCCTGAAGGCTGTGGGCATCGTTCCGACTCGGAATGTGCTGAAGCTCGACGCCCTCAGAGGTGGGTTCGCTCGGCGGGGTACGCGGTACGTCCTCGAAGAGCCGCGCGGCTACGGCCCAGAAGACGGCCCAGACGCCTGCCAGTATCCACGTCGGCGCGGTGTACCCATTGAACACCGAGTTAGAAAATCCGATCTTGTACCTGTTCACAGCATGAGACCACAGTACCCGAAGAAGAAAAGGGGGAAACCTACAGAAGACCACCTATAAGAGGCCCGATGCTGAACCCCACGCCTTGGCCAAGGACGAGCCAGCCTGCAAGCGTCGTGCGCCGCCGGATACCGACAATACGCGGGTCGGAGCAGTACCGCTTGGAATACATGAAGAACGTGAAGGAGAAGCCGGAGATGATACGCCCGAGGAGGATGAGGTATAGGTAGTTTGCGTGGTACGCGAGACTATATAGTACGTTTCCCAAGATGGCCGTGGCACACGCGAAATGCAGAGGGCGTCGATATCCACCTAGAGGATGGCATCAGCGTTGAACTCTTGCACAAACACAAGAGTTTTCACAAACCTTGGTCGTACTTCATAAGGGGAAGCAGTGCCATGCCGGAGAATGCGGTCGGGATACCGATGACCAAACCGGAGAACGTAGACGTCCCCCCGAGGTGCTGCGCGTAGGCGTTCGACGACGACACGACGATGAAGAACGAGATCTACAACCCACATTTAAAGACGACCCAGAAATGCGAGTATGCATCAGTACGTTACCTGCATCATCGCACTAGCAGCTTGCATGATGACCAAAGAAGTCATCTTCGGCAGCTTGAACTCAGGGTCCTCTGCAGGAGAAGAACTCTCTGTGCTCAAGCCAAGGTTCGAGCCCGCGACGTCACTCCCGGAAACTCTCAAAACCTGGGCAGGCGCTCCGGCCGCCCGTTTGGGTGCTGCGTGGTGGGATCGTCTGCCATGTCCAAAAGGCAAGCTTGCGTTGTTCAGCCGTCGGAGGCCGAAGACGGTATTCAGCATATCGACAGACACGAGCTCCTAAGTGCCAGAAACCGCCAAAACAACAAACTAGAAATCGTAAACGAAGCAAAGGGTAGGATCGGTACTAGTATATCGAAGTGATTCTAGTGCAAGTTCACTCACCGATGCTCACGGTCAGAGGGAGAGGACCTTAGGAGTGAGTAGACGCCACTATCTTTCGAAAGGCCCATGCGGTTTGAATGACTCGATCACCTTCAGCGTCAATGCCGTCCGACGTCGGAGTGCATCACTACGCAACGGGCGATAACGAAGTCAATAAAATGCAGGTGCCAGATGTGGAAAACGATTCTACCGACCTTGCTATCCACCCTCAATAATCAAGTTGAGAAGGTTGGGTACCGGACAGTGGGGTACGTAGACGGTGAGTATGTCAATATGCCGTCCTACCGCGTATCGCGACTCAAGCAGAATGAGTTGCCACAGTTCAAAGCGCAAACTGACACCAATCTCGGCCAAAACCCACAGAAAAGCTATAAATTCTTCGAAAGCGCGAAATCAGCATAGCTCTAGAATAAGATTAAGCTACTGTACAGTCACGTATACACCAACACAGCGTCGAGCCCTCAGAAAGTCGACCAGAGCACCAACCTGCCAGATGAAATCCACAAGAGGGGGGAGGTTTCAGCCGTACCACTTCTGCCCGATACGCATTTCGGATTTTGGTCGCTGGGGAATCATCGCCTCCTTGATTTCGAATACCTCGATAGCACGCTGCGCTACGAATGTCAGTCATGTGCGCTGCGGAAAGGTGTTAAAAGCGAAGAGAGGGTACACGAACCCGCCAAGTGTCCATGTCGAACTCCATCACAAGCTGGTGCTTCAGCAGGCCGTCCTCGTAATCCTCTGGTGTCGGTTGCTCGCAAAGCACTGTGCCGCCTCCGTCAGCATACAGTCACACCAGCTGTCAAACGAGAATGCGGAAGACGCACTGATGACAGGCTCGCCGGTGCCCTCCTCGATCTCGAACATGCACTTCCCGTCGCGGATGAGGAAGGAGAGGTAGAACATGTTCTCGACGGACTGGCCGAAGTCGTGCGGATTGATGACGAACTTGAAGAGATTCGTGGGCCCCTCGATACCCTCCAGAATGGTCTCGATCTACGTATTCCGCTGACATGAGTATGACGGCCATATGATATGACTATATGCGCTCACAGTCGCAACGTTCTTCGTCGTCTCGTTCTCGGAGCGCGTGATATCATCTTCTGTAATCTCCTGCGGCTTCTTCATGTCCTCTTTGTTCTTCTCCAGTTTTGACCGCTTTGCAACTGCGCGCTTCTTCGCCTCAATGGAAAGCGGGCCCAGCCTATACCCCACCAATATCATTAACTCGCCGTCTTCCGTCCTCCAAGCACGCGCCACTCACATAAAGTCCATCGCAGGCACGCGCCTGCTCTTCGCGAGCGCACGTCGCGCGATCCGCTCCCAGTCTAGCGGCGCGCCCGCATCGTACTCGCTCCCCTCGTCGTCCTCGTCGTCCGCGGGCGACAGCGGCTTGCGGCCGCCCATGTACGTGATCAGTCGCGCGACGAAGTCGTCGACATCGAACGCGCCGGAGCCCGACTTCATCGCGCGCGCCTTCGCCGCGCCGATCTGCGAGAACCGCACGAGCAGGTTCGAGTCCTTCGTTGCCTCATTGATGGCCTGCACTGCAGCGCGCGTGAGCGCAGATTTGAAGAAAGCGCGTTCAGGGGCGTACCTTGCGAGAAGAGCCGGTTAGCGCTGCGTAACTTCTCCGCGACCTCCTCGGTGCTCATATCCTGGTTTTCTGCACAATTCTGCGTTAAATAAGAGACACAAACGGTTCAAAAGACTCTCGCACCTGTGAGCTCTTGCTCGAGATGTCGAAACTGCCTCCTGATGTTGCGGGTCTCCTCCGGGTCTTGGTCTGGGTCGTACGCGACCCTAGCATGATTTGACTCTTCGTCGGCCATCTTTTAGTTTATATCGCCAGCAGTCGGAAGGGGATACGCGGAGGGAGGAAAACAGTCCCCGATGTGGTGGTGGAAAGAAAGACGCGCTTTACCCGGCGCTTACGCGACCCTCTCGCGACGCGACGCGCACGTGACTCATTAACTACTCGGCGATGCGAGGCGCCCGTAAGTTGCGCGACTCTCTCGCCAAAGTCCACCGCAATAATATTCTTAACGCTTTCTATGGCAGAGATTAAAGATTGCAATTTTATACAGAAGGTTATTGTGGTATTTTAGAATTAATAAACATCATGATTGGGCTACTAGCTCACTCAAAGCCAACTTTCGCTCGACCGCCTCGACAGCCGTACGCTTTTCCTCCATCACGCTCCCTTCCAGCACCCACTCCATCTGCCGCTCTACCTGCCTGCCCACATCCGCCAGCTTCTCATGAGAAAACCCACCGGCTTGGCTTTGCTCCTCTGTCACATCCTCCCAGCCGGTGCTTCGAAGCTGGTAGAGTGTCCCGTTCAATTCGGAGCGGCGCTGAATGTCTTGCGCAGCAGGGCGCCGGAGAGTGTCGTATACCCTTAAAACCTGATTTAGGTTTTTCACGCTGACTGAGGCGTGCGCGAGGATGGCTGCGAGAATAAAGCCGTCCTTGCAACATAAAGCGGTTGGTCAGGCGAATCAGTGGGTATTCACGCTCTCACCTCCATTGCCTGGCCCGCTCCTGCACCCTGGTGAGGACGCATCGCATGAGCCTGTAGAAGAAGCACATATTAGTACGCATGAGTGGACAGTGCGGTATAACACGTACCGCATCACCGATCAGGACAACCCGGTCCCGAACGCAAGTGGGAAGATAGTGACACTCATGAATGGACCATCGCACCGGCCGTTCGATAGCCTACCGCCCCGGTACTGGTGAGCGATGACTCGCAGCAATTTAAAGAAAGCTCACACCTCAAGCAAGGTTCGGACGTTCGGATCCCACCCCTCGAACGCCCTGACCACGTCTTCTGCAGAAGCAGCGGAGACCCATGGTCCGCTGTCTTGGGCCTCACCCTCATGAGTAGGGAATGAGACGAATGCGGCGACGTTGATCAGCGTCCCCTCGCAGATGGGGTACGACATCAGGTGCTATACATCAGCCAGAACATCAACGCGCTGCAAAGGCCTTTTCAATCGTTTGCGTACCTTGTTCTTCCCGAAGAGCTGGTCGTAATCCTGTACGTGAGTATCACGACGTCATAGCAGCCAGGATAAGACCTACGATCACGGCCAAGTCTGCGTCCTTGAATCCAAGGGCGGCTAGCTTGTGAGCTGATACAAGACCACGATACGAAATCTCCCTGCTCCACACAGGATCCGCCATGTCAAGCGACCGTTGCGCTTCCTCAGGCTCCCCGTTACGGCCAGCTTCATCCGCAAACGCCTCGTACATGGACCGTCGGGCTGCCGATCGTATACCGTCGGCGCCGACGAGGACTTCGCAGTCCGCTCGAGTATCGTCCGTGAATTGCAAGGTGATTGGACCGGTCCCCGTGTCCGGGGCATCGTAGCGGACAAGGCGCTTGCCGAAGTGGATGTGCCCCGCGTGGAAATTCTTGGCTAGAAGCCTCTGCAAGTCCGCTCGATGGAATGTACGCACTGGTTGGGGATTCAGTATCAACAGATCGACCGTAGAGAATGACCGGCAACGTACGCGCGGGTGCCAGTTTATGAAACTCGATCGTGGTCGGTTCGTCCGCCTTGCGATAGTGCACGGGCAGCGCTACAAAGTGCCATCAGCGACACTCCCGCTAATGCAACAACTCAACCGTAGTGCCTACCGGACCCATCCTGACTCCCAGATATCTTCAATAGGTCGTCCTCAAGCCCCAGATAGATGAACATCTCCCACATCCGAGGCCAGAACCCGATCCCTGCGCCGACCTCCACCAGCTGTGCGGTAGACTCGTAGATCTCTACTGCGACGTCTGGCGCATCTTTCTGCAGGAAGAGGGCGAGTAGCAGTCCGCCAATCCCGGCGCCGCTACAGATGGTGCGGTGTCAGCGTGAAGCTAACGGTAGACCGCTAGATTCTGAGGTATGCTCACACAATGGCGACCCGAAACTTCGGTGGGCTGGGTGTAGACATTTGAACGCGAAAGCCTCACACCGAGAGAAGCTGGTAAAACAGCGGTTGCGCTGGTGAACGGAGAACTCATCTCTTATGAACGGAGTAGCATAGGGCCCACTGTGTCCCGACAGTAACAGTGCGGTTTGCCACCTTCAGGAAATCGGCGAGCCCCAACGCATCGTGCACGATGGCTATCGCGCCTTGGACCTGCAAATCGAGGAGCGATTGCAACGAGGACACGATCCCTTAGCTTGACTCCACCTCAACGGAGGCATGCAGATACACCTTCGGGCTACAGTGGACCCGCTCTGGGAGCGTTGCACGAAGCTTGCCTTGCAACATTTGGCACTTGGCCCTCGTCCTATGGAAGCTATGGAAGCGTCGCTCAAAGTGAATTTGAGTTTGACCTCGTTGAATTCATGGTGTAGAGTGAGTACTCACCTTCTTGTTCAGTAAGTCTTCTCGGGCACGTGTGCATGGGGGTTGTAGAAGCACTGCTATACATTCCTGCGGTGGGCTCTGGTTAACCCGCCTCCCGCCTCACGTTTAGAACCCGCACACCCCTTGCTGAGTCTGCGGACACGTCAGTCTAATTCCACTTGGCGGGTGTGTTCGCGCATTCCTCGGTCACGGCTTGTGCTGAGTCAACCTGGGTGACGACGTCTAAGCAGAGGAGTGAGCAAGACGACGACACGTGCAAGCCCGCGACCGATAGCAATTCAGGACCTGAGAGATAGCTCATACTCTATCGGATCGCTGGTCGCAGGAACGGGCTTCATCGGAAGAGGATGGAGGGATATGGGCGACTGTATGCGCCTCAAGGCTGGCAACGTTCCCGCAGCTTTCTGCCACAACAAATGGCCGCTAGTCATTAGTCAATGCTGGCCGGCGGATACAGCCTCAGTCAGCCCAACTAGGAGACTGGTGAACGTAGATCGCGTGAAGGGTGCCTGGTCTATTTTGCAGCACGATAGGTACTGTCCGTAATAGTCAGTGCCTCGCCACAGAATAGCGACGAATGGATTGGAGGCCTGGCGGACGCGTACGCACCGCTCTACTCCGATCCACCCGCTCGGTGTATATCCGGCGACGCGGAGACCAGGCCTCTGAATCCGTACTCCACCTCCCCTTCGCGTGAGAACGCATACACACGCGCATAATGGAAACGACGAGCGAGAGAACATTCTCCGAGGAGGCGTGATCGCTGGCGTGGGTGAAAAGCGCTGCGCATTTTCGCAGGCGACTCGGAGCTGGGCCTCGGGCCCAAACGTGGCTCCCAAACATATGGTTACACAAGTGCCCAAAGCTCTGGATCTCGATGCCACACTGGGGTGAGAGCGTTAGCGATCGTCGCGTATGTCCTGAACACCGATTAGCAGGGATCTACTCACTAGCTGGTGGGTCAATATGAAAAAGTATCCCAGGCCGCGCTGTTTGCGCCTCGCGGAAGCATCGTGGGTGCGGAACGCGGTCTCCTAGCTTGGGATAAACGCGGAGCGCAACAACAGTTGACGCTTGTGTACGTACAACGTCGAGCCCAGTCAAGATGGTTGAACTGAGAAGAGAGAGCAAAGCAGAGCGCGCATTAGAGACGGGACAGGGTATGACTAACAAGGAAAGGGTAACAAAGATACAGCAGACACACACGACCGAAGGCGTGTTTCTAGCGGTCGCGCAGCAGGAGATAAACCAAACGAGTGGAAAGGATCCGCGGACTCTGGCCGGGAACCCAGCCGGGCCAGCGAGGCGGCGGGCGGAGCAAAAACCATGCACGATGAGGAAAATACAGCAGCATAAGGAGCGAATACAGTAGGAAGAAGCATAAGTATAAATAACCGACGGAACGGATAAAGAGGTGTGGAAAGAGAAAGGAAGAGCGGACGAGCGAAGGCCGGGCACTACGACGGCGTGCTCCTCAACCCGGCATCTAGGTGCGGGACAGGCGGGACCGTGTCCTTCCCATACATTGCCTCCACCCGCTTGACGAACTTCGCGCGGATCGCCGCGCTCCGCTCTCCATCGAGGAAGCTATGGCGACTCGCCGCGTCGCTCCACACGCTGTAGCGGTCCCCGCCGCCCTCCTCATCCAGGTACACCGTGTCACGTTCGTAGCCCGAGACGATGGCAGACAGAGTGTGCGACTCGCGCACCGTATTCGTCTTCGGGTCGTCAGGTTGAGCGGCTTGCTCAGCACGGAACCCTGCGAGGATCGTGTTGACGTCCGGGGATGACTCCGCCGGCTCAGTAGAGGTTGGCCGTGTATTTGGCGAAAGGTCGCTGAGGTCGTCGTCATCGTCATCGTACGCCAAGAAAGAGCCACCATCGTCGGACTCATGGCCCACCTCAGAGGGACGGCGTGTATCCAGCGCAGACGCTGACCGCGGCTGCCACTGCACACCGAGTTGCTGCTCCGACGACGGCCACCGGCTGTGCGTTGACGGATACCCGCTTGCTGAGGCCGGCGCGTGCCCTGGCTTAGTCGCGCGAATGACGGCCTCCTGAGTCAGCTTCGACGTTCGACGCATGAGCTGTGTCGTCTGTTCGCGCGGCAACACGGGCGCAGTGGGGAAGGGAGATACGCGGCCGCGCAGCGCAGGTGGGACCGGCGACGCGATCCTGGGTGTAGGCGACCTTGGGCGTGAGTCCGTTGCGATCTCCCTGGAGAGCGGATGCGCAGCCGTGTTCGGTCGATCAGCGGGAGTTGCGAGCGGTCGGTACTGTTGCGCGCCGCGGGGGTCAGCGGTATCTGCAGGCGCCGAACGTGGGAAGCGCGAATTCGAAGTCGACTGGTCCATCATGCTCCAGGATGGACTTGTGCTCCGAGAGATGTCGGACGGCACGTCTGGCAGCGGCCCTCGAGGCGGTGGGCTGGGCGGTGGCAGATCGTAGTACGCAAGAACCTTTGGGCGCTGCATCCCAGGACTGGGCGGACCATTCGAGTTGGACGTCGATGCCGATGCAACACTCGAATTTACGCTGTGACCCTGTTCGGGGGCGCGCGGCGTGTTCGGCGCTGATGCTGATGGCGTGACAAGAACATAATCAGGGTCTGGCGATGGCGGGTAAAGAGTTGAAGACGCGGTGGGGGTCGGGGGAGTGAGAGTAAGAGGAACGGGGACGTGCTTCGGCGCAAGGGTAGTCGTATTCGGGGCCGAGATCTTCGGGCGCGAACGAACGGACTTGGAGGGCGACAGAGCAGGAGACAGAGGGGATCTTGGTGACGCCGGGAGAGTTAGGCCACCCTCCACTTTCAGTCCGAACTTGGAAGGGGAAAGAGGGGGAGCACCTGCGCGGCGGAAGGTCGATAGGAAGTCGATACTGGGAGAGCGCACCGACTCTGCATCCCTGAACGCCCTCGTAAGACCTTCCTCGCTCGACATCACCGAGTCTCGCCTCTCGTCAGAATCCACCGTATTCGATGTATCCGTGGTCGCGTAGGTGTCCGTGGTATTCCAAGTGTCCACAGACGTGTATGTCTCCCCACTGGGGCGAAGACTACTTGCAGCGTCGCCGGGCAGGGGCGTCGTATTCCTCGAATCGGGTGGAACTGGTGTCCCGGCGCGACTCCACTTGTCCGCGATAGGGTGCATCAGAGTGTACGCAGGGAGTGCGGGGACGGGTGGGGCCGGTTCTGAAGGGGAATCACCCTGATGGTTCTTGCGAGACGATTTGGAGTTGAGCCTGAAGAACCGTTTCCTCTTCGAAGATGCCTCCGACAGATAGCCTCCGTCGGACTCCTCGCCACTTACCGGCGATGCGACAGACTGTTTGCGCGACCGGCTTTTTGAGAAGCTAGACGAGTTACCCTTGTCGGTCTCGTAGTCCGTCGTCGGCGACTCCGTGGTCTTGGACTTGTCTTTATCCATCTTGTCCTTCCGCGTCTTCTTCCTCCGAAGACTGAACTCCGAGAGGTAGCCTCCGTCGCTCTCGTTGTCGGTGGCGTCGCCCCCATTCTTCTTGCTCTTCGCGCTCTTCTTCGCCTTCTTCTCCTCTTTCTCTCTCTCCTTCCTCTCCTTATTCTTCTCCTTGTTCTTCCCCCCCTCGCTCACGTACCCGCCGTCGCTCTCGTACCCATCCGGCTTCATCTTCCGTCGAAGCTTACCAAGCTTGGATTTCGGTTGCGGTGATGGAACCGGAGACGCCATGCGTGGCTCGGGTGTTGCGCGCAGGTCGAATTGAAGCGAACGCTGCGGGTGTAGGGGCGGAGTTACTCTGCCCGGCGAGAGCGCATCGCGCGGGGGCTCCTGCAAGGAGGTGTCCACGCTCAGCGGGTGGTCTTTTCCGTTGACAAGGATCCCGGCGCCGGGCTGGGAGCGCTGTGTCACTCCAGCGGAAAGGTTTGATTCTTCGGACGTCGCGGTCGACGCGTACGTGAGACTTGGGGAGTTGATGTCCTAAGTGAAACAGCGGAGACGCTCTCCTCAGCAAACATTGCCCGTGGCATGTCGCCCGTTGCTGGACACGTAGCTGCCAACGTACCTCCGCATCGTTCTCCTCGTCTTCCTCCGCGACGGGATTAAACATCCAGTTCGCGACGGTACGATTGCTGCCGAAGCCAAGCTCGAGCGCGCTCTCGAGGATGGACGCACGCAGACCCGAGCCGCGGTTTTCTGCATTGTTGTCGATCCGCTGCGGCCTTGCGAAGGACGCCGGGCTCGCGGGGGACGTCGAGCTCATCGAGAATGAGAGAGCAGGGGGAAGAGGAACAAAGGTGATCGAAGCCGAGTGGTCTCGTAGCGACCGTGCGTTCACGTAATGAGCGGTGTTCCACGAATCGGCAGTCGGTTCAGCCCTAGCTTTACATACGATCCGAGCGTCACCTCATGCACACAAGCAGCGACGGTCGTGGAGAAGGTGAGGAGAGGGTGGGGAAGTTCCAGGAGATTGAGATGAGGAATACCCGAAAAAGGCGCTCATCCCGCGTTTTTGGTGCAGGCTCGGCGGTTATGCCTCCTTCCTCGTTCCCATCATCGCCAGCCCGGCCCAGCTCCTTCCATCATCCTCAGTAATTGCAGGGAAATCTATAGCTTGGGGATGGGCAGTAACGTCTCTCCGCCATACACGGCTAGTTTGCGACATCCCCAAATTAGCAGAGCATGGCTACGCTCGCGCAAGTCTACTAGGTCTGCGGACCCGGGTCCGACGATACGGTCCAGAGGTCTACAAGCGGATGTTGTCCGATATAAACGGTGGGCAACATTCCCGTCGCTGGCAGGGGGTGAACACGGACGAGCATCCTATTTGGATCGCGAGGGAAACACGCTAAAGGAGCGAGCAAGCGGTCGGGTTGTCATGCACACGCGACCACGACTCTGCAGCATGGTACCGGCGGCGCACACACTATCTCGAGAAGTCAACGTACGCCCTCCCATACAAGGCACCTTCCCACTCACCGTTAAGAATGGTCACTGCGGAGGCCCAGGCGCGACTGCCAAAGTCCCATGTTCTATCGAGGAATAGGCTAAGAGGTCGCCGGAGAAGTACTGTTCAGTTTCTGCTCTCACCTTAGAGACTAAGGTATGCTGAGTATAATTATTCGGCATGCACAGTTCAAGTACATACATGTCTTGTCTCTCGACATTATGCAACAACAGCCGCCGTGAGATCATCTCTTCTTCGTCTTCGTACTGCCTTTGGACGACGGCCCGGGTCGAGACTGCGCATCTTTGCCACCCCCTACTTTCGGATCCTGCAGCGCATCCTCTAGCAAGCCCTCGTTCTCCAGCGCGACGATGAACTCCCGTATGAACGGCTCGTAGTCGAACGTCCGTCGGACATGGTCCACCTGCGTGGAACAAGCATTGCAGTCAGCTACTGCCCTGAACGGATCTCGTCCCCACTGCCCTGCTGCGGGCGTAGCAGCTCCTCTCATAAAGGTACCTCGTAGGAAAGTCGCACGTATATTATGTTTTCGCACGGCAGCTAAAGCGGGAGGAATGGTTGTGTTCACGTTCGTCGTAAACGCTAACAGGCGCTCGTACGAGCATCGAACGGAGCACATACACCTCCAGGGCTCCCGGCAAGCTTCAGAATAGTGTCGTCACCTGGATGTAAACGTTTCTTGCAAGGAATCAAAAGGAATCGCAGACCGGAGCCACGGACACGGGCAGCAAATCGCCCGTCATGTGCTGAGCGCTGGACGGCAACCCGGGCGAGGAACAGAATACAGAGAAGGAGCACATGTCCTTCCTCGTGTTATTCGGGCCCTGTCAAGCAGCGCTGAACCTCCGTGGACGTCGAGCGCCGCCAGCATCTCATTCTCGAAGAGCCAAACGAAACGAAAGGGGCGGAACACGCACGCACCTGCGCACGCCGCGACTTCTCTGTCTCCTCCTCGACTGCGACCTTGGCCGATAGCGCGGCCCGCACGCAGTTCTCCCATGCCGGAGCCAGCTTGCGCTCCGGCATGTCCAGGATCGCGAGCTCCTTTTCCATCTTGCGCGCCCCAAAGTCCGGCGCGAACACCTTCCCGGCCTCCTGCGCGCGTGGGCGGAGCGTCGTAGCAAACGCTTCGGACGCGGAGGCGAGCAGTGCCGGGTCCACCTGCGCAATGGACGGCGGGGTCAGTGCTTCCGCTACGCTGCCACGCGTGGCGGGCGGACAGCCCCGCACCTTATCAGTCCAGCCTTCCGTGTAGGACTGCGCGAGCCGCCTCTCAATCGCCGCGCGCTCCCTCTTCAGCATCTCCAGCTCGTCGCTTGCCCGCAGGTACTGGTCGTCTACGATCGCGAGCAGGTTGTACTGGATATGCTCCGCGCCGCTCTGCAGCACCGTCTGCATGCGCCGCTGCAGCGCGGGGCGCACGACGTCCATCCACCCTGCGCGCGACGTGGGGTCGTCCGAGTCGATCTCCCCGACGTCGAGCGGGCCAGCGGTGCGGAGCCCGTCGAGCTCCCACACACGTCCATGCGCGGGCACGTACCCGATGTAGTGGTAGGCGTCGAGCTTCTCGTCCGCCCTGGCTGACGCGGCCTTTCGTTTCCTGCGGGAGGACGAGGCAGCGGTCTTGCGCTTCTTGGATGGCGGGGAAGCGGCGGCCTTTGCCTTGTTTTTTGCGGACTCGAGAGCCGAGGAGGCGAGTGCGTGGCGCGCGCCGCGAAGGTCTGCCGGCCTTCGGGACGAGAAGTTCAATCAAGGGGGTGGACATCGAGAAGCGAAGCGCACGTACCGCGCCAACGAGTTCTGTGCCTCCCGGATAAGGGTCATGTTTGAGACGGCGAGGCCCCGCATCTGGATATTGTTTAACAAGGGTATTTGTGATGTTTCGCGCGGTCGCATACCACAGCAGACATTCGTTCCGTATCGGCTGCAAACTCTTTGAGTGCTGGCCCAATGTCTATGCCCTCGCAGTTAAGCAGGACGTTTAGGATAGCTTGTGAAGCGCAGGCGTCATCACTGAGCTGGTTTGCGAACCAGATGGAGCGCGCATCTGGATCATTGAATGCTTCGTCACTGGCAAGGTCATCTGTAGTGTCCTCGCCGTTGTCGCAAAGGTAGCAGAATATCAGGCCGTAAGGGTTCAGGTGGTCTGTCTCGTACGGTTCGACGCTGTAGAGCTCGATAACTTCCAGGGCCTGCACGCCGAGTTTGCGGATGAAAGCAGTAAATACACCTGTATCCTCGTTGGTTAACCAGAGTCTCAAGCTCCTTTGGCACGTCCTACTGGCTACTCACCGGGGTCAGATTCTATCACGGCGAAAGGCTCTCCTATGAGGTCCAGTGGCGGGTTATTCATCTGAAGAACCAGGGAGTTTGGGTGCATTCACTTCCGGCACTTTGGGAAAACGCACTGGATGTGGAATGTCCCCTATGGCCACGATGATGGTGGTACAGAGCCAGACTCTGCGGTCCGCGCGCGTGCGAAACGCGATCCACGAGGCACGCGGTCGTCACACAACGCGTGTGTGTGACTATTCGGGCCACACGCGTCGCGGCGCGTCTACTCGCGCCTGGCGCGCGCGCGCACGGGCAAAGGAGGCGGAACATCGAAGAGTACTTAATGCAAAGATTGGGAACTCACAGGGAGGGTTTGGTGTATTTGTGGTATTCACTGGCGACCTGTATTCGCATCCGAAATTCAGTCCGTTGCATATGATCTGGGGGACACTGTTTAACAGAACGGTCTTCTGCAGGGGTCAGGCCCAGCCTTATTCGATTACATTGAAAGCACTGGAAGGGTGTTATATATCGACACGTAACTTAGAAAATAACATGACTCACCAACGTGATATCAAATGGGACGCGTATGTTGACCGTCAAACCCTCGCCCTTACGCCGCTGTAACGAGACGTTCGGGAGGCTCAGATCCAACATGGCGTTGACAAACCGATTAGCAGAGAATATGTTGAGATGAGTGTACAGTACATGTGCAGGGACGGATAGCATACGATGATGGGGGATGAAGCAAAATACGGAATTAGGTCACTTGTGTGCGAGATGAGGAGAGGTAGATATACATATATGAAGGGGGAGTAGAGCAGAAAGCACCAATCAAAGGGCCGAGGTTTCCGGATAGAGGTTCGCGTGCGGCAGTCCCTGGAAAGGGTAGAGGGTCGAGGGTCGGCCCTAGTCCGAGGCTCCGTACAGAGCGGCACAGTCGAAGCACGTCGTGAGGTCGCTAACAACACGATGTGGTCAGCAGATGAAAGCCACGGCGCATATACTCGGCGTCCGCGTACCTCTCGGGAGTTTCGAACGCGCACTTCTGGCACACCGTCCGACCGCACCCAGGCAGCACCTCCCCCGCACCCTCCATCCCTTCATACCCCGCCTGCCCCGCGCTCGAAACTTCGTCTTCCTGATCGAGATCACGTACCTTCCTCCTCCGACCCGTGACAATCGAAGGCGCCGCCCGGTCTTGTGTGCTCGCAATGTCCATGCCAAGCTCCGACGTCGGTTGGTGAGGAGACAGCAGTGGCGTAGGCGGGGTGCTGGACGGCGAGGCCGTTCGCGTCAGCGCGGGTGTGGGTGGCACTGAAGGCGGACAGCCGTTACACGTCCGTGAGCAAATCGTGCAAGTCGGTTCATGGCATCTGCATGTGCCGTTAGCAGTCAAGCCCCCGATATTGGCGTGCGGAAAGGGCACGGACCGTGCACATTGCACAAGCTGGTTCCTCCTAGAGCCCGTGAATGAACGACGACAGGAGGCGCATATAGGTAGCTCGATGTCGATGGGAGGCTTGTGCGATGCTGACAGGGACAGCACGGACGATTCGGCATGTGCAAGCTTTCTCCTCTTCGACGGATGAATCTTGCGTCTAGTACTAGTGGGAGCCATTCGATCCTGCTGATGTCCGAAGGTGAACGAAGACGAGAAGGTGAGGAGTACAGTAACAGGGCAAGTAAGAGAGGGTGAGTGGTTTCGCGCCTTTGTGGTGGTGGACATGCTTGGATGCGCAAAGCCTTTGAAACATGCCTCGAGGAAGGCTCGGAAGAGATAGAAAAAGATATTACAATTCAACTGAACGATACACCGAACGGGAATCGAACCCGTGCCGCTTGCTAACTCCTGCTTATCGCAGATGGAAGGCAAGCATGATAACCACTTCACCATCGGTGTGCTGTGATTCACAAATGTAAAAATATTACATCCCCGTCTTATGACGCATGACGATTCAGCTGCCAGATTCAGAGTTGGGCCCGATCGCTGCAGCCACTCCTTGTTCTTGGACCTGGACCACCACCACCACCACCGCCAGTCTACGCAGTATGAAGAACAAGAACAAGACCACTAAGTTTCCAGTTGTACGCTTCTCCTAACAAATGCTCTCGGTTTGTTCTGAATTTAATTTGAATCCTGGGCCGTTCCTCCTGTACTGGACAAATACGCCTTCCATCCATTCACTGTCCAGGCGCGTATCAAGCGTATCATGCAGAAGGACGAGGAAGTCGGCAAGGTAGCACAAGCTACACCTGTCGTCATTTGTGAGTTATGCACTGCCATGTTCGACAGCCAAAGCTTTAATAGCACACTTCCCTCTCATGCACGCGCGTCGTCCAATCGGTTCGCGCTTTGCGATATCCCTGCCACCTGAACAGCCAAGGCTCTGGAATTGTTCCTGGCTATGATTGTGGAGGAGGCCAGCAATGTCACGGTAGACCGCGGCTCGAAGAGAGTCGAAGCCTACCACCTGTACGTCCTGGTCCATGCGCGCATGTCTCATACACAGCTGACCTGCTCTCAGGAAGCACGCTATTGATACTGTTGACATGCTCGACTTCCTCAAGGAGATCGTCGAGGCCGTCCCCGATCCATCGGCTGGTGGGACTATCGACATCGAAGCCGAGAACGCTGAGCGCGGGAAGAAGCGCGGAAAGGGCAAGGACAAGAAGGGCGCGGCCGACGCCAATGGCGGCGAGAAACCGGCGCCGAAGCGGAGGAGGAAGAAGGCTGTGGACAAGGAGAAGGAGGAGGAAGAGAAGGAAGAGGAGCGCGAGATGGAGGTGGACGAGGGCCGAGAAGACGACGAGGACGAGGGCGCGAACGGCGGCGGGCGCTCGCGACGAGATGACGATGACGACGAGTGGGAAGGTTGAGTCCTAGGAGCAGTATCGCTGTATGTTGTACGATTATTCTCGTTGCTGTTTCTGAGTGGCGTTCCTGTACATGTTGTATGTCTCACGCCCTTCCTCTATCGGAGGGATTGCCTTCACGCCCCCAAGGGTTTCAAGCTTGATGTCTCGTTGCGAGCTTAAATGATACTCCTCCTAATTGGAGGTGCACGGAATGAGTGCCGCGCTCGTATCCTGAGAGCGTGCCTACTAGTTGCCTAGCTGTTGCCCGCGCGTGACGTCGCGAACGCGGGCTTTGGGCGCCTAATGGGGCGTATACACGCGCGCCAGTCACGACGCGTCCGACGCGTCTGAAGTGCACCTTGATCTCAACCTACTACCACCACCACCACCACCACTTCCTCCTCACTATCATGGCTACTGGCTGGGACGATGACTTTGACGCGCCCATGGCGGGACCCTCCTTTATTGACCGCGCACACGTAGCTCCCGACGACGATGACTTCCCCATCCGAGAGGGCGGCCGGCCAGGAATTCTCCCGCAGGATTTAGCGGAAGAGACGCCCTTCCAGCAGCTTATACGGCACTGGATGAACGAAAGACACGCGCCGGACATTCTTCCAGGTCAGGAAGCGTTGCTCAGCCGACTTTTGGATCACATTCGGAAACAGGTGAGCAATGAGTTGCTTCGGGGCGCGATGTGGCTAGCAAGGCGGAGGAGGATTTGGCTCTGGGGAGGCATGTCTCCGGAGGTAGCATTGATTGACGACGTTTAGTTTTAGTCCAACGATGTGGAGCTCCTGCGCGCAGACCCAGACTCCTCGGAGGAAGAACACTTTCGTATAATGCTTGTTCAGACCGAGGTGGAGCGCGTCAAGTTTGTAATCCGGTCATACATCCGCACAAGATTGCACAAGGTACGCTAACCTACGTTGATCCTGACGTTCATATGTGACCATATGCGGTCGCTTCCAGATCGAAAAGCACGCGCGATACATCAGTTCTACACCTGAGATCCACGAGAAGCTGTCGAAGGCAGAACTGGATCACGCTCGAAGGTGCGCGTCGCTGTCGAATAGTGCGCTGTATCAAACTTGACCTGGAAACTCGTCCGTAGATATTCGCAGCTGGTGGAATATCACTTCAACCAATCCGTGTTGCAAAGCCTACCCGAACAACAGAGATCGATGGAGGACAACGTCGCATTCATGCCCCCCATGAGTTCGTTTATATTTCCATCTCATGTTGAATGTACTAATCTGGCGGGTATACAGCTGCAGAGCCAGACAAACTCCGACCTGTGTTCGCGCACGCATTGCAAGATTGTCCGCCTATGCGACTGCCAGAGTGCGTCGCCACACTCTCTACTGTTCTAACCACAATTCCCTGACGCGGTTGTTTCAGCGGCACGATGTCAGAGATGCAGAGAGGACAGATATCCCTGGTGCCCTATTATGTGGTCGAACAGCTGCTATTACGAGGCGAGGTAGAGCTCGTCTGACCGTCTCTATACCTTCAATACCCTACCAAGGCGCGTCCACAAGGCCGCATAATGCCCCTTATCAAGTGCAAGTGCTGCTATACGATGGCCGTCCGGCTCTGATTTTACTCGCGCCATTCATGCTGGTCTACGGTGAGACAATAGTTGTCTGATCGTGTTATATTTCTTGGTGCCCTCGCACACACTGTAACGTATTATCCTCTGGTATAAGTATGATAGTGAGCGTAGCTCAACCCTCGACATACGTATCCTTCAGACCCCACTTCTGGCAAGCGGGCCACACTTTCCCTTCAAGCCCACGAGACTTCAACGCCCTTCCTCTTCCCCACCATGTTACCCTCCCTCCGCTCCATATGCGCTCTGCTCGCGCTAGTTGCCCTTGCTGATGCCCATGGCTATGTGCGAACCTTGGCGATTGACGGCAAGTCATATAAAGGCAACCTACCCAGAGAGCAGCAGCCAGGCATGTCTCGCTAGCCGTAACCAAAACTACATGACAGTGCTCACAGAGCCCTCACCGCGCAACAGCGCCAGTAGACAGTCCTATCTGGCAAATTGCTACTACAAGCCCGGTCACGTCTACCACGGACCCGGACCTCGCGTGCGGTCTTGGTGCGCAGCCTGCCGCACTAACTGTCCCTGCAGGCCCCGGAAGCAACATCTCCATTAACTGGGCTTCGACCGAGCCGCCCCCATCGTATGTGCGTAGCGCTGACACATATAAACATGTTATGCTGAGCACCGCTGATGCCGTCGCGTGTAGTGGTTCCATAACGTTGGCCCGATCATGATATACATCGCGTCATGCGAGGGCACTCCTTGCGCTCAGTTCGACCGCTCAGCCGCGAAGTGGGCCAAGATCGCCCAGGCAGGACAGAAAGCCCAGTTCAGCAAGGACTGGGTTCAAGGAGACCTCAGTGAGCATCTTTACTAATTCTACATCAGCATATTCCTACATGCTGAGCACGCGGATCCAGCGACAGGGCAGCCGTACTCTTTCTCGCTCCCGGACAATATCAAGTCGGGCGAGTATCTCCTCCGGCCTGAGGTGCGTTGCCGTGTCTAGTACTGGCTTCGCTACTGCACGCTGAACTCTCTATTAGATCATAGCTCTGCAGGGCGCGATGTCAGGGAACGCCGAGTTCTACGTCACCTGCATCCAGCTCAACATCACCGGCAATGGGAACGGCGTCCCCAATGCCACCGTCAGTCTCCCTGGCGCATATAATCCGGATGACGCGGGTATCAACGTCGACGTGAGCACCTATTCCCCATGCTGTGCAGTGCGGACGCTCATTGATTGTGACTACTCTCCCGCAGGTGTACAGCACCTCGGACTTGGGCTATGTATTTCCGGGCGGGCCTATCGCGGCGTTCGTGAGCGACGATGGAGGTACCGACGAGGGTGCCTCGAAAACCCAAAGCTCATCCCAGCATTCGGCATCCCAGCCTTCACCTTCGTCAGCATCTAATGCAGCACCGGCCACGACCACCGAAGCTACGGCAGCAATCTCCACAACCGCAACAAGCGACACTGCGAACTCGGGAGTTACCTCTTTGCAAGCTACGACTGCGCCAACCGCTGTCACATCAGAAACTACTACCGCATCAACCACTAGCACTGCTGCCAGTGAACAAACCACCACTACCACGGGTGGATGCACGTGTGGAGGAGCGACTACTACCACGGCGATCGCCGCCGCCACCACCGTTGCCTCCGAGTCATCTGTGGCTTGCGACGACGTATCCGAGACGAGCACGCAAGGTTCAGCAACGCCTTCGGCGGGGGCGACTAAGCGGCGGCGCCATGTGTTCTCTCCTTTAGTCAGGCAGCGCATGCGTGGACATATCTGATCTGTTCAGCTGAGTCGAGAAGCACATAGACGTAGGTGATTGGAGGCATCGCGATGTATTATAGAGTTTGGGTGTGAATGACGCTAGTATATTACTCTAAAGCTTGAGAGTTTGAGAGGATGGGAGGTCCTTTCGGGCGCATTAGGCGCCCGTGGACAGACGTGAGTGAGTGGGAAGCAGGGGAGATGGTTCGCGGAGTCCAAACTCTAGACCTTCCTCTTCGGAAGTATTTGTGGAGAGCGACATGCCCTGACATGCCTCATGATGCTCGACCATACTCTCCACTCTCCAGACTACTGTTCCTCCTTTACCAACTCTGCATGCTCTGCGCAACACCATTTCGGGAGGCAAAGACGACAAACGACCGAAAACGCGCTCGTGATGATCCATATCGGCTTTCGTACCGAAAGTCTGGCCTTACTACTGCAACCTTCGTACGCCCTCGAAAATTTGTCGAGACCAAACCTCCAGAACCCATTGGTATGACGCAGCATGTTGATATCTTTCGGTCCTTGCTCAGCGCGAACATGCTTACTGATATTTCGAGCCTAGAATCGTGCTAGAGCTCGATACATTCGCGTCGAAGACGATCTCCGTTCGCGACGCCCTTCCGGTGCATGCTTGGACGAATCTCGGTCGGTCGTGCCGTTAAGTCCGGACGAACATCTATCTACGTGGTTGCTATGAATCACAGTACGGATACGCTGGGGTATAGCTCAAGTACCAAGCGTCGTGTTAGCGAGTCACAATACTCACGTCGCGAGCTCTAACGATAGCCTGAGCGGCTCCTCTTGTCTATCCACCACTACCGCAAACAGCCTCGTTAAAAGCGTAAGGCTTTTCGAGTTATACATTCAGCTCTTGCCGAGCTGATGGTACTACCATTGCTGATTCAACAATTACTCGAATCGTGCTGCTTGTCTGGGCTCATGGCACTGCGCTCAGGATTGTATCTCTGACACCTCATAGAACACACCGGAACAGCGATGGCGGGGCGAGTAGCCTTCTCGTAAAACGAAACAACGTGCAACGGCGCTGTCATGGCAAGAACACCGCTAGCGAAACAGTACGCTCTCCTACCGCATATATTCAGCTTGTCGAAGCCTAACCAATTTACTACGTTGTTCACCAGTGTTTATCATCCAGCGAACCTGTGGCTGATGTTGCCCTTTTTGACTAAGGACATCAATTTCGTCCAGTGTGGACTATTACAATAATGTCTAGTACGCATACTGGTAAGTTGTCGGATTTATATGCCAGTGCTCTCACTCACTCCCCCGGGTCTGACCCGTGCGTATAGTATGTAATTACAATTCCACCTTTAGGACAAGCACACGTAATCCTCTATCGATTTTTGTCGAACACGGATATCATATAATCAGCGCCGGGCGAGTACCGGCGGACAACGGCACCAACTTTACAAAAACGTTTCTGCAATTCTCCTCAACCAAATGAATCGAGAGATCGAGCGCCATACAAGAGGGTCGACCGAAGCCTGGACCACCGCTGCACCGACCCGCACTACCACATCTGGCAAGTCCGACGTTCAGTCGCGAGTCCGACTCCCGAATCCCGACTCCCGAGTCTCGAATCCCGACTCCCGACGCGGACTTCCACATTAGGTAACCCCGACGCTCAGTCCGAGTCGCTGTCCCCACATCCTAAATGATTATAAACCCGCTCCTCCCTGCTCTCAACCTTCACCTATCTTTCTTCCGCACTCCCACCATCTCCACACCCCCACACCCCTTCCACACCCTTTCCACAATGTCTTTCGTCCACTTTGCCCTTTCCACCCGTATTCAGTCCGCCGAGCGCTGGTCGTTCCTTGCCCCGCCTCCCATGTCCCTGTCCGACTTTGACGAAGCGCTCCCCCCGATGCCGACCAAGACCCCGACCCTCGACGCCGCCTCTGACCCCGAATTCGCCACCACCTCGACCCAATGCCTCCTTGTCCGTGGCCAACGCCAGGTGAAGCCCCGCAACCGCGACCGCCGCCCCGAATACCGACCCCTCATTGATGGTGGCGCCAACTTCCAGTTCAAGCTTCTTCCGCTCCGGGATGCGCAGAGGCGTCATTCCATTGTTTACCGTACGCTCTGAGGCCTTGATTTCCTTTTCTCTTCTTTCTCTGTGCGACTGACATGTCGGGAGAATCACCAGTAAATTCACGATGCCCAAAGTAGAGAAAATATCTACGGAAACTGGGTGTTCCCACCCACTCAGCCAATTTGGCGCTGGCGTACAATCACCACTTTCCCGGGTGGATTAAGTAGGATTTGTGAGCCAAATTTTCTTCCCGTTCAACACCTTCGTCTGGAGAGGCGGAATTAGTGACTGCACGCCGCTTTCTGGTTGAATTCTGATAGTTGGTGATTCACCCTGTATCGCACTACACTTTTCACTATGGAACGGAATTTCCTTTGCATAAACATTGTATTGGACCGTAATGTGAAATACAGGAGACCGTACTTCGTCGATAAGACGCAGGTAAGACATGAGCATGGGCGTACGTGTACGCAAGCACGCACGGGACAGTGTGGGCGCGAGCAGACGCGGGTAGGCACACAGCACGAGCGAGAGCAGGCGCGGGCAGGGCGAGAGCAAAGTGCGAACAAGACAGCTCGGATAGGACATGAGACGGGCATATGCACGGCGCAAGGCGTACAATGTGCATGGGGAAGGCGCTTGGTGCGCGCGCGGAGGACGCGGGAGGTCGCGAGGACGCCAGGTGTGCAAGGGGCATGCGCGAGCGTACGCAGGACACGACTGTAGACGAGACGCTGACAAGTTAGGGGTGGGCAAGGCACAGAGTCGCCGGAGGGCGCAGAGATGCAGGCAAGACACATGCAAAACCGAGTAGAAGAGACACAGGGCACGAGGGCTTGCGCGGGACACAGATAAGATACAGGCAAGACGTGCGCAAGACGGAGACAGCCCGGCGATGCAAATGTGTGACGGGGAGATGGCCAACAAGAGCAAGTTTGTACATGGAAGGAGCCCGAGGTTGAGAGCGGTTGGGGAGCGCGAGCGAACAGGAGCAGCAACAATAGCAGCTTAAGCAAGGAATAGAAGCACATACAAGATTATCTACGATGCAAAGCAGCGGGCGACCTGGTAGCTTTAGGGTGTCGGCGTTCAAGAGAGCGAGCGACTACATGATAGTGCGCGGTTGTCACCTCACAGTAGGCGAGTCGTAGAGCACCGAGAGTGACAAGAGGACAGCAAAACCAAGCCCTACAAGGACAGACTAAGACCAGGAGGATGTGTGCGAGGAAGCGAGCGCGAGAGGGCGACGTCGACGAGGATGAGCTTGAGGACACGGTAACGTTGAGGACAACAGATCGAGGACACCGGTCGTCAAGGTCTCCCATTATTTGGTCATATTTGGCCCAACCCGGATTTCTCTCGAGCGCTAAGTCTTGAATAGACCAGAGTGATTATTACTATTATAAGTGGTGAAACTCCGAAAGGGCCTGATCACCACCACTTTCACTACCCACTACTAAACGGACACCTTGCCTGGTGATCGGAACTAATCACCCCGCATAGTCGTAGCGCCCACCACCTTTCGGGCGCGCAGTGTTTGTTGTTTCCCGAGTGCGTTTATTATGTGTTCCTGCTTGGCCTCGACCTCGACCCGGACCCGGACCTCAACACCGCGCGCGCTGAAGACCTCGACAAGAACGACGACGACTGCTCCCCTGGCCGGATGGAATTAAAGGTGAGGCTGACGGCCGCGGCTGGACGCTTGTGCGAGGTGGGGAGTCATGACCCCCGCCGGACCTTGGGTCTGCCAACGCTCGATGCCATTTCCAGATCACATCTCTCCGTCATTGTTCGTTGCTGCTCCGCCATCCACCCACAGATCCCCACCCCGAGGACGAGAAGAAGCTCAAGTTGGACAAGACCTCTGGACTGGACACGGCGCCGGCGAGTTTAAAGCTGACTGAGGGCTTGGATGACCCTGTGATGTCAGCCTCCCCGACATTGCCACGGTAGGATCTCGGTTCCCCTTTGTTCAGCATTTGCGCACTGATATTTCTTTCCCTTCTTGATCCAGGTCTCCGGTGGCGATGACTGGGGCTGGCCACCCTGGTTGTCGACCTCCGTCGGAGCGGGGGTGGGGGCCTTCGGGCGCCCGCCCCCGCACGTGTCCGTAAAGTGAGTATTCCATCTACCTTCTAGCGCAGTGACTCGATACTGATATCTTCTATATACCCCTTCACAGACTCTTCGCTGCGATCTTGGACATGTGTCCGGTTTCCCTTCCCTCTTGTCCTCGTTTCTCCGATCGGGACTCGTTCTACGCGGGTTTTGTGTCCATTTGCTCCAGTTATGTCCCGTTCGTCGCTTCTCCTCTCCCCGTGCAGGGATCTTGTTGCCTATATTCTCGGTTCTGCACTCGATTTCTGCACCCTGTTTTCAGTCCTCGCCGTGCACGTCCTTCTCCAGCGTGCGGTTGGTCGATTGTTAGTTCTTCTTGAGTTGCGCAGAGGGAGGGATATAGGGCGAGAAGAGCAGCGAAGAAGTTTGGCCAACTTCTTCTACTGCTCTTCTCATCCTATATCTCTTTCTCCATTAGTGCGAAACTGCTTGCCCAGTTATTCTGCTATCTTTCTTTATTCTCGTCCCTCATGGGCGCCTATTACTTTATGGACCGTACGCGCTGCTTTTTCCACTTTCCCCGCTTTGCAGCCTGCCACCCGCCGCTTCTAGGTTTGTGTGTCATGTGTCCTGCCAGTCTTGCGCCCCTCTGAGATGTGCAGTGTCCTATGTGTGTACTGCTCAATCTTTCGACCGGCTACCTGTGCTCCGTTTTTCTTCTGCTCTTCATATCTTATATCTCTTCCTTCATTCGATGCCCGCGGCGTCCGTAGTTTTTGTGCGGGGAAGGCCAGGTACGGGCCCCTATTATATCCCCTAGTTAGGATTTCTTAGGACGTGCAATTTAAGCATGGCATGCAGAGTCGGCCGAATCACTCGTGTTTATGCTAAGAGGGCTTGTCTATGGAATGGCGGTAAGTAACTCGATTTTTTGATGTGCGAAGATGTATTGAATGGGGACCCGTACCGGAGCTACCCGAGGCGCAGTACATGTCAACATTTCCCAAGGGCTGGTGATGGCCCTTCTTACCACCCCCGAGCGGCATAGCATTTATATGGAATACTGACCAACAACAATATGTACCAAATAAGTCTTGTAGCGCCGACAAGCGGCATGTCCCGCTACCTCATATAATGTCACACTTTTGACGGCTGGATACGATGGCGATACATGTAGGATAACGGCGGATATTTACAGCGCGGGCGATACCCGATTTATGAGGGCGCTAGAAGGAGACAACGATATATCACCCGTCGCGCGCGGGGAACGTGACTGATCGTGATGTGTGGGCAGTTCGTTGAAAGGGTCTTTGCCCCTCTGTGGGGCAATTCCGTCAATGTAGATTGAAGCAGAGACACCAGCGCAGCTGCCTGAAAACGCACGACGCATGATGTGCAGCGGAACAGAGGAGGGACGGGCTGCGCGAAGAGTCCGCCACACCAAGTGTTGGGGTGTATCTAAGTATTTTTGTGCAAAGAATGCAAGCACGTGATTTATCACGTGAAATGAAATTTCTTGCGGGGCGCCCTATAAAAATGCAAGGTATGAAGACCCACTACCTAGAAGGTAGCGGGGATACTAGGCTCTCCCCGCTCATAGGGCAGTTTGAACGACGAGTATGTTGAAGGCCCGTGAGTACTCAATTCTAAGGTGGCAGTCCAACATACTCACATGCCATAATAGGCTGCGCACGCCCAAAATGATCCGTGATGGGACCGCTGACTCGGAGACGTGCGCAAGACCGTGTGCTCCGTCGACTCCGCCGCCTACCGCCGCTCGGGACTCCGTGTGTCTCTGCTGTACAAGCGTCAGCTGGTTTGCAAATCGCGCGATCAGAGTCAAAAGGCTCGGACGCACCACCTGTGACACGACAAGCAGTCGACCGACCGCCACTCATCTACTCAGGTTCTTAAAGTACCCGCTGGCAGTCTGTTCAACGGAGAGAGTTAAACATGCCGGCACTTAGGCTTCCTTCGACTGTCCTGGGACTCTTGGAGCATCGCAAGCCGCAATCTTCTCGGGGCGTCTCAGAGCACGCATCGGCGGTCGTACCACAGGACGTTGTCTCTGAGGCAAACGAGAATGGTCAGACCCACGTCGACGATGACTTGAGGTTGCCCAAGATGGCCTCCCTTGTCATCATTCTTGTAGCCAACGTACTTCTCCAGGTGCGATTGGACTGCCAAGATTTGAACGTTTGACGCAAATGTGTCTAACGTGATAGCGATTTTGAACAGCTCACCTTCTTTAGCATCGTATCATCATCCAACGAGTACGCGCAGCACCTTGGAGGAACGTCGACGTTCTCCGGACTTGTCATCGGCATTCCGACCGTGTTCTCAGGTCTTGCTTTGATTCCTTTGATGCGCCTCGACCAAGGTATGATTATCTTGTACTCCCGCGTCTTTCGAACATCACTCACAACGCTTCACAGGTGGCTACAAACGCCCCCTCCATTTCGCATGCGGGGCGGCCTGCCTCGGAAACATCCTCTACGGACTGGCATACCGTGCTAATTGGCTGTACCTGATTCTCATCGGGCGCATCGTTACGGGTTTTGCATTCACCTTCTGGATGTACTGCAAGCGGTTCTGCTCGGACTCAAGAATTGTCGGCGTTCGCCGCCGGACTACACTTGCTGGGTGGCTCGTCCTTGGCCAGGGGATTGGATTTAGCCTAGGGCCGTTCGCTGGAGGACTTCTGTATGTTTCATCGTCCTTGTCTCACGGTGCTGCCCACTCAATTCGCGTCAATGCTTAGGTTTAAGATCGGCTTTAACAATGCGGTCTTCAACGGATTCACTAGCCCCACGTGGATCATGGCAGTCATCTGGGCTGTGTTCTGGGTTGTCGTAACCGTGGTGTTCGAAGACGTCCCCCGCACGCCACAGAGCATAGCGCTTCAGCCCATCCCTGCACAGGGCAGCACAGTCTCCACAGACGAGGACAAGGCAGACGAAGACGAGCCGACGCGGATCACCACCTCTGCCGTCGCGCCCGCCGACGCACCCCAGCCGCCGCCTTCCCCTGTATCCCCGCCCGCGCACAAGATGACATGGGGCCAATGGGGCGCCGCGGCGACGATGTGCTGGTTCGCGATGACGTGCTTCTTCATCCTCGGCGCGTGGGAGGCAAACATCCCCGTCTTCACGAGCTCGCGCCTTCGCTCCAACCCGTTCCACTTCAGCCCGTTCGCGGCGGGGAACCTGATCGCGCTTGGGGGCGCGTGCACGATCCCTTTCCTGCTTTTGAATCTGCACGTCGCGCGGCGCGTGCAGGACCGCCACACGCTCGCGATGGGCGTCGGGACGGGGCTCGCGGGGCTCATCATCGCGCTCGCGATCCTCGGCGCGGACCAGGTCAACTACGGGAGCCTGTTCATCTGCTGGTTCCTCGTCGCGCTCGGGTTCAACGTCGCGAGCACGGTCACGCTCAGTTTGTTGTCGAAGCAGCTGCCTGGGGAGTGGAACGGGCGCATCAGCCTCGCGATCCAGTACAGCAACTACTCGGGGCGCGTGACGGGTGCGGTGTGGGGTGGCGCGGGCGTGAAGGTGGGGATGCTGAGTTATGTGGGGATGCAGGTCGCGCTCGTGGGCATTGGGAGCGTCATGTTCATGACGCTGTGGAAGCATCTGAAGGCGAAAACTGGATAGGTGTATACATCCGCAAAGCGATACAGGTGTTATTCAGGTTGATAGGTACAAAGTGCACTATACACGTATACAAACTGCTCCCTTAGTAGTACAAGCTTGAACGCTAGCTTCGAGCTGTTCAGATCTCCCCAGAGCAAACCTTCTCCACCCACTCAGTGTCGCTCCGGACGGTGGTTAGATTCTCGTAGCCATCCTTGGTGATAAGCACAACGTCTTCGATGCGAACCCCACCGACGCTCTCGTATCGTTTCAAGACCTCTTGGTCGATGTGCTTCGAGTCCCGGACGGGCGCAATGAGGTGGGGGGAGAAGTAGCAACCCGGCTCCACCGTCTACGCACATTTCTCAGCATCCATAGAAACACTCATGGCCGATCCAAGACACTTACCACAACCATGCCCTCCTCGAGCGGGAGTCGCAGCCGGAGGTACGTGTAGAACGACTCGTGGCCGAGCGGGATACCATTGATCGTCTCGTTCTGCACGGGCTTGCTCGCGCTCGGGACATCGTGTACATCCATGCCGAGTGAGTGCCCCACGCCGTGCGGGAAGAATGCCGCGCCAACCCCGCTGGCAAGGATCGCCTCCTCAGAGTTCCAAGAACCGGAGTTAGGAGACGTAGACGACTTGAAGATCCCCAGCTTCTGGAAGCCGCGCACGAGCGTACGGTGGCAGATGAGCTGGATCGTGTCCCAATGAAGACCAGGCTTGAGAGCCTCGAAGGAAAGCTACCGAGAAGTGGGTAAGAGTGGTAAACAAGACTGTCTGTGGCAGACGCACCCGCTGCATCTCGAGAACGAGCTCGTAGATAGCGCGCGCCTCGGGGGTGAATTTACCACCGTTGCCCACAGGCATAGTACGAGTGACTAGCACATGACGTCAGACGTCTTCCTGGGACATGAGCAGATTCGCCTACTATCAGCAGCATAGCACTTCCATTCGCAGCCGGCATCTATCAACAGTACTTGAGGGTGAAGGTCCCGTTGGTGGTCGTGTGCGAACTCGTTGCAGTTCTGGTGGTCCTGCGGGCCTACAGGGCCCCAAGCGAACTCGCGGTCGTTACAACAATAGTGCAACGTCGACGCACGCGTTGAGGCAGCTACGATCGGGAGGTAAGCCTGATGTTCAGCCCTGTACAACGATGACGTTAGTCAGTTGCTCGCAGCAATATCGAAGAAACTAACCCCTCTCGACGGCAGGAAGCCACGAAAAGCGCTTCAGCTTCGGCCTCCTTCTGGACCAGCCATTCTCCCGGGAGAAGCGGCCGGTCGGTGCCGGCGCCCTTTCCACGCTTGATGAGTCCCCTCACGCCTTGGCCGAGCACGCGCATGACGACTTCGTGGGCGCGAGAGCTGATCTCGTTGGCCCGTCTGATCAGCGCGATCTCTTCCGCGTCCTTGACCAAACGGGCGCGGTGCAATGCCGCGAGGAGGTAATCCTCCGTGACTTTCACGTCTCCAGCGAGGAATGCAGCGGTGTATTGCGAGGGAATGATTGGGAACAGGGGAGATGAGGGAAGGGTGTGGACCAATGCGCCAGGGAACGCCTTGATCAGCTCTTGGATTGAGTCTGCCAGGGCGGCGGGGTGGTCGATACGTGTGACATCATGCGTCGCGGTGGCTTCCTCTAGGGAGGGTGGCAGGACGGACCACATGATGTCTGCGAGCTCAGCCTTTGGAATGAAGAGGTGGGAAGAGGGCTGGTTGCTGAGCGATGTGCCGTTCTGGTACGCTAATAGCAGGTAGGACGCTGGGACGCGACATCCTGACAGATAGAAGAAGTTCGATTCCTGGAGGAACTCCTCAGTACCCTCTTCACGTACAGGCCTTCATGCGCCGATAGTGTACTCACCTGCCTGAACGGCATCTCGCGATCCGTATCATTGCGGAACGGTGTGACTGCTCCTGCAAGAAGAACAATCTGCGGCTAGAGGGATATGAGAGATCAGCAAGAGAACTGCATTCGAGTAGTAGGACATTAACATACCTTATTCTGTTCCACCGCGGGCAGCAGCTCGACTAGCTTTGTGAAGGTCTTAATCGCGTGCTGCTGGGCTTCTCGTTATGAGCAACGCTGCTCTGGTGATTTCCGGTATGCATACCAGGATATGATTTGCTGGCCATCTTGATTGAATAGATACAAGAGCTCGATTACGCTGCCCTGGTGGTGGCCGCTCGAAGTCAAGGAGCAGATATATACAGGCGCCCGCTGTGCATCTTCTTTCCTCCGCTCCGCCAGTCTGCTCCTACCCTCATTCACCATCGCGTCGCGTCGCGTCTCTCTGAATGGCGACACAACTGGTTTCAAAGGCGGAGCGTGCATACATCCAAGCTTCTCTGCAGGCCACGCCTCCGTTACGCGCAGATGGACGCGGTCTTCTCGATTTCCGGACTGTCTTGCTAGAAACTGGCGTCGCGCCCCTAGCAAACGGCAGCGCGAGGCTCAATATCGGAAAGATGGCACACGAAGGCGGAGGCGGGACCGAGGTGCTCGCCGCAACCAAGCTGGAGGTAGAGGACATGGAGACTGGGGACGGCGTCGACGGCGGGAGGGTAGTATGCTCGGTTTCGTGGTGCGTATCCGGAACTCCCTTAAACGCAGACGAGCCGCTCAGTGAACGAAAGACAGCTCTCCTTCGGCATATTCGCATCTGTCCTCGAATGCGTTGGACGAGCTCCAACACGACCTCACCGTGATCCTGCAACAAACGATCAGCCACCCTTCTCTGCACCCTCAAAACCTGACCATCATCCCTCGAAAAAAGTCATGGCTCCTCAACCTGGACGCAGTAATTTTGGCGGACGCGGGAAATGCAGTTGACGCGCTGTTCATGGCTGCTCGCGCCGCACTATGGGATACCAAGGTACCGCGCACGCGGGCCGTGGAGTACAATGCTCCAGAAGCGTCTCAAGTGGCGAGGGACAGTGCTGGCGCAATGGACGTCGATAACAGGGAGGCCATTCCAGCAGTAAGCGGCTTCGATACACGGGAGATGGTCAGGACGGCTGCCGACTTCGAGCTTCCTGATTATTGGGACGAAGGCGAGGTGCTGCAGGGTCAAGAAAAGTGGCCTGTATGCGTGACCTTGAACCTTGTGAGTATTGCAAGCAGTTACTACGTAGTTCAAGCAAACTAATACGCTTTCCTGAAGCTGCCGCCGACGCATTTTCTTGACGCAACGCAACCAGAAGAAGCATCCGCGCCATTACGGGTTCACCTGATGTTCTCATTTGCTTCTGCAACCTCGCCTAAGTTGCATTCTCTGCGACTATCAGGACCTGGAGAATTGGAGTTGACGCAAGTGAAGTCCTATATTGCGGTAAGTGCTGAGAAACTCTTCAATTTTGGGTAATTCTGAGATGTCTGTAGGATGGCGAGAAGTACGCGCGGGAATTGTACAACGCGCTAGAAACCAAGCTGCGCGAAGAAGACGTCAGGCGTAATGTCAAGGCAAGAGATAGGTTTGCCCTGCGATGACTTCGAGCTCGGCTATAGATCACACAAAAGTACCACCATCGCATTATTTGTACATCAGCTAACTCTTGTCGCTGTGCTGTTCGACCCGTTCAGCTAGAGCCTGTCGACTGCGCGTGCTCTCGCAAGACCTTGTTCAGCCCCTCCCTCTTCATGCAGTTCTCGAACTTGAAACTCTCCGCGATCCTCTCGAGCTGCTCCTCTGACATCCCTCTGAAGTGCTCCGCCCATTCCATCACGAGGAACTCGCCTATGAGCGTGTTTCGTGCAATCCTTGCGACGCGTCCCTCGACGGTCCACACCGGGTAGGGGTAGAGCTTCCGATGCTCCTCGTTGGGGACGTTGTCCTCGATGAGCTTCACGATCGGCCCGTAGATGTCGCGCACGAACTTGTCGTCTCCGCCCCACGAGTCGACTGCCAGGCGGTACTTCTTTTGCAGGAGGTCCTTAAACAGCTGCATGTAGGGCGTCTCCTGCGAGACATAGACCATGCCTTGGAACCCGATGTCCTTGTACAGCCAGATGGACCAACTTAGGCGGTCCTGTGGGATGCTCGTCAGGTGCGTGGTCCTACCGTCGTCAGACTGCTCGCCTTTGCGTATAGCTCAAGCTGATCTTTCAGGACGTTGTACCGCCGCTCGTTGATCTCGTCCATCGCATCCCCCTCGTATTCCTTCCGCGCGTATACCGGGCCCCACTCGCCATTCCAGACGCAGAGCCCGCGCTCGTCCATCCACTCCCGTTTCTTCTCGTAGCTCCTCCGCATTCGCCTGCGCTGCTCCTCCGTGCGGGCGTACGGCTCCGGGCTCGCCGGGAAGCCGTACAGAGAATAGTCGTGGATGGCGTACGCGGCATTCGGCCAGCGCGTCGCTGCGTCATCCGGGAAGCCCGAGAAGTCGGTCGCGTACGTGTTACCGTCGAGGAAGAGCATGTGGTTCGGGTCCACGGCGGCAATCGCTGCGTAGACGCGGTCGTAGAAGTTCACTAGCCCGCTGTGCTTCGGATCGGATGGCTCGTTCATGGGGTTGTATCCTGCAATCCACTGTCGCCCCGTGGACGAATCAGCCGGGATGAACGTCAGGACGTGTTAGGGAAAAAAGGACCTTCTCGTCCTTGTAGTGCTTCGCGATCTCCGCCCAGAGCCATACTAGGCGGTCCTGGAAGTCTTTGTGTATCCAGAAGTTCGCGATGTGCGTGCCCGCGTCTGAGTGCCAGCCGCCGTTCTGCCCGCCGGGTGCGGTGTGCATGTCGATGATGGTATATATACCGTGCTTTGCGCAGGCGGCGACGGCGCGGTCGAGATGCTTGAAACCCTCGGGCTTGAGCACGCGCGGGTTCATGTTGTCCTCGAAGTGCCGGTAGTTGACGGCGATGCGGATACAGTTCAGCCCGAGCGACTTAAAGAAGGCGGCATCTGGCTCGGCGAAGAAGTTCTCCAAAAACTGCACAAGGAGTGGTGAGTCGCGTTCATTCCGCTGTTGTTCCTATGCGATGTGCGCATGGCTGACCTTGTCGAAGAAGAACTCAGACTTCTGGGTGCCGAGCACCTCGGCGAGTGCTTCGCGTATTTGGAACTCGCATCCAGGGTATCCTACGGCGTCATAGGTCGGCTGTTACGTCTTGCGATAGAGCAGAAGAGTCTTACCTGAGATGAAGTTCTCCATCCTGACAACGCATACGTTCCTTGAGCAGCGTTCACTTTAGTGGACATAGATTCAAACACTCACGTCATCCACCCTCCCAACCCGGCACCGCGCAAGATCACCTCCTTGCCCTCCTCGTCCACGATACGGGTCTTGTCGACTCGAAGAAATCCTGCCATGCTCTGAGGCGTCGGGGGCTGTCAGTCTCGCCCTCTGGGCGGAGCCAACTGGTGTCCCAAGACCTCATATATGGCCGTATGATCGCGCTGGGCTCACACGGCCCCCGAATTTAGCACTTCGACGTCGGACCGCCTCCCACCGCGCTGTGCCTGCCTTCCGACGCTCGAACTGCTCGAGCGCACACCTGACCGCGCGGTGGCGATACGACTTCCGCATCGGGCAGTTCATTATATTTCGTCGAGGCTTTGCCGCACGCAAGCCCCTGGCTCAGCGCGGCCCCCCGCCCGGGCCCGGGGAATACTCGGATGCTCCCAAGGGCTGTCGCGGACCGTGTCCGAGGCTGAACGGTTGAGTGAGCTGATGAGTGGCTGGAGGACGCTGCATATAAGGCGGCCGCGGGGGGCGCGGAACATATCCAACCTTACCCCCCACACCCGCCATATCCTCTACCATGGCATACTTGAAGGTTTCTGGCACCAAGGTCGTCGACCAGAATGGCAAGGAGATCATTCTGCGCGGCGCCGGTCTCGGTGGATGGATGAAGTGCGTGTGCTGTCCATGTCCCTGGCTCTTCAACTCACATGCTATGTTTGAAGCATGGAGAACTTCATTACTGGTGACCTTTGCTGTATGATTTCGATGCTTTGGACAGGAGCTGACCCTTGTCCAGGCTACCCCGGATGCGAGTTCCAGATTCGCGCTGCTCTCGCCGGCGTTGTCGGTGAGGAGAAGTCGGAGTTCTTCTTCGACAAGGTGAGTAGATTCATGATGTTTCCGAGGACTGGGCTTAACCAAGGCACGCAGTTCCTCGAGTACTTCTTCACAGATGCCGACGCGGCGTTCTTCAAGAGCCTCGGCCTGAACTGCATTCGTCTTCCCTTCAACTATAGGCATTTCGAAGGTACGCTAACGGGCGTCTGATCGCACAGTTCTACGTTGCTCACCACCCAATGATAGATGATATGAACCCGCGGGTTTTGAAGCCTGAGGGGTTCAAGCACCTTGACCGGGTGATCGACCTTTGCGCAAAACACGGCATCTACACCATCCTCGACCTCCACACCGCGCCCGGCGGGCAAAACACCGACTGGCACGCCGACGCGGGCACGCACATCGCGAATTTCTGGACGCACAAGGACTTCCAGGACCGCATCGTGTGGCTCTGGGAGGAGCTCGCGAAGCACTACGTCGGGAACACGTGGATCGCGGGCTACAACCCGCTCAACGAGCCCACGGACCCGTACCACACGCGCATCATCGGCGTGTACGACCGCCTGTACGAGGCGATCCGCAAGATCGACCCGCACCACGCGCTCTTCCTCGACGGGAACACGTTCGCGTCCGACTTCTCGCACTTTGGCGACGCGCACAAGCGCTGGGACAACGTCGCGTACTCGATCCACGACTACTCCGTGTTCGGCTTCCCCGCCGCGCCCGAGCCGTACACGAGCACGGAGACGCAGCTGCGCCGCCTCCGCCGCAGCTACGAGAAGAAGCGCCAGTGGATGGACGAGCGCGGGCTGTGCGTGTGGAACGGCGAGTGGGGCCCCGTGTATGCGCGCAAGGAGTACGAGGGCGAGCGTACGGACGCGATCAACACGGAGCGGTACCAGGTGCTCAAGGACCAGCTTGACATCTACAACAAGGTGTGTTTGTGCTCGTATGGCTGGATCATGATCGCGCAAAAAGCTAACGTGCGATGCTAGGATCGTCTGAGCTGGTCGATCTGGCTGTACAAGGACATCGGCTTCCAGGGCATGGTCTTCGTCTCGCGCGAAACGCCGTACATGACGCTCTTCAAGGACTTCCTCGCGAAGAAGCACCGGCTCGCGATCGACGCGTGGGGCGCGGACGAGTCGCACATCCGCCCCGTGTACCAGCCCCTGATCGACCTCATCAAGCAGGAGGTGAAGCCGGAGCACCAGAGCCTGTACCCGGCCCCGGTGTGGAAGCTCACGGACCGCATCGGCCGGCTCTCGCGCAACATCCTCGTTTCCGAGTTCCTCGTGCAGGAGTGGGCGGAGCACTTCCGCGGGAAGAGCGAGGCGGAGCTCGACGAGATCGCGCGCAGCTTCAGCTTCGAGAGCTGCTTGCACCGCGAGGGGCTCAATAAGATCTTGACGGACAACGCGACCTTGGTGGCGCAGGAGAACTGAGCGGCGGCGGAATTATAGTGATAGATCATGTATTATAGCGCTGTGCGTTTGTTTTCTACCATGCAGACTCGCTTGAACAACTACCTCTACTGCTCGTGATCAAACCTGGAACGGCCGACTCGCCGCACGCATTGAAGCTTTGAGAAACCAATAGGCGCCCGTGAGCGACGGAAAAGAAACGAAGTTTGACGAGTTTGCCGTAGGCCAAACGCCAAGTGCCTTGACTGGAGGAAGCGATATAGGATGAGAAGAGCAGCAGAGGCAGTTGGCCAAACTGCTGCGCTGCTCTTCTCGCCCCATATCCCTGCCCCCAGCGCAAACCGAGGCTGATTACCAACCACACGAACACTGGAGAACAACGAACATGATATCGCCCAGAAAGAGAGAAAGATAGCAAGCTGAGCTGAATAGAAGGAAAACGAGATACTCCCGGAAAAAGAGGGGCAGTGACGAAGAAAGCAAGACCGAGGCAAATAGGCACACAGAACCGAGCGGAACCAGACCAGACCAAATCTGAGGAATGAGGTACGAGGACAAGGGAGAAGAGAAACCGGGGCAGGTCCAAGATCGCGACTAAGAAACGAAGGGCCTATGATGGGGTATATAGAAGATATTAGCAACGCGTCACTGCGCTAGAGAGTGAATAAAGTACTCACTTTACGGATACGTGCGGGAGCGGGCGCCCGAAGGCCCCCACCCCCGCTCCGACGGAGGACGACAACCGAGGTGGCCAGCCCCAATCATCGCCACCGGAGACCTAGATCAAAGGGGAAGGGAAAGAACTATCAGTGCGCAAATGCTGAACAGAAGGGAACCGAGATACTACCGTGGCAATGTCGGGGAGGTTGACATCATCACAGGGTCATCCAAGCCCTCAGTCAGCTTTAAACTCGCCGGCGCCGTGTCCAGGTCCGGGCGTCGTGTCGAGCTTGAGCGTGTTGTCATCCTCGGGTGTGCATCTGTGTGTAGAAAGTAAAGCAGCGAGGAACAATGACGAGAGATGTGAGTTGGAAATGGCGTCGAGCGTTGGCAGACCCAAGGTCCGGCGGGGGTCATGACTCCCCACCTCGCGCGAGCGTCCAGCCGCGGCTGTCAGCCTCACCTGTATTCCGATCCGGCCGGGAGAGGGTCCGTCGTCCATGTGGAGGTCTTCAGCGCGCGCGATGTCGAGGTCCGGGTCCAAATCGAGGCCAAGCAGGGAAACACAGAAAACACGGTCGGGAAACAGGGTGCGAAAAGGAGACAAGGAGAACAACGGCAACTCAGATCGAACGGTAGACAATGGAATGACGCCTCTGCGCATCCCGGAGCGGAAGAAGCTTGAACTGGAAGTTGGCGCCACCATCAATGAGGGGTCGGTATTCGGGGCGGCGGTCGCGGTTGCGGGGCTTGACCTGGCGTTGGCCACGGACGAGGCGGCATTGGGTGTTGGTCGTGGCGTACTCGGGGGTGGCGTCCGTCGGCATCGGGGGGCGGGCCTCGTTGAAGTCGGACAGGGCCATGGGGGGCGGGGAGAGGAACGACCAGCGCTCGGCGGAGGGGACACGGGTGGAAGGGGCGAAGAGGGTGGAAGACATTGTGGAAGGGGTGTGGGAAGGGTGTGGGGGTGTGGGGATGATGGGAGTGCGGAGGAAAGATAGGTAAGGATTGAGGGCGGGGAGGGGCGGGTTTATATGGGGTGTCGGATGTGCGACTCGGACTGAGCGTCGGGATTGCCTTATGTGGACGTCCGCGTCGAGATTCGAGAGCGTTGAGCCTTGTCCCATGTTAATTCCCCACACTTGGCTGCGCGATACGGCGCTGCTATTGGGACAAGAAAGGGTTCTGCATAGTCAGTTTGGCCCGGGTGTGTTTAGGAGCCCGCGCTCTTGTCTGCGTGTTTTGACCATTTGGTTTCCCTTTGGCAGATAGGCATCGCATGCGGCAGCTCAGCACAGCACATTACGAGAGTTGGCGGCGGGCGCTGTCCCATCCTAGAAGAGTAATATCAACGAGTTTCGCAGATTGCTTTTACCGGAAGGGGAACGGTGGGCCCAAGAAAACACGATGGCTATATGCGCACTCAGAGATGCAAATCGCGATGTAGCGGACGTCCTGGCCGGCTGAGCGGAACACCAGTAGCAAAACGCATGGTACGGCGAGGGCTTAACGGCAGGGGCTCGATATGGTACTGGGTACTCGTTCAATAGGGCCTAGTCCCTAGTCCACATTCACCGGTCAATGTCGCGTCCCCAAGGATGAACACGGCGGAGGCAGCTTACCTGCATCATACCGCTTGACACGTCTGTGTCAACGTAACTTTAGCAGTCCATGCAGCGCCGGTGATTCCATGGTACAACCAGGACCTACCGGATGACGTTCGATATGAGTTCGCCGGCGACAATTCCGTCTTGGTAAAGGCCTAGGCTTGATCACAAGCTCGCGGAGAACACGAGAAGATATATTCAGTTGTGGTCTGCCGAATCTCTCGAGTGTTCGAAAGCTCTCGTTTTTGCCGATTCCAATACCGCTACGGAGACCTGGTGAGTGTCTTTCCACATCGAACAATTGGCCTGACCTCACCAATGACCGTCGTGCGTTCGTGCGACGTCGCGGACTCGAATGAACATGCCCGCCTGCAGTCGCCGCACCGTCCCGTCTAGCGCCCTCTCGGCAAGGCTCGATACGTCCAACAACGGAGGCTTTAGAAGCTGTGTGACCCAATTTCCGCTGAGGACAGCATCAAGCGATTCAATGGCCCAGAGAAGTCGAACAGGCCTAACGTTGGGCCCTCGGCCATCCCCGTGCGTGTTGAGCTAGACATATAATCACCGCTCTTTGTGCGCACTGCGGTTGCAAACGTCGATGATGGCTAGCCTGAGGTCGGGCCTGGGGTCGACAGAAAGCCTAGGTAACGAGCGTGTTGAGGTGCAGCCTCAGCATGGGATATGTACAGCCCTGTAGGTGTGTCTTGGCTGGAGCCTCGACCGCGGTGGATGTGGACGATGGAAGAGCACAGAACGCACCCGTGCACACCCGTACGCGTTCCAAAGCGGCGAGTGGAGGCGCAGGCGCCGAAGAAGCCGCGTTGAGTTGCCAGGCCGGCCTCACTCCCCTTGCCTTCTGCCTTCATCTGGTCTCGCCGCCCGTTCTCGCCCTTCGTCGCGGCAGTCATCCCTCGTAATACGAAGCTCGAAGAAGGCTAGTGACTCGCTGCAGAAATTCGAGAGGCAGGTTTCACAGAGGTTCAAGGTGCACGTACGTACGCTGGCTCTCAGACGGACAACGACATCGAAATCAGCATCACGTTGCTTGCACCCGCGCCGCTGGGCAGCCGTCTTGGCGGTGGGTTTCGCCGACTCGGAATCAACGTTAATCAACATCGGGCACGTTCAGCCGTCGGCAGGCAGTACGATGAGTGCAACATCTGTTCATCACACTGCTTTTGCGCCCCGAGCGGGCCAGCGTCCTCCAGCGTCATCCTCCGCCAGATCACCCACCACGCGCCGGGATCTTGGATGGGACATGCCACAGCCAGGTATATAAGCGCGTCCCCCTAGCCTCGTTGTCCCCCGCCATTCCCGCCTTTCGCTTTCTCCCCCAACCACCGCCTTTCCTTCCCTCTCACCTCTTTCAAGTCGACCGTCACGATGCTCGCGCTCAGCCTCCTCGCTCTCGGCCTCTCCGCCGTGTCCACCATGGCGTTCCCCGCCGTGAAGCTCCCGCGGGCTGCCCCCGGACCGTGGTGCGACGGTCTCGGGCCCGGCGCGTTCGACGAGGCGTTCAACGTCACGCTCGCCGCGTGGAACACCACCGGCACGAACACGAACACCACCGGTGCCCCGCTCGTCCTTGGGTCGGGCGGATCGATCACCGGGGCCTCGTTCAGGCATCTTTCGGTATGTGGCTCAGGCTGTGGTGTTTCGAGGACGCGTGGAGGCTGACGCGCGGTGGCACCGCATAGACATGGGCCTCATATCCCTTCAACGACTACCCCTCCGTCTCGCTCGTGAACGGCACCCTCATGCTCAACGGCGGCGTCTCCGCCACCCCTTCGCAAGCCACGATCGTCCAGGAGGGCTCGCAGCCCGGCTTTGTGCTGAGGAACGACGCCGTCCCAAGCGAGGGCGCCCAGATCTACTGCGCTGTGGTGAGTGTCGCATCCCCATCACGCCTCCATCCGCGCCAGTTGCGCGTTCAGCGTACATTGTCGAATGATGTCTGACTCTCTGGCGCGCGTTATAGGCGGACACGGACCCCGCCGGCCACGGCACGGGCCACCCCTTCCTCGCGGTGAACGGCGACACGGACTCGTTCCAGCTGTGCAAGACCAGCTTCCAGAACGTCGTGTACTGGAAGCCGATCCCCGACCACGGCGAGGACTTCGACACGTGCTACCCCGTCAAGGTCCAGGTCATTTTCCAGGACTAAGCCGCCGCGCCACCCACCGCCGCCACTACCTCTTCCGCGCGTCCTCGCCCACTCCAATGCAGGGCGCTCGGTGCGCCGGCGATACCGCACGTAGACACTTGGACATGGACTCGCCTCGTGTCATGATCGGACAGGACATTCTCTCTCGGACACTCGTCACGAACACTCGCTTTCGGTGCTAACCGCCTCCTCCCTCATACTACTCACTGTGGCCCGTCGTGTCGTTGCTTGGCATACGCGTAGCAGTATATTCTGAACTATCGTAGTACTGGCTAGTAGGCTATAATGTTACCGCGGTAGTACAGTGGTATGGTGTCTCTTCGCGGGCTACATACATACTAGACTGGCTGCGTAATTTGACTGGTTGGTTCGTGCATTTGTGTTTGTGTGCGTTCGATGTAGTTGTGGGTGCTGGTGTGTATGGGCGCACGCGCGGTGTTTAACGTACTGACGTGCATAGACGTGCTTGAGCGAAGGATGGGCGCCTCGCAACTTCAAACTTGTGCTGATACGTCCATCTCACTCAGCGCGGAGTCTGTAAGGCTGCTCTCCAAGCGTAACACGACTGCAATGAACGACTTCCAGCGCCGCTAGCGCTGTCGATGCGACGCATGATCCTGCGAGGTGTGAGCGGGCTGATTCGTCGGTGGCTAATCTATGTTTTCAGTTCGATTCACTGCACGACATGTACATCCAGCGTCCGACTTCGACCCTGTCTCATCGCTGACGCGTACTGGCTATACATGCTGAACGGCGCGGCGCTCTCTGTGGGTCGGCGGTTGCTGGGAGTGAACGGGGCAAGGATGAAGCCTGCGGAGAGACCAGAATGGTGTAGTTGCAACCTCTCTCCGCATATAGCCAGGTCGCAGGACGCTAACAGCACCTTGCGTTTGGATTTTAGCGCTACAGAAACTGAGAGTCAGACTCTTTGGCGTGCACCGTTGTGTTTACTGAATACAGGGGCGCGGGCACAGCGTATGTATGTTCGAGACCTGGAAAAGAAACGCATGCCATCAACCTATCGCGCCTGGCCGGTGACCCGCTGGGGCTCGAGCGAGTAAGTACTAGTGCTTCCACCAAGACATTTCACGCTCTGCGCACGACCCTCAACGCACGACGGGGCACCGTGTGTGGACACTGATGACACGACAGGGCCCCGACACCACATATGAAGCCGTCCCCACTGTCAAGAAGCTGCTCGCCCAGAGGCGGCACTCGATTGTCTTCGGCACGCTTCTCAGCATGCCTGACGCACTGACTTTCCCTGTTTTCCAAGTGCATTCAATTCTATTCCTGGCAGTTATATCAGCATCAACCCCGAGTTCATGACTGTTGCTCGTTCCTCGCTGATCTTCGTTTTCCGTACAGGGTCTCCTACTTGGAAGACGGTTGCAACTCGCAGGCGACAAGCATTGAAGATACGCGGCCCTTCTTGGGAGAAGACCAGGTCCCGGATCCGCATCCGACTTGAGCTCATCGTCTGGGAGGCTGTCATGGACGTGATTGACCACCCGGCCGCGTTGGCCCTTCGACGGCATACATCGATCTATCCATTCTAGCTGAGTTCTTTTACTTCTTCCAGACTTCTTCCTCCCCGTTTCCTCATGACCTAGATCTTACATTGGTCGTACGTATAAAGCTGGATACACCGTCTCGTCCATCCATCGTGTCTGTCTGCCTTCTGCATCACCCTTGCTGCTGTCTACGCTTGCCGCCACGCTAGCTCGCAGCGGAGGAACCACCCATTTCGATCAGTCCTCATCTCTCCTGACTTTTCTCAGGGGTCTCACCATCCCATGCGGAGAAGGATCTCGCGAGCCAGGACGCTGTTGAGGGTAGGTATTGGACATATCCTCAAATTTGCACAACGAGCCAGTGGTTCTACTCCAGCGTACTTTGTGACCGAGCCTGGTACGTACTCAGCTTTACGCATATCAAACACCCGACTCGCAGAAACATCGAACAACGACCTTCATCAGCTCCATCCGCACCTGTTTCTCCGTTCTGCCTCAGCGTTGCATGCGCTACGCCCAGGCGCCGCGGACAAGCTCATCTCCGTGTCGGCCAACTTCACAGCCCCGCGTTCTTTACCGTCCTGCGAGCGCGACATGTGCGCGTGCGTCAACTAGTTACATACTACTCGCCTGCTGCCGCTGGCTCTGCGCGGTCCCCTTCCCCCGGCGCGCTTGAGATGTAGGCGCAGTCGCTCCCAAGACGATTGAACACGCGTGTTTCACCGCCGTGCCGTAGGCTGCGAACGCGGTGGCGCGCGGTGGCACCTCGGACCCAACGCCGCCATCCTGCCAGCATGAAGACAACAAACACGACCGACTACGCGTCCCTGGCTGCCCATCCTGATTGCCTTTGATTGTATGTCTGTATTGGGGCCGGGATCGGGGAGGAGTCGTGCGCCTACCCCGGCATACACCCGGGTGAGTTCGTCCCCTTCCGTTGGTTCGATTCGCCTTCTTACCATCTCCTACAGTCTCTTCCGCAGAGTCTCCACACCCCTGGCATGCGAACATAGAACCAGCCAGCTTCCCCTTCTTTCAGTGCATCTCTTCCTCCAATCGGGGCCGCGGGATCTTTGCCGCGCGGTACGTCGTTCAGAAATGGTTCGTTGTCGAAGGAGCGCATCGCCACCTTCTCGTCCTGCTAGCGCTAGCCGCTCCAAGGTTTCGAGCCTCTCAGATCCTTTTTATGCGCCGAACGGTATATATACTGCGCGGCGTCCAACATATTAATGTATTATCTTGTCATTTTAGGAGAGTCTCGAGAATTTCGTAGGTGAAGTAGCATGCTTTATTTCACCTCCAGGATTCGTGGCGGCATAGCAGGTAATTCCCCGCTTAGTTTACATTTCCGTTTGCATCACATCTGATAGATATTTTAGGCAGCGATTGCGCACAACAGCCTGCCCGTTCTTCTGAACTCGCCGGTGATGTTACCCGGAGACGCGGACACCGCCTAGAGCTCGCTCGTCGACACAGGGTGGGATGTCGGCGAGAGCAGTACGCCGCTGTCTACGAAGGTTCATCAATTGAGTCAGGAGACGATGATGTTTACAGGGAAATGCCTTCTCATTGATCTCTCCAGATCGCGCAGTTCGATACTGGTACGAACATAGTCCTCACGACTCCCCATCGTGCCGAATTACCTCCTGCGGCCTGATGGCTGTCCTCTAAGGCTTGCACTGGTGCACACATTTCCATATAAGCGTTATATATGCATCACCTGCTTGTCATTACTGAAGCATATCACGATGGAGAAGAAACCCCCATATGACGACTCGGGGTCATCAATGGTCGCCGTGCGGACTAGTCAAAAGTTGAACCATTGTGCTTTCACCCACTCTCCATCTGTCACACCCCCTTCCCTGCCCCGGAGTCCCTCCCCAATTGTGCCCCTTCCCCAGACATGAGAACTCTTCCGTTCTTGAGAGCTGAGGTGACCTCCACTTCACTCGCTGCTAGCAGCACTTCACTGACTTATGTCCCCTCACCTTCGTAGCTGCTCAGCCTACTGCTCGAGGCGCTACTGTTTGGGTGCTTCGCCATTCTGTACCCCATATCCTTGTGGATATTAGTGTATCGACATAGGCGCGACGGCCGCCGGTACACCAGGCACGGGATATGGCTCTTCTCCATCGTCACGGTGATGTTCCTGCTCGCTATGATAGTACGTCACTGGCGAGTCGTGACCCTGTCCTTGTGCTCACAACGAAGAAACTTTTAGCATCTCATCTTTAACGGCCTAGATTGCCTCATAATGTTCGCTGACCACAGTACGACAGCCGACGGCCCTTACCTTTTCTACATCTCTGGGAGGGAAGATGGTACCGCGATCCCGAATATGTTGTTCGTGGTAGCAGTCACGTTTGTCGGAGATAGTTTCATGGTATGTGTGGCCCCCGTCCTTCACTGTTATCGGTTTTGGGACTCCACGCTGAATTCAGTCTACAGACATATCGGGTGTTCACAATGTGGGGCCGCAGCTGGAAATCTATCTTCATTCCTACTTCGCTCATCCTGGGGGCCGTGGGCAAGTGTTCCGTCTCATTCTACTACGTAGCGGCTGCCTGACCCTCCTAACTAATTACGTCTCACAGTCTCTGTCGTCCTTCTCATGCTCGAAGCCCATGTTTCCGGGCTCCCTCTCGCGCAGGCCCTATACATCGACAAGGTGAACGCAATGATGACAACCTACCTGGCTCTAGTCCTCGCGACGAACATAGCTACCGTAGGTAGGTTAGCCGCCCCGTCCATGATAGTGCATGCGGCATATCGCTGACATACTTCATCGTCCGTCTCTCTCAGCCCTTATCATCGGCCGGTTGATGTGGCACGAGAGGATGGTCCGCCTGCACCATGTAGACGAGATCTCCGGCCCCTCCATACAGCGGACGGTCGTGCGAACGATCATCCAATCGGAGGCCTTGTACTCTGCCACGATCGTCGGTACTCTCGTGTCCTGCGCCGCTCGCTCCGAGGCCTTCTTCGTATGCACATCTATGGTTGCGCCCCTTGTTGTACGTGCTCTTGGAATCTTTCCCGTATATCTCCAGCTTACGACGGCTCTATCTGTAGGGAATCTCATTCACCCTCATCATCACCCATATTGGGTTTGACGATATCAAGAGACAGATGACAGAGGCTAACAACGCGGATCTTTCGAGGCTGGACTTTCAACGGGTGGTTGACAGCTCTGGGGAAGACTCGTCGCGGTCTATCATTGTCCCAGCAACCCTCGTACTCTCCAACTCAGGCGACTCAGAGAAAGGCGTGCCTGTCGACGGAACCACGAAACACGACAACTCTACCCCCTCCAGGATCAAGACGGTTCGGGCTGCTGCCACCTGATGTGCAGGATGCCCTCCCACAGCGCACACGACATACCGATGAGTACTCAAGTACGCCGCACCGCTTCTTTCTGTGCTCGCAGCTAACACCACAGGGGTCGCGATCCATCTGTAGTTCAGAACATGTCGTAGAGGTACCCAATACATTGAACAGCAACCTCCGACCTTTACTTCATCTGCGTGAACATCTCGATAGAATGTTCCAGGAGCTGGATGTCCGCCTCGAGCGTTTTCCTCTGTCCACCACGAAAGAGCGTCAACGACATGGTAGGAGTGAAGCAAGAATTTATGTACCTTCTCTTCGTTCGCCAGTCTGACGGTAGAAGGAACGGTCGACTCATAATCCTCCTGCGACTCGATCTTCACGATCTTGGTCAAGTTCATTTTCGCGAGCGCAAGCTTCTTCTCCGACTTGAGAATCTCGCTGTCGATGTCGACCTGACCCTACGGGTACATCAGCATTGCTGGGCAGCATGCTTGCATTGGAAAGTACATACTCGCACGAGGACGTGAACGAAGGTCGTCGGGGTGAGCACTTCCGAGCCGCAGCCCGAGGGCACACCGGCGATGTCGCGCACGACCTCGACGGTCTTGCAGTTCTTCGTGAGCGCCAGGAAGGTCGGCACCTGCGACTGGAACAGCTCGGCCTCCGCGTCCTTCTCCGCGCGGATGTACACTGCGCACGGTTATATCAATAAACATCGGTCGCATTCAGAATAGAGAGCATGATTTCGTACCGTGCAGGTTCTGCTGGATGTTGTACGAAGCAGCGAGACCGCGAGACTGTTTGATTGCAGCGAAGACGACATCGAACTCGCGTTCCGCATCGGAGAATTGGAATGACTTGTCCTGCGATCGACGCGGGTGAGTCAAGTGAGCATGAAGTACAACATGGGAGGGTACATACGAAGATGGGGTACTTGGAGAGCATGATCGACGGCGTGGAGTCGTTCGGGCGACGAGGGAGACGCTGCCAGAGCTCCTCGGTGACGAACGGCATGAAGGGGTGTAGGAGACGGAGGCCGTGGTCCAAGCAGGTGTAGAGTGTCTCCTGAGATGAGCGACGTGTCGTCTCCGACGCGGACTCGTCCGTCATGGGCTTCATCGCTTCCTGTAGTTAGATAGTTAGAGTCGTCCTCACCGGCGAGCTGTTCGACGTACAATGTAAACGTCGCAGAGCTCGTACAGCCAGAAGTTGTACGCAGCGCCCGTCGCCGCCATAAAGTTGCGCTCTGCAAGCTGCTTGTTGATCTCCTCCGCGGCAGAGTTGAGCTTGTGCAGGATCCACTTCTCAACCAAGCTCTCCTTGCCAGTAGGCTGCATTATGAAATCAACATCTCGTCAGGCGCACGGTGGCCTATGGATGCTAACCTTTGCAGAGGGCTCGGGAACGAACGTCTCGTCCAGCTTGAGCATGGCGAACTTCGTCGCGTTGAAGATCTTGTTGCAGAACTTGCGGTAACCCTCTACCCGCAGGATCTCCAGATTGATATCGCGACCTGCCACACAGTCAATGTCCCATCCTCTCACGCTTCAAATGCGGTACTCACCTCCACCGGAATACGCGCACAACGCGAATCGCAACGCATCGGTACCGCACTGCGGGATGCCCTTCGGGAAGTCCTTCTTCTGGCCGTTCTTCGCCTTCTGGATCTCGCGCTCGTCCAGGTTGCCCTCGTACAGCTTCGCGTGCAGCGCCTCGAGGTCCAGGCCCTGGATCACGTCGATCGGGTCGATGACGTTCCCGAGCGACTTGCTCATCTTGCGGCCGTGTGCGTCGCGGATCATCGCGTGGCAGAGCACCTCGGGGAACGGCATCTTGCCTGTGAGCTTCACACCGAGCAGCGCCATACGCGCGACCCAGAAGAAGAGGATGTCCCAGCCGGTCTCGAGCAGTGAGGCGGGGTAGAACATCTTGTAGTCTGGGGTCTGCGCGTGTTGTCAGTGACAGGTTCGAAGTAATGCGGGTAAGACGGCGCACCTGTTCGGGCCAGCCCATGATCGACATCGGCCACAGGCCCGAGGAGAACCACGTGTCGAGAACGTCCTCATCCTGCTCGAGCGTGAACTTCTTCCCAGCAGCGAGTTTCGTCGCGCGCTCGGTGGCCTCTTCCAGCGTTCGGCCAACGACCCAGTGCTTCCCGTCGTTGCGCTGCAAGGGATGTCATGTTAGCCCACCCGCACAGAATTCAGAGCTTATGACTCACATCCTGATCAGCACCCTCCACGTTGACGAAGTAGGCCGGACACCGATGACCCCACCACAGCTGGCGGGAGATGCACCAGTCCTGGAGGTTCTCCAGCCAGCGGTACCACTCGGTCTCTGATGGCTTCGGCGTGATGAGCAGCTCGCCTTCGCGGGTGCGCTACCGTGGACGTCAGCTTGTGTTCTATTGCGAGTATACGCGATGTCTTACCTTCAAGACTTCATCCGCGAGGGGCTGGCAGTTGACCCACCACTGAGGCTTCAAGATGGGCTCGATGATATCGCCCGACTTGCTGTGAGCGAGTTAGGCTAGGACACATCGAACAGGAAATCAAGGCTGACCTGCAGACGGGAATCTGCATCGGGTTGTCCTTCGTCTCAACGTAAAGTCCGAGATCCTTCAGCGCCTGCACGACGGCCACACGCGCGTGGAAACGCTTCATGCCCTTGAATTTCTCGCCCGCGTTCTCGTTGAACGTGCCGTCGTCGTTCAGGATGTTGATGAACTCGAGCTTGTGCCGCATGCCGACCTCGTAATCGTTCGTGTCGTGCGCGGGCGTGATCTTCACGGCACCCGTCCCGAACTCCATGTCGACGATGATGTCGTCCGTGATGATCGGGATGAGGCGGTCGACGAACGGGTGCTTCGCGAACTTGCCGTGAAGGTGCTGTCGAGTGCGGGTGTGAGTTTGTGGCAAAGATTGTCCATGGAAGGGGACGTTACCTTATAGCGGGGATCTTGGGGATGAACGGCAATGGCGGTATCGCCGAGCATGGTCTCCGGACGAGTAGTCGCAACGATGATCTTCTCGTCTGATGCTGGGGTCAGCCTGGGACGTATAGGACCACGCGCACGACTAACCGGACCCGTCGATGGGGTACACGAAGGAGGTGATAGCGCCGAACTCGAACTTCTCCTTCAGGTCGTATCCGGGCACGTTTAGCATCGTACGCCCATCTAGCTGCTTTTGATCGACCTATGGATTTCACTTCAGCAGGAGCCGTGCAAAGTGCGTTCCGGATTGATCCTACCTCCAGGTTGGATAGCGTGGTGTTCAGCTGTACACACCAGTTGACAAGACGGTTGGCGCGGTACAGGACGCCGTCCTCGTGGAGACGGCAGAAGGTCTCCGCGACAGCTTTTGAAAGGTTCTGTCCAGGTCTCAGCCTGGGAGTCGCGTGATCCACAATGGGTTCTTACCTCGTCCATGGTGAATGCGACGCGTTCCCAGTCGTAGCTCCCTCCAAGCCTCCGCAGTTGGTTAGTGATCCTCCCCTGGTAACTGCGCGAGATGTGAGCGAAAATAGAAACACACAGACGGCAGGCTCACTCTTCTTTCCATTCCCAGACCTTCTCAACGAACTTCTCCCGTCCGAGGTCGTGTCGTGTCACGCCCGTCTTATATAGCCGCTTCTCTACCACGGATTGCGTGGAGATGCCCGCGTGGTCGAATCCTGGCACAAAGAGAGTCGTCTTGCCCAACATGCGATTCCTGCAGCGCGTGCCAGTCAGCTTCTTCGGCGATGCGTAACGCATCTCTGCGAAATATAGGATAGGAAGGGAAACGCACCATCGTACTAAACAGTCCTGGATGGCCACAGTCAACGCGTGTCCGATATGCAAGCTGCCGGTGACATTTGGGGGAGGGGAGGGAATGACGAAGAGGCCTTCAGGCTTGACCTGGCCGTCCTCCGTGAGTTGAGGCGCGAAGTAGCCCTGCGCGTCCCACCAGTCATACCACGCCGCCTCGACGGCGATCGGGTTGTAACCGGCAGCCATGGGCTCCGAGAGGTCTTGGGTATGGCATAGTGAATTAGCCAGTGCTGCGAAGTAGGCTGCGGTTACTCACCCTTCTTCTCGCCCTTCGGAGTGCTGTTCACGAACGGGGCCTCCTCCTCCTTCCCTTTCTCCTTCTTCGCCTTCTTCTCGCCAGCAGGGGCGGTCGCCGCGGCCTTTGCAGCCTTGGCCGCCTTCAGTGCGAGGCGGGCCTCATTCTCCTTCTTCTTCGCGAGTTTCTTCTCTGTACCCGGGCGAAATCGTAGGAGCCAAGTTCAGCGTAAGACTCGGAGACCAGAAAGAGCAAGTCACGGACCGGCACTCTTGGTGATGGGGACGGATGTACCCTCCGCTGCAGGCTCAGACATTGTGACAAGAGTGGGATGGATAAAGCGTCGACCAGGACGATGCGGAATGCGGAGAGCAGCGATTAATCGATGCCCGGTACGGTACATCCAGCGAGTATAAAGTTATTAGTTAAGGGCGAGTCATGCATAGATCTGCCATCGCGCCTTATCTTATCTACCTAAATACCCCGCGACGCGATCGACTAGATCAAACACGCGCATACACGCGTCGCGTTCATCCCACCAGCTTCCAGTTCAACTCAGCCGGAACGTTGATCTCCACCGCGGCATCGGCTTCAAATTTGCATGTTGCCGTCATACGATGGATGGAACATCGGACACGGCGTCCACACGCCCGCGGCGCAGTGCGCGCACGCCAGCCAAACCACCCGCAAAGACCCCTGCTTCGGCTGCGCCCCCACCTGAGTCTCCCGCTCGACCTAGGCAGAAGGCCCGCGAGGCCGCTGCGAAGAGCTCCCCAGAAAAGCTTGAATATCTACTGAGCAATACCAAAAGCAAACTCACAAGAGTTGAAATGACGGTGAGGGGGCTACCGTGCGTCATGCAATTGAACTCAAGCACTCACGACTGCGGTTTATCTCAGGAGGTAATCAACTACCCAATTTTCCTAGATCTGCCCGAAGAAGTTCAGAACCGGTTATGCGCTCTGCTGCCCTCAACCGCATTCTCTACCTTTTCGCCGTCCGTGTGTCCAACTCATCCCGATTATGACGCCACCGGCGACGGGGACCAAATGCAGGTGGACTATGCTCCTGATGATCGCACTTCGGCAACACTGGACCCGACCGTGTTCACATCGCCGTACTTCCTCTCCGCCGCCCACACGTTTCAGGATCACCTGTTCTCGTCTTGGATGGGGAAGAAGGCCGCCGACGACCTCACAAAGTTCGAGGAAGGCGCGCGGTCAGGCGCGATGCATATCGACTGGAAAGACGAAGTGTGGGAGCGCGAGCATCAGCGACCGTTTGTAAATGCGAAAGGGTGGGTAATATGCAATGCACCGAAGGTATGAAGTAACGAGCTCACGACTCTGCTAGGAAACAGCCGCCAAGGGCGGACATGGCGACGCTTGCGAAGGGCGGGCTGTTGCAGGCGGGTGATATACTCGCATACAAACGGTGCTTCCCAGCGCTTAACGTCACTATGGAGAAAGACGTACTGGTATGCCTCTGATTTGCCCGCAAATCGTGCAGCTACCACTTATGCTCTGTTTCTGCAGATTGATAGCGTGGATCCGCAGACCAATTTCCCGACCTTTCTACTCGCCCCGGGGGCGCAGAAAGAACTCCCTCGCGACCTCCTGGTCTGTGACGCAAGCCAATGCGCCGAGAAGACGCTGACGATAGAAGACGTTGCAGACCCGGTCGCACTCGAGCGCGGAATCCTCGATGTCGACGGCCGGGTTCGCTCCGGCGAAAAATACGCACAGGACGCAGCAGCCTGTATCGGACCACCCACCTCTACGACCGGGGCGGTGAGCGACGAGTTGAAGGCCGTTATCGCGGTGCGCGCGTGGAAGACGTTCACGGTGTGGCGGTGGCGCGAAGAGGTGCGGGGGCAGACGGAGCTGCACAGGGTGCAGGAGCGAGGCGGGAGAGAACACGTCGCGACCTTGTTTTACTTGAGGGGCTGTCACATAAGCGGTTTGTAGTAGGCTCGACATGCATCACTATACACACTTGCACTGATACTACGTCATGATTACGGTGGTCTTCAACATGTCTACGGAATGCACACGACAAGGTACTGCACCACAAAAAATAGTGCAAATACTCGACAGTAATGCACGCTCGGTGTGAAAACAACCGACGGGGGTCCAGATATGATATATCGACGTGCTAGTGCGGGATGTCGAGTGTAGGGGTGGTGCCTAGAAGTCAAGGCGTAGGGGCTTTGAGCCTAAGGTTCCATAGCCTTCTTTACAACGTTACGTCGCCGTCCCATGGTATGAGAGCAGAGAAATAGTCCAAGCATAGATAGCTCCAGGCGTACAAGATCTCGTAGAGGGTACTTGATGTTTTGCATGATGGAATTTTGTGTCATGATGCTTCTAGTGCACCTACAGGCGTAATGTGTAGTATCATCCGTACAAATGCCAAAAATCAGGGTGAATCATGAAGACGGGCTGAACGCTGGCCTTAGAAGGGCGAACAAGCTCGGTGATGAGGAGATGCGTGATGTCAACTGGGCGTCCTCTGACCCGCAATGGCTGGTCACGCTAACCCAGGGCGCAGTAGACGTACACATAAGCGCTGATAGAGGACATGGTTTGATGACAGGAAGAACTCACCAGGAAGTCGCATAACTGGTCCACAACGATGACGGCGAAGTCTATCCGTGAGAGAGGCGCCTGTGCTACAGAACTACCGAACGTGTTCAAATCGATAAGACGGTGCTGTGAAACAGCTAGGACACACCCCTCAGGCCTGCGATATTCGTTGAATTGGCGGGGGCGCCATGTAGGGTTGGGTAACCCCTGAAACTATTCAGACTGTCAACAGACCCGTCCCCTTACGGTTTGAGCGCGCAGTGAAATGCGGCTTACCACAAAGCGGACGGTAAATTTCTGGTTCTTCCGGCGTCCTTCAGGATCAGGGAAGGCTGCGTGATAATTGTCCGCCGTCTCACGAAGCTGCCAGAGGTGTCCGCTTTGAACAATATCGCGCACGAGAATGTTGAGAAAAGCGGATGCCACCGGTCTCTCCAGACGCCGGAAGCCTCGTGCGTATACGGTTTGAGGAATAATCCACTCGAATGGGTCGGCATACTGAGGCCGCGATCCAGTAGCACTTGGCACTACTAGGTTTTCGTATGCGGGATCATGGTTCTCGTACTGTACGACGTCTCGTGAGCGGAGACAGTGATTGTAGACAAGATAGTACACTCACCGTCAGAGCACCCCCACCCGCGCAGCCTGCGGTTCCACTGAAGATAGTAGGGGCACTACCTGGAACCGCTTCAGAACCGGAGCCCACTGTATTCCCAAGCGCTGTCTGGGGAGGCCTATAGACGGCCTGTCGAGAGGCAAAATCCGGTGGCAGGCATGGTGCCTCATCATCGTGTTGTGAGTGCTGGAAGACGGGGGTGTAAGCAACTTGAAGTGTGCACACAGAAACAGTATCATGATACTAATTAGTGCCACAACTTACAGGTATGCGCATTGAGCTTTCGCCAGCATCATAGAGGATGGTGGCCGAGCCAAACATTGTACCACAATCCTGGCTGGTCTGAACGTAAAATTTAGCCCTTAAGCCACATACTATCGATGGTCAGAAATCCTATACCGCGTGCTCAGGGCTACCAGCTCTCGGGACGAAGTCCGTTTCCTGGGGTAAACACATTGTCGTCGAGTACAAATGTCGGGTACTGTACGTCGTTTCTGGATCACTGGACTGAAGACACATCAGTACGGTTCATTGGCGGTCGGTATCAGTAGCCTTACTATGAGATTCCAGCAAGAGGCGGCGGTCCTGTTCATTGGTGGATCGAAGGGGCTCAAGTTATGGGAGTACACTTGTCGCGGCGACATCCCTAGAATAGCTTGATGTGCGAGTATCAGATGAGGGAGGGGGTACAGGATGAATGAACAGACCGATCGTATATATATCCACGCACCCAGCTGTAGCCTGCCCCATAACACGCGGCGAGCCAACGACTCCACTTCCTAGCTACCGAGAGTGCATCGCGGAAGGTGCACATATGGACGCCGGTATGTGTATGGGCTGTGTGACAGTGTGTGTGAGAACAAGTGTTCCCGCTGGGAACGTTTAGCCAGATATCTGGTTGGCGGTCTGGAGAAATGTTGACAGGTGAGAGTTCACTTCCAAGTTGATGATTGCAGAGAAGAAGAAGAGAACATGTCTGTATGTAATTCCCTCAGGGACTCCAGTAGACTGTACCGAGGCATGATTACCCCAGATCCGATCGGGAAGCCTTCGCCGTCCCAATGCGTCACAGTACTGTCGAGTCAACGCACGACGTCATCGGCTTGAGAACACCTGAGAAGGCATTTGTATAGCCCTTTGAGCCAATGGCGTGACAACACCCACGGCTCGACCTGACGCTGTGATGGGTTCCTGGACACCTTGGGGTGGATGGCAACGAGATGGCAGATGATGAAGCGAAGGGAGCGGCGCGGGGGCACTCCAGTGCTGCGCATCTACTGCCGCCAAGTTAGACTCGAAAACCAGTCGATCGGAACACACGGGCGGAGAGTGAAAGGCAGGTCGGGACAGCCTCACACACCGGAGTTTGAATGTCCGGACGGATGGTTTACGAGCCTACCGCCAAGTTTAAACTTTACGGTCCCATAGGCGCCGAACTACGGTCCCGATCGCGTGCCTGCCTTTTGCGGCACCCGGCCTCCAAACGCTCGTCTTGGCGATCGCCCTTCGGGGTCCTCGGTGGAGCTCCGCCGCTTGGGCTAGCTCCGGGAGGTGGACCAGAACCTTGCTGATGTAGATTAGCCGAGGGTCCGTAAACAAGCTGGTTCGCAACTCTGCTTCTTTCCCCGTCTCCCCCTGACTGCGGCAAGAGCCAAAAAGGGTCGGGAGCTGCGGCTACTCAAATGCGCGGCAGGTTTTCAACCCGACTGCCTTACCTTCGATGATCGGGAGGCCAGAGATGGCCATCCGCAATGCACATGTCCCAGCCTCAGTGCCTCCGCCCCTAGTCATACCATTCGGGACATCTTGGTCCTCGGTCATCATTCACTCCACATACATTCTCCTGACTGCTGGGGTTTTCGGACCCCATTTGTTTTCTCACTACGACTATCTACGACAGTCCAATACATTATTATACATACTACAGATACGCTAGTTTAGTGCCTACCATAGGGCTAGGCCCTGACGGGCAATAAACGGGAGTTAAGAAAGGAAAGAAAGAAAACAAAGTTGCGAGAGCGCAAGGACCACCACGTCGAGAGTAGTGTGGCCTCTATTCTCCTCCGTGAACAATGTCGGGCCGCGGGTACGCCCAGCACTGCTTGCCAATGGTGGGCGGATCAACTAACAGCATCTGCACAAAACGCAAAACGATACGGTCACGGGAAGATAGGGAAGAACTTAAGAAGGAATAGTAGAACACGAACAAGATAGGACATCGACGAGAACAGTTATGGTCGTCTGTCCAGAGTTTAAAGGGACAGGACGTCAACAGAGAACCCGGGTGCGATATCTGAATATACGTATACCGCGATCGATATCCGAAGAGGTCAGTTCCGGCTTCTTCTGACCCCAAGCAGCGACTGGAGGACACGGAATTGTTCTTGGCGTACACGCTCAGTTCGGCGTTGTTGATCTCGCGTTCCCGACTGCGGTGAACAGTGGTAAAGAACGCACAAAGAAATTAAACCCTGTCGTACGTGTGGCTAATCGAAGTCGGTTTAGACTTGTGCCAACCGCGCCGACACTGAATCCGGGTCTGGATCGTGGCCCGGTTCAGACTGCGGTCCTGTGGTCGTGATCTTGCCGTAGGAAGGGACTGCGCCGATCGTCTTCAATCCTCGAAAGGAGATAGGGAAAGGCAGTGGCACATGGCGTCGGGGATTCCCCAGGGCCTCGTGTTCCTCGGGGCCATGACTCTGCCCTGGGCAAGTGCGAAGCTGCAGCCGTCGGCCTCACACTTCAATCGGTGATGAGGAATCCTCCTCACAATATTCAACGGCTTCATCTGCGCGTAGTGAAGGAGAAGGAGAACTCCGGGGAGAACTCGTCCTCGAGTTGGGGATGTCAAGGTAAACACACCCGGGAAAGAGGAGACGAAGAAGCACCCCAGAGCGACGGAAGCTTGAACAGAAGGTGGCCGTGGCCGTCAATGAGACGCCAGTATTAGGAGCGGCGGTCACGACGGTTGTGGAGCTCAACGTGGCGATGACTACGGACGAGACGGTACTGGGTCTGGTTTGTGGCGAACTCGGCGTCGGCGTCGGAAGACGGCGTCGCATTGGTGGGCGGGCCTCGTCAAAGTCAGACAGTGACATGGTGGGCAGGGAGGGGAACGAGCAGCGATCGACGAGGGGGTGGAATGGGCGAAAACAGGAGCCGAGAGTCGCCGCGTGTCAGCCTCTTCGCGTGGCGCACGGACTCAAGTCTCCAGGAAAGGGCGATCGTCGGATTGTGTGGTTGCAGCGGAAGACAGGAATGAGTCACGAAACAGGCCTATGATCCCCGCATTGCCCTGGTCTGCCCCGTAGCATGCCCAGAAGCAGGAACACGCATCCATGTCGCTCAGTATTCTATAGCATGGCGCATGTGAAGGATGCGGAAGTCCTTGGCTCTTGTTATCGGGCCCATGTTGCCCATGTTGAGGCCCACGAGCCGTCGCGGCCTTCGAGAAATTTGCTGTATGGGGTTTGATCTGCAACTTTGATGCAAGCTATTGGTGCTATTAGCTTTTCTGAAAATGGAAGTAGAGAAGGCGCGTGCACTGACCCGTTTTGCGAAGCAGAATACTGCGGTAAAGAAGAGTGGATTGCTTCCATCACAAAACCTTGTACCTGTTGCGATAAGATCACCTGGCCACGGTTGATCATTTACCTGGTGTTCCACCACGCGTTCCCAGTGCACATATGCGTCCTACCTACTCCCCGTCAGAGTCGACCCGTGCCCAACCACATACCCCGTCTTCTCCGTCATCACCATTTCAGACTCCTTGGCTGTCTGCAGCGGTGAAGCACACGACAAAGAGCCTCATAATCCTAGCTTGTACGCCGACGGCGCAAAGATCCACCGCGTTCATGACCTGTTGCGGAGGGCGGGAATTACGCGTTCCGATGCCTGGAGAGCGACTGCAACTGGTGTATTCCCAAGAGCTGTGGAGGGGACACGACGCGGAGCCAGCAGCGGAAGACATTGCACTATTCGACGCACATCGCGAGCGGGCTGTGGACGTTGCGCCCGCAGGTGAGCATAGGGAGCGGTGAGGGGAAGATGGTTATGGAGGTGAGCGTCTCCGTTCGAACGCCTTCTGATGGCGAGTATGCGGTGCGCGTGGACGCGATGGCTGCGGGTTGAGTAATACACGTGGCGTACGTGACGCTTTGGAGGGCAGAATGCAAGCAAGTGGAAGAGTAGACAGTATACGTCGAGGGTTGCTGGATGATGTCTCTGTAGGTCGGGCGTGTAATATGCATGTCGTTGAGCACATACCAGGCTGGGTCACATATTACGCTAGTACTTGCAGCATTCGATAGCTCGGTGTTCCAGGGTGCAGACATCGTGTAGTTTGTGGTGATCAGCTGCACCCCCGTTCTCCTTCACGAGATTCTTCTGAGAGAGATTGTGAGGCGGCTCTGAGGAGACACCCACAATAAATATCATAAGAGGTATCATGTCTCAGTCTGGTGGCGCTCGAGCGCGGCATCGTCGACATCGATGGCGGGGCACGCTGCGCTGGAAAAAAAAAAAGCGCAGGATGCCGCTGCCCGTACCGACCCGCCGACATCAGCTTGATGCGGCGAGCGACGAACGAAAAACCGTGATCGTGATGTACGCATTGAAGGCGGTCAGCGAGGAGATGCCCGAGTCGACGGAGCTGCGGATAGTGCAGGAGCACGGGGGAGAGAACACGTCGCGATTTTTTTCCTGACTTGAGACAATACTGTCAAATGGAGGTTGCGCATGGTTGCATGACGGTGCAATTGGGTTCCTCTACGACATGCTCGGAGCTACAAGGGTTGACTACCGTAGGACGTCAGCTGCGAGCTCAGGAAGAAGGATGCGACGTACTCGAAGGTGTCCATTCACATTGTATGGGGTCGAGCATGCGAGATATCAAGTTCATGCAGTCCCAAGAACCAGACCCGCCCTGGTTGTAGTAGAGGCAGACGTGTTCTTCTTCGCAGCTCCATGGAAAGCTTTGCCTTTTTCCGCGTCACCTGAGGTAGAGACTATGAGGGTTGACGGCGCGATGATCATAGAGCCCGACGAGTCTCCCCCAGAGCTGTGGACCACACGCTGAAAGTCGAGCCTCGAAAGATCCGCGTTGTTAGCCGCAGATATCTCCCTCTTGATATCGTCGAACCCGACATGCGTGATGATAAGCGTGAACGAGATGCCCTACAAACGCGAGCCGCCGTCAGCAACGATGTGCGGGCACTCGGACGTAATTTGGAGCACGCACAACGAGGGGCGGGACCATGCACGAGCCGACGTAGAAGATGTCGGAGCGGGCGACGTAAGACGCGAGGGTCGCGCCGACCGTGACGGAGTACAGAGCCTCTGATTGGATGATCGTGCGCGCGACGGTGCGGTGTATGGAGGGGCCAAGGACGTCCACGTCGTGCAGGTGGACCATCCGCTCGTGCCACATTAGTCGTCCGATGATTAGGGCTAAGGTGATAATGGGACATCAGCGGCGTTCATGCGTTGTGGTGGGCGCGGTAGTCGACTGACCTACAGTCACGATGTTCGTCGCGAGGACCAACACGAAGTAGGTCGTCATCAGCGCGTACACCTTGGCGTCGTAGAGGGCCTCTCCGAGACCGAGCCCTGAAGCCTGGGACTCATATTTGAGCATGCCGACAGACACTGGGGTACGTAACCGGTTTGGGGCGTTAGTTGTGGGACGTAGAAGGCGACGAGGTACTTACCGACGGTGCTCACGATGACTCGATGAGCGAAACGGGAAGAAAAATGGATTTCCAGCTACGACCCCACATAATAAACACCCGATATGTCTGCGAGCCGAGGTCAGCTCAAACCGGTTACATTGAGAGACCAGGCTTGCACATACCATGAAACCATCTCCTATGAGCGTGACCACTGCCGAAAGTAACATATTCCCGATGGCGGTACCGTCTTCTTTCCCAGAGAGATAGAAGAGGTAGGCACCGTCAGCGGTTGTGCTGTGGTCAGCAAACATCGTAACGTAATCTAGAGCGCTGAGAATGAGATGCTAGCGAAAAGTTGTTTGTGAGCAGAAGGGCAGGGACATGGCTGGCTGACATACTGTCATATCGAGAAAGAACATGACCGTGACGATTGAGAACAGCCCTATCCCGTGCCTGCTGTATCGGTCGCCGTCACGCCTATGTCTATACACCAACATCCACAAGGAGATGGGGTATAGGATGCTGAAGCACCCGAATAGCAGCGCCTCGAACAGAAGGCTAAGCAGCTACGAAACGCAGATAAGCGAAGCGTTGTCGGCAAGAAGTTGAGTAGAGGTCACCTCAGCTCTGAGGAATGGGAGAGCTTCCATGTCCGGAGAGATGGAAGATCGAGGGGGGAAGAGGGGGGAAGGGAGAAGAAAGCCATAGGGTTTTAACTGGTGCGCACGGCGTCCAACGAAGAGCCCGCAGACAGGGTTTAAAACCCTCTTTCCATCACGATATGCTTCAGAGCCCCTTGTGACAAGCAGGTGATGAGCATATAACCTGCATGAAGTAATTCGGGTACCGCTGCGAGTCTTATACGGCCGACAACACGCTGCCGCTGACTACATGTCATGATAAGGTTGACGAAAGGACTGGAGAGGACCATATTCGTATCAGTATCGGGCGGCGTAGTCGGAATATCGAGTAGAAGGCGCTGACCTGGACATGCCACCGTCTGCTGCGTTGATGAACCTAGCTAGAATTGCTCCTATTTATCGGAAGTGCCCGTAGGGACCGCCGGCACTGAGCGCATCATATCTTTCCTAAGGTGTGCTCGCGAGAAATATTAAGACAAAGACAGATGGACGAGCTTGTTGCAAAAACTCGGAACCTTCACCGGATGATTCGCGCTGGGAATTCATAGCAAGTGTCAGTGGCCAGCGAGGATGTCAACTCGTTTATACCATGCGCTAGACTCGAATACTCAAGTGATAGCTGGCATTCTAGCTACTGCATGGGCGCAGTCGTGAAGACCAGGAGCAACCGTATCGAAGTAGACTCGAAGCAAGAGCAAGCACACCGTATACGATGTTGGCCGCAGGAAGGCAAGTCGCGAGGCGCCCGTGCCGCTACCGTCCGGACCGCCCAAAGTGGTCCAACAAGGTTTCACGCTCCGGCGACTCGCCTTCCACCGTACCACCACCCACTGGCAGCAGCAAACAATCCGGACACACTTGAAGGTGCGACACATAGCAATACGACACATGGAGATGCTTGGAACACCACTAACAAGTCGTGCCTTTTGCCCCCTCAACATAGCGCCGCGAATGTACCGGCGGGCGCCCTCGTTCGGATCCAAGACTCCTCAGTGGTCGAACGAAGCCAGGCGACGAGCCCTCGTACATGATCCCACCAGCTAACAACAGTGCATTAGAGAAACAGTAATTGTAGTATCAAATAGCGACCCTATTCCTCCTTCGGAAACGGAGCCGCGAAAGTGGACATGACCACCGTGACTCGGGCTTACGAAGGGCGAGATCGCTGGTATGCTTCTCTGGCTTGCTTACATCGCCGCGTGCTATACTCATGAATCATGATCCCTGCAACAGATTCAGAACGCGTCCCGCGAACCCGTAATCTAACACTGATTAACCATCAGTGTTCGCCACGGAGATGCAGAAAGCTCTCTCTCTCATGACCTTCTCTTCCGTGCGACGCAGGCTAATGGGGAAAGTGACGCTGATAACGGATGCGGTGGATCGGGTTGCGCGTGAACGCGGGTCCCTCAATGTCGATGAACCCCTTCGCTTCGCTTCAGCCGACAACACGCAGGACTTTGTCGCGAACGTCGGCTTGCTGACATAGTATCTGCCGCGATGAGCGATTGGCTTTGACGGATAATCGCTATGCGCGTGTGGAAGTTGCTTACGGCATGGTGTTGGTACGATGAGGTGCACGAGCACTGAGCGGGATTACGACAAGGGTTGCCTGTCCTACGCCCCGCATAAGCCAACACAGCGCCCGGCCGGACTTGCGTAACCTCCCCCATGGACTTGAACTCCTCCCCGATCCTACGGGCCCAGGTACGTCCCAGTCGCAATAGCTTGGCCTCTTCGAAGCGTAACTTACATATGGCTCGTAGCTGACGGGCATGTTGCTCGAAGGGATCCTATTCGGATGCTTCGCCATTTTGTATCCTATCTCGCTGTGGATACTGCTGTACAAGCACGGATGTCGCGGCTACTCGAGGCTAGGGATGTTGCTTTTTGCGATAGTGACGATCATGTTCGTGCTCGCGCTGACGGTATGTCATCGCTGCGTCTGCGCTCTCGAACTAACGCACTGACGATTAGCTCAATTTCTAGCATCTCGCCCTCCTTGCTGAGACCATCATCGAGGATTTTGCGGACCACAGCACTGACGCAAACGGCCCTTTATTCTTCTTGCTCACTGGACGCGGTCGCAGTACAACTGTCGCGAGTATAGTCATCCACGCGGTGGTCTCCTGGATAGGAGAGATCTTCATGGTACGCACCGCTCGCGCGCTTCTACGCCGACTCAGACATGTGTACATCCTCCCTCCACAGACGTATCGCGTTTTCATTGTGTGGAGTCGCAGCTGGAAGGCGATCGTTCTTCCATGCTCGCTGTTGGCTGGAACAGGCGGCAAGTCATATGTTACTTTTCTCCTTACCACTCTCCTGAGTTGTCTCACCTCAGTCACAATTGGCTTTTGCGTACACTCTTTCAAGAACTCCCACCTCGATGTCACAGAAGCCTTATACGCCGACAACGTGAGCGCGTTCATGACGACCTACCTGGCGCTCGTCCTCGCGATGAACATAATCACGCTAGGTACGTCGAACTGGAGTGGTTTTTGCACGATGGTGTATACAACAGGCTGACAATCGAATCTGTCGCCAACTATCTCAGCACTCATCCTCGGCAGGCTTATGCAACACGACAGGATAATCCGCAATTACCGGGCGGACTCCCCCGGCCCCACCATACCCTGGCGCGTCGCCCGCACGATCGTGCAGTCGGAGGCCGTGTACTCCGCCACGATCCTCGCGAACCTTGTCCTCTACGTCATCCGCTCTACGGGCTTCTTCGTCACCGCGTATATGCTCCCGCCGCTGGTCGTGAGTCCACGTTCTTATTGGCATTATTCGAGTGTACAACGTTTCCTCGGACTGGAGCTGACGCGCGTCCGTGGCAGGGCATCTCGTTCACGCTCATTATCACGCATTCCGGCTTCGACGAGATCGTGGGCCAGCTGAAGCAGGCGAACGACGTGGGGCACGACCTAGACTGGGTCGTCAACCGTTCCCTGAAGGAGTCTCGGCCGACTAGCAGCGTTGTGCCCTCGTCGCTGGCGGTGACGGCGTCCGCCTCGTGCGATAAAGTTCACCGTGGACTTTAGTGAAGTGTTTATAGTTGTATGGCTGCGAACGGCCCGGTGTTTGTTGTGAGGATTATATGTTATTTTACGGGTGCCCCGTCGCGGTGTTCCCACATCCCCCCCCACCATGTATTCCCGTGACCCAGGGAAATGGTTGGAAATTTTTTTGATGAAGTAGAATGTCCCAGATGCATGTACGGCATCCTCGACGTCGACGGGCCCCGCGTCCACCCCGAAAGACAGTGCACGCGGGAGTCCGCCGCCTGCACCGGCTCGCCGACACTGTGGTACGCCTCGGGGACGGTGTGCGAGAGCTGAGGACCGCGATCGCGGTGCGCGTGTGGAAGGTGTTCACGGTATGGCGGTGGCGGGAGGAGGTGCGCCAGCGCGAGAAGCTGCGGAAGGTTGCATGATTGGGGCAGCAGAGAACGCGTTGCGTCTTTGTGCAACTTGCGAGGGTGTGACAACCGCAGTTCCTAGACGTGTTGCATTCTTCGTATGCCTTTGATACAAAGAAGATGATATTAAGTGCTTCACACTAGTTAATTATCGTGATCACCGTTGATTCTACATCAAAGGCCCGTGAACGTTACGCGCAGACACACGACTACGAAGCGTGCCCTGGATGTTGAAGCGCTTGTGGTAGTGGGTATCGAGAGCAGTATCATGCGTAGAGAGGCCAGAAGTGGGGATGGATCATGAAGACGGGCTGGACGCTCCCTTTAGAAGGGCGGCCGATTTCGAGGATGACGAGATGTCCGACGTCAACGACGCGGCCTCTGAGCCGCAGTTGTTTGCCGCACTAATCCGAGCCTTGTCAGCGACACACTGAGGGAACGGAAATACAGAGATATATGACATAGAGGGAGGGGCACTCACGAGGAATTTGCACAGTTGCTTCACGACGACGACGGCGAAATCCGTCCGTGTGAGGGGCACGCGCTTTGCAGACCTTCCCATACAATGTTGGTGAGACGATAGTACTGCAATCACATACTATGGAATACTCACCCTTCAGGTTTGCGGTATTCGTTTACTTGAGGGGGATCTTCGTTGATAGGAATCCCCTCGAACTAGGAGAAGTGGTGAGCCCACGGTTGACGCGCGGAGTAGGATATTGCTCACCGCGAACCGAACAGTGAACTTCTTCTTTTCTCGATATCCCTCAGGATCGGGGAACGCGGGAACGTGGTGCAGGTCCATCGTCTTGAGTCGCGCGAGGCGTCCAAGGTCAAGAATATCGCCCACGAAGATGCTCAGAACAGCGGGTGGAACTGGGGTATCCGGGGGCGGGCCGCCTGCGTATATCGTGTGCGGAATTATCCATTGACGCGGGTCGGGCCCATGGTGGCCCAAGGCAAGCAGGTTCGAGTCCGGACTGCTCTGGAGAGCTTGATGACCGATTGAAACCGCATTCCCAATCGCTGTGACGGAACTACCATGTATGGGTAATTGAGGAACCGCCGAGGCTTGCGGCACATATGGGTTATTGATGCGTCCAGGCCACACGTCCTAGAAATACGCATTTTTAACGGGCGTGCACCAGCGCGGGGAGTATAACACAACGTACCATCTGTCCCGGTTCGAAGTTATCGAGTCGAGTCGTGGTAGCTGAGGTTGGGGGTATATACGCCATCATCGAAGGCTGGAACGGCCACGCGGTGCCATTATCGCCGATCATGTGCGTGTCAGACTTGATAAAAAAAATTGGATCAGTTTAGTATTGGTAGGTCCTTGGTGATCGTACCATGAGGGTCTAGCACAGAGGGTCCCGCGGTCGGGGGGAGGAGAGCTTGGGTCGTACAAGTGAGCGGAATATGCTGGTAGCGGTTGCAATATTGCTGTGTCAGCTTTGGTCGGCGGGTAAGGATGTCAGATGTTGGGGAAATACTCCCAAGTGCCCGAGTATATATAGTGACTGACCTCGGGGACCGACATCGTGTGCAGAGCTTGGAGAGTGGCGGACTAGCGTGCCAGTGTCCGCTCAAGAACATCATCAACGTAGGGCGGCGAAACACCGCCGCAGGCGGGAAACGCTACGATGGTGTTGGTGTCTAGCACCCATTGATCAAACGGGTCGTTCGACTTTGACGGATATCTGGTTGACGACGCCCGTAGAGTAAGTAAGTGCTTGCAACTGGCAAAACGCGCTGGTAACGACTTGCCACATTTCGGTCCCGCTGAGCCGGAACATATACCGGCGCTCGTACGCACCGCAGCACACTGCGAGATCAGTTGGCTTTGCCACTCAGCGCTTTAGTAGTTGCGGTATACACTAGGGAGTAACACAACGTCCCCTGAGAGAATGATGGTGTAGTAAGTGTGAGGTTTCGCCAGATTTTCATCGGGGAAACCCCCGACAAATCGAGAACCTGCCTAAAGCTCGGGTTCACGACATAGGTGCGCTTCGCACTTTTACTTACTCGGACTTGCTAATTATCTATCCAAGTCAGCTATAGATCTGGTCAGTGCCCCCGCTCCTTCTTTCCATCTGTCTATCCCCCACACTCCGGAGGTGAGACAGTTGGCGCTCTCCTCGATCTCGAGTCGGACCCGGCCCTGCCAGCAACCCGCCCGCTCGAGTGCCGCGACTGCCACGCTCGCCAACTACATCGAACCTTGTGTTCACCGCCTGTAGGGTGCAACCTTGCCAACGAATAGGCCATGTGCTCAGTCGGCTTCGCGGAATGCACGTCCGACAGCCTTCGCGCGCCGAGAGGACGGCTCCGACTGCGCAACAGCGCGCAGTCGAAGACGTGCATAGCGAACCACAGATCGAAGAGCTACGGGGTGTTGACCGGACCTCGGGCGTGAGGCTTCCACCGACGCCATACACCGCCCGGTCTGCTTCCCCATATGTGCCTTCCGCCTCAAGCCGCTCGGATAGGACCAGACCGCCACCCGCGTACGCATCGCTGTCGCTATGCGGTGCGCTCTCCCGCCGCGCATGACCGCGAACCGTCCTCAAACCTCCTTGATGGTCGTATACATCTGCGCAGGGAATTCCAGGAACGCCCGTGCGGCGCTGTTTCGGACGCGGGTGCTGGCATTCCTGACGCTCGCGATATCTGCGAATCTCCTGAGATAGTGTAGCACACCCGAGGCCGGTGCGCCCTTCTGGCGGCGGCTGCGCGCCGCCGGACGTATTCACTCCGAGGGCGCCCTTGTTCAACGTGCGCGAACTGGTGCGTGTTTCATAATATGAACGAAGCGGGGAGGCGGCACTGACGCACTGGTTTCGCAAATGACAAGACCTTCTTTCTAGCCACGCGCACTGCGTCGTACGGTGAGCCGGCCTACCATCCGTTTCTGATGGTGCTTATACACGTCTAGGCCAACACCTTTGACGACGCTGACGTCGCGAGTGTGTGCAATGTGGATATATCGTACCGGTAGAGGCAGACCGTGGACTAAAATTTGGCTGCTAGCGCCCGTGGAGGCGTGCGCGTTAAAAGCTGCGGGACAAAAGAAAACAAGGACTAATAAAACGCCATAACACGTGTATAGCGGAAAAATTATATACATGATTGAAAGAGCAGCAAGGGGCCCAGGCCAAAACCCCCATGCTGACCTTTTCACCGTGCACTCTGCTACCCCACGCGACCTTGCCAGACAGTTGATGACACGTACCAAGGTCTCCAGGGCATCGGACAGATGTAAGATACAGGCGCGTTTCATGAGAGAGCGAATCCCGTGCGGATTCTACTCAAGAGATGGACTCCAGAGTCTGCGGAAAGGTATGTGGAAGATATCAGTATCGTTTACCCGCGCTGGAAAAGGAGTCGACTCACTTTACGGGATTATGCAGGGGCAGAAGTCCGAAGACCCCCCGCTCCGAAGGTGGGCGACAGTCGGGGTGGCCAGCCCCAGTCGCGCCCACCGGCATGCGCTCAAAATGGAAAGCAAGAAGTATCGGGTACACCAGGCGGTGAACCGAACGGAACAGAACCGAAATACTTTGTGGCACTGCCGGGGAGGCTGACACTATCGGAGGGTGGATGAGACCCGTGCCGACCTCGCCGACGCCGAGTCCGAGTCCTGTCCCGGAGGAGTTGCGTCGATCCTCGAGTTGCGGTCGTCTTCTGATTGAAAAATCTGTGGAAAGAGGGTAGAGCAGCGACGAACAAAAGACGCGTGATATGCAGAAGACGAAACAGGGCGTCGGGTGTTGGCAGACACTAGGTCCGGCAGGGTGATGACTCCCCACCTCACAGGAGCGTCGAGCCGCAGCCGTCAGCCTCACCGCGCTCCCCCGGTCGTGGGGAAGTATCCTTGTCCTGTCCTAGGGCTTCAGCTGCGCGCAGTGGCGAAGTCCAGGTCGAAGTCGGGGCGAATATCCAGCAGGAACACAATGGAAACGCGCGCGAGAAATGGGAAACGAAGAGGAGAAGAGAAGCAGCCGATGCATCAGGCGCGCCCAGGATCAGAGCGAGCGGTAAACGATCGAATGCCGCCTACGCGCATCCCGGAGCGGCAGAAGCTTGATCTGGAAGTGGGCGCCACCGTCGATGAGGGGTCCGTACTCGGGGCGGCGGTCGCAGTTCCGGGGCTTGACCTGGCGCTAACCTCGGACGAGGCGGCACCGGGGTGGCGAACTCGGGGTCCGCGTCGAGGGCCGGCGTCGGCATCGGGGGGAAGGCCTCGTCAAAGTTGGACAGGGCCATGGAGGGCGGGGAGAGGAACGACCAGCACCCGGCGGACTGAACGCGGGTGGAAAAGGCGGAGGGGACGGAGAATATTGTGGAAGTGCGGTGGAAGGGATGTGGGATGGTGGGGTGCGGAGGAAACATAGGTAAAGAATCGGAAGTAGCCAAGGGCAGGTTCATATGGGGTATGGGCGTTGCGACTCGGATTGACTATGGGACACTCCAGATGCAGTAGTTCAGGTCGGGAATCGGGAGTCGCCACATCGTTGTGTCAGCTTCCTCGCGCGGTGCACGCTGCCCCAGTCGTCAGGCAAAGGCAGATACCACGGCGTCTACTTGCGTTGTCCTGGTTTGCTCCAAGAAATGATCAGCGTGTACAGAGGTAGCAAAGCGCCTGTTTGTTACGCAGTACGCATTGACATAGGGCGTACGACAAGAATATAGAATTTCCAGGCGCATTTCTCATTGCAGACCCTTGCCGTCAGGGTGTTGGGTTTCGTGATCTATGGGAGTCTTGGAGCAATATGCTGCAACAGCTGTTGTCTGTGAATCTAACCTATCAGTTGTGAAGCAAACGAAGGTAGAGAATGGGGGAGGACGAACCCGTCATGCGACGCCGAACCCTACAGTACGAGCGAAGAGCACGTCGCTTCATCCCCTAAAACGTATGACAGTTCTAATATAGCGCGATAGCATATATCCATGTCTGAACACTCCACAGCATGCCGTCCATAAGTACAATAACAATATAAGCTATACCCAAACCTACCAAGCCCTAGAATAGTCAGTCCCGTACCATTGAACCTCATTACCCTACCCAGTATTACACCACACGTTTCCGTATACGTCCTGCGCGATGCCCGTTGACCCATGCCCGATCACTCCGTCGTCCCCATTATCGATGTACCCGACCCCGTAGCTGTCCGCAGCCGTGAAGCGCGGCAGCGGGCACTTGAACCCCAAAAAGTTCGGGCACGCCCGGTCCGCAGCGTTGCACGTCTCCAGACAGGGCAGCAGCGCCTCGTAGTCCGAGGTGAACGCCGGCAACGCGGGATTGCGCGGCGCGGCACCGCTCTTCACCGCCTGCAGCGCGGGCAGCGGGACCTGCGCGCTGGACTGGCTCACGAGGGTCTGCGACTGGGTCTCCGAGCAGCGAGGGAAGGAGACGGCGCAGAGCCAGCGGCGGTAGGCGTCGGAGCAGCCCGCGCACGTCACGAGTGGGCTGTACACGTCGCGCCCGCAGGCGAGCGTGGAGAGCGTGATGGTGAAGTTGGCCATGATGGATATGAGGGTGTCCGCGACGCCATCCGGGAGCGTATCTGCTGTGTGAGCGGTTGCGACGCCTGGTGGTGGGACAAGGGGCGTGGCGTATGCGACGCTAGGGCAGAAGGGAAGGGAGTGTACGATGGGGCAGTTGAAGGCCGCTATACGACTCCGGTTAGTGGGGCGCATTATGTGCAGGTAATTGAACACGTACCGGACTTGGTCACAAAATACGCTGGAGCAGAACTCGCTAGCTCACCGGTTCGGAGCGCGAACATGGTGTAGTTCGTGAGCGGGCTCAAGGCGTTGAGGAGCCACTGCCACCTCCAGCCATCCGAATCGCGCAGCCAGACTCCTTCAGCGACGAATGGAGGGATAAGGGTCGCAGCGTTGGCTGGAGCAGCTGCCCTCAGCGCGCATGCCGTGCGCGGTAGCAGAGTGAGATTGCTCTGGGCTGTCGGAGCGAGGATGAGAGTGTAGTTGGGAGGCGAAGCGGGCGGCGTGAACGACAGGTTGGCAGACGGAAGGGTGTAGTTGGGGAACGTAGGTGCATCGATAGGTGGGGGATCGAAGGGCGGGGAAAACACCAGGGCTTGGTTCGACGTCGTGTCTCCCACGAGAGGAAAACCCATATCGGTCGAGTCTTATAATGCTGTGAATAAGAATAGGGACCGTCATAATGAGATACTCACTGCTGGCTGACACAAGCATCTGAATCTCCAGCGTCGTGCTCCCTTTGCTCACGGAGAGCACTCCTCCGTCCGTGAACCAAGACGACCATGAGCCAAAGCCCTCGGCTGGAATACCAATCTCTACCGTGTTCACTGAGTCAACGTCCGAGGCTCCAGGATTGGATATGCTGGAGTCATTGGTAAGGAAGAAGCGAGTAGAGTTGTCGTGTGCCGCGCAGAGCGCAACCGTAACGAAGAGAGGGTCGGTGCTTGCAGGGATGCGAAACGCGGGCGGATTCGGAAGGTTCGCAGTGGAGATGTCTAGTACTCGTTCTAGCACAAGTTGCTGAGGTTGTTGGGCGTCGACGAGCGCAAAGAAGTTCTGGATTACGGCAAGCAAAGAGATGGGTAAGAACATGGTGCAGCCACAGCTTGCAGGCTTTGGCACGCTCAGAAGGGGTTCGAAACGTTGCAGTAGAGTCTATCCACGGAGGCCCAGCTCGGACAGATAAAAAGGCCAGCTTCGATAGGTGGGGTGAGAGCGAAACAGTAAGGACCAGATGATGGGAGGAAGCTGAGCAGCAGCAGATTAGGCGCCCATCTGCAAGGATACTCAAGTGTTGCATCCAAATTGGGAAGTGTAGTATTCCAGGTTCGCGGTGACATGGATACAAGTATTTTCTTTGGCATCTGCAATACTACTTAGTCATACACGGGTTGGGTGTCTCAACATATGGCGTATCGTTTGCGGTCTACTGTGTTATGAAAATCTAGCAGGCCAGATCTCCTCTCCCTTCCATCCCCGGGCCCAGCGCGGTGATATCCAATGTCGAGCGAGACGCACCGCGGTCGCACACCGCTACGGTGGCCTTGTCACTGTATACCGCAGGTTGATCCCCATCGTCTGACTTAGTGATCATTACCGTAATCGCAATGGGAGAAGACCTCCCGGGCTGAGCATGTTCAGCTGTATCCCAAGTCGTCGAACTTTGCGTGTCTGCAACAGGCATTCCGCCAGATGAGTCCCCTACGACCTCGCTCAGGCCTATGCGGGTGATTATCATGGTAAAAGAGATTCCCTAAAATAATTCCTCGTCAAAAGAGATAAGATACTGCCTGAATTCACAAACACGTACGACGAGGGGAGGTAACGCAGCAAAGGTTATCAAGACGAGGTTTGATTTGGCTACGTACGCCGCGAGGTTGAGGACGACGGCCACCGAATAGGCGGCCTCGGACTGGATGATGGTCTGCATGACTCGCCAATGGATGCTGGCGGCCACGCGCCCGACGAGGTACCTCTGGGTCTCCCTACCGGACCATAAGATGCGCCCGAGGAGAAGCACTGTTTTAAATAGAAGGTCAGTCGCGTTTATTGTAGCTACGAGTGATTACGAGGCGTACGCGTGAGGCTCAGGTTCGTCAGGAGCGTGAGGACGAAGTATGCGACCATTTGCGGGAATATAGCGTCGGAGAAGAAACCATCGCCGCCTCGAGGGTGGCTCTGCGGCGAGCTATAGAGCCCGTATCCGATTGAACCGGCACAAACTGGATAATAATGTGGTTATGAGTACCCGCATATGGTGGTGGGATGACTCTAGAAGTGTCCTCACATATCATCCCGCCAAGAAGCAGAACGGGGAGGACGATAGACCATATCTTCCTCTCCCAAACCACGTACGTTCGGTACGTCTGCCAAAAATTCTCTATAGTAAGCCGCCGAATTATGATAGACACACAGCGCACTCACCATGAAGCTGTCTCCCACCAAGGTCAAAACAGCGAATAGGATAGGATCCACGATATGCGCAATCGCCTTGTCCCCTTCTGATGTTGTGAAGTACGCTCCGGGACCGCCAGGGGATGAGCTGTGGCCTACGAAGGCGAGAATAGCGTACTGCACGTCGAATGCGAGATGCTAAACAAGGATCAGTACGAAACGATCTCTCGGTCCCCTTTGATATCGACTATGACGGCGTACCACGAGAGCCAAGATGAACATGATCGTAACCGTGGCGAACATCCATACGCCCATCCTCGACTGTCTTTTGCGACGCTCCCTGTATAGCAGAATCCAGACGGAGATGGGGTACAAGACCATGAAACCGCCAAACAGCAGTGTCTCCACGAAGAGCACGAAGACCTAGCGGATCGCCAGATTACACGTTAGCTCTCCTGACATGCATCCAGTATAGGCGGAAATACCTCGATGGTGAGTATAGACTCGTCTGGCATGTCTGAGCGCGCGGCGTGAGGTCGCGCGGGTTCGTCGGCGGGGGATGCGAGCCCCCGTTATAACTGGTCTCTCAAGAAGCCCACAGCTATCAAAATGTGGCAGATAGGGATGAAATTGGTCGCCGTACTCACGGCGACCAGGCTTCTATGAGAGCACAGCACCACCTTTCGAGGAACACAGTATTCCCGCACGCTGTAACGCCTCAGTAGGAGCCCACTGTTCAGGTCATCTCTTGGCATTCTTCCCTCGACACAGTCGAGATAGCGAACCAAAGGCAGTATAGCGGATTCTGTATAGTGGAAACATCACATCAAAGTTTTGTTAGAGTTCGTTTTGGAGAGTAAGAATTGGAACGCACATAGCCTTTCATCCGCGCCCTATAACTCTATCACACAGCCATCAGGTCGAGCGGTGTTCTGCAAGGAGCCCGTGCGCGGGAGTTGCAGAGTCTCCGTCAGGTTCTCCAAGTGTAAAGTACAAGGTGCCCGACGGCCATGCGATGGATTGCAATCTGACTCTATGTTTAGTACATGTTCAAGTTGATGGGTTGACCCGGGACCGTGCTGTTGCCGGCGCTCCCATACAGCGCCAGAAGGAAGTGGGTTATAGGGTCGGTCCCTTCCCCTCAACGTCCATGGCCCGGCCATTGGCGGTATCCCACATGCAAGACACGGCCCGTGTGAACTGAATGGGAGAACTTGAGACGGCATGGCCTCGTCTCTGCGGAAGCGCAGATGAACTCTCGATAATCTCCACGCTTCCCGAGTGGCCCAAGACCGCCTCGTCGAGGCCGATGCGTAGGATGATGAGCGTAAATGAGATGCCCTGCCAATACGAAGATATCGTCAGATGGTAAAGCGTGGCCCAGGTAGTCGATGTGGCACTCACGACGAGAGGCGGGAGGATGTCCATGATGGTGTAAACTGCGCTAGATGCGGCGGAGTACACGCCGAGGTTGGCGATGAGCGCGGCCGAGTAGATTCCTTCTGAACAGAACACCGCCTTCATGACTTTCCAATGCACTGATGCGGTGAGCCCTCCCTTGTTTCCGCGGTTGTCCCTTGCGAACCAGAGAATACGACCAAGCAGAAGAACTTGCACGTGCGTGGCTTTAGCGAGCTATCGTGAACGTGGCGAACGAGACGACGCTCACGAGTGGTGATCAGGTTTGTAACTAGCGAGAGCGACAAGAAGGCTGTTGTCCACGCGATCACGTCCGGCGTAAAGATCCCTGGTCCGTCCGGGGTACTCATTGCGAATCCATACGCTGACCCGATGCCGGTCACTGTATACGCAAGCATCTGTGAGTGCACGTGTCATAATGAGAACATCATGAAGAGACTTGCCCACAGTGCCAAGAATGAGGAGAACCGGGAACGTAATCGCTGCCCAATTGCGCTCCCACAAAACGAATGTGCGATATGCCTGCGGAAACGTGAAAGTGGCAAGTCGTCAGCACTCCCCCTTCTGTGCAAATAGGGTGCACGTACCATGAAGCAGTCTCCAATCGTCGTGATCGCAGTGAAAAGAACTGGTTTCGCGACATAGGTAGGGTTATCCACCCTCAGCCCGAAGAACGCGCTAGGGCCGCCCGGTGTGTCTCCGAGAAAGCCACGTATGGTCCGCTGGACGTCGATAATGAGGTGCTAAAACGAATGCAACTTCATCAAAACGTTTCGCATTCGGTATACGCTCCTGGAACCTACCGCGCCGGCCAACATGAGCATCGCTATCGTGATTCCGGCCATGGACATGTTGACTCTCGATGCCGGCCGCAAGCGCTTTTGCCTGTATATCAAGATCCATAACGAGATCGAGGCCAGAATGGCGAAGACACCGAAGAGCAGCGACTCCGCGGCGAACCCGAGGAGCTGGTGGCAGCGATGTAAGCTTGAATTGCATCGTCACGAACTGCACGCGCGTTGAGTCGTACCTCAGCTTTCGGAACATTCGTCACGGGCACCGAGATCTTCACAGGAACGTCTGAGACACTCATACCGTGTGCCTCAGCTTCCGAGTCGTAGTGCTAAAGTAGCAGGGGGGACGGGCGTAGCGCGGGCGTAAGGGGCTACGGACAGATACCAGTGCGGATGCGCGCTCTTCTATAGTTCGAGATGCAGCGAGCTTGCGGGATTCATCAGCACATGCACACCCGGTGACAGCCTGGGAAGACTCACGGAGATTCGCTGTGATGAGAACATAGGCAGGGGTTCTCCGGCGGCTGATCTCACTACGGAGGGTATAGTACAATGCTGCCAAAGTTGTGGAGTGCTCGAGCGAGAGAAGCGCGCCCTCCAAAGGCGACGTTCTCAGCACAGGCATCGAAGCTTGCGTCGGAATGATGGTTACGCAGCACGGCAAGACATCTACTGCGCGTTCGTGGATACCGACGCCGGTGCAGAATCGCGGCAGTGCAAGCTTCGGACTCGTCTGACGAGTCTACCTTCTGTCCAAGTAATGAGGAGATCACGATCCCGAGCAAAGTTCGTCGTTCCACTGCGAGACAGGAGCGAGACAGGAGTATAAGGGCGGCTTTGTGTAGCCTACTATAGTACAGGCCTGGCGGGATCGAGAGCCTGAGAGGAACAATGCATTATATCTGATGCTGGGACCGAGGCGTGAGAATTCGTGAGAGTAGGTTGGGAACACTACGACGCACCCTTACAACGTTATAGAGCCCGACACTCCATTCAAGTTCCATGGAGAGATGTCTGGGAAGAGGTGGATACTGTCACTGCTGTCCACGACGATTGCAAACTAGTAGTCGCCAGGGAATCCTTCAAGGATTTGTTGACTACCCATTCGAGGTCGTGCGCCGCGTCGTTGGCCATTTTTAACTGGCCCATGATCTCGTCGAGGCCGGAATGGGTGATGATGAGCGTGAACGAGATGCCCTGATAATGAGTGTGAGCATCAGCTGGCGAGTTCAGAGTCACCATGCAACATAGTTGACAACTCACGACAAGCGGCGGGAGCATAAACGAGGTGACGAAGAAGCCTGAGGAGCGCGTGACGTAGAGGATGAGATTTGCGAGGATGGTGGCGGAGTACACTGCTTCCGATTGCACGATCGTGCGGGCTACGCGCCAGGGCATGGTAGGGCCGGGGGCGTCAACGCGGTATTCGCGGATCATTCGGTCGTGCCGCATGAGCTGACCGAGGATGAGCGCTGAGGTGATTGGCAATAGAGATTGTCAGCGAATCGTATACGTCGCCGAGCAAAGTCGATCCGACATACCTAGCGTTGTTATATTCATCGCCAGGACGAGCGCCAAGTAGGTTGTCATTAGCGCGTATACGTTGTCGGCGTATAAGGCTTCACCGCCATCGAGGTGGGAGTTCTTGAACGCGTATACGCAAAGGCCGGTTACCACTGTGAGGTGCAATAACTTAGCCCAAGTATGGCAAGGATGACGGAGGTTGAGACTTGCCACACGTTCCCATGAACAGTAAGCATGGAAGAATAGGCCTTCCAACTGCGATTCCATATCACGAAAACGCGGTAGGTCATCGGGGAATCGGCCACTATTGTATATGCCCATGTAACCCCATGTAATAAGTACATTTTCTATAACTTCTAGAAGTATTGTGGAGGTCCTTACATGGTCATATATGATCAATCTCCCTTTGGCAAACAACACAAGCCTTGCGAGACGCTACAAGACTTGGGCGCATTATACCTCTTGCAGGACTCCTGACACCCCGTCGGGGACAACGTAGCGCGCCCCCTTCGGTCTGGTCTCCGGAGCGGGAACTTCAAGCCATTTGCTTCTCACGCAGGGAAAGTATTCGCAAAGAGATGGTACTATAGAACATACATATACATGTAGAGGACACAACTCAGGAAATATAGGTAGATCCGCCGATAACTCACCTGTAGCAAACCCGTCGCCGCAGGCCCGGGACGGCAGCGGCGGCGGCGTCACGTCCTGCACAGAATAGCGCGCCCCGCGGCGCGGAGAGCGCCCGTCGACGGAGGGGGTCCGAGCGCGACCTGGGCGACCTTGCAGGGCATGTACGAATGTCTTGCGCGGATCCCGGATGGGGTGTTCTTCATGCCTACATGACGATGCACGTTAGTATAACGTCGTAGCCGGCTGCAATGGCCCGCTCCCTCATAACAAGGACGTGGATGGCCACGGAGCAAGCAGCTCGGGAGTCGAGTCAATAGTCCACCAACATGGACGCAGCTTGGCTGCGGAGCAATAACAGCTCTGGACACGAGGGGAGATGGGAGAGGAGCTAAGGCAAGGACGTCGACGGACGCGCACGATGGTGCCAGCGCACGCAGGCTTTGAGGCCACGGGAAGAGGCTTTAGGGCCGGCGGTTACGGCCTTCTTGCCGCGCGATAAGAGTCATGCCTGCTGCCCAGCAAGCTTCCCAGAAAATATAATATGAGTACAATAATTCTACGAGCGTGCCAATTTCTCAGAAGTGTGGCGAGACATCGCAATCGAGTATAAGGCCATACAAGCAAACAACAGACTTGTGCCGACATATAAGCGCTGGAAGGTCATACCTGCCGAAGGCGGATTCCCCGATGGTCTGCAGAAGGATATTGAACACACATCGGCTCTGGAGCGCGTGAACGATACGCACCATGAAAATGTCTCCTATCCAGGAAACCACTGCATGGATGACTATACTCGCGACCGTTGTGCTATGGCCGCTCCCCGACACCAAGAAGATCAGTGGACCGTTTGCAACCGCACTGTGGTTCGCAAAATCCTCAATAACGTCATCGGCGAGGAGAGTGAGATGCTAGGAATTAAGCCGGTTATCAGTGCATTGGGCCGAGAGTGCGGACGTAGCGATGACATACCGTCAGCGCGAGCAGGAACATGGTGGTCACTATAGCGAAGAGGAACATTCCCAGCCTCGTATACCCGCGACGTCTGTGCTTGTAGACAAGCATCCATAACGAAATGGGGTACAGGATAGTGAAGCACCCGAACAATATCCCCTCGAGCAATAGGCCGGTTAACTGTGAGTGACAGGTGAGTTACGCTTCGAAGAGACCACGCAGCAGAGATTATAGCGTACATCGGCCCGTAGGACTGAGGAGGAATTCATGGGGGAAGGTCAAGCGAGTCCAGCTGGGCGGAGATAGAGGTAAGCTGGGTCTTTAAGGTTCGTATGACTGCGGTCAGTCGTTGCGCTACGCCTCCGCTAATTTGCCCTATTCTGAGATACTGCGAGGAGCAGCCGTAATTCGGGCAGTGCGGATTGAAGCTTTGTCCATAAATGAGCATGGTACCACTGCGAACAACTACACCTGTCATGCGCTCCGGAGTAGGCTGGCGTGTCGACCCATCAGACCCTAAAGCTCGCTGGAATCAGCTTATGCATTGGCTTTGAGATCCGTAGGCGAGCACTCCGTATCAAAGCGGTCGTTTGTGAAGCCTTGAAGGTCGTACATGCCACGAACGTGCGGGAGAAGGAGGTGGTGCCAGTGAAAGGGGCCCCGGAGACTGCTCTCTCGCCATTTACTGATACTTTGATCCTTTTCAAGTGCAAATCTTCCCACGGATACGATAAAATCTATCGTGTTTACAAAAAGTGAACCTGCCCTAAGTCTCGGCTTATAGGCACACATAATCAGACACGGGCGACTTCTACCGCACTGATACTCATCCGCGTAGTACGCTATCCCAACACTTATATGCTCGGAACTGCAACACTGTCGCAAGCAAGTACTCCTTGTTGAGATTCTGCGTAAAATCATAATGACATCTGGGCACAGGCAATAGAATGGCAGAAGTTGGACATCAAACTAACGCACCCGCTGGACTGTAGTCTTGCGTGCTTTAGCATCATGCGCGCAGGCTTTACCAATGCTTCCCACCGTCGTCTTCGTCTAGTAGCCATTTCTTCGGCAGGTGGCCATCAGGTGGCCATGGTAGCTCCGGAATACACACCGAAGTCTCCTTGACCTCTTCCTCTGCCAGGCTTGAAGCCGCCTTAACGTAACGCGCGCGCGGACTCAGCCACAACTTCCTCCATGTTCCGCGTTTTCTCATCCGTCCAGGTGCCTCTGGGCCAAAGTTCATAGTTAGCAATCGCGCACTTGCCGTGCAGCACAGCGCCTTTCGTCCATCGGTCGTCTTCGCGCATTCGATCAGCCCGGGCTTCGCTTCCGCCACCCTTCGCCGCAGCTCCTGTCCGTGATCTTCAATCCTGGACGGAAAGGCGAGGTAATGCATGGCGCCCTTTTCATTTGCGAAGTTGAACCAATAGGTTCGACCATGTAGCATATCTACAGACGGTGAGTTCTGCAGCAACACCGACGACGGCTCTCTGAGCTCACCTTGTCTGCCGCAGAATACTGATCCACGGACACAACTTGGGCGCACGGGCCGCAGATAGAGAGCCCATACACAGGGAATTCGGTCTCACCGAGGGTGGAGAGGAAATGTGCGACGCCCGTCGCTGACGCAGCCGAGCCGTTGGTGGTTCAGGGTGCTCTTCTCCAGGGAAGAGCAAAATTCGCAGCGAACAAAAAATACCTTATATGACTCCGAACGAGCTTTGAAGTTCAGAGGATACGGCGTCAGCGGCGTTGTGGCACTCACCGTTTCAGCATCCGAGTCCGGGCCACTGTTTCCTTCAAGTGAGCCCGGCGGTCTCGAACATGCATCCTCGCAACCCACCAGCAATATTTGGGCTATGTCACTGCTCTGTGCTGCGCGGCTGCTGCACTCCGAGCAACCGATCTTTCATCTCCTTCAGTCTTCGTGTTGTGATCCTACGTATACATAAGGGAGGAAGGTATATAATATACATTACTGAATCTGAAACAAGAGCCTTCGTTGGCGTGCACGGTTCCCGACCTGCAGATGAGACTGAAGTCAGACAGAAATTCAATACAATGCATACCTGGGCTACACGTTCGGGGTCAGGTCATCGCGGCGAGCGACTTCGTACGGCCCACGGCAACATCTTCGCTGTGATCATCCGATTGCGAAATGAAGACATTGACGGTGTTATCATGAGACGACACGTGGCCTGAGTTGTTGAACTCCATGGGTCTGGAAACCATGGACTGTGCGTGACTGGTGTTTCCCAAAACCTCGCTCAGGCCGATGCGGGTGATGATGAGCGTGAACGAGATACCCTAGTGGAGGACCGAAATGTCAGAAACGGCCGCTACAGACGATTTATGCGACGTACAATGAGCGGAGAAAGGATGGCATTGGTGATGAAAACCAGGTTGGACTTCGCCAGAAATGTGACGAGGTTGAAGATCACCCCGATGGTATAGACGGCTTGAGATTGTATGATGGACTTCATCACTCGCCAGGCAGCAGTGCTGTACATATCCTGGGGGAGGTGTCTCCTGGTCCGTCTGTCATGCCAGTACAGACGGCCGAGCAACAAGGCTGTAAAAAGGGGCAGCAACCAGGGAGCAATGTGCCCTAGAAGGTCAATTAGATCAGGGAGGGGCTCCGATAGCACTCACATGTTGTGCCAAGGTTTGTCAAGATGGTCATCAGGAAATACGCAATTAAGGGCGAACGAGCTCCTGGTACATAGATGACCTTCGAATATGTCGTCGGACCGCCACTGTGTAGCAGCGCATGGCCTACGAGACCGGTGGTGACTGTACGAGTTAAGTTGACAGTTTTACGTACGGGTGTAACAAACCACTCACCGGCATCGCCAATGACAAGGAGGCCGGATGGGACGAGAGCGATTATCATGCCATTCCATACCACAAAAACCCGATAGGCCTTTTCGAAACCAACCAGGATCAGTCCGCATAGGATGACTTGTCAGGATGAAGAAATATCCACCATGAACGCATCTCCGAGGAGCGTCAGAAAGGCGAAGATGGCCGTGGAGACGGTCACAGACACGTTGCTCCCGGGATTGTTGAGATACGCTAGAGGCCCGCCGGGCGTCGCACTGTGATTGATGTATGCCTCCACGAGAAAATGCAGGTCAAGAGCGAGGTACTATATTGCATGACTGCTCAGAGATCGATAAATCGTGGATCAGCAAGACAGGCACACCGTGCCCACGCAGAAGAACATGATGGTGACGATTGCGGTCAACCAGAGCGTAGCGGTCCTCAAGCGTCGTCCACGATGTTGTCGGTGCACCAGAATCCATACGGAGATTGGATACAGGACGCAAAATATCCCGAATAGCAGAACCTCTGTGATGACAGACAGGAGCTGTACAAGGTCATTAAACAGTATAGTGCACCAACACAAGAATTCGCTTGCCTCAATCTTAAGTCGTATAGAGGAGCTTTCCATCACGAGCGGGTAGGGTGCAAGAGTCAAGGATGGAGCACAGTATGAGCTCTTGTACTGAACGAGCGTGAGAGAGGTTGATCCAGGGTGTCAAACATAGGTGTGGCTGGCGTCCAGCACAACGCTCGGTGGCCAATTGGCACCGAAGCGGCGCGGTCAGATGATAGAGTTTGAAAGAATGAACAGATAGGAGCCCCTATCAGTACCTGAATTAAAGGAAGCCGCATTGCAGGGATCAGCGTGCGTAGATGTGGGCTAACAATGTCGGTGTGGATGAGCGAGCAGACCGAGCAAATACACTACCGATTCGCCGGCAGAAGACCTCCGGGCTGACCGGGATTAGCGCAGAGAAGTGTCGTTAGCGCTTCTCTTGTGTTTGAGGGCTAAGTATGGAGTCCTATATGTCAATCAAGCACAGCTGTTCAGCGTGAACGGACAGTGCTGACGGGACAATGAACGACTCACCCGAATCGTTCTAGCATTCCGTGTAGTGACACCGACAACCTATGCAGTGGCTGCGTATCACAAAGGGCTACGCACTATTTGTCCAGAGAACGGCCTGGTAACGGCTAAGAGAGCGCGACTTGTGGAAACTAATTGTACCTCAACATCAACATCCGTTGAACGCTAACGAGCCTGTGAATGATACGGGTCAATGATCTCTGGGCATCTCAAAGTTGGAGATGTAACTCACTTTGAGCTCAGAAGCGGGCATACATAGTTCTGCTCTGACTAGTGTCCTGATGGACCTCACTTGCGTTTCAGACAGATGGATTAAGTAGTACGAGTCAGCCAATTGTATCATGGAAGAAGCAGTCGTGCATCACGTCGATCAGAACATTCATGATAATGCATATCGTAGATGATGACAAGTGGGTCTTGAGGATGTCAGCCATAACCTTGCGGAAGATGTCAAATAGTGCGCACCCGTACTTCCCCCGGCTCTCCGCGCCTACACGAAGGAGCCTCGTGTGTGGGCCTGGGCTCCTTCAACAAGGCTCTCGTCATCGGCAGGCCCGGTCTTATCGTGAGGTGCGTCGGTATCCTGGCTGTCGTCTGTCCGAGCAATGAACACATTGACGGCGATAGGTGGAAACGGCCGCCCGCGTTCGTTGAGCTGTACTGCCTGAGTTTCCAACGTTGGGTGCGTGTCCGAAGCCTCCCCCAACATCTCGCTGATCCCAATCCGAGTAATGATCAAGGTGAACGATATGCCCTGATCGCGCCCTTAGTACTAGATGTCGAAGACCGGCAGAATAAAAACGTACAAGTAGCGGCGGGATGATCGCACTGGTGAGGATCGCGAGGTTGGAGTGGGCCACATATGCGGCAAGGTTGAGGATTACCCCAACGGAGTAAGCGACTTCAGATTGTATGATCGTCTTCATAACCTGCCAGTGCACTGATGTAGACGCCCCTGGAGTGCGGTATTTCTTGACGCTGTTGTCGTGCCACCATAATCGCCCAAGCAGAAGAACTTTGCAAAATGGTGGCAAGTCAGACGTATACCGCGCGAGGAAAACAGGACGACGCAGTACTCACGCGTGGTGACTATGTTCGTCAGCAGTGTCATCGAGAAGTAAGCGATCAGTTCTGGGCTAGCGCTGGGCGTGAGGATGGAGTAATATGCTCTCGAGCCATGGAGCAGTCTCTTGGCGGTGAATGCAGCGGCGACTGCCAGTGCATGAACGGCGTTCAGCGTGAAACTCAGAGTTGGAACATAGGCACGTACCGAGATCGCCAACAAGGAGGAGGGCGGGCACTACCAGGGAGACCAATTGCCGCTTCCACACTACATAGATACGATATGTCTCCGAATCCCACACACTGCATGTTAGCGTGCACAGGGTAACAGGAGATTGCGGGAACACTCACCATGAACCCGTCCCCTATGAATGTCATCACCGCAAGTATGACCGGGTGTACGTTGCGAGAGGGGTCATTCACTGGATGGTAGAGAAAATCGGAAGGCCCGTTGGGTGTCCCGCCATGCTCGACGTAGGCTATCATGAGCAATCGGATATCAAGGGCGAGGTACTTGTAAATGTTTCCTGTTGAGCCGCCATATCGCATCACATGGGCGCATATAAGGGTTACGCACCAGTCCCGAGAGAAGGAACATGATCGTGACGATGGCAGTCATACAGAAACTCTGGGCCGAGCGCCGATGCCGGCGCTGCCGGTACACGAGGACCCAGAGGGAGAAGATATAGAGAACGCAGAACGCCCCGAAGAAGAGCGATTCTGCAAAGAGGAGGAGGAGCTATTCGCAGTGAGTGCTCGATGATGTGGACGTGAGGGCAACTGCTACACACCATTACTGAGAGTAGCGAGGGGTCATGCATGGTGGAGGTTGTGAGGTTGACTGAGAGGCGGCGCCCTGCATAAGTACGTGTATCCACGTAGCGCGCACTTGATTCCGTGCTCCATGATGTGAACCTAGGGAGGTGCAGTGTGAACTCAAAAACGACCAACTGAACGCAAGAAGGAGAGATCATTGATACCCGTGTTGCAGACATCAAACCCAGTATCACCGCATGTCTACAGCTAGCGCCTGGACGCGATGTTCACCGACTCGTGGTTGCTCAGAAGCAGCGTCGGCATTGAATGACGATGATGAGGCCTGTCAATGAGTCGAAGAAGAGTGGAGTCATAAGAACAGCAACTATGCCCATATGACTATTGCACTACCACCTGCGAAGAAAACGATCACAACGGTCCGAACGCTATTCATGAAGCTTCAGTCTTGACGGCGTACCTGAGTATGTAGGCTTCTTCTATGAGCGTCGAGCGATGGCCGCGCAGATAACAAAACACATGACGCACCATGTGAACCAAGCGTCACGCAACTTGGGCCAGCATACCGGATACTGAGGTCTGCAGGCTCTGCGCCGCTTGCTCGTCGAAGCAAGCTGCGCCCTCGTAGTGGTGGTGCTTCTTTGAGCCCACGAACTCGAAGGTGATGACCAACGACCCGCGCCAGTAGGGTCCCTTCGAAACCTGAAGTCAGCTCTGTGCGAATGTACAATGATCGATCAAACAGGTAGTGACCGCTCACATCATGAGCATAAATGCTGATGCGGTCGCATGTAAGCAGGCTGGTGAGCGCAACTCCAATAACAGACATCGAGCCGTGCCGTCGTTCAAGATTTGAATGCTAAAGGACTTTGAAGTGACGTGCAGTGCCTCACGTTCAGCCCAGAGGCGTGATACAGCGCTCTATGCCCTGAGTCACCCTCATTGTAGTTAGGGACTCCTCTACGTTTCAAAGCGGACGAATTGATGCAAGAAAAATAGCCGTGCAATTCAGAACACTTCTCATGTACATTCTCTACATACTCGGGGCGTCAACAAAGATCCATAGAAGTGGTGACAGTGAGATGGTACGTACCTATGTCGTGTTCGCATTTAAGTACATCATGCAGTCTTAAATACGCGCCCGGTCTTCGGTCTTCGTCAAGCTCCCATCGCAGGTAGGTCCACGGTCTTATCGTGGAGACATTGCGCATCCGGGCTATTGTCCGTTCGGGAGATAAAGACGTCGACCGAGATGGGCGACAACGACCGCCCGCGTTCGTTGAAATGCATGGTGTGGGTTTCCGTTAGAGACCCGTCGGATCCGTTCCCCAGCATCTCGCTGAACCCGATCCGAGTGATAATGAGCGTGAACGATATGCCCTGCCCGAATTCACTGCTTTAGCTTTAGTTGTCGAAGATTACTGTTGCGGGGACGTACGAGTAACGTCGGGAGCATCGCACTGGTAAGGATGGCGAGGTTCGAATGGGTCGCGAATGCGACTACGTTGAAAATTACCCCGAGCGAGTAGGCGCTTTGGGACTGTACGATGGTCTTCATCACTTGCCAATGTACGGAAGTCGACGCCTCTGCAGTGCGATACTGTTTGACGCTGTTATCGTTCAACCACAGCCGACCAAGGATGAGGACTTTGATACGGGGACAAGTCAGGTGTGCCCACGGGGCGAATGACCATGCACGGAGGCGCTCCACTCACGCGTAGTGACCACGTTTGTCAGTAATGTCATTGAGAAATAGGCGATCAGTTTGGCGCTAGCATTGGGCGCGGAAATGGTGTAATATGTTTTCGGACCGTGGATCAGCGCCTCGGCAGAAAATGCGCCGGCGACTGCATGGACGTCGTTTCAGCCTGCGCTCGAAGGTTGACGACATGGGGTACACACCTATATCGCCGACGAGAAGGAGAATGGGCACGACCAGAGATATTAACTGCTGGTTCCAAACAACATAGATACGATATGTCTCCAGATCCGAGACACTGAGGTCAGCGGGCACGAGGATGCCGGTTTGCGGGGACACCTACCATGAATGCATCGCCTAGGAAGGTCATGATCGCAAAAAGAACGGGGTGTAACATATTAAGAGACGAGTCATTCGCCTGTTGGTTGAGATAGTTTATAGGGCCGTTGGGTGTTCCACTGTGCTCGACGAAAGCTTTCATGGGGTATCCGACGTCGAGGGCAAGGAGCTAGATGAAAATTCGTTTGAATGATATCAGGCAGGAAGAACGTAAGCAGATGTCCACACCAGCCCTGTGAGAATGAACATTATCGTAACGATGGCAATCATTGAAAGACTCGAAGCTGAATGCGGCTGACGACGTTGTCGGCACACGAGGACCCAGAGCGAAAAGAGGTAGAGGATGCAGAACGCCCCGAAGAAAAGCGATTCTAGAAAGAGGACGAGGAACTACTCTTAGTAAGTACTAGGATGCGCAGTGGGGGATTACTGCTCACCGTCATCGTGGGTACTGAGGGGTTGTGCATGAGGGCGACGTGGGGTCGACTCCGAAGTAGCGGCACATATAAATACGTGCCTTCGTTCAGCGCGCGCATGATTAAGTCTTCCCTCGTGAGCCAGAAGGGGCAAATGCACCTGCGTATTACGAAACGAAGAGTGTAGGTGTCAGTTCCGTGGGTACAGCCTTGCAATTTCAGGATTTGTTGACAGGACATACCGAGCTACTGCCAAACCTAATGGCTACAAGGTTTCTTCGGGCGTGACAGTGCATGCCAGACGTAAGCCGATCGACCGCCCGCATGAGTTTGAGCTGGAACAAATCGATCAGTACAGACGAGATGACAAGTGAACCCTATAGCACTGCAGGCGGTGCATGACAGCAGCGCCGGAACATCGCTGGGAAGCAGAACCGGCTCCAGTAAATATTGTCTATCGTGCAAGATCATCCCATGTGCATACAACCCTGTTATTGCTGCAGATAGAGAAAACGAGTGTGGCAGTATGTAATTGTATAGCCTCAATCTCGACGAACCTGATCATGACTGTTCTATGCAAGTGGCGCCAGCGGGCTGAAGTCCATTGTCTTCTCGAGCTGGATGGTGTACAACGTTCCAAATGGACGTACGCTGGCGCGGCGTATGTGAGCGCCTTAGTCTCGTCCGAACTAGGAGCAAGAATATGTATCCGTGAAAGGTCGTAATAAGCTACACCTTGTATCGTCTGCCAGTCTTCGTGAAGAACGTCTCACATAAGATGCAAGAGTCAAACGGCACGTACCCGTGTTAAACTCACATCTACACCCCTGTGTTTGGGCTGTGCGCCTAGCCCCGCGCCTCACCTACGCGCTCGCCGGCGCCTGGCACAGTCTTATCATAACGCGCGCCCGCATCCTGCCTGTCGTCCGTCCGAGCGATGAACACGTTGACGGCGATAGGCGACACCGCCACCGTCCGCCCGTGTTCGCTGAGCTCGCTTGACTGGGTTGGATATGTCTGGGACGCCTCCCCCACCATCTCGCTGATCCCAATCCGCGTGATGATCAGCGTGAAGGATATTCCCTGCCCAAAGTCACCCTCAGCACTAGTACCAGCCGTCGAAGACTACGATCGCGGATCGGACGTACGAGCAACGACGGGAGTATGGCGGTGGTCAGCACCGCGAGGTTCGAGCGCACCGCGTATGCGGCAACGTTGAGGACGACCACCAGGGAGTACGCGAATTGGGACTGTAAGATCGTCTTCATGACCTGCCAAGGCACGGACGTCGACGCTTCTCCAGAGCGATACCTCTTCACTCTGTTGTCAGACCACCACAGCCGCCCGATCAGGAGAACTTTCCATATGCGACACGTCAGAGACATGGACCGTGACGAACGACCACGTACTAGGGAGCGCAGGACTCACGTGTGGTGACCACGTTCGTTAGCAGTGTCATGCCGAAGTAGGCGACCAGCTCCACGCTGGCGTTGGGCGCGAGGATGGGGTAGTACGTTCTCGGACCATCGGTCAGCGCCTTGGTGGCGAATGCCGCGGCGACTACATGGACGACGTTCCTGAGCCTGTGCCCGCGCTCAAGAATAGAGAAAATCCAAGGTACATACCAAAATCGCCTACAAGGAGGAGGTCGGGTATGATGAGGGATATCAGTTGCCGATCCCAGACGATATAGATACGATACGTCTGCAGATCCAATACGGGCAGGTTAGCGGGCCCCGGGCCGAGGGTAGCACGAGATGGAAACAGAGGATCGGTCACCATGAAGCCGTCCCCCAGAAAGGTCATGATCGCAAATATGAGGGGATGCACCTTGCGCATCGGGTCGTCCGTTTCCTGCTGGAGGAAGTGCGAAGGTCCATCGGCCGTCTTGCTGTGCTCAACGTACGCTTTCTTGAGTATCCGCACGTCGATGGCGAGGTACTGATGAGCAATTCTTGTTAAAACGCCACATCGTGCCGGATTGACGCGCATGCAAGGAATGCGCACCAGTCCTGAGAGCAGGAACAAGCTCGTGACGACGGCAGCAAGAGTGAAACTAAGGGTCGAGTGCCGATGCCGGCGCTGCCGGTACACAAGGACCCAGAGCGAGAAGAGATAGAGGATGCAGAAGGCCCCGAAGCAGAGCGATTCCGCGAAGAGGAGGTAGAGCTGGTCACGATGAGTGCTCCGCGATGTAAGCGGGAGGGCGACTGCTGCTCACCATTACTGAGAGTAACGAGGGATCATGCATGGCGGGAGACGTGAGGCCGACATGGCAGCAGTAGTGTGCATAAATACGTGTGTTCGTGCAGCACGAACTTGGCTCGGTGCTCCGTGAGACCTAGAGAAGGGACTCAGGACGTGGAAGCTCGACGGCGGCCTTGTCGTAACCTTGCTCGGTAGGCATGATACTCGACGCTTCTCGCGACAATGAGCATGAGGCTGGGAAAGATCGCCCACGGAAAGAGGCGTAAGTTCAGAACCGCGAGCGTGTCACAGGAAGAATCGAGTGATGCCCAGTGCCTACAGCAGCGCAGGCGTATCCACGTGAGAGCGGCGTCAACATTCACTGCAAGAACAGCATGTCCAGCTGTCCAGCACTGGTTTGAGAAGATGGCACCTCTCATGCGACATGAACACGGTTGGATGGTAGTTGCGGGGGCGGGCACATACGGAAACATGCGCTCCCGGCGTTGCTGCGGATGGAAGAGATGACCACGGTCAGAACGTGCTCCGTGTAACCTCGATGCCGACGAACCTGATAGTGTGTCTTCTATGGGCTGAAAGCAACACCGGCAGACAGAATGCTAACTCTTTCGAGTCCTTCTAGGGAATGCCCCGCCTTGAAGCGACCTTATCGCCGAGGTGCCAACACTCGAGCGCGACTGACCTGGTGGCTCAGCTGCAGGACGTGCCATCCGATCGCTCACAGCCACGGTGTTCGACACAACATGCTGTTCACAGGAAGTCGTCAAGTGCCAGTATAAGTACCTGGAGACGAGGCGGAGCGTGTGCGTTAGTAACCAACGACCGTCGAGGAGGCAGAGCGAATCACGAACCTATTTCAAGTCAGTCAACCTGCCGTCGCGCACAGAGCACCAGGCTGAACGTAAATCCTGATCCTGATATATCCTATGTATTTCCAGGAGCGAGCGGGGGTTGACAAACGCACAACCGTCCTACTGAGTGAGTAACTCTACACTGTACAGAAAATGCGCTTCGAGACGCGTTTGGTGTTGAGACGGGGAGATGTTGGATGTTTGGGAACGAGTGCGAGGACGGAATAAAATAGATGTAACGAGAGTTTAAACGGAATGTATGCGCTTGATTGGTGGTTGGAATGCGTCAGTTTGAGCGAGAGTGAGATCGGGAAGCCGAATGGGGGTGGGAGGGGGTCGCAAGGAGATAAGATATGCTGATGTGTGGGGATGTGAAGACATAACTAGATGCAGGAAACATGCGCAGAGGAGAAATGAGACACGTGAGGGACGGAGGAGTGCATACAGTGGGAAAAGGCACGCATATATGCAAGAAATCGGGGCATCGGAACTGCACGGAGGCGGAGGCACAAAAGCGCGCGCATCCGGGCGATCTACTCTACCTTACAGGGGAAATGACTGCGACGAGCACCGAGATATCTGCGCAAGGGCCGTTAGCGCTGCAGAACCGCTATAGAGCACACGACTTACCATCTGGCTTCCCTCCGTCGAACAACCGGCCCTGCTCGCGCGCCCGCTTGGCGAATGGCACCTCGAGCTCGACCTGCACCTTCGGCTCGTTCGCATTCTGGGCGTGGGACGAGGATTTTCGCGAACCCCGGATCTCCGAAACGCGCTTTGCGCGGGAACATAGCGCCTCGCTGAGCATGCCCGCGAGTGTGCTGCGACGAAACGCAGTCGTTGCTGGGGACGCGCCGGGCGAGTCCGCGGCTGGCGTCGAAGCGCCAGAGCCCATGAAGGAGTGGCGGAAGCGCACGACCTCGTCGAGGATGTCCGCATCCCAGAGGTTGTCGCTTAGCCCATCGGAGGCGAGGATGAGAATGTCGTCCTCCTCTACTGGAACTGTGAACACGCGTGCATCTTGAGGCTTGGTTGACGATGCAGGGCCCAGCTGCACGGGGGTGTTGAACTGTAAAAACACGGGCGCAGTCAATATCACAGGCGGAGATAACTGCAAATCCGTGAAGATGACTCACGCCCCACCACATCTCCTCCGTTCGCCAAACGATGTTGTCGCCACGGACGAGCATGCCCATGCAGTCGCCCAAGTGCGCGATCCGGATGACGGCGCCGCCCGCCTGCTTCTCATCGTCGATGGGCGTTGTGGACGCAGGCTGTGGATCGAACAGCGGCGCATCGCCGAATGACTTGATCGACCGCGGCGAAGGATGCTCCAGAATAGCTACAAGCGCCGTGGACGATCCCTGGAAAAGGGGCACGACCTCGCTGGCGCACTCAGCAATCACCGCAGGGGCCTGTGCTTGTGTGCTCGATGACTGCGGCTGAGCTGCTGAGGTCGCGATGGGTGTGGGAGGTGACTCTCGTTCTGGTGGGGACTGCGACCTGCTTGATGATGGGCTCTGGTCCGCACGACAGACGTGCGATCGCAGGGTCTTCTCGTAGGCCTTTTCGAGTATCATGAGAACGTCCAGGCCGTCCTCGAGCTCCTCTAATGAATCCTCGAGGTCGGCAAAGATGTCGTCCTCAGCGTCCGAAAGCAGGTCGGCACTGCAATAGGTAATCGCGGGGTTAGGGCATGTGGATAACGAGGAAATGTGTGTCATACCTTTGCTCCTGCTGCTCGCTCGCAGCGTCGACCTCCTCCGAGCAGAAGTGCATTAACCGCCGGGCGAAGAGCGCACTGGCGGAAGGCTCTGCGCCATTGGCTGCGGTTGCACGGTTAGCACCCAGAACCGGACGATAGACGTCATATTACCTACCTGTTCGTCGCAACTTTGACCACCCGCCCACGCCGTCCGCCACGCCCATCGCGTTGTCCCTGACGAAGTAGGCGTCCTCTCCCACCTGTACGGCACGGCCAAGCTCCTCCTGATTGTGCTCCGGCCGACCATCGCCTGCGGCGAAGCGACCGTGTCCGTCGCGACCGGCTACAAACTGGCCTCTTGACCGCTTCGGAATGCCATAGGCACCAACATCGAGCTGGTAACGCGTCCGCTGACGCTTCGTACGGTGTTCCGGAGCTGGGGGTTCCGCGGATTTAGCGGAGTAAACAAGCAGCGGAGATAGAGATTGGTAGGGCAAGAACGGGTTGTATGCAGAGAGTGGTAGATGAGACGAAGCTTCGGATTGGCCGAGGGTGAGCGCTATTGAGTACGGGAGGTGGCCGTTCTGCCCCTGAGAGGAGGGGTGATTGGTGTGACCTTCGATCTCGCCGCGGGCCTCTGCAGCGAGGCGGGTGCCCACGATGATGTTGGAGTTCCCGCGAGTGCTTGGTGGAGGTGGTGGGGGTGCTTGGCCATCCAGGAAAGAGAGGTGGGTGGAGGTGTAAAGGGAGCGGGCGGACGATGCGGAATTCGAGCGCACGCGAGGGAGTTGCGAGGTCGATGCGGCGGGAGCAACGGCAACGGGGCGCGGAAGGACGGTGTAGAAGCGTTTGTGTATGTTCTTCATGGTGGGCACCGTAGTCGCCCTCTAGGTTGAGCTCGCTGTGAAGAGCGACGAGGAAAGACGGGCGGAAGGATGGAGGAGGGGAGAGGGGAGGGGGAGTGCCAAGGTGATCGGGCAAAGGAAACCTGCGAGAGCGATTTTGCATTCGCCGCCTGTGTTTGGCGAACCGCACCAACCGCTTCCCGACTCTAGCCGATGAGCTCACAAGCGCCCACGGGCCGAGACCCAATGGGCGCTTAAGAACTCTTTCCCCCGCATTTGCGGGGTAACGCGGCTCTTGGCGCACTTAACCGCCTCTGGCTCTCATGTGAATATGCTCAAGCTACAACATGTTGAGCATTGCCAGCCACGGCGCAGGATCCGTCGAACATCAAGGGGATAAAGACCATATTCCATCTACAGGCTCTCCGGCACTGTCCGCGACTTGTCAATGTCCGAAATGAGTCCGCACGCCCAGGCTGGCGACGATCACGGAACATCCAACGGCGTGAGTATCGACATACAGAACCCCAAAATCCAGATAAGCATGCAGACAGGCCTAACCAGGGTTTGTGGAGGAAGATATCCCTCCGCTGGGATAGACCGATAGAAGCCGTATGTGGGCAGGCATCCCGAGAGCTTCCTCTGTCCAATACATACGTCCAGTGTTGCTTCTTGAAGAGCACCACAGGACAACATGGGTTACGCAAGCGACGCCCTATTACCGATGCCTCCCACTTCAGGCGGAACAGGCATCTCTCCGCTTCTGTCCGCAACGAACGCGCTGTATCTGACCCGCCAGCTTTAGCACCCTCTTGCAGCAAATAGAACGACAACACTCACATCCTGCGCAACCGCTCGCGCTCCTCAGCAGGCACAGACGGCCGTGTGACCCCCAGCACGCGCCGTAGGTGTTCCCCACCGATCTCGTGTCTCTGCACGCAGTGGCGCAGCGTCAGTGGCTGCCAGATTGACCGGGTCCAGAGCGCTCCGCACTTACCGCCTTGGGTTTGGGCGCACTCGCGGTCGAGGACGGGCCCGCCCGCCCCCTGTCCTTGTCCATTGATGCGCCAGTCATTATGCGCTGCAGCTGAGCGTTCCAGAGCCCGCGAAGCAGCGCGGGATGTCATGGGAGGGGGAAAATACAAATTCGTGTTAGTCACTCGCCACACGCAGGAAAACAGATGGAATGAATACACACCCGCCGCTGGAACGCCGACTCCTCCGCGCGCGACAGGACGCGGCGGTCGCCGGACTGTCCGCCAAGGACCGTGTACTTGACTGGCTCGGTACCCTCCGCACCCGATGCGGTACCCGCAGTCGTCGACCCTTCCGAAGACGGGAACGCGGAGATCGTGTCGTGAATGACCTCGAGGTGCGCGTTGTACACGAGCGCCTGCAGGTCCGCGCCCGAGAATCCCTCCGTCTCGTGCGCGAGCTCGGCGAGGTCCACTGACGGCGCGATCGCCACTTTCCGGCGGAGCGCGTCCAGGATCTGTGATTGACAGTCAATATAGGAGTTTGGGTGGGGCGTGCGACGGGCAGAAGTCAGCGCAACGCACAGCACGCACCTCTATGCGGTCCTCGAGCGAGGGCATGTCGCACAGCAGGGACTTGTCCAGACGGCCGGGCCGGAGGAGGGCCGAGTCAATGAGGTCCGGACGGCTAATCGCGCGCGCGCGATTCGTCCATCCAGATTCAGCATTTAGGCTCGGACGCGCACGGCACAGCTGGACGTGGGACTGACCTCGTCGCGGCGAGCACGTACACGCCGTCCAGGCCCTCGGCGCCGTCCATCTGTGTGAGCATCTGGTTGACCACGCGGTCTGTCACGCCTGTGCTGTCGTGTCCTCTGCGGGCGCGGCAGGCATGAGAACGGGCGGTGAGTGGAGGCGCGAGCTAGATTACCTCTTGGGAGCGATGGAGTCGAACTCGTCGAAGAAGAGCACGCAGGGCTTCGCGGCGCTTGCCCGCTCGAACAGGTCGCGCACCTAAATCCACAGACGCACACCCACGCCGCACCGCACCGTACGCCCGTCGGTTAACGTGTGATCGCATGACATATGCACAGAGCACGCACCGACTTCTCGCTCGCGCCGATGTACTTGTTGAGTAGCTCGGGACCTTTGATGCTAATAAAGTTCAGGCCGCACTCCTTCGCGACTGCGGACGCGAGCAGCGTCTTTCCGCACCCAGGGTAGCCGTACAACAGCAACCTATCCGGGCGCAACGGCGAGCATCAGCCAATGGTGGAGAGGGAGTACGAGAGAAGAAGCGCGGAGAGTGGTGGGGAGAACGGGTAAGAGAAGCTGGAAGAAGCAAGAGAAGGATGGGTAAAGCGGAATTACGCACCCGGAACGAAGCCGTAATGGAGACTGCGCGAAGATGGGCCCGTACTTCGTCGGCCACTCGAGCGTCTCGCGCAGGACACGCTTCGTGTCCTGCAGGCCTATGAACGGAAGTATCAAGTACACGCAGACCGCCCGACGCCGCTAAAGCACCCACCTCCGATGTCTGCCCACACGACTTCGGACTTCTGCAACTTTACGTCACGCAAAGAGTGCGGCACAAAGTCGACCTGTGCCGCGGCGAAGTCTGTTGGTGTGAGCGTCGTCTGCCGCGCATATAGTCAAGTAGTTAGCAGACCGTTCGGGCAGATTGGGAAAACAAGCGGAAGGAAAGGCACCTGCTGGGCCTCGTCAGCATTGCTGCTGTCAAGCTGTGACGAGCGGATGGCCGCTCGATGGACTGCCCGTGCGACAAGGTCCTTGAGGTCTGTGACGGAGTACCCTTCCGTCTGCGTGGCGAGCGCGGTATAGTTTAGAGGCGCGGCGGGGTCTTGGATGATATCGGACGAGCTCATATGTTCATCTACAATGTGGGCCAAGACCTCCTTCCGAGCGTCTTTCGATGGAGGCTTGAGATGTACAACCTCCTTGAATATATGCGACGAGTTCAGCAAAGGATGGAGAGCCGCCTGCGACTCTGCGGCGGCGAGAAGGACGACCCCGCTGGCGTTGGGAGCAGCCGATCGTGAAGAGGAGCCAAATAGAGCCAGGAAAAGCTCAGTGATGTGCCTGGTGTGGAAGGAGTCCGCGTGCTGTGCGATGTGAAGTTGAGGGAGCAGGATGCGTTGAAGGCGAGGCACGTACCTCAAGCTCGGTGCCCATGAGTTTGTCGATGTTATCGAGGATGAGGAGGGAGGGTTTGCGCCATGCCGCCTTCTCCATCCAGTACTTCATGTGCGTGCGGACTTTCGCTACTGGAGAGCCCGAGAAGCGGCTCAGGTCGACGTAAAGAGTAACTGAAGAGTACTTGTCAAGCGGGCGAAGAAGCGAGATCATGAAGGAGCCATACAGCAGAGCGTCCGTGGGTCGTCTTCCATGGCATTTGATACCGCGTGCAACAAAGCTGTCTTGCCAGCCCCGCTTCGCCCTGTCACTAGCAGCCCGGGAACTGCAATCGGGAGACGCCGTCAAACCAGGTACTTCTAGAACGAATGCGCATACACACCTCCCCGTACGCGTGTGCTGAAAGCGTGGTTGGCGTATGATGTCAGGCAGTACTGCGTGCATTTTGAGAACAACTCGTCTACGCCAGCTAGTCCGTATGCTGAACTTGCGGTAGATCTGTTCACAATAAGTTGTCGTCTCCCATGACTGGAGGTGCTACGTACTGGACTGGGGATGGCAGCGTTGGTGCCTGGTACGGCGGCAAAGCGCGACTGCTCTCTTCCCTCACGAAGCTTATTCTGTAAGCTCGTCAGTAGGCTAGTATCTCTCGTGCACATCGCGATACAACCCACCTAATCAGGTCCCAATCTTCTGCATTATCACACCCTGCCTGGAGCGAAACATGCCCGTCGGGGACATACACATCCGGGGACCACACCACCACAACCTCATTTCGAGGGGGAGTGCTCGCAGCCGCGGAAGCCTTCGATGATCCTGCCTCGCCATTAGGTATAAGCACACGCGGGGCCCGTTGGCTTGGGGCCGATGCAGGCTCCGACTCCCTGGCAGGGTTTGCTGGAGGAGGTATGCGTCGTATGCTAGCTCGCCAAGCATGCAGCTGTGATGAAGGGGGCTGTGTGGGCCGCAAACCTGCTAACGTGGTGTATGACACGTATGCGATGGGTGTTTCAGGGCCGTCGGATACACTATGGGCTTGTGGTGCGCCGACCAGCATGCGTTTAGGGAGGAGGCGTAGCGTTCTAGACAGACCAGAGACACTCTTTTTCTCCGGAGAAGGTGCATGGTCGCCGTTCACGCCGTTCGCAAGTGGGGCGGCCTTCTGTGCGGCCTTTGCGTCGGAGCCTGCCTTCGCGCCCTTCGTCTTGCTGCGCACTTTCGGCGCAATGCTCACTTCGGTGCTCGCCGTCAGCAGTAGCGCCTTTCCGGCAGATGGCTCCAGCGACACTGTACAACGTATATTGCTCGTCAGCCAACTCTAAGAAGCGGAGGTAGAGGGGGCACGCACCGACGTTTAGTCGCACCCTGGTACGCCCCAAGACCCAGACGTCGATCTCCTGCCCCACTACTGCAACACGCACTTGAGAGAGAAGAGTAGATTCCACGTGGGACGCGTGCAGTTCCTATGTAGCCAGTGTTAAACCACATCCCCGCACGCGCAAGAGCGCGTTCGCGGCGTGTTAGGCCCACTCACCAGGATCTCCCAGTCGTCTGAGGTCGCGGGCTCGGTGGCGACGGACTTGGCGTAGCCGAGGTCATGCAACAGTCCAATCTCGACCTGGTATAGGCACGCATATAGCAAGTAGGAAGGCAGACTAAACGAGAGCACGCACCACATCTCCGAGAGCTAATCCCAGCCCCTCCGCATACTGCGGGTCTATCTCCACCGTCTCCAGCCCACGGTCCCCCGCCTCCCCGGAGTTGAAGTGCGCGAGCGAGGACGCGGACGCCATGCCCGTCCAGCCGACATATAACTCGCGCTTTAGGGCACTCTTCGGCGCACCAGAGCCGGAGACGAGGGTCAAATGTACCGCGAGGGATTGAGGCCTCTGCATACCTGTCGCGTAAGCTGGAGCGCATGGCACAAAAGCTCCGTAAACATACAATTCCACGCTCGACGAGCGGCCCATAGAGCGATATTGGGAGGTTCACGAGGGATGAGCGTAGCGAGACGAAGTGGATGCGACAGCGGCGCGGCATGGTTGGCTAGATGACGCTGAGACTATGGTATCCTAGAGCAAAGCAGGTCGAGGAAAGTAGTCAAGATGGCAAGGAGATAATGTCGCGAATTCGTAGTGCTACGACAGCGCTGGCATGAGTGTTACCGGAATGCGAGCTGAGTGCTCCGACTTGAGTCGGATTTCACGAGTGTCACCCCGCATTACCATCTCAGATGCGGATCGCCGATTGCACGATCGTGTCATATCCCGATCTGGAAGGTGTAGTGTTTGACTGGAAATCCTGCGCTTCATGACATTCAATTCAACTAATTAATTACTGGAGTTGAGTCGGGCTCTAGGACAGTGCGCGCGGAGACATATGAAGACACTTATTGGGGAACATGATACATGACAGCATTGGTACAACATAGCGAACTGGGACAAACATCGATACTGATACAACTGACAGAAGCCCGACAACTGTACATCGTCCGCCGAGAACATCTTCTCCGACCCGTTCACGGGCAGCATTACGTCCGAGTGATCCTGAGTCTTCTCACTCATCTTCATCCATTTCGCCTTCGGCGTCCTCCAAGCTGGCCACTACCTCGAAGACCTCATCCTCGACGAAGACGTCGCATTCGCCTTCGATGGTCGAGCCTTGGTGACAGGTCGCCGCGTGCTTCCACCTATGCGGACCGGCGTCGAATGTTACACCGCGCGACTCATTCTGCATCCAACACACTCACCAAAATATCTCTCGAACCTATGCAGCGGGTGACGTCATGAGCAATAGAGGTCGCGCAGGATGTATGCGAGACATACCTTAGTCGGAACATCCTTGATGCCCTCCACAGCAACCCACTTCTTGCACTTGTGGCACTTGCCTTCCATCAGCTCAGTCTTCTCGAGCTTCCCCGGGTTCTGTCGGGCCGTCGTGCGGAAAGCGAGCGGAGGAGAGAATGGCCGACCGGTGGCAGGAGAGATACCTGCGACAAGTCAGAACCTCGCAGTGACCCTGATGAGGGCGTCATTACCATGCGCATACTGCATATGATAGCTACAGCAATGTGAGCCTCAACATTAAAATCGCTTGGGAAAGAGAGGGCTCACTTGAACGCCGAGAACTTCATGGACAACCACAGCTTCTTGCCTTCTCCACCCCGGTCAACCCGTTCATGGCAGATCGGGCAAAGTCCAACCTGAAAACCATCGTCGGGAGCTCACGCGCAGTTACTACTGCGGAACGTACCTTGGTAGTGCCTCTTCCCTTGACGAACCTCGGGGTGTACAAGTCGAACGCATCACGCGGCGGGTTAGGAAGTCCATCTGCCGCTTTGGGAGCGGTGATGTTGTGAGCGCTACAAGAACACAAGACACGTCAATGCGAAGAGGACGACGGCTGAGGGAAAGCGTACGTTGCAACTTCGGCAGCGATCACCGAGCTGACTGGGAATCGCCTATAGAACAGCAGGAAGTTCTCGTTGATGGGCAAAGAAAGCGGGAAAGTGCGGTTCGGATACGCCGGCCCATCATCGTCCAAGGACGCCGCTGGGCTGCTGGCACGCGTCGCTGGAGCAGCAGGCGATGATTCTGCGACGCGTTGCCTCTTGTTGCGGATCGCCGGGGAGGTCTGGTGAGATTGGCGGACACGCTTACGAGTGGCGCGGCGAGGCCCAGTGGCAGGATCATAGTTTTCGTCGTCAGAGTAGAGTACAGGAGAACTAGACAGCTTCAAGGATGTGCGAGCATTACGAGTTGCATCACCCTGAGGTCGGCCGAGCTGGTTCAGGATGTCAGTAGCGAGAGAACGTCCGCCCGCACGTTTGGCAGGCTGCAGTCTCGTAGATCGACGGAGATACGGGGAACATGAGGGAGAGGGTGGAGATGGCGAGCAGATTTTCAGCGGAGACCCCAGAAAAGACAGCGTGCCAGGTTTGCGAGGAGAGAACGGAGTTGCTCTTCCGAACGACGTCTGGGAAGAAGGCAGAGCAAGACTAGAAAGCGCGACAAACGGAGAAGTTGAACGAGAAGATAGAGTTGACAGCGAGGAAGGCGAAGAAGCGCGATCTGCGGCTTGAGGGCTGTCCGGAATGTCTTGCAGTTTCTGGTAGGCGAGTAGGGACTCAATCTTGCCGGACGGCGGGAGATCTTCGCCGTCGTCCTCGCCTTCGGCATCACGTTCGGAGCCGAGCGTGGCGTCGAACATGGAGTGTCGCGAGATTGGAGAAACAGACAGTTCGTCTGCCTGCCAGTATCCGCCCGGTGAAGAATCGAAGAGCCGCTGGAACGGCGTGCTCGGCGACAGCCGCGTGATGGGTTTTTCTTCGCGACCAGAAAGATACGCTTCAACGAACGTAGGGGACTGAGAGGAGGCCGAGGAAGGCAAGGCTGCTGGGGAAAAGGTCGTCGCAGAGGCAGAGCGGTCGGCAGGGCTGCAGATGTAGGAGAGCGCGTCAAAAGAGCTCGAAGACTGAGCGGTAGAATCTTGCGAAGGATGTGAGGAAAGGCTCGGGGTGTAGAGAAAAATATCGCTCGACAAGTTTGGCATGTAAAAGCTGTCCGCAGGGGGGTTTTTCTGGAGGAGGTCGGCGCTCGAGTGGGACAGCGCGTACGAGTAAGTTGAGCGCAACATCGTGTATGCTTCTTCGGTGTGAGTAGCCCCGTTTTCTGTGCCGCGCAGGGTGTTTTTGAGAGCGTGTGGGCGCGGGGGGTGTCCGCGAAGAGCGTTTTGCGGGGGATGGTGGGGGTTGGGGAGGACGCGGTGTTTGCGCGTTGTTTGGCGGACACCGCCACCCAGAAATAGGCAGAGTGAGATTATGTAAGCGCGCGCTATACCCTTTCACTTCTGACACGCTCATCGCTGGCCATGGCTGTCGCGTTCTCCCTATTTCTCTCGCTCCTTTGCTTCCTCCAGCTCGCGGTACGGACACATGCGGCGGCACTGACGACCGCAATTGGTGCGAATGAGCGGGTGTGCTTCTACGCGGATGCGGACAAGGCGGGAGAGAAGATTGGGGTGCGTTCTTGCGTTCGTCTACTCAGTACGCCTCTGCTAATGCTCGCATCCAGTTCTACTACGCTGTGCGTATTTGTTGCACTGGAAGCTCTTCCCTTGCTAAAGGCGCGCCAAATAGGTTCAATCCGGTGGCTCGTTTGACATCGACTTCGAGGTGAAAGATCCGAGCGAGAAGGTCATCCTTGACGGCAAGCGCGAGAGGCAAGGCGACTATGTCTTCACGGCCAACACCCCTGGCGAATACTCCTTCTGCTTTGAGAACGACATGTCCACGCTCACCGAGAAGCTCGTCGACTTCGACATCATGGTCGAGTCCGAACCCCGTCGCGACCCTCCCGCGAAACCCGGTCAAATCGCAGACCATACGAGCGCGCTGGAGGAGAGCATATTCCGCCTTAATGGCATGCTCATCAACATTAAGCGTACGCAGAAATAGTGAGTGCGCGCGCGACTCGGGTGTGTCGGTCTCGTGCTTACCAGTGGTAGCTTCCACACGCGCGAGAACCGCGGGTTCGACATTGTCAAGGCCACCAAGAAGTACGCCCTTCCTCCCCTTGACCCGTTCAGCCGCATCATGTTTCGTTCACAGCCAAATGTTCTGGTACACGGTGCTAGAGAGCTTGGCCGTGATTGGGATGGCTGTGTAAGTGCCGCTCTTGTACCTGTGGAAGCACGCGCTGATGACGTGTCGCGCGCCGCAGTCTGCAGGTGTATGTGCTGCAGACGTTCTTCACGAAGACTGGCAGACGATACAAGGTGTAACTTATTACGACTTTTCACGGATACATACTCTTGCTTCTAGTTCCGACGAGCTTCAGGCGCTCATGTACGCCGCGCCAGCGTGCGTCCACTTGGAACGTTGTACACCCTCGAGAAGACAATGGTGCTCAGTCCGCTAGCGCCATTGTCTTGCACGGAATGGGCATAATCAGGTTCGTCAAGAATGAGGCTATACGACTACCGCGCTGCCGTACATCGGTTCTTCTATCTGCGGCAGCGATGGGGTGGTATGCTGCTAGATGGGTATTTCGATATCTCCTTTATCACTCTACGTGTGTTGATCTTGTATGGCAGACAGAATTTGATGAAGGCTGGCATGCTGCTTGCGAGTTATATTCGCGCGTCGCGCAAAAAGGTCAATGGGCCTGCTTGTCAAATCGTCAGTATGGGTCGATTGGTTCCCGCTCAAACGTCTGCAGCCGATCGATTTGACGCTGCAACCGTCGTGGGCAATCTCCTCTCTGTATCTCAGGAAAGGGTCTCCTCCCCGAACTTTAACTTAAGATACAACGTTGGACCGCGGCGTTTTGCTATAGGCTTGTCGAACCACCAGCTTCTTTGCCGCTCACCGGATATCCCCATGGTCAACGCCGTCCATCATGCATCCTCCCACTCGTCCGATATAAAGGATTATATTCTCTCCAACCTCGACGCTTGAGCCTCCGACCGCACACGCATGATGCAAAGCCCCTCCTTACTCTGGTTCGAGGTAAGTGAAGTCTCTTCATATCGGTGCATGGCAATTCTAATGACATGGACAAGCTCTTGGCTGTCCTCGTGGAGGTCCTGTTATTTGGGGCCTTCTGCATCCTGTATCCCGCCGCGATATGGATCTTGGTGCATCGAAAACACCGCGGACGGTACTCACGTTCCCCGGTCCTCTGGCTATCCGCGATTGTCACAACTATGTTCTTGTGCGCGGGCGCGGTATGCTTCTCTTCCTCAAGCGCGGAAAAAGATACCAGCATTTGAGTATTTACGTTGTCCAGGATCTCGCCATTGACATCCGTATGCTCCTTTTGGCATTCGTCGACCACAGCACGACGCCTGGCGGGCCAACGGCATATTTCAACAATCCCGGGAACAATCCGGCCCTGTACGTTTCCGCTGTCATTTTCGCTTTTCTGACCCTCCTTGGAGACGGGTTTATGGTGATTCTCTCACTATCTCTTATCCATCTCAGCAGACTGACCAGGTGGTCTTCATAAGGCGTACCGGGTGTTTGTGGTTTGGGGCGGCAGGCCAATCTCTCTCATCCTACCTGGCCTCTTTCTTATCGGTGATATAGGTGAGTGCTCTGTAGTGATACTTCGCCCCTCGCCGTCCACTAAATGCCCACTTCATGCAGTAACTACAGCTGTGTTTGGTCGAGCACTGCTGCAAGGCGGCCAGACAACCGCCTCAGATGTTATATACATTCCCGGAGCCCGTGCGCCCTTGATTGCGTATTTCTTAATGACTCTTCTGACCAACTTCGGCACGACATGTGAGTGCTACCCAAGTAGAGGCTATTCATCATACTCACGACTTACTGGGTTTCGATACCCTCTGTGTAGTCCTGTTGCTCGGTCGTCTCTATTGGCACGACAGACGGACCAGACGTACTCTATCCCAGGATGTCTACGATACCGTGCCCTGGCGGGTGATGAAGACCATTGCGCAGTCCCAAGCTGTCTACTCTATCGGGGTGATCATTAACCTTGTCACGTATTTGGCCAACTCCGACCTGGTACTCGTCACCAACTCCATCCTCCCTCCGCTCATTGTGCGTATACACATTTCGTGCATAGTGGCCTCTGCTGACAGGCCTACTCCCGTCTGTAGGGCATCTCGTTTACACTGATAATCACACGCATCGGCCTCAGCGAGGTTGTGGGAAACACCAGTCACGCAGAATCCGTGGTTTCAAGACCCATGGAGTTCAACATTCCAGGCCACGCGCTGTCTCATGATAGCACCGTCAATGTCTTCATCTCGCGATCGGATGATCGCAGCGAAGATGTTGCCGTGGGCCGTACGAAGTCGCCCGCCGCGATGGCCTGACCGTCCGATTCGTGTAGCCTAGGTGTGTACTGTATTTGATTTCTATCCGACTTCCGTCTCATCTGCACACCGGGATTGTGGACGCCAACGAAGGTTCAGAATGCTTAACCTTTGGTTTCAGTTTCCGACATGTATATACCTTCCTCTCCCAAGTATATGTAGGATCACCATACGAAGGCGCGAGGCTCAAGGAGCTGAAATACTGATTTCTCAGAATGCAGCTGTCACGCAGCACGGCGCATGCATGATCGAGATCGCAAGGCTCACTTATAGCGGCAGTCAGGGTGCTTAAACGGTAAGAGAGCATGTAAGTCTGCAGCCCAGCGGGTGCGTTAGTCTGATGTCCAAGCTCTACCGTTCTATTCCCTGTACTTATTCGAATTTCTTCATGATTCAAGTGGGGTCAAGGCGAGTGCTTGCGACAGGTGATGTATGATATATGAGCGCTTGCATCGCCACGTACAGTACACCAGTACTTGCATCTGCCAAAGCTTGGCAGTGAGCGCTGAGCGCGTAGCACTCTCGGTAACGCTACCTCTCGCTTGTCCTTTGTCTGTTGAGTCAACGTCCTCGCCTCGTCGCTCGACCAGACTCTCTTCGATAATGGACAGGACTCCCTAGTATTCATCGGGGACGTGACATCGTCGAAATATTGCCAGTACTCTAACTAGATATCCCCCAGCAGCGCCGGCTCGATTGTTGCGCTGTTCAGAAGAGAACGAAGGAGGAGAAGCTGATGGCGCTTCTCTACGTCAAGATATGATCTCGCTCTGGAGAACCGCCGGCCGATGGATATGGCAGGGACGAGGTTCGTCTGGTTCGCGAACACCGATATCGTGGGCCCGCATCTGCATCCACTGATACCTGCATTTCCCACCTTGATAGGAGTACGGATGGGGCCCTCCTCTGTCCGATCTCACCCCGGCTCCGCCCTCGGACCGCGGCCCTTCGATACTTTCTGGGCCGGTTTGCTGTACAGTGCTCCTCCCCATGTTCAACATATGGATGGCGCCCTCTCACGCTTGTCCGAGACGGAGGCCTATATCTTGAGCCGTCCTCGACTCATGCTCCCCTCGCACTCGTGATGGCAAACCTTGCGTTGCTGAGGATTGAGGTAAGTAGATTGTATTGGTATCTATTGCAGTATATCTGACCGCGTTGGTAGCTTCTTTCGGTCATCGCAGAGGTCCTGTTCTTCGGGGCGTTTTGTGTGCTGTATCCTACCTCGGTATGGATCTTGGTGCGCCGGCAACACCGCGGGCGGCGCTCGAGAACAGCAACACTCTGGTTGACCGCAATTGTCACCATTATGTTTCTCTGCGTGGGCACGGTGAGCTTGTCATCCTCGACATGGTTTGGCCACACTCTGAGTGATTACATGTTGCAGTACCTTGCCCTTGACATCCATCTGCTCGTCGAAGCGTACGTCGACCACAGCGCGACGCCCGGCGGGCCCCTGGCATATCTCGACCGTCCGGCGAGCAACGTGTCTTTGTCCGTCTCCGCTGCCATTTTCGCCTTCCTGACACTCCTCGGCGACGCGTTCATGGTGAACGCCTTTTTGTTATGTAACAGACCCCTATTCTGATTGGTTGGTTTCAAAAAGGCGTATCGCGTTTTTGTGGTGTGGGATCGCTCGGGCGTCGCTCTCGTCCTGTCCAGCCTCCTTCTCGCTGGTGACGTGGGTGAGTGCTCTGCTTAGCCCGCTCCGTGCGATCGTCCGCTGAGTGTTTACTTTGTAAAGTGACCACTGCTTTAGTCGGCACAGCATTGCTGCAAGACGCCCCGACGACCTACTCGGACGTCGTATACATCCCGGGAGCCCGTTCGCCCTTGATTGCGTACTTCCTGATGACTATCCTGACGAACCTCGGGACCACACGTGAGTCGAATCATCCAGCGGTCCACCGGTGCACTTCTCACGGCGCAGTACCGCTCTTATAGTCCTCTTGCTTGGCCGTCTATATTGGCACGAAAGAAGGACCAGGAGATATCTCCCCCAGGACGTGTACGACACTGCCGCCTGGCGAGTGACGAAGGCCATCATGCATTCTCAGGCCGTCTACACCATCGCAGTGATCTTCAACCTCGTCACATTTCTGGCGAACTCCAACCTGGTGTTCGTCACCAACGCCATCCTCCCGCCGCTGATCGTGCGTATGCGCACTGCCTAGTCCGTACCGGCCGCTCCTACTGACAGAACAACCCTTTTGTAGGGTATCTCGTTCACGCTGATCATCGCTCGCATCGGCCTCAGCGAGGTATTGGAGAGCACGGACCTCGACGGTTCGGCGATTTCAAGGCCCATAGAGTTCAGTAATCGAGGGCGCGTGGGGTCTCCGGCCATTGCCGTCAACGTCTTTGTTTCGCACACGGATGACCGTAGCGAAGGTGTCGTGACGCTCAGCCACACGAAGTTGCCTGGCGTGATGACATGAATGCCGTGCAGCACGAGCGCGTAATGCTACATTGTCGACCGCGCGACCGCGCTTGACGTGCGGTGGAAGATGGAGGAGGACGTGCGGCGGAAGATGGAGGACGTGCGAGCACTGGGGGTGCGGTTGCGGGAGGGGGCGCCACAGTTCTTGGAGTGCGTACGCCGCATACTAGCAGGAAGGCTCGGCGGGACCATTTGAGAGCACGGGAATGTGCCATATATACGGTTCCGATGAGCAGCGTTTTGTACCGTTGGGTAAGAGTCATTGTAACCTTAGACTGGGGTTATCACCGATAAGCGCTTGAGCCCACAAGTTGGACGCCACCCCTATTTCTTTCTATTCGGCCCACCCAAGATGCCTCCTCCACCAGCCCATGAATGTGCCCAGCAGCGGTCCACAAGACTTGCCGAGATTGAAGCCGCGCTAGCAGACGTCCATGCCGCCCCCCAGCCGCCCGCCGCAGCCGAGGAGCGCCTTGTATGGAAGGCGGACGAGTACCTGGCGGCGGCCGTCCCCGGCTGGACGCCCATGCCGCAGGAGGACATCCACGACCTCCTCACCTTCCTGGGTGCCACCGACGACCGCACGCGCCAGCAGACCCTCCACAACTGGAACAGGTCCGCCGAGCAGCTCCTCGGCCCAGCCGGTCCTGGCGTCCACCTCATCGGCGTGCGTCCCCGCCCCGTCCCTCGCCGTCCGAAGAGCACGAGTACTCACACCGAGGTTGCAGATGAAGCCGCGCGTGGGCGACGGCGTCTACACGGTCGACGTCCCGCACTCGCACCTCGCCATCCGCATGTGGGACGGCGGCATGGAGATGTACCGCCAGTTCTGCCTCGACTTCTTCGACACGCGCGCCCGGCGGCCCGTCAACATGCCCCGCGGGTTCCAGCTCTGGCCGTCCTCCGCGAATGCGCCCGGGGTGTACACTATGTTTGGCCCGCGGTTCCGGGCTGTGCAGTGATAGACGGCGCTTTTGTGGGCTTGTGGTGCTTGTTTGGTGCAATATGTATCGTGTTGCGGGGACGCGGAGGTGCGCCAGACTGTGCTCGTCGTGTCCTCCAGGAGATCCCGGACGCATACAGCCATCTTAGACAGCACTATGCTCTGACAGACGACTCTCGCTCTAGTATACCGTGTAGAGTCACCCTGAGACCGGTCGGTGATACACTCCCTCATCGATATTGTTCGGTCGCTGACGCATACACCCAGGTTTTTGCACCATGACAGACCACTTCTGCTGTGTGTCTCAAACTGCCAGTGGACTGTGCACCGTCGAACGGCTCGTCCGGAACCGCCGCCCCGTACGCCGCTTGCTGCGTGCACTCGCACTGCAGCTCGTCGACGTGCACACCGGCGGCGGGGAGACGCTCTTTGCCAAGGGTGCACTCTGCTCATAAAAGCTTCCTGGAGCCCGGCGGGGCGGGCACCGTTCCACACAACACGCTGCCGCCTCCGCCCGTAAGATGCCCCAGGTCCTCGCAGCCTACTAGTAGACCCGAAATCCAGACATCGCCCCTCCGAATCCTCGCACGCGATCTGCAGGTGAGTGGCCCGTCCGCGTGTTCGTGCTCCAACGGCGGCCCGCCCAGACGCACTCACCCCACACCCCCTCGCTCGTACAGCCCCACACCCTTCGCTCGTACTGCCCCCACCACTACCCCCCTCTGGGCATGTCGGAGCGGCACGCACGCCTGCACGCCCCGGTACCGGTCCAGGCACGAGCACACAGCTGGGGCGTCCCTGTCTGCGCTCTGCTGTCCCCTCGCTCGCGGTTGACGGGCGTATCTCCGGCGCGGCTTGCAGGCAACGACGATGTGCGACGTGCGACGACAGGACAGTGTCCGCAACGACCTGGCCTCGGGTACGGGTACCTTCGAAAGGATCTTATGGTCGCAATCTTGATGATAGGTGACGATTATCACCCAAGGTGCCAGTACGACTGCCGCAACGACGCTTGCCCTAGTCTCGCTCGCGCTGCCTTCCTTGTCGCGCGCTCTCTCGCAGCTCTCGTTCGCGCGTCCCAGCTCTCCATCCACCTCTGGTGTTCACTCGCTCTCGTCTCCCCGCCTGCGCGCTGCTTGTCGACGACTGCCTGCGCCTTGCAGCTCTCTCGCCGCACTCTCACTATTCGACAATCTGGCAGCTGTCAAGTGCCTCAAATGCCTCCGCCTTCGCCCGCCGATCCTCACACGCACGACGTGCATCCCTCGTTTCCACTCGAGTGCTCTGTAACACCGATATCTCGTCGATGGTACAGCATGCGAGCACGCATCTCTGGCGCCAGCGACAAACCCGGCACCTTCTCCAGCAAGTCGGCGGCACATTCTCATCACCCGGTACACGTTCTAGGCCTCTCAAGATTTCTCAGACTGATGCGAGCCCGCGCCGAAGCCCTCCGACACGAATTCTGCCTCTCGACTAGGTAGACATCCTGCTACACCCAAGGTCCTTTATGTTGGCCACATCTCGCGACGACTGCTCTGCTGCGCCCGGATCGCGAACACCCCTGTACGACACTGCTCTGGGTCACCATCAACTCATATATAGTACGTCCCCCTCCTCTACACTACTACGCTATCGTACATGACACGAAAGCGCTACATCCCTACAGCCCACCCGTCCACCTTGCGCATACTCGTCCAGAGCAGTGCCTCGCCTGAACACCCGACGTCAGCTCAGTTTGACATGTCTCCGTGACTCGCAACGAACGGCTACGTACCGTGTCTCGTGCTCGTCGAGAGCACTCTTCGCCAACGGGCATGTGTGGCTGGAGTTGGACACAACTCAGACGGGCGAGTCTGCTGGCATCTGCAGCCGTCGTCCGGCCCGCCGTATCTGTGAATTCGAGCTACTCACAGTAAGCAGCTACCTCGACGAGCTCGAAGAAGGACCATACCTGCATGGGCCAGACAAGCCAGGCCCACAGTGCACCACGTGAAGACGGCGACGACGGCGAAACAGTGCCAGCGCCGAGACGACGACGGTGAGCAGAAACGGAGAGAGGGGAGAGCTGGGTGTCCCACACAACACTCACGCAGTCTTATATAGACCCACCCCCCGGCGCCGCGCACGACGCGCCCTCGGCAAGCGGCAGCGGCACCCACCGCATCTCCGCCTCCGCCGGCATGTGTCCGTGTGTCCGTCTGCGCGTCTGCGCCCTCGCCTCCGAGTCTCGCACCCCCAGGCCTTCCCCGCACCGTGAAGACGCGAGGGCAGACACAGCGCACCCGCGCCGCGTCGCCGATGCCGTCTTCGCGCCCAGGGCTCCGGTCCCGAGTTGTTGGGGTGGGGCGGCGCTGTGGTTGCGCGCCTGGGCCTGGCCTGCGCGATGCGCGTCGTTGGCGTGCTGCGGCGCGGGCGAGAGTGGAGGGCGGTCGAGCGGGGGGTGAGTGCCCGAGTCTCTATCGGTAGAGGTCAATAACTGACTGGCTCGTGCTCGCAGCAGATGCTCCGGTTCCACCTCCTGCAAAACTTCGAGAACAGAGGGAAACACGTCCAAGGACGGAGTGAGGACGCGCCTCCGGCGAGCACAATGTCTAGTTCACGGGGTGGTGCGCACGGCGACTCGGACCACCGGCGGGCTCAACTCCAGAGCGGCTGGTGCCAGAAACCGACGGGCTGGGGTTTGTAATAGCGCGCTGCTCGGGCAGGAAGGGGCATTCACGTCCCCTCTGCCGCTTGAGGCACAGACTCGCCAAGGCCAGAGCAAGCTACGCCCAGGGGTGGAGCGGGAGTGCGCCGCCCACAGCCTTCGCGTGCACCGGCAAGCGCGATGTAGACTGTCGTGCCCTCACGCCGACTCTGCTCCGGCAAATCGTCGAGTAACGGGGCGCAGACATCACCTGCGCCGTCTCGTGCGGACGTTTCGCGTCGTAGGCTTCCGCACACCCCGCCGCTACCGTCTCCAAGTCAATCCCACCGCACGCGACGCGCATGCATCCGAGTCTGTCTCCCGAGATGGTGGGAGGCCCTCGAACTCTGGCCCGGGTGTCGTGTACGTGCACGCCCCCTGCACATTCTGTATCTCCAACACACAATACACCCCCACCCTCCCCTCGAAGCGCACGTCTTCGGCCGCAGGACGGACGGGCCCTCCCCCATGCGTGCGGGACGCGCAGATCTCGCGTCGAGAGACTGAGACCGAGCCCGAGACGGCGGGCACCGACGCACGCGGACGTGTTTCGGCGGAGGCGAGAAGGGTAGTACGTTGCAAGGGGATGCACCCGCTGCGTCCCTGGGCGCGCGTTGATGGTTGCGCGCCGCGTACGAGGCGGGGCGGCCCCTTGCGGAGGCGTGTGCTGCCTGGTTTGATGCATGGCGTGGGCACTGGGTGTGTCGGTTCAAGCAAGCAACCCTCGACGGACGTTCGAGGGCAAATATTGTATCTCGCGAGAGAATTTTGTAATGTACATGGAGAGTCGAAATACACGTCGTAAATGTTCGAATGTGACCCATCCCGACCATGAACGGATGGCGAGTTGGCCATGCTGCCGTCGTCTGTGTCCAACGACGTTTGCGACTCGGAGCACCCTTGGCCGTTACGAACGTGAGCAGCCGGGAATTCCGTGCATTCCGGCCGATGCAGGCTTCTGGCGGCGCAGAAAATCAGTGAAACAGTTTGGGCATCCCTCCGAATGCACACTGGGTCCCCAAAATATCGTAGACTGGGCTCGCTTGCATCGCTCGCCGTCGTTGGGGACGACCGTGACCCTGGACGATGCACATCAATATCGCTTGCGGCGAGCTGCACGCATGGTGCCGTACCTTCTACCGAGACAGCGCGCCGTCCTCGCGTCATGACGTCCAGACCGCGGCACCGTGCACAATGCAGAGTCTTCGTTTGCGCGCGTGAGATACAGAAGCCTTGCGTCCGGTGTGGAAGTGCCCGATGTCGATCCACAAAGGTGGTCGTGTTGGACGAGAGATGATGTCTCTGCTCGTTTCGAAGCCGGGCGCACAATCGGCCCGTTCGCGATACAAGTTTCTACGACGCCGTGGCGGCGCCGTGTGCACAGAACAAATATTGATCACATTGTGGACGCGCCAATTCGATTTGTGTATCCTGGGATACGCAGGCATCTGGCGACGCAATCAATTCGCGGAGGGGACAGTGGGTCGTGTACATACCTCAGAAAGCACCCAGGCTCATCCCTGACCGTCTATCGAGCTCGCTTGTGCCTGTCGTCATCGCGGAGAACGCCTGTGGCCCTGCTGGACACATTCAGTTCGCTTCCGACGAGCTGGTAAGCAGTGACGGCGTACCTGTTACACAGACTAGATGCCGATCTCGCATCATGACGTCCAGACCGTGGCACTGCTCGCTGTGGCACACGGTATACGGTATGTGTCAAGGTGGATTGGATTCCCAGTAGCCCAGGGTTTGAGTCTGGCGGGAGCGCTGCTTTACTGAGTGGCTTGGTCTGCCCACAGAGAGCATATTGAAAGACACACCGGTTCGTGGTTCGAGCAGGCCTGACCGTAAGCGGCTGCCAAGTGTGAACGATGATCTCATGCGCAGATTGCCTCTCAACGTACACAAACGACCGTCCTAGACGGTCTCCAAGACGCCGAAGAAGACGCAAAGTACGACTTCTCGAGGCCACCGTGCGTATTTGGATTTTTCTGCCGTCACTGCGACCAGATACATCACGGCGATCAGGGCCTATTCTTGAAACTTGCAGAGGGGTTTAGAACTCACTGGTGGGCGGCATTCTCCGCTGCTTCGGCAGACAATAGCCCAGCCTCCCGGACCATGGTGGGCTCGTACTCGTGCCATTCCTGTAGACGAGGGACTCGCACAGAACAAACTACTATTGTACAGTGCGCACCTCGGCTCCCGGTAGACTATCGCACAGGAAAATCAGTTTAAAAGTCCCGAAGCTATTGTAATGTGTACAAACTCACCCACGAGGGGATGGAAGGCGATCAGTTAACGAGAACTGACTCCCTCGTTTGGGTTCTGGGCTGCTCGTTATCGCACGCGAAGGCTGATGCAAAGGGCTGTACGCGATGGTACTCGCTCGGACCCTGCAAGCGTAGATGCGAGGCTCGTTTAGTTATCGAGATGCGAAGACAAACTCTAGATCATACCTCCTGCCAAGACCAGACGGGTTTCCTACGCCACCGTATCGAGATTCGCGCTTGATGTGCAGACTCCGCGGGGAGCGTAGGCTACATGGGTTACGAGAAGGTGCCATGGAACCGCCGCACGGCGGGCTTTTGCACGAGGGCTCGTAGTCGATCCACAAAGACTTTCAAGAGGACGACGTCTATATGGAGCAGAAATCACGATAGAGAAATAGACTCACCGCACCGGAAGAGGATTCGCGGGCGCGCCCTAAGACAACATGCACCGGCACACCGTAAAGCGTGCGTAATTCCGTGATTGGGGATTTTGATTGCCGGGAAGCAAGGCTTCCCTGCGACGGCGCGCGTGCATTGGATATTCAGCCAGAGCTGTCGCGGCAGACAGTAGAACTAGGCGTGGAGATCAGTATGAACTAGGAGGCTCAATCAATTAGTAAACGAACCTGTGGATACCGCTTCGTCGATTCCTTTGGAAACCGGCCACTCAACGCACAGCATCCCTCGTAAATATTATTCAGATCTGTACACAGCGCTGTGTTGAGGCTCGTATCTGTGTGCGTAAGCTGCAGCTGTCCTGGCCCGTACGTGCAAGCGTCCAACATTGCCATTGATCCACGGCAATGACGGTACTCGAAGGGAGTGCGTCAGCAAGTCGTTTTGAGGCCGAATACACAGATAGCTACCAGGAGGAAAAGGCCGCGGGCACCGAGCGCATCACATCGTGGAGATGCCGAGTGGATCCGTATATTCTGGGAGCTACAGGCTTCTGGCAACACTGAAGATTAGCGAAAGTGCAGGGACGCGCACATACCTCCGGGTCGTCCAAGACCATGTATCAGCCCCGCCGCTTGTACCTGCCCCCGAGGAGACCGACCACGTGGCTGCAAAATACACAGTCAATTCGCTACCGAACGTCTGGGAGGGTTAACGGCATACCTTCTATAGAGAAAAGATCATACCCTTGCTTGAGGCCGATCCCGCTGCCCCACTGTTCGTGAGATACAGGCTGATTGCACGCTCTAGAGCCTCGAGCGAGTGTGCTGCCCGACGGCTTGGTGTGGTCCATTGACAGAGAACGTCCTGAGCTCAAACAACGCTGGCTCAATTCGAAACCCATGCTCACTGAACCATACAAGGCGCAAACATCTGCAAACCATGGACCAATCACTGAGACGTGCACAGAACACGTAGGATCGCGGAGGAATACCTTTCGTAAACAGTCGCCAGAACACCAAAGCAGACGTGGATAATGACCGCTCGGCGGCGTCGCGGGATCGCATATTTTCCCACCGTCGCAAATGAGCTCTGCGACAGAAATCAAGCGCTGCTCTTGGAAACGGGAGGCAGCTTGAGAACTCACCTGAGGCTGCGCCCCCGGCCGCTTCAGCCGGCCATAATCGAGCGTCCTAGATCGCAGTGTACTCGTCGCTCTCCTGCATGCTCCCGAGAGGTCGCCCGAGCTGAGATTATGTATTGTAGGCCTCGAGTACTGCAGACAAGCACATAGGAAAGTTAGCATATCTGTACGTCGTCTCGATGCTTACGAACGTACCTACGAATCACTCCCACGACCCTGCAAGTACTGTTAGCGATAGGCTCATGCAACCGACGAGAAGACATGGAAACACACCTCCTGCTAGGGCTGGGCGTGTATCCCACGACACTGTATCGAGATTCGTCTTAGGCATCCAGACCTTGGACGCCATGGCACATGCGTCGCAACGCGGGCGCAGCCCCTACGAGCTAGGTCCGTTGTATACGAGTCCAGAGAAGCTTGGCGCACGAATTTCCTGCGTGGCATACACATTGGATATTTGGCCGGCATTGTTGCTACAGAAACAAGTGTCAGTCCTGGGAAAGAAGATCGATGAGGCGGGAGCCTACCCGTGGGCGACAGTCGGTGGATTCGACGTTTCCACGTGCAGCATCCCTGGCATATTATTTTAACCCTTCCAGTCCTCCAGTACGTCTGCCATATGCGAGTACACAACTCACCGCAGAGATAGGCAATTGGATTCCTTACGTGCGCGTCGTATCTCCAGTGGACCTCGGGGAAAGGCTGGCGAGTGTGCTTGCATACTCAAAGCGAGTTGAACGGAGTCGGTAAGGCGTAACGCGCAGGCTTCGCGGCGGGTCGCGTGCACCAGACAGGCCGGCGTACGCGAGCGCGGACGCGGACACGTGGACTACAGGTCTCCGTAAATTCTGATCTGCAGAAATCAGCTTGTACGAGCAGCAGCGGCAGCAGGGCTTGGACCACCTTACCAAGGCCATACCATCGCTCTGGGCCACTCCGCAGAGACCAATTGGACGTGCAAGCGCAGCTAAGCATCGTGGACGATCAACATGCGATACCTGCCTTAGAATCACAGCGGGGATACGCACCGATGTCGTACGTTGCCCTGCTTCCTATGCAGTTCATGCGTATCAAGTCGCCGAAGCGGTATCGGACATCTGGCTTGAAATCTCTCCTAGCCATATGAATTGCGAGTGACGGCGCACATTGAGAGGCGAGATCCCGGTGTGCGGAGAGTTTGGGAAGCCGCGGGCTGTGACAGGGTGAATAGAACAGCAATTAGCGGAGAGGCTAAGACATGAGATCAAACGTGCAATGGCGTACCTGCCGGCAGTCTTTTGATTTCCGGGGCCATGGTTCCGGATGGTGTATCACGAGCGTGGCTGGTGCAAGTTCAGAACTGCCGCACGAGGCTATTACGAGAATGGGCGGGTTCGCGAGTCCTGCGCGACGCTGACTCGAAGTCCACCCGTGTGTGCACCAGGCTTGGGATATGGGCGTGGACGAGGTATCCCCTTCGGACTCGATATCATCTAGAACCGTCTAGAGGGTACGCGAATGTCCAACACACAAAAAGGTCAATTCTGGAGCCGTAGGCCACAGCTGGGGACAGCAGGCAATCGCCTTGCTCAATCGCACGGAACGACCACGAAGTATCCTACTTGCGCTGCCGTATGGAGCCCGCACCTATCCCCGTGAGCTCTGCTAATTCAGTCAGCAGATCGACTTGGAGGATTCAGTTGCAAACTCGCCTACACAAGTTGTGCCTGGGGCAGAATCCGCCCGCACGATCTGGGCGTAACGGCTGCGGACGACCGTTGTGACATGCCGTACGTAGCGAACTCTCTCCCACGGAGGAGCAGGAGGCGCGGCCTAACAAGCCAATCCTACCCGAGATCGAGCAACCGCCGTGCGCCCGCCCGTTTCCGCCGATTCCGCTCTTTTATAAGAACTATTTGCGAGACGTCAGCCTTCTCCTTCGCACATCTCGCCCCACACTCACCGTCGCTCCCCATGTCGACGCATTACAACCCCATCTTCATCGACGCTACTCCGACGCTGCACGAGGACGATCTTCGCCCGCCGACTCATCGTGCACGACTCCGACACGAGATCTCGGGCTTCCTGGTCGGGAAACTTCGTGAGTAATGGTCCATCATACGTCGTGCACGAGAGGCTCACCATGTACAGGCGAGGTGTCTGGCAACAAGGATGCGCAGATGCACTACGCCGCGAAGCCCTATGCCAGCGAGACCGTGATCAGAGAGCGCTGCAAGATCCTGGGGTGGCCAGAGGACATACCGTTCAAGCCCCTCAGCGAGATCCGCGGTGGCGTCGGCCCACTCCTCGAGCTCCGCCGGCGCTGGAACCTCCCGGACGGCCACAAGCACAAGCTGCGCATCGAGCGCGCAACGCGCGAGGACGCCTTGGCCGCTGCACGCGACCACACCAGCGTCCACCCGAACCTGTTCCAGCTTGAGCAGGAGCGGAAGGAGGCGGCGCGCCGCGCGAACTTGAAGGCTGCGGCAAACACCATGTTCGTTGTGTCATACACATGGCACCCTAGCGACCTCCGCTTCTTCGGCATCAAACTCACCACCACGCAGCCAGGCGGGAAGCGCAAGCGGAGCCAGAGGGTGGACACATGCAAGCGGCGCGCGAGGGCATCGGACACCTCGCTCCAAGTGCGCAAGAAGCTGCCGATGCGGGGCATCACGAGCATGCGGTACGTGATCCCTGGGCTGGACGGGGTGAGCGGCGGTGGTGACGGGAGGGCGGCGAAGAGGGCGCGGCTGGAGGACTGGCCTGTGGATGACCCTATCACGGAGTTCGAGTTGTTGACCGAGTTTGGCGGGCGGCTCTCCATCCACGAGGTGTCCGAGTCGACGTAGGGTGGCACATTGATCTCAGCGTTGTTTTGTTACATTACAATCTACTAGTTAACAGTCTTCGAGCTCGAGCAGAGGACACGACGTGATGACGGGAGCTCAACGGTGGTGGTGGACGTCGAGAGGGGACTCGAGGAGCGCTCGAGCCGCGCAGAGGCGTTGGGCGCTCTGAATGGCACTGCTTTCCTAATCTGGCACATTTCGTTAGATCAACGCGAACGTCCTTGCTCCGCTCCCTATCAATTTGGCATCTGTGCCGGATATCGAGCTTGGAAATATGCGTGCCCTGCGCTGCGAGCGGAGCGTGGAGAAACGGGCATGTCCCCTGGCGGACTGCGGGCGTGATTGGGTTGGGCGTAGACGTCTAGCAACCGTATCGCCGACACTCGAGCAGGGACGAATGGCGGCACGGAAGCGCTAGAAAAATACACGGTGCGCAGAGAAGATTGGCGCGCTTGGTGCAGGTTGGACACTGCCGAGGGGACAAATATAACACAGAATGACAGCTAATCATTTAGACAGAATCAGCCAAGGAAGAGGGCGGGATGAGCAGGAGATCTGCCCATCCCAGCCAATTTCCGTGGCTGATTCTGTCTACTAGTGTGCTGTGGACAATTCAAGTGAGCGAGTGAGTCAGTCAGAAAGTGTGAGCATCGCTGAGGAAGCTGTGGCAGGCGTTGCAATCGGGCGCAAGACCCTGAAGCGGGAGAACTCAGTCCAGATTCCCAGCATCAGCACACCTCACCACCGGGTTGTTAGATTGGAAACATATTACGTGCTAAATACAGGAAGATGCCGGTCGCACCGCCCACGCTTCGCCTGCGCAGAGCCGTGGATGGCCTTCTCTACCACCCTGGAACAGCCCTGCCTGGGCCGTCTCCTTTCCCTCCACTACCGCCCACATTCCCACTCCTTCCCCTTCCCTCCCTCCCCTCTCCACTTTCTGCTGCTCAAGCACATCAGATGCCCCACCGCCATTCATGCAGACGAGGGGCAAGCCTGGATAGGTGAGTAGCAGCACCCCCAGGCCATCTGCAACAGTACTCACCAGATTTCGCCGTGCAGCTCGCAGATTGCAGCGTGCATGATGCACCTGTGGAGCGCATGGAGATCCCCACAAGGAACGGCAGCGGCAAGAGATGTGTGTTGCCAGACAGGGTCCAGTGAGTTCAGCCCGGATTGACAGTCAACAAGACGAGCAGGGCGCTGAGATCGAGCTACATCAGGGAGACAGACGGGAGGCGGCAGTAGCACAGGGCGTCCGCGCGCGCCGCAGGGACTGGCAGATAGAAGATAGCAGCGGGCGCGGGGCACGAGGACGGCGGGCCGAATGGTGGCGGACGGTCCGACGGAAGGCCGACCTGGACGTGACTAGGACAGCGAAGACAGACTGACCGTGGGGAGTCGAAGGTTTCTTCCGAGCATGGTCCACACGACTTACCTGCTCGTCGAAGTTCGTATCGACTCGGAGATGGCCGCGCGGGGCCACGGCCCGAGCACGCGTCGTCGAGGCAGACGTTCACAGGAGACCACGAGCTGGAGACATGAGAAGACGCACCCGCAGGACGCCCAGATGGAGCATGCTCGATTTCGCAGGGATGCGTCTCGAACAGGTGAGCGTCGGAGGCTCGGAAATCGCACCCTGGACTAAATTGAGCACTGCACATCAAAGGTACGGCATGCGATCCCGCGCACACGGCAGCGGCAACGACCACGCGAGCACAAGGACGCCTGCGCGGCGCGCACAAGGTGCGGGAGCATTCGTGCAAGTCTGCTCAAGACCAAGTAGGTAAGCCCCAAAGTTGCTCACTCGTGTTTTCTGCTGCTGATACGGATGCTGCAGGCGGCAGAAGGGAGTACGCGAGCGCCAGCGTGAGCATCGCAGAAGAAGAGTCACCGGCGCGCGCGAGGAGGGTGCGGCGTTGCGCACAGGTGAACTAGTGCAGTCGCGGGCCTGCGGGAGAGGCAAAGAAGACAGGGTAGAAGTGGCACTAGCGCAAGTGAGTTCAGGATATGTCCAGCAGATCCAGAGACGAGATTCCTAACAGCTTCGTCCTCGGGCAGCATAAACGAGGCACTCAGAGACACCGCGCGGGCCCGAGTACTTCAGGACAAGGCCACGCGAGTTCGCAGACACCGGCGCGCGATGTGTCGCGGAGGCCTGGGACGAGGGACGACAGCGGACCGACCTGCTTACGGAGGTGGTGCTGGCCCACGCCGAGTTCGTGCGGGGACGACGATGGGAGGAGGCGAGAGAGGAGAGGGAGGGGCTTACAGGGCAGAGGCACCCTTCAGCGAACCCCGACAGAGGTCTGGGGTTGCGACAGGGGCGTGCCAGGGAACTAGCCTGGAAGAGGCCAAGGAGGAGGCCGGCGACGAAGGCCAAAGCTATCCCCAATGACTTAAGTATATTGGCTTGACCATCTAGTACAAGAGGTGCTTACCTGTCCCCAATGACTTAAGAGGTCGAGATGGGGAACAGGTGCAGGATCTACTCTACTTATATACTGGAGCAGGTGCGCACAGACCAGGTACCTATTTGTACGTGTTTGGTACCTAAGGTGAGTATGAAGCATGTGACCAACGATCAGGTGACCTGTAGCTAGACTAATACCTATGATGTCCTTCAGGGTGCTATAGTAATCGTAATGACTGTGGTGACGTAGGGAGTGACGTAGGGAGTATGATGGGAGTCCGGTGATACCGGGAGGTAGGGCGCCCGTAAGGGCGCTAGAGAGGGGCGGACCGGTGAGGTTGATGATGGAAAAGAGACGCTGTGTGAGGCGCTCTAAGGGGAGGGAGGCGGATGCTGAGGTGCTGCGAGGGTGCTGTGGCGTCTGGGCCGAGTTCTGGTGGGCGTAGGCAGAGCCTAGGAGGGGAGGCGCTGGCGACTCCACGACACGATGGGAGACTCCGAGCAAGGCGGGTGCGCGTCCGAGTCGCAGAGGTGAGTACCAGCGCGAGTGAGTTCTAGATATGTCCACGAGAGCGAGGGCCCTTACGATTTCGTCCTCAGACTGGATACGAGGCATTGCAAGACAAGGCGTGCACTCGAGCACCCCCAGGGCAAGATTGCCGGCTCTCTCGCAAAGGAGCAGACGCCTGCGCGCGAAGCTTCCAGCGCGCGAATGGCGAGACATGTGAGTCCATGCTCTGTTCGCAAAGTCGAGATGATCTAAGAGCACCAGAGAGACCGTAGACGGAGCGGGCGCAGCGTTAGAGAGCACGCCAGGCGGACGCGGGGAGTCGGAGACATGGTGGCAGTGTGGGTGCAAGCCGAGTGAAGTTGTCGGCGCGGAGATGGGTGCGGGCACCTCCGAGTGCGCGGGCGATGCGCATGTACGCATCTCTTTCCGCAAACGCGGACATTCTCTCTGTCGGATATCGTCGAGCGGGATAGATGTAGTGATCATTTAGAGCGTATATAGCCAGGTTCCGTCCGAGTACACACCTTCTGCGAGCCTCCCTCGAGCATCCTCGCCGCCCCCTCCAAAGTCCGCCGCCTCCGAATGCCTCCCTGCAAATGTTCCCCCGTCCAACTACCTGTCTGGTGTTCGTCCGGTCCAAATACCTGTCTGGTGTTCGTCCGGAGTCCGTAGATATTGGCCTGGCAGTTTCTCGCCTCGCAGTCGAGACGCGGTGTTGTGACACGACGCGACCCCGGCCATGACGCGCCCACCGCATAGATAGCCCACGCCGCCTGTAGGCCGCGACGACGGCCCTGCCGCCCTGTGTTGTATCGCGTAAGCTTCAGACGTCGTCCGAAATGCGCATATCGAAACGTACCAGCGTCCCGCGCCGTCCTCGCGCCGGCCTCAGGCTTGAGCTCGCATGCGCCGAGCGCGTCGCACAACCCATCTACTGAGAGATAGTAGTGGCACGCAGGACCTGCTTTGGGTGAGCGCCCGGGCTTGCGGCGTGAGTGACATGAGCGCTTGCATCGCCACGTACAGTACACCAGTACTTGCATCTGCCAAAGCTTGGCAGTGAGCGCTGAGCGCGTAGCACTCTCGGTAACGCTACCTCTCGCTTGTCCTTTGTCTGTTGAGTCAACGCCCTCGCCTCGTCGCTCAACCAGACTCTCTTCGATAATGGACAGGACTCCCTAGTATTCATCGGGGACGTGACATCGTCGAAATTTTTCCAGTACTCTACTAGATATCCCCCAACAGCACCGGCTCGATTCTTGCGCTGTTCGGAAGAGAACGAAGGAGGAGAAGCTGATGGCGCTTCTCTACGTCAAGATATGATCTCGCTCTGGAGAACCGTCGGCCGATGGATATGGCAGGGACGAGGTTCGTCTGGTTCGCAAACACCGATATCGTGGGCCCGCATCTGCATCCACTGATACCTGCATTGCCCACCTTGATAGGAGTACGGATGGGGCCCTCCTCTGTCCGATCTCACCCCGGCTCCGCCCTCGGACCGCGGCCCTTCGATACTTTCTAGGCCGGTTTGCTGTACAGTGCTCCTCCCCATGTTCAACACATGGATGGCGCCCTCTCACGCTTGTCCGAGACGGAGGCCCATATCTTGAGCCGTCCTCGACTCATGCTCCTCTCGCACTCGTGATGGCAAACCTTGCGTTGCTGAGGATTGAGGTAAGTAGATTGTATTGGTATCTATTGCAGTATATCTGACTGTGTCGGTAGCTTCTTTCGGTCATCGCAGAGGTCTTGCTCTTCGGGGCTTTTTGTGTGCTGTATCCTACCTCGGTGTGGATCCTGGTGCGCCGGCAACACCGCGGGCGGCGCTCGAGAACAGCAACACTCTGGTTGACCGCAATTGTCACCATTATGTTTCTCTGCGTGGGCACGGTGAGTTGTCATCCTCGACAAAGTTGGCCACACTCTCAGTGATTACATGTTACAGTACCTCGCCCTTGACATCCATCTGCTCGTCAAAGCGTACGTCGACCACAGCGCGACGCCCGGCGGGCCCCTGGCATATCTCGACCGTCCGGCGAGCAACGTGTCTTTGTCCGTCTCCGCTGCCATTTTCGCCTTCCTGACACTCCTCGGCGACGCGTTCATGGTGAACGCCTTTTTGTTATGTAACAGACCCCTATTCTGATTGGTTGGTTTCAAAAAGGCGTATCGCGTTTTTGTGGTGTGGGATCGCTCGGGCGTCGCTCTCGTCCTGTCCAGCCTCCTTCTCGCTGGTGATGTGGGTGAGTGCTCTGCTTAACCCGCTACATTCGATCACTTATGTACGCTTCGTAAAGTGACCACTGCTTTAGTCGGCACAGCATTGCTGCAAGACGCCCCGACGACCTACTCGGACGTCGTATACTGTAACTTCCCGACCAAAGCGGCGGGTCACAGGTCACAACGACCCCCGCCGCCCCGCATTTGGGGGTCTGTCCCGCGTCACAGCGGCCTCCGCCGCTTTCGCCTGTGGTCCGGCGCCGGTCACGCCCCTAAATGGCAATTTTGGCGGCCCTGCGGGGCCGCGCGCCGCTTTTCGTACCGGATGGTCACGGTCACCACCGGTCGCGCCGCTTTTTGGGCAGCGCCGCTTCGTATCCGGGCGGTCACACCCCAAACCCTCCGCCGGATTGGTCGGGAAGTTACAGTACATCCCGGGAGCCCGTTCGCCCTTGATTGCGTACTTCCTGATGACTATCCTGACAAACCTCGGGACCACACGTGAGTCGAATCGTCTAGCAGTCCACCAGTGCACTGCTCACGGTGCAGTGGTGACCTCTCTTATAGTCCTCTTGCTTGGCCGTCTATATTGGCACGAAAGAAGGACCAGGAGATATCTCCCCCAGGACGTGTACGACACTGCCGCCTGGCGAGTGACGAAGGCCATCATGCATTCTCAGGCCGTCTACACCATCGCAGTGATCTTCAACCTCGTCACATTTCTGGCGAATTCCAACCTGGTGTTCGTCACCAACGCCATCCTCCCGCCGCTGATCGTGCGTATGCGCACTGCCTAGTCCGTACCAGCCGCTCTTAACTGAACAACCCTTTTGTAGGGTATCTCGTTCACGCTGATCATCGCTCGCATCGGCCTCAGCGAGGTATTGGGGAGCACGGACCTCGACGGCTCGGCGATTTCAAGGCCGATAGAGTTCAGCAATCGAGGGCGCGCGCGGTCTCCGGCCATTGCCGTCAACGTCTTTGTTTCGCACACGGATGACCGTAGCGAAGGTGTCGTGACGCTCAGCCACACGAAGTTGCCTGGCGCGATGACATGAGTGCCGTGCAGCACGAGCGCGTAATGCTACATTGTCGACCGCGCGGTGGAAGATGGAGGAGGATGTGCGGCGGAAGATGGAGGACGTGCGAGCACTGCCAGTGGGGGTGCGGTTGCGGGAGGGAGCGCCGCAGTTCTTGGAGTGCGTGCGCATAGCAGGAAGGCTCGGCGGGACAATTTGAGAGCACGGGTATGTGCCATATATACGGTTCCGATGAGCAGCGTTTTGTACCGCGCGTTGGATAAGAGTCATAGTGACCTTGGACTGGGGTTGTTGTGGCGCATCCCCAGATAAGCGCCGCCTGAGCCCACAACTTTGCCACTGCCACCATCGCTCCCCCCTATTTCATTTTATTCGGCCCACCCAATTGCAAGATGGATCCTCCGCCAGCCCATGAACGCGCACGGCAGCGCTCTACAAGACTTGCCGAGATTGAAGCCGCGTTAGCAGACGTCCAAGCCGCCCCCCAGCCGCCCGCCGCCGCCCCCCAAGCAGCCGAAGAGCGCCTTCGATGGAAGGCGGACGAGTACCTGGCAGCGGCCGTCCCCTGCTGGACGCCCATGCCGCAGGAGGACATCCACGACCTCCTCACCTTCCTCGGTGCCACCGACGACCGCACGCGCCAGCAGACCCTCCACAACTGGAACGGGTCCGCCGACTTGCTCCTCGGCCCCGGCGTCCATGTTATCGGCGTGCGTCCCCCGCCCCTATCCTCGCCCTCGCCGTCCGAAGCGCACTGACACACCCCCGCAGAGGAAGCCGTGCGCGGGCGACGGCGTGTACACGGTCGACATCCCGCACTCCGACCTCGCCATCCGCATGTGGGACGGGGGCATGGAGGCGTACCGCCAGTTCTGCCTCGACTTCTTCGACACGCGCGCCCGGCGGCCCGTCAACATGCCCCGCGGGTTCGAGCTCTGGCCGTCCCCCGCGAACATGCCCGGGGTGTACACGATGGCGGGCCCGCTAGGCTCGCTCGAGAGGGGCTTTGGGATGAAGCCGGGGGAGGTGCCGCAGGGCGAGGAGAAGTTCTGCGTGCTCGAGGGCTCGTATGTCACCCTCGTGAGGAGGGATCGTCCGCTGGAACCGTTTGCGTTTGCGGTACCTGTGCGGCAGCGGGAGATGCCCGCGGGGATTGTGCAGCCGCGGTTCCGGGTCGTGCAGTGACGGCGCTTGTGTTGCTTGTTTGGTTCGATATGTATCGTGTTGCGAGGACGCGGAGGTGCGCCAGGCTGTGCACGTTGTGTCCTGCAGAAATTTCCGCTGGGAGAGCCCGTACAGAGGCATACAGCCATATTAGACAGCACTACGCTCTGACAGACGACTCTCGCTCTGGTATACGGCGTAGAGTCACCCTGAAACCGGTCGGCGATCAACTCCCTCCTCGATATTTTTTCGGTGGCTGACGCATACACCCAGGTTTTTATGTTGCTGCGTATCCAAACTGGGCCGCCCGCCGTCAAACGGCGCGTTCCGGACTGCTGCACCGGACGGCGCACGCCATATATTACTAGCAGCCCCGGCGAGGGGGATACGCACGAGTTTTCTACGGGTGCGCGCTGATCATACCAGCTTCAGCTTCATGGGAGATGGACCAGCCGTTCAGGTCCGCGCAGCCTAGCCCCCATATCCAGATCCAGAAATCTTCGCGAGTCGCAGGCCCCTCGGGAGCCTCGTAGTCCGGGTTTTCGCGCTCTGACGGCCCGCCCGAACCCCTCGCGCGTACGATCCCCCTAAGCCTGTTGGAGCCGCACGCCCGGTGCGAGAACCCTGTCTGCGCGCTGCTGGGGAAGGGGGGAGGAGATGGGCGCGCGCCGGCTGGGGTGGGGCGCCAGGGGAGGGTGGCGGGCGTGGGGGACGGGAGCGAGGGGTGTGTGGCGCGGAGACGGGCGTATCTCGCGCGCGGCTTGCAGGCGGCGACGTGATCGTGGGTAGCTGGGAGCGGGTATGGTGGAGGTGGAGGTGTGTGCGGAAGGCCGGCATGAGGGCCGGCGTGAGGGCTTGGACTTTTGTGCGGGACGCGGATTGGACGCTTGCTTGCGGAGAGCGGGGGAGCGGGGGTGGTGGGACCAGGCCCTGCGCGCGGTGCAGTTGGGTTCTGGACGTACACGGGGTGCAGGCGCATCTTGGGCCGACTAATGCGCTACGACAGTATCGTCCGCCGGTACTGCACGACGACCCCCGGCCCCACCGTACATCGGAAAGTGGCGCGGACGATCGTGCAGTCGGAGGCGGTTTATTCCGCGTCTATTCTGGCGCAGCTCGTGCTCTACCTCACCCACTCGACCTACTTTCTTGTCGCGGGATACATCTTTCCCCCACTTGTTGTGCGTCCGCGTTCTGATTTGGGTTTCGCTTAGGGCCTGTGCTGATGCATGCTTCTAGGGCATCTCGTTCACGCTGATCATCACCCACGTTGGGTTCGACGATATCATGGGCCAGCTGGAGGAGGTTGACAGGCCGGAGCGCGGCTTCTAACCCTCATCACGCGAAGTTTAAGCATCCAACCCGTCCGCGACGTATCTTTGTGCATGCTATCGGTCATATATTTTAACAGTCTCTGTTCAGTGCATCCCAAGATCATGCTTTCGTAGGTACCAGCCCTCTCACCATCTAATGTCACCGTTGCCTGGTATCAGCACTGCAGGCATCCTATCAGTATCACCCACCTCCAACCACTAAGAATTATGGAGTCTCTATTGGCATTAAAAGTACGATAGCCAATCATTTCCGCATGCCTAGATGGATGAAGCAGCCCCCCTAGACAAGAAGATAGCTTTGAGATAATGTATAATAATCCAACTACCGCCTTCTCGGCCGCGTCCGCGCCCCAAACGCCTTGAACGTGGCTCCGTCGTCGGAATCGTCATCAACCACAGTCGCCGCACGCCTCTTCGCCCTCCCCGCAGCCGCCGATCCCCGTATCGTTCCACTGCGGGTAGCCGTCGACCGCAACGTAGCCGGCCCCTCATCATCCGACCCCGGCACGTCCACCTCTAGGTCTGAGCCAAACTCGCCTGCGCCTGCGCCCACGCCCGCCGTCTCGTCCACCTCTTCGATGTCCGAGTCGATGAACAGCGGCTGCTTCTGGGTACCCTTGGTCGACCGCTGCGAGCTTGACGCCCTGCTCGGCTGGGATTTCTTCGGCTGGCTCTTTTTCTTGCTCGCTGGCTTTGAGGGAGCGGTCATCATCGAGGCGTCGTCTGAATCATCGTCGTCGGTCACGGGCTTGGGGCGGCCTTTCGAGCCTCGTTGGGTCGAGCGCTGCGTGGTGCTCTTCTCCGGCTCGGATTCCTCTGCCTTGGGCTGCTGAGAGTGTGCGCGAGAGTACGGCTGAGAGGTAGGCGGCGCCTGTGACCCGCCCTTCCAGTATTCTGCAGTAAAGAGAGTGAGCTTCAACACACGAACTTGGGCGAAGTAGACGGTACGCACGCGAACCAATCCCGAGATCACCCTCTTCCTCGACGACGAGCTCCACCGGCTGCCGCTCCTGCCCCGAGTTTTTCTGTGTCAAAGTTAGCACGGTCATCACGAAAGAGTAGTGTCGATCGGCAAATACTCGCCCGCTTAAACTTCTTGAAGTCCGGCCGCCCCTGCCACTCCAGCCTCCCGTCCCCCCTCCTCAAATGATCCCCTGCCCCATTCCCGCCCTCCCGAAATATCGGCATCTCCATCACGACCATGAAGTTCCCGCGCACGTCCCCGTCGTCCCCAAACTCCTCCAGCACGCCCCACTTGTCGCTCTCCATCTCCTGCGCGCGGTCGAGCTCCGGCTTCGAGATCCGCAGGTTGTTGAACTCGCGGTCGAACGTGTCCTCTGTCTTCTTCCCGCGCTTCTTCGATGCGACCGCCTTCAGGAACGCCGCATCCTTGTCCGGCTCCCCGGGCGGCGCGCCCACAGCGGCGGACGGCTTCTTGGACAGCGGCTTCTCCTTGACGTGCACCTGCTCCTGCGCCATGTCCACGCGCGTGACGACTTGCGAAACCGGCTTGCTCTTCGAACTCGTCTGTGTCTCCGCGCGGGACTGCGGCGCCTGCGTCGACTGAGGAGGCTCGTCCTCCGTCCGCCTTCTCGTCCGTGGCGGCACGTCCTCCATGTCCACGTCTCCGTCCTCCGGCTGTGACTTCCGCTTCGTCCCGCGCGCATGGGCCTGCGTGGGCAGCGAACCCGTCGCGAGCGTGCTCTCCTCTTCCTCCTCCATCAGCACCGTCAGCGGTACCCCGCTCCGCTCCCCGCCGCTCCGAGTACCCGTCGTCCGCGTCCCGCTGGGCGGCAGCATGGACGCCTCGTACTGCGTCGGGCTCTCGTCCGCGCGCTGTGAGCCGTAGTCGGCGAGGCTGAGTCCCTCGCTCGCGTCGAAGAGCGCCTTGAACTTCTTGTGTGGGGGCTCGGGCGCGTCGGGAACCAGCACGTCCGCGGAGTCGGCGAGCGGCTGGCTGCCGCTGGCGGTGTTCTGTGCTTGCGTGCCCACGCGCCGTTTGAGGCGGGAAGGACGGCCGGGTGTAGGCGGCTGTGCCTGAGGTGAGCTATGAAGGTGTAAGGGAAGAGGGCACTCGGGCTTACGATGATGGGGTTCGGTCGCGCTGCGGGCTCTTCGGAAGCTCGCCCAATGATCGAGGAGGTATCAACGTCCATGGTTGTATCGTCAACCGTCTTCGGGCGGACGGCCCGCCTTACCAAGGTCTGCAATAGGAGTGAGCATTCAGCAGGAACCGTTGAGTGGGAGACATACCCGGCGTGGTTGTGACGACTCGGGCGGCTCAGACTCCCTCGCATGATCAGCATAATCGGGTGCGGGAACAGGTGGGGGTGAAGGTGCTCGAGACGACGCGCGGGATACTGCACGCCGAGGGAGCTTTCGTCTCGGTGCTGCCTCTTGTGACGCTTCTTGTACTGGAGACGGCTCGCGTTGCCGCGCCGCAGTCGGCGGGGGCATCGAGGGCTCATCCTCGATAGAGTTGGGTATCACGTCGGGAAGGACAGATTCTTGGAAAGCTGTGCATATTTTAACGCGTGCTCATCACACTGAGCCCCATACCATGACCTACGTTCCTCAGCAGTGCTTGACGAGTTTATATACGAGACGTCAGTATAGACCACCGCTTCAAGGATCGCCTCCGGTGCGAGAAACTTGAGCTCGAAGCTATGCCAACCATCAGCCGTGACATCCGCAAACGTTAGCAACACACGCGCCTTCTTGCCTCCTCCTTGAGCGCCCTCCAACCATCCTCGCCCACGGCAGCGACGACCGCGTATTGATCAGCAATGAGCACGAGCGTCGACCCCCTTGCCTTCCCCTTTGAAAGCACCTGCCGAAACCGTCCCGGCCCGTTCTCGACCGCAAAGCACTCGTACTCGCCTTCCGCGCTCCTTACGAGCTCCTTCAGCACGCCCGGCGCCTCCGCGCCTTTCTCCCCCGCAAACACAAACCGGTGCCCGCGGAAGAGGCCCACGCGCTCCTCGTTCGGCTGCCAGATGTCGAACTTCTTGAGCCGTGGGGGGAGCGCGGGCGCAAACGTCGGGCGGAACTTGCTCGTGGGCGGGAGTGCGAAGGTTTCCTCGAGCGCGCTGAGCTCGCCGGGCTCAGCGCGACCCGCGGCGAGAACCGCGACGAGCCACTCCGGCTTCACAAACGTGGAGAGCGCGACGAGAGAGGTCGCGAGCGCGGGCGTGAGCGTGTACGTGGGCGTGAGGTGGTGCGTAATGCTGGGGTGCAGCGTCGGGAGGACGTGGATGCCTAGGTGGTCAGTGAGCGGAGGGATGAGGGGGCCTGGCAAGAGGGGGACGGACCGAGGTCGGCACAGTCTTTCACTGAGATTGAGGGACCGGCTCGTGCACTTCCGCTGTAGCAGCATACTGGTTCCCAGCGCACCCTGTGAAGTCTCGATAGCTGGCTTGCAGAAAAGGAACATTTGAACGTACCGAACGTAGACAAATTGAGACATGTGGACAACATCCTCGCTGTGAAGAAATGTCGAGGTGTGCGGCTCACACTTGATGCGCGGGGCTTGGATGGTCGGACGCTCAATCGTCCGGTTACGCTCCGCGGGGTTGTAAAGGGAGAGTGTGGGGACGAAGGCCGGGTCGGCCTGTACGGTGTGAGGTCGTGCGGTGGTCTACGGCTGGGTGGGGGATACGTACCGCTTGCTCCTCGGTGCATTCTCCGACGATGAAGACGACGTGGGAGCCTTTGGAGATGGCCTTGTTCTTGATGGAGAGCGGCTGGTCTTTGCGTCCGACGGGGTACTCTTTACCCGTCTTGAGTAGTTTCGTCTCTGCCGCACGTCAGGTCAAGTATGAAGAGAGCGCATCTGGGGCAGGCTCACTTGTCGGGGGTGGCCCGTCGTCGTACTCGTCGTCGAAGGGACCTGAGATGAGCCACATGCTCGAGGGAGTGGTGAGAGAGCGAACGCGGGGACAGGCGCCCACAAACGCGTCGCGACGCGTCGAATAGGCGCTCAATATATACATCTGCCCCCGGGGCTCGCATCGCATTGAGAGGTTCCAACGCAGCTCAATAAGCCCCAGGAACTGGATTACTGAAATAGTCATGCACTATGTATCACACCGACAGAGAGTGCATGCCTCTCGAGGCGACACGCCCAGACACTTCGGCAAAGTGAGGGGGATTGGCTGTGCGGGCCGGAGGAGCCGGGAGATGCCGAACGGAAGTGCATTCGAGGTTAATGGGCGCCTACGCGACTTGCCACCTCCGTCGACCGCGCCATGGCCCTCATCATCCGGAGACGCACCGTCCTCCGCGTCCTCGGCTTTGCTGTCTTTGCTTTCGTCGTCAAGGTCCTCGTTGCATCCCCCACCAACTCACCCTCGGTCTCGTCGCTTTACGGTACCTCCGATCCCAACGAAATCCGGAAACAAAACGTCCTTGACCTCGTCACCGGCTCCGACAAGCAGCTCGATGCCCGCAAGCACAAGTTCCTCCAGGCTCGAATAGGCAGAGACGACCGCTCTGACCTCTTTGCGGACATTGTCAACGATGGTGTGCAGGACTACTGGGAACGCTTTCAGAAACCATAGTGAGTCTTGCCTCTTCCCCCTGCGGCTTTTCTGCGGCCGGCCTCCTCTCGACCTATCACCTCTCGGTATGAGGTCACATACCGTACATGGATACCGGTGCACTTATTTTGAGTGCAAGACGACCATCTGAAGGGAACTTGTGATGCGCGTGCGGTTCCCGCTTACACTCTAGGCGATCTTCAAGGGGCTCTGTAATCGTTCACCCATGTCGCGACCCACGCCCTTGCTTTGCTGAAGCACCTGAGCCTCGGTGCGTTCTACTTTGAGCAGAAAGTCCCGGGGCCCGCGAGATCTGTCCCGCAGAACACGCGTCGGCACAAGTCCCGCCAATGGAGAGCGTCCTGTCTCCTGAATTTCCGCCGACGATGAGGTTTGTCCCACAGAACACGTTTCGGCACATGCCCTGCGTTTGGCGACTTGGTCGAGTGACAGCGGTGACGAGTGTTGGATCGACACCGTGCGGTGCGTGGCGTGCTGCCTGCTGCAATACCAGTGGCGGGCTCGCGCCTCCCACTTCGGCCTTGTACGCTCTCCACAGCATTGTGGCTGCTGCTACTGTGGCCAACCTCAAGTAGGTCATACGCGCTACTCTCCACGGTGTGCGATCCAAGAACCTGGTTGTGGAGGACGTTACGCTGGATACGAAGGCTTAAGGGTGCACTTCAAGCGGCGCGCGTACGGCACTTGACGGTCGCTCACTCAAAGAAAAGGCGACTCGGCGACTCGCGCTTGTTCCATGGACCGGACTGAGTGCATTCTGTGGAACATCTGCGCCAGATGACGGGAATTCTGTACCAGTGGTGAATATCCGTTCCGCGGACCCCAGGACGTTCTCACTTCGAGGCGTGATTTGACTGCACCGACCCTGATAGCTCGTTGAAACTGTTCTACTTGGTACTGACGCCGAACAACAGTATTCTAGGCCACGAAACGTCGCACATGGACGAACAGTCTGTGCTCTCCGCGATAGAGCAATTGCTGACCCTCAACGGCTGGGTCGCCGCGCTCTGCCCCACCCTCACTCGCCCTTTCGGCCAGAACAAGTACGAGGACGCGTACGAAGACCTCGCACGGCAGAATCACCTCTACTTCGTCGGCATGGTCATCCACTCCGCCGACCACTTCCTCGTCGACCAGCTCTCCGTCATTGTCCAGCTCGCGAAGCGCCTCGGGCCCTCGAACATCTTCGTGTCTATGCTCGACTACGACTCCTCCGATTCCACAGAGACCCTCACCGATCTTTGCGAGGCTGTTCTCACTCTCCTCGGCGTCCCATTCCGCATCAGACGCGTGCCCGGCATGACAGAAGACCCTTCGGCCGCATACTACCCGCTTGAGGAGGCTTACACCCGCAACCTCGTGCTCGAGCCTCTCCACGAACTCTATGAACGCCGCCACATCAACTTCCACCGCGTCATTTGGCTGAAGGGCTTCACGTGCCCGAATGACATCCTCGAGACGATCAAGGTCAGCATCGTGAACGAAGCCGCGATGGTGTGCGGCATGGACTGGGCCGAGCACAACGGCTTCTTCATCTTCTCCGACAGGTGCGCCGCGCCCGTTCTTTCCTGCGCACCCCCCGCTAACACCCCCTAGATGGCGCACGCGCGATATCAACGGCGACCAGTTCCGCCAGTCAAAGTCCTCCGCGATCTCCGAGTCGTCGACGACCTCCGTGCCCCCGCGCGACCCCACCAGCGCGCAGCGCTACACCCAACATCTCCCCTTCCAGGTCTTCTGCTGCGAGTCCGGCACGCATGTGGTCGACCCCGCGCAGTCATACTATGCCGGCATCGCGTACCGCGCGGGCACCGACTTCTTCAACTCGACCGCGAGCCACGCAGACGTCCCCGAGCGCGAGCCGGACGCGCCGTGTCTGGACAGCACCCAAGCATGGTTCTGCCGCGACCTCTGGCTGTGGAAAGCCAAGGAAGGTATGAAGGCGTACGAGCCGGACGTCGCCGCCCCCGCTGACGCCGCCGAGTCGCCCATTCAACAACGGAAGCGCGCGCCAGCGCCCGTGGAGGCAGAAGAGCTTGCGCCGCGACAGGCGGACAAGCCCAAGGACGACGCGGACGCGAACGCGGGCTCGGACTACGACGCGTCGGACCTGCCCGTGGCGGACCCCCCAGAGCCGGCGTGGGACGCGGACACGGTGCGGCTGACGATCCCGAACGCGGTGTTCCTCGCGGCGCGGATACTGGTGAACCCGCGGTGCGTGACGACGTATGCGGGCGTGTCGCACACGCAGCTCGCGCTGGACCTGTTCGGGCCGCCGGACCGCGAGGAGGAGCGCGAGGTGGGGAGTAGACAGGATTTGCTGGAGGAGTGGGAGGGCGCGCCGGACAACTTCGTGTGCCAGGAGCAGCGGTGCGTGGCCCGTTGGACGGGGCGCGTGGGACAGATACTGACGGCTTCGACAGGACGACGGGCGGGCGGAGGGCGGCGAAGACGCAGCGGCGGATGTCGTTCTCGATCCACGGGGAGCTGCAGGAGACGTTTGACTCATGAGCTGCGCCCCCGGGATGGGCGTGACGACGACGACGACGTAGACGTAGACGGACGAGGCTCGTACTTAGATCGCTGTTATTACTTGTGCTGTGTCGATAGGATAATGCTCTGGCGTAATGTACACGGAAGACACGTTGCGGACGAGTTGGATGCTCAAACATCGCATGCTAAGGACACAGTAGGCAACGAGCTTTTTTCCAGGCGCAAGCCGCGCTCCGGCGCCGGCCTGTCAGCCCTCTCCAGCTGGCCCATGATATCGTCGAACCCGACGTGGGTGATGATCAGCGTGAACGAGATGCTCAGCGACTCCTGTTCATTGACTCAGACATACGTGACGGCGGGCGCAGGCAAGTTTGGCTCAGACCTAGAGGTGGACGTGCCGGGTAAGGCGGTGGTTGGACTGATACACGTACGCTATCTCAAGGCTCTCTTTTTGTCTATGTCCAGGCCTAGGAAACAGCTCGTTATCGTACTTTCATTATCAATAGAGTGTTCGTAATCATGGATGGTAGGAGACGGATGCGGCCACAGTACGAAGGAATGAAGTCCGGCAAGATTAGTACGGTATTGGCGTCTTGTCTACACCTTCTGCAACACGGGCATATGGCGATCTGCGGTGAAGTCGACGTGGGGTTCCCCTGCCCGGGCCTTGTCGTCGTGCGAGGCTATCTCGTCGCTACAGGTCGATTGTGAGACAAACACGTCAACCGCAATGGGTGGCGGCGGCGTCCGGCCTCGGTCGCTGAACTCGATGGTAGTCGCGTCCGTCTGACGGTTGTCGGATGTGACGTTCAGCACCTCGCTTAGGCCGATGCGAGTGATAATCAGAGTGAATGATATACCCTGGTAGGCGGTGTGTATGAGCTTGGGCTGACACCGAGGGCAGGACCGAGTACGTACAATCAGTTGAGGGAGGATTGCGTTGGTGATGAGCACAAGATTGGAGTGAGCGGCGTACGCGGCGAGATTGAAGACCACCCCGATGGAGTAAACAGACTGCGACTGCACGATGGTCTTCATAACGCGCCAGTGTACGGAGTTGGACGCATCTCGAGGACAATGTCGCCGTATTCTTCTGTCGTCCCACCAAAGACGACCAAGAAGTAGGACTACGAGACGGGCGTAGATTAATAGGTATCTCGCCGAACGGTTTCAAACAAATATGGTACTTACGAGTCATGATTATATTGGTCAACAGCACCACAACGAAGTAGGCGATGAACCGTGCGCGACCGACCAGTATGAACGAGAGGTCATAGGTCAAGGGCGTACCACCAAGCAAGAGGTCGGCTACCAAAGAAGTGGTGACTGAATGAAGCAGCATCTCAATTATCGTCCTAGAGCAAGGTACGAAAGGGCCTACTTAGATCGCCTGCGAGGAGGAGGCCGGGGATGATCAAAGAGAACCACTTCTGCTCCCAGACCACATAAATTCGATACATCTTCGTATATGAAAGCGTTATTTCACAGGAAATGTGGCCGAGAGGAAGGGTCACGCACCATGAACGCATCACCCAAGACCGTCATCAAAGCAAATATGGTGGAAGAAACGTAGCGAGACGGGTCGTTCCCGGGACGTTCGAAGTAAGCCAAAGGACCGCCGGGCGTCATGCTGTGGTCTGCAAAAGCCGCCGATAGATGGTTGACATCGATCGATAGATACTGTGACGTATCCGCATATGAGCCTTGGAATATGATCGCATTTGTTCAAGAGATGGACTGACTGTGCCAGCCAGGAGGAACATGGTAGTGACGACCGCTGTCATCCAGAAACTTGGGGTAGAGCGGCGCCGGTTGCGACGTTGTCGATATACCAGGATCCATATTGAGATCGGATACAGAACGCAGAACACCCCAAATAACAAGGTTTCTACGAAGAGGACGAGAAACTGGTGTCTTCATCAGTGAAATGTGAACTGATGCTCCCTGAGGGAGTATTTGCTCACCTCAATCCTGAGGAACGACTTGTCTGACATGACGGATACCTCGGGGGTTCCGTGAGTGCATTACGGAGCTCAGATGTTATATGTCCTAGCAGTGAGCCCGCCGGACAGGGTGGCGCTGATCTTCAGATACACCAATGGCGAGCGGTCTTCTATCCTTCGCTACATCATGGTAGGCTGTCCAGCACGCAGGCGCGCGACCCCTATAGCTAACTTTATCAGTGTGAGCGCGCAGTCCGCGTGGTGGTCACGAACCGTAGACGCGGGTCAACCCAACCAACACGAGCTGCTGCGAAGCAGAAGAAGTCTGCGTCCAAGTACACGTGGACCGCTCACCGAAGGGAGGCGCACAACAATCAAACCGTACCCATATATCACTGCCCTATCGATATCATCGCCGCCCATGGACACCGGCAGCATCTCTTCGCCGGATACGATTCCCTTGGACCCACACTTCTATCTCTCCATGGAGTCGCGTGACACAGGCATCTGGGACACGGTCAGGATCAAGTTTTCAAGACGTACCGGAGCTCATGCTCATGACGGCTGCGCCCCTTCGCGCGGCCGTACTGGACTCTTGGGTGTAAATCGCCACTCATCATGAAGAAGGTGCTGTCAAACGTCAAACAGGGTAGCAAGACAAGTAGCTAGATCTGCAAAAACAGATAACGTGAGGTCATGGCATGGATAGAAAGGGCGTTCAGGACCTACTCACCGGTATGAGTCTGCCTACACGGAGGCGTGTAGACTTCTGCGGCCGCCCCACGATACGGTGGCTTCGTTCGCAGGGAGATTGCATAGTTAGCAATCTCAACTCAATACCCGCGTCTCGCTCTCATCTTCTTCGACGTATCCGGTCCGCGTGGTCACAGCGACATTTGGTGGTGCTAGTTCAGGGTCGCTACGGGTTGCAGCACTGTTGCCAAAGGCAAGACTCGATGCTGGTCTGATATTGGTCGTGTCCCCTAGCACCTCACTGAGTCCGATCCGGGTGATGATGATCGTGAAGGATATGCCCTATAGATATCCGTGAACAATTCTCTTAGAGTGTCTCGTCAAATCAAGTACGGAGGAGTCCACATACGATGAGGGGCGGTAGGATAGCATTGGTGACGAGCACTAGGTTGGAACGAGCAGCGTATGTAGCAAGGTTGAAAACCACGCCGGCAGAGTAGGCGGCTTGGGACTGCACGATGGTTTTCATGACCTTCCAGGGCACGGAGTCGTATGCGTCTTCAGAGAGATACTTTTTGGTAGTCCTGTCATGCCACCAAAGACGCCCGAGAAGTAGTGCTTCATAGCGGAACGAGTCAGCATATAGACGCGTCATGCAAAGCTGTGGAACATACATGTGGTTATTATGTTTGTCAGGAGGGTCATAGACAAGTAAGCGATGAGTTGTGTGCGAGCCCCCGGTGCCGTGATGGAGTAATAGGTCCGCGAGCCTTTTATTAGCGCAAGGCCGGCGATACCGCCAGCAACTATGCATATAGATTGTCAGCACCTATATCGAAGATGCAATTCATACAACGCACTCATATCACCCAGCAGAAGGAGGGCGGGTACCACCAGAGAAATCAGTTGACAGTTCCAGACAACGAAGACGCGGTATATCTTCGATTTCAAAGCCGTCAGACGCAGCGAACCAGTATGAAAACGAAGAGTTGCTCACCATGAATCCGTCACCCATGAGGGTCATGAGCCCGAAGATGTAGGGGTGCACATTGCGGAATGGGTCACTCCCTTGTTGTTGCAAGTATGCCAAGGGTCCGCCAAGCGTTGCGCTGTGGTCGACAAAGGCTACCTTCAAGTGGCGAATGTCAAGCGCGAGGTACTGTAGAAATGCGGATTAGCGGGTTGAGACGCTGGATGTGCAAAGAGCTGGCGCACCACCCCGGCCAGAATGAACATAGTCGTGACGATCGCGGACATCCATATGCTAACCCACGAGCGCCCATCGCGACGCCGTCGGTATACGAGGACAGACATCGAGATGAGAAAAAGCACGCAGAATGCTCCATACAGCAGTGATTCTGCGAAGAGGATGAGGAGCTGAGCGAAGAGTCAGGGAGGCCCTTGGTCGACGGGAAGGATAGAGGGTAAGGGTTCTCACCATTACCGCAAGCAATGAAGGGTCGGCCATGTTGGGCGATAAAGACACAGCGGCGAGCAACCTTGACTTTATGTCCTTGAGTCGAGATGCTCTACAGCCATGTCGCGTGGATACCAGCGCCGTACGAAGCGGGTAATCCAATGGCACCCTAGAGCTAAAGGTCGACTCTCAGGTCAGTCAGATGGCGTTACCCTGGAGTCCTGCTGTTTACCAAGGTGGTCGGAGAGCGTATTCTTAGTTCGTACCAAAGGAGAACGCATAACGCAGTTTTGCTGTGGAGAAAGTTGCACGCATGACGGGCGATGATCCTGCAGTGCAAAGCATGAGGCCAAGGATCGAATCGTGATCTATAAGACGGGTCGTCCTGCGAGCGGGGCGCAGCGCCGATTGCGACCACCCCTGCCATTGGCACTCTTGCCGACCAGGCCCCTGTTAGACGGACGGGTAGGAGTTCCCGACGATGCGCCCAAGACCACGTACCGCATTCTCCGATGCATCGTGTGGCACACATCCGAAAACACCGCTGTTACAGTTTGGAAGCTGAAGTTAGGGTTCAGCACAACGCGCGCCGGTCGGATGATGGCCCCGAGATAGAAAGCGACTTGCCTGAGGTTGAGACAAGCAGCCATTCCGAATGGCTGCCACATGCCCATCGCGTCGTGCCCAAGTGATGAGTATTCCCCTCGTGCCCCGTTGCAACGGGGCACGAGAGGTAAAGCTCGTCCGGCGTATGCTAAATACGAAGATGTACGGACAGGCCAGCCGCGTGCAAGACGTCTATTTGCGGATGATGCGTCGATACTGAGATTTGCAGAGTAGTTCCAAGCGAGGCGCGACGGTCACGAAATGTCATCGACAACAGGGCGCACAACTTCATCTCTATTGACCGCGTTGTATCTACCACAGCGCAGCAAACCCTATAGAACATCAGCACCATCGCACCGAAGCCATAAGTGCACATACCAGCGTTGTATCTAGATCAGACCGCCACCACCGTGTGCTCATCCACCGAGACTTCTTCCGAGTCGCCATGGCACGCGGACACCGTCTTGTCGTCGCACGTCGTGCCCTGCTCGCTATCCATGTCAACCGTGCGCGAGATGTGCACATTGACCGCGATACACGCCAATGCACGCGCCGGGTCGTTCATCGCCTCCCCAGCGCCCTTCTCGCTACCGTCCGTCAGCACCTCGCTCAGCCCGATCCGCATGATGATCAGCGCGAACGATATGCCCTATCAGCCCCGCCGTCTCAAGTCAGCTCCGATACCGATACGCCCGCTAGACGAGATGGAGGGGTACGCACGATGAGCGGGGGGAGGACGCAGGAGGTGAGGAGGACGAGCTGCGAGCGCGCGGCGCACGCGGCGAGGTTGAGCACGACACCGAGCGAGTAGGCGGCCTCGGAGTGCAGGATGGTGCGCATGACGCGCCAGTGCACGGAGTGCCCGTGCGGCGCGTGGTAGCGCTTTGCGCGGCGGTCGTGCCACCACAGCCGGCCGAGGAGCAGCACTGTGGGCGGTGGGCGGCGGGTTAGTACGGAAAGAAGAGAGGACAAGAGGATAAGAGAGAGGATGGGACTCACGGGTCATGGCGAGGTTGGTGAGGAGGGTCATGGCGAAGTAGGCGATGAGGCGCGAGTGCAGGGCGGGGACAAGCAGGCTGTCGAAGTCCTTCGGGGTCTCGTACCACAGGAGCCCGTTTCCGACAAACCCAGCGGCGACTGATAGCACAAGGGTGAGCACACGCTGTCAGATGTACGAAAGGACGCACTCAGATCGCCCACGAGGAGGAGCCCCGGCAGCACGAGGGAAATCAGCTTCCGGTTCCAGACTACGAAGATCCGGTATGTCTACGTGGATTGTGACCACCACAGTGAGCACGGCAGACACTGACGGGGAGTGTAGGGCGGCACGTACCATGAATCCATCCCCGAGGAAGGTCATGATGATGAAGATAACGGGATCCATGTTGCGCGATGGGTCGTGCCCCTCCCCCCACAGATACCTCAAGGTTCCGCCAGGGGTGCTGTTGTGGTCTGCGAACGCGGCCACGAGGTGCCGGACATCGAAAGCGAGGTACTGCATATACGGTACCATACTAAGCCCTGCGTTGCAGCCCAGGCGATCGAGAGAATATGCGTACCGTGCCGGCGAGCACAAACATGGCGGTAAGGACGCCGGCCATCCAGAATGATGCGGAGCGTTCAGAGTGCCGCTGGCGGCATATGAGGATCCAGAGCGACATGATATAGAGGACGCAAAACGCCCCGTAAAGGAGGGACTCCAGGAACAGGAGAGCGACCTATTCAGGTAGGTCAGACATGTTACGCATGACACAAACGCGAGATGGATGCTCGCCTCGATCCGGAGGTAGAAGATAGTGTCCATGGCGGAGATGAAATGCGAGGCTGTCAAGAAGTCGAGGCTCGACGAGACCCCGCATTGGTGTTATATACTCGCATATGAACGAAGTGCATAGCGTTCAGGGCCACACGCTGTGGGGCCATGAAGATGTCAGGCGCGTTTGACGAGCCGCCCGCCTCGTAAACGGAAGGGTTTGCGCACGATTGCGTCCATACTTGGGAGGGAAGCTGATGAGGGGGCAGAGGACAGACCCGTGCCTTCGATATCAGATCGCGGCAAAGCGATAGAGCAGTGCTTAGGATGGGGCGATGTCGATGTTCACACTCGGTATATTTAGCGTGTTAGAGCTGCGAGGTTGACCACTGAGCTTTGAGGAACCGGCGTCCACCCTGATAGCAGGCTCGAGTAAGGTTTCAAGGAAGAGCGCAAGATCATACTCGTTTGGATCTTCCCATTGGATGACGACACGAGGTACCGCATTTTAAAAAGTCCTAGCGCTTGCACTCCGTGGCGAACCACAGCTCTCGCGCATGCACGCATTAATAGGAAGAGTGATACCCTTGCACGCGGATGTTCATGTCAGCATGTGCAGTTCAGCTCGTAATGGGCGACTCACCAGAATGGTGCCGATGCTGCTGGCCTTAAAAAGTTTACCACAACAACAACAAAAAAGTCCGGGCGCAGTGCACAAACGTATGCCAAGCCCTGTGTGCAGCAAACCGTCCATACAATTACAATCGTTCGCACCTACACACAAACTCCCTTCGCGCTCGACGAGTACTCTAGCTGATGTCCATCGCCTCGCCCGCGATGCTCGTGACGTCCTCGTCAACGATGAGGCTCCGGATGGACTCCTTCTTGATCGCGGTCGTCCCGCGGCGGAACTGGTACGAGCGCTCCTTCTGCACGCGCTCGTTCGGCTTCACGAGGTTGCGGAGCATCTCCGTGTGCGAGGCGGTGATCACGCACGCGTCGACGTTCGAGCCGGAGCCGAGGTCGTTGAAGATACCCGCGGAGATCGCGGCGCAGACGAGGTCGAGCGCTTCTGCGCGCTGTGGAGGGGGACGCGGAGTGTGAGCATGGGGAGGGAGGGGATGCGCATGGGGAGGGGGCAGGTGCGTACCTCCATGTTTGGCTGCCACTTCGACTCGAAGACGGCCATTGCTGCTAAGCTACCGGAGCCCATGGTCACATACGGGAGCTTGTCTGTGGAACCGTGGGGGTGGATGGTGAAGAGTTGTGGGCCGGTGGCGTCTACTCCGCCGAGTACGAGCGCGGCACCGATGTGACCCTGGTATCTGCGAGGCAGAACGCGATTGGAATTCATGAGTTGTTATATCTGGACATGAGTAAACGAACCGGAAGAGCATCTGCTTGAGCATGGTCATTGCTGTTACTACACGCGGCTTGCGGCCGGTCGAAAGCGCGTGCAACTCCATGTTAGAGGAAATGAGGGCGGTCGTGAATTCTGTGTCGGCGGCGGTACCCGCACCACAGCAGCGAATGTTGTCCGTGATGAAGTGGATCTATGCGTGATGTCTTGGGGTCAGGCAGAGCAAGGCACACGGACGCGCGGCAGACGCACCTTCTCGCAGTTCTTGTCCGCTACGATGGGACCCTCCGTCGCACGGGTATCCGCGCCCAAGATGATACCATCTTTGAAGAGGCATCCGACGATGGTGGTACCGGTGCTGGTAGCTTTGGGGAGCGGGATTCCGCGCTCGGAGAGGAATGTGTTCCTGGACGCGCATACACTGGATGAATGGGTGAAGTGCTTTGGATGGATGTAGGACGCACCGGACTTCGTTTGTGAAGTCAAATCCGGCACCCTTGTACACCGATGCTGTCGCCATGTTGATCGTAGACCGGTGAGGATGTGCAGCGAGCAGAGGGACGAGGACGAGGAGGAAGGGATGAGGAGAGGATGGAGGAGGTTACGCGTCCAGTCCGCGCCAGTCGACGCGTGTCGCGCCCCCGGACACCCGATCGCGTCTGCGGCGCCTTTCTCGCGCTCGCGCTCTTGACCTCCCTCTTCATCCTCTCGTCCGCGTTCTCTTCCCATCGTCTCAGGGAGTGAGGGCCATTCGAAAACATGCAGCTTCGGCTGACTGCTGGATGAGAAAGTCACTGTCAGAAACCTGGATGGGTTTGCATCAACTTGGGCGTACTGCCATGAAAGACAAGACGTACTTTTCATGCGCATTCACCATCCGGAGACCGACGTTCTCGAGAGCGAGAAGGTGCGGTCCTTCTTTTCGTACTAACTCGACCTGAGTTTGACTTACAATATGCTTCACAGGGTCTGCTTGCCATGACAGTGGCATGCATTCGTTGTGAGCGTATGCGACTGCCACAAGAACTTCATAAGAAGTGCAGCACCCTCCCCGATCCCGCGAATAGCAGCAGACTCAGGCTACGCCGCTACCATCTCCGGGCGGCGATCATGTTCATGGTGTCATCTCGAACAGTAGATTCTGGAGCGGGTGCAGTTCTTAGCAAGGTACCCGACTGTGACGCTGGTATCTCCATTTGGCGTCCTGCTGCACGGCCTGCAACCTGCAAAGACTCGGCAGGTTGCAACCACATACAGACTTGGCATCTACTGCGGCGACACCACCTACTTGGGCTTGTGCAGGGCTGGCTTATCCCCATAAGCAGGTGCGTCGAGCCTGACAACGCTAAATGCATATTCTCCACACACTGACCTTCCAATTATCTAACGCTGAGATATCAGACGCTAGCCGCGTCTCTCCGCGTCGCTTACAGGTGCGCAACAAGCTGGGATAATATTGACCTCCTTCTCCGACCGGAGTTGCGCGCCCTCAGCAATAGCGATGAACCGCATCTTCCACCTCGCAACTGCTATCTCGCTCTGCACGTTTTCAGCCTCACGGTGTTCGACAGTATTGACTCGGTAGGAATGCGACAACGTCGGCCATCGCGTATGGGCGCGACCCGGTGTTAGGTCCATCCTCAGACATCATCGCCACCAGACCAATCACTGTTGAACCACCTTACACATCCGCCGCAGTATGGAGCGGCGCCGTCTCATGCTCACCGCCCGCTCCCGTCATACCTTTTCTACGCCTTCAAGAGGGATGAAAAACCGACTGCGGTCCAACTACGGACTATATGCCTCCTCCAGCCGATCCTCACGTTGACGTTCTCATAATTGGCGCTGGCCCGACCGGCCTTGGCGCTGCTAAGCGTCTTAACCAGATCGTACGCCCTCTTCAATGGTCCTGTTTCGTAGAAAGGTCGTCTAACTCATTGTTGTCTCTGCCATAGGGTGGTCCTTCTTGGTTGATCCTCGATTCGAGCGAGAAACCCGGCGGTCTCGCCTCAACCGACGTCACCCCGGAGGGCTTCGTGAGCCTGTCTGTCTCATCGCACGTCCGCAAATCACTGAACCCCACCGGCAGCTCTTCGATGTCGGTGGGCACGTCATCTTCTCTCACTACGCCTACTTCGACGACTGTCTCAACGAGGCCTTCCCCCACGCGTCGGATTGGCACACCCACCAGCGCATCTCCCACGTCCGCTGCAAGGACGTCTGGGTCCCGTACCCCTTCCAGAACAACATCGCGGTGCTCCCCCCAGAGGACCAGGTCCGCTGCCTGCACGGCATGCTGGACGCCGCGCTCTCGTCCTCGACGCTGCTAAGCGACCCGCCGCAGACCTTCGACGAGTGGATCGTGCGCACAATGGGCGTGGGCGTCGCGGACCTCTTCATGCGCCCGTACAACTTCAAGGTCTGGGGCGTGCCCGCGACGCTCATGCAGTGCCGGTGGCTGGGCGAGCGCGTCGCGGTTCCGGACATCAAGGCTGTTACGCGGAATATCGTCCTGGGCAGGACTGAGGCGGGCTGGGGGCCGAATGCGACGTTTCGGTTTCCGGCACGCGGTGGGACTGGGGGTATCTGGAGTGCGGTGGCGGATACTCTTCCTGCGGCGAATATGCGCTTTGGAGAGGGGTCTACTGTCGTCGGGGTGGACGCTGCGGCGCACAGGGTTCGCCTGAAGGACGGCAGGTCGATCAGGTATGGGAAAGTGGTCTCCACCATGCCCCTCGACGGGCTCTGCGAGGCGCTAGGTGACGAAGAACTTTCGGGCCTCAGTCAACGGCTGATACACTGCACCACGCACGTCGTCGGTGTAGGGATCCGCGGCGCGCGCCCCGCACACATCGGCGCAAAGTGCTGGCTGTACTTTCCCGAGGACATCTGTCCGTTCTACCGCGCCACCGTCTTCTCCAACTACTCCCCGCACAACACGCCTGCTGCCTCGACCAGACTACCTACGCTGTGCACCGCGGGCGGTGAACGGGGCGCGTCCGAGGCGAGGGAGGGCCCGTACTGGTCGCTCATGGTCGAGGTGTCGCAGTCGCCGATGAAGCCTGTGGACGAGGAGAGCCTGGTCGGAGACTGCATACGGGGCCTGGTGGACACCGGGATGCTCAGGCCGTCGGACGAGGTCGTGTCCACGTACCACCGCAAGTTCGAGCACGGCTACCCCGTGCCGTCGCTAGAGCGCGACGACCTCTTGGAGAGCATACTGCCGGAGCTCCAGGCGCGAGGTATATGGTCCAGGGGACGCTTCGGGTCGTGGAAGTACGAGGTGGGGAACCAGGACCGTGAGTTTGTTGTGTGCGGCCGTGTGGATGTGGTGACTGACGGGATGCGTAGACTCGTTCATGCTGGGTGTCGAGGCTGTGGACAACATCGTCTACGGGACTGCGGAGGTGACGCTCGACGACCCCGATTTCGTGAACAGTCGTGTCAACGACGAGCGCCGCCTTGTGCATCTTCTACCTGACACTGGCCTCGCAGAGATCGGGGAGGAGGGCAGTGAGTATGAACAGCACCAAGTGCTTTCACGATATTAGGACTAGTACTGCATGTGATTCTGATCATACTTTATGAGCTGTGTTGTGGAATATGGTGTAAATGATGCTACTGTCTGAGCATGCACTTGTATATACGACATATGTCCTGCTGGTAATTATACTGTACGATTCTTGTTGCCCGTTCGTTCATTTGTAGTGAGCTCGCCTGGTCGTCGTCGAGTGCCGGCCAGCCTGTGCCGACGGATGGGTGCAGGCCCCCGGACACTGCAGTACAGGCTGGGCTGCGACATACGCAGCTCGGACTCGCTCACCTCCTCTCTCTTCCCACTTCCACTCATCCGCAAACGTCCTCTCTTTCTCTCTTGTACGCCAGCATGGACGGATGGAACAAACTCTCGTCGGGCCTCGCAGGCCTCAACATCGGCCAGTCCGCCAACAAGTTCGCCAAGGGCTTCCAATCCAGTGTGCAGGCCACCAGGGAGCGCCTCGGCCAGGTCGCCCCGGACGAGATAACTGAGCTTCCGCAGGGTACGTCGCCAGCCGTACGCGCAGCTGCCAGCAGCGGCCGAGCCATTCCCCCGCAGAGTACAAGGACCTCGAGGCCCGCGTCGACGCCCTCCGTGCCGCCCACCTCGCGCTCTTGAAGTACGCACGCACCCGTTTGATTCAGCTCTCCATTCAGCCCTCTGATGCGCCTGGCGGCCCACGCCCAGAGTCACGAAGGTGTACGAGTCCGAGACGTACGACTACCCAACGCAGATCCAGGAGTCGCTCACCGAGCTCGGCACGACCATCGGGCACGGCATCACCAACTTCGCCGCCGCGAACCTGAAGGGCACGGCGCTGCCCGCGCCCGAGCCCGCCCAGCCGAACGCCCCGCAGCACAAGACGCTCCCGCACGCGTTCGGGCGCGCGGCGACGAACGCGGCGACGGCCGTGCAGACCGTGTCGGGCGCCGGAGACGACAAGCTGGGCAAGGGCCTGCAGGTGTACGCGGGCGCGTGGGAGAAGATCGCGGACGCGCGCGTCGAGCAGGACGCTACCGTCCGCGAGCGCTTCCTCCAGCCGTGGCAGACGACGCTCTCGACGAGCATCAACGTCGCGATGAAGGCGCGCCAGGCGGTTCGTGTGAGCCGGCTTGAGCTCGATGCGGCGAAGCAGACGTGAGCCTTGTGCGGATGATTTGACCGAGGTCGACGTGTTGATGGCGCTCGTAACAGCTTGAAGACTGCGGGCCCCGCTAAGCAGGAGGCGGCTCGGCTCGAGGTTGAGAACGCGGAGGACGACCTCGTGCAGAAGACCGAGGTTGCGATCACCCTCATGAAGACCGTCCTTGACAACGTGAGCCAACGCCGTCTCTCCATATACTCATGAGTCGTGCTCTTACAGTGTCCACAGCCTGAACCTCTGAAGGACCTGAACGAGCTTGCAAAGGCGCAGGTAAGCACATGATTCTGCTTCTACCGTCCAGCATACAACCGGCGCTAAATCGTGTACTGCAGCTCATGTTCTACGCGACCGCGGCCGAGGCGCTCTCGAGCGTCCAAGGCGAGATCGAGGAGCTGAGCGTCGCAGCAGAGGGCGAGTACAGGTGCACCCCCTTCTTTCTCCATCCTCCTCCCGCGTTCGCTGACCGCGCGTCTGGTAGGAAGACCCGCGACCACTGAGTGATTGCCTGTGTATACTTGGAGCAGCTTATAATGGACCCTTCTCGCTGTACTGCTTCGTTCCCGCTCCCGCCCGGCTATACCGCCCGACTGATAACGATGACACGCCGTCTACACGAACTCACCTATGTATTCCACCTTATAGTTCTGGATCCTCGATGCGATGAATTTTTGCACCTCCTGCGTTTCTGTGTGGCTGTGCCTCGAGGATCGCCGCATGCTGCGTCGATCTTGACGACGTGAACCGCTCCCAATGTCAAATACGCAACCTGCAAGACGCTGCGCAGTCCGTCAGCTCTGTCAGCCAATCAGTGAGAATTCCCCACAGCTAGTGAACTCTATTACGGTTCTTAACGCACAGATTTCGTACGTCCCGCACAAAGTCAATATGCCTATGTTGCGCATGCAGCGCCGACGCTCGACGTTGAGCCAGACCATATGCAGACGATCAAGGTGCGGCTAGAGCTTCGTTATCAGAAACGCTCGCCTTTGCACACCGCTTCCCCATCGCCCGTGGCCCTCGAGGCGGCAGACTGCGACTCGGAGGTGTGAGAGACAGAGTGAAGTATCTCCGCACATTTCAGCCTTGCTCCAGGTTAAGACAGCGATATAGTATACAACATATTTCGTGAAAAGTTCGGACACTTAGGATTCCAAATGTATGGTCTGTGTAGAGCGCTGCTTAAGGCGTGTGCCAGTGTCGGTGCTCGTAACAAGTCGCTCCGTTCAATTGTCACTACTAGGAATCTCGGGAATGTAGCTAATGGCGGGGTGCCCCGTACTAACCCTCGCGCAGAACTCCGCCCAGACCTTCTCCGGCTCGTCCGCTTCCTCCACTGGGCCCGAACGTTCAAGAGGCCACTGATATGTCCCAATCTTGTCGCGGGCGAGCTGAGCGTCGAAGAGGTAACTGAGGATGTGGAGTGCGAGCACAGCTTCGGCAGTCCACGATGCGGTCGGGCCGTCGTCGCGTATAAAGCGACGCATAAGAAGATCGCGTTTGCTCGCCTGGCACACCGTCGTGTCGCCCAAAGTCCAAAGACGATAGGTTTCCGGCAAGGGACTAATCTCCTTCCCATCCTTGTAGCAACACAGCACCCACACGAAGATCCAGAGGAATGCCTCGAGGTCGTGGCGATAGAGGTGGCGGACCTCGCCGCGGCAGGCCTCTTCACACAGCAGGTCGACGGCCATGAAGGGCAACGTCTGGGGCGTTGGAGTATCGACGGTGAGGTACCAGTCGTTGAGCACGCCGCAGACGGCGCCGTCCTGAACGCGGTACGTGAGGCTGTTCAGGCTTAGGTCTTTGTGGTGGACGCCGTTGAGCCAGTTGAGATAGTGTGCTGTACGGGTGGTCAGCGCTGCCTTTACGAGCTGTACACGAGCAAGCCCATCCCGCGACGCACCTTGCACGCATTGCATCCAAGCACGCACGAAGGCCTCTCCCGTTAGTCGATGCAGCGGCTGAACATCATGATGCTCCGTCGTGGTTGCGCGGACAAGACAGTGGTCTGCAACCTTCTCCGATTCGTCGGTTTCCTTGGCACGCCACTTTTGCACGCCGGTGTTGGAGACGGCAGCGAAGAAGCTGTGGTATGGATGTGTCGTAGGCGTCGAGACGAAGGTCGATCTGGGCGTTCTGCCTGGCAACTTGGCGGCGGGGAGGTCCGAAAGCTTCGGCACGCGCATGACTTTGGACATCGTCGTTCACAGCAGACGCCCGGAAGCGTCCGCCTACTAAGTATGGGCTACTGAGCGAGAGCCAACGGACGACGACCACAGCACCCTCACCGTCGCCTTCTTCAGCCCCATACGTACCATGTAGCGCTATTCCGCACGGTCGGAATCGCCCGCCTTTGTCAGGGCTGACACCGCCTGACAAAATCCGGCCACCGGAGATGCCACATATGGTATGCGAGTACGTTCGTGCGCAGCGCCTACGGTACGTACCAGCGGTGGGCGGGCGTCGAGAGTTAGCGGACCATTTCAATTAGGGAGCATCAGGGAGGAAGAAGGGGTATAAAGGGTGGACGGGGAGACGGAGTTGAAGACAGAACATCTTCCGCTGTTGGACGTACTTGCACTTGACAACACCTCTCACTTTTACTCACAACCCACGCTACATCTCGTCGACATGCCTTCCTACGTCGTCACTGGAGCTTCGCGCGGCCTCGGCGTGCGTCCCTTGTCTCTTCACGTCTTCCTGCATGACTGTCACTGACCGCTGAACTTTCGCCCGCTAGCTCGAGTTCGTCAACCAGCTCGTACGCGCCATATCCATTGCGCGTTGTATGAAGGGGCTCACGCACCTCCGCCCCGCCAGAGCGCAGACCCTAAGAACACCGTGTTCGCCCTCGCGCGCAACCCGCAGAACGCGCCCAAGCTCCTCGCGCTGCAGCAGACCCGCACGAACCTGCACGCCGTCACCGCCGACATCACGGACGTGCAGTCCCTTAAGGCAAGCCCTCTCCCCCTTTGCCAGCTTGCGATCGTTCGTTGGCTAACGAGGACGGCAGGCCGCTGCGGCGGAGGTGGCGAGGGCGACCGGCGGTGGGCTCGATGTGCTCATCAACAACGCGGCTGCCGTGGGCACCGAGCGCTGGCAGCTCACACTGAGCACCTAGTGCGTATTTTCCCGTAGCAGGGGCTTCGCTTGCGGTGGGCTTATCTAGAAATACGCGCGGATAGCAAGGACGATAAGCTCCTCGAGGATGACCTCGTCGACCAGGTACGCACCTCCCCTCGCACGTCTGCCTTCGTCGCGGGACTGACCCTTGACCTCTCCCCGCATGCAGTTCCGAACTAACGTCGTCGGCGTCGTGCACACCACGAACGCGTTCCTCCCGCTCCTGCGTGCGGGCGCCGCCAAGAAGGTCATCTCGCTCTCGACGGGCATCGCCGCCACGGACGTCTCGCTCGGCGCGGCTTTCACCGCGAGCGCGCCGTACTGTGTGTCCAAGGCCGCGCTCAACCTCGCCGTCGCCAAGTACGCGGCGGAGCTGCGCCCGGAGGGATTCACGTTCCTTGCGATCAGCCCCGGGCTCATGAACACCGCTGAGAAGCCGCGTGAGTCGCTCCTCGTTATTTTTCTGCGGGTCAGGAGGGATGTTGACGCGACGGGCGGTGACAGCGACGGCGGAGGAACTCGCGGGCTTCCAGGCCATGGTCGCGAGCTTCAAGACGTACGCGCCGCACTGGGACGGCGCGCCGATCACGCCTGAGACGTCTGCGCGGCTCGTGCTGGGCATCGTCGAGCGCGCGACCGTCAAGGATACCGGCGCGTTCCTCTCGCACTGGGGCAACCAGACCTTCCTCTAGACAGGACGCACACGGGCTGATATTGATTTTTCCGTGGTTACATGTTCTGTGGTCTTGCGAGTTAAAAGTTATGGAGGTGGCGCGGAAGGAGGGCGGGACGTACTACAGTCTATATTGTGGGACTTCCCGGGCCGTCTCAGATAGCAATGCATCTGCCTTACCTGCTTTCCGTCTCTGGATACCCCGCCCCAGTGGGTCTGTCGCTGCAACATATTAGATCTTGATCTTCATGAGCATCGAATTCGTCCGCGTCAGCTGGTTATACCCTGTATACCACATCGTTAATGCCCTTCCAATTGAGAGACCTCGCATGCAGCGACTCACCGCAAAGTTGCTCAGACTGATCCCCCGCGCGCTGTTCTTCACGCCCGTCCACGCGAGCGCCGGGTCGAGGAAGTCGCAGCGATTCAAAAACACGGTGCCCGCCTGAAGCTCGTCTGCGAGGCGCAGGAATGCTACTTGGGACTCCGGGTGCGCGTCGGCGTCCGTCCAGACCGATGCGGTCAGGCTACGGTAGGGCGAGTCGTTCACGACCGGGGCGAGCAAGCGCTTGCCAGCGTAGGGGCGCGTCCATACCCATGTGTACCCCGTTGTACCATGTCAGGTATTCAGGTCCATTGGCGGTGCATGTGAGATGAGATACCAATGGGTACGTGCAGCCGTGACCCGGGTGGGACGTTGACCATCGCGAGGATGTAGCAGGATGTAGCAGCCACAGCGGAGTTTCAATACTAGGACATTCCAAACGGGATTTGGTCGAGCGCCTTTGAACGATGTTGGTGCTCTGCAGCGTATCGGTTATTCCCTCGCACTCACAGGCATGCACTCTGAAGTCAGCAGGTACCCGCGATCTTATACGGTTGCTCTTTCCCCAACTGCTACACCCCAGAGCTCTGAATTTGAACCTTCCGTGCAACTTTTGGGCGAACCGGCACTAAGGCTGGGGGGCCACTGTCCGAGTCTCGCTCCCTACGTGCATTCTGCTGGCGCCACCTTCGAATCAGGACTTGAAGAGCTCATTCGAGATATTCTTGTTTACAAGGCTTGTGGACAGTCATCGGGTCAAGGATCAGGAAGATATGGCGTTGAATGGACCTCTATCATAGTGGCGCTGGCAAGGCTAGTACTACCAGATGCTACTGTACGGTGAGTTGATAAGTTTTCACCTTGACCGGTGCCTATCCTGCCCAGCAAGCAGTCATCGTCCATTTTCGCCTCGGAATCAATCCACACATTAACTCCGTCTCCCAGCTGATCCTGATCACCGCTGATTTTCTAGATTCAACCTCCCAAATTTTGGCCATAAACGTCTCGTCTTGTGTTTTGACAGTCCGAAAACGGCGACTCCTGACCCGGTGAACTACCCTGAATCAGAGAACGAGGTGACTATATCAGCATCACAACTTGTTAGTATTTCCGTGCCCACCGGAGCATTTTCAGCTAGTACGTGCTCTAAACCGACAAGGGTTCCTGCAATTAATTGCGCCCATGAACGGAGCTAACCAAGAATTTTATATCCCCAGGTGCCGAAATGTTGAACCTACATCCGACTCGTCAAGGTACACTACCGGAACCAATCTGGTATGATTATGTCATGTATGATGAGTTGGACGGCAATGGTGGACGGTTCGAAAACTCTTTGCCGACCTTGTTTGGTGACCGCAAATGCCAACAGCTCAGTTTGATACCTAATGACAGCCACTCCCTTGCATCCGACCCACTGCAGGAACAGCCTGACAGCCATGACGACGGTGATACCGAAGAGTCATATGCTACTCGAAGCCTGCTGGATAATGCGGACAGCAACTGTACTCGTAAGCACGTGTCCCCGAGTTCTCCAAATCCCAGATTGTTGACTTCAAGCCTTGTGTTGTAGAAAGAGAGGCTGAGCTATCTCCACATTCCTCGGACACCGCATCCCTCAGCACATGTCCGTTCCAGAGCCCTTCGTCCCTGATAATACTCGTATGTGCTGTCGATGAAGATACGATCATTCCTGCGCTGGCAGCTGCCATGGAGCATAACTCTACTGTGCTTCACTGCGAGGGCGTCATTGTGACCGGCATCGCGTATTCCACAGCAAATGAAACATGCCGTATCTTTGTTGGATGGGAGGATGACTCCGGGAGCCGGCACATAAGGGTAAGCCTTTTGTACAGGATAGATCCTCTGTCGACCCTGCATATGCTCACTACTATCGGTGATGATACCAGGTCCGCCTACCAGTTACTGAAGGCGTCGACTTAGAGACAGCCACGGAGGGTTTCGACCTGCGCTCACACCACCATATCTCTGCCTTCATGAGATTCGTATCACAGGTCTGCCGTTATGGCGGACAGATTGCGTCCAGCCTGCCCGTCACTGATCTGCCTCACACGGACAAGATAAAGTCGTCCTCCCTGCGTTCAAACCATTGCGGTGATCGACTTTATACCAAGGTCACAACATGGGCTGCCCAAGTGCGGCCCTCAGACCTGTTAGTATTTTTTTTTTTTCATTTCCGTCATTTTATCCTGATTACGACCACGGGCTTGCGTTAATCAGCCAGGAGCCCAGCAAGTGTGGACACGATATCACATCCATGCAGATCATGCACCAGCGACATCAACAGCCCGATTCCACAGGAATGCCTGCCGCAGGGCTGGTCATGACGTGGCCATCGAACCCGAATCAATGGTCAGTGCCAGAGCTGTCGTTGCTAGTTGTCACACCTCGTTTATACACTACCTATGCAGGATACTCGAAGCGAATCTGGGCGACGTGTTTGATCTCCAATATCCTGGTATCGCCGAGTGGTCATACGATCACCATGTTTACACAATGGGGATGCTTCGAAATTGCCAAAGTCACAAGGATTTTGCCAACGTCCTCGACACGTTTTATGACATATTTTACGGGCTTCCAAGATATGCAGAGGTACGCCGAGCCAAGTACCACTTACGCTTCTGAGTCAATAGATGTGCATACTGATTGTGCATCTTTGTATCTACAGGCATCCCCAAGGTCTTCCCTTCCGGCGAGCAACGGCACATCATCTACACTACCGTCATCCCACTTTGAACATCGCTCTGGAGCTTCCACTTTGGCAATACAAGTTTGCGGAGTAGTGGAGGCAATGCGCTTGACAGAGTGCTCTCTGGTGCCTGATACCTACAAGCCCTGGCGGATGGCTGCGTCCTGGCTCTGGTTCTCGGAGCTACGCCTAACTACTCCCGGTAGCATGGACCCGGGTTTGATCGTGTACTGGTGAGTTGAGCGCTTCAGAATGATCTAACGTCAAATGATCGACCCTTGGCCGCGTTCATCACCAGTGATACGCTCACCGTGGAGTATCCACGCTGTACAGAGTATGATGAGATCCTTCAAACCCCAGCAGACTTCGACCCGCAAGACGAGGATCTACGTATCATCCCGCACGACTCTGAAAGCACTCTCCGACTCATGTCAACTCATCGCACACGTACCTCCGCTGACAAGGCAGCCATGGGATCTGACCACCCGACTGGGCAATGGACTCTTGCTGAACTGATAGAGATGCGGCATCCCTTCAACCACGTTGAGCACGCACTCGACATAACGTATACCAAGATCTTGGACGGCGATCGTCTTCTCGACTTGTGGAATGCTGCAGACATCCGGACGGCAAGGTCAATCTCGACCGAGAAGATGAAAAGCCGCCTGCTGCGCTATCCCCTTAGTGGCCCGATCGATGACGCGGTTGTTGTGGTGCTAGGTCACTTCGGCGATGAGCTGTGCAGCGCCATAGGCCACCCAGCGGCTCAGGTTGTACTAGGCACGCTTCCATTCGTCGAGCCGTGGAACATATCGCTTCAAGGAGATTCCGACTCGGAGTCACCCCCTCTCCCCGCCCACTCCGACATCCCACATGCTGATCACCTCGAATCGACACCCCTCTGTCTACCAGTCTTGCTCAGCGCGTACCAAACCGCTGGCGTATCCCTGGACAATGCGACACGAAATCGGCTGCGTCTGGCTTCTGTTGGTGCCGTACGGTTCCTCGCTGTACTTGGCGTGACGGATTTTCCTGTTTATGGCTTGTCGATCTGCGGCCCGTATGGGATTCCGTCCGTAACGTGGTACTCATCCGAAGACAAGGTACGTATCATTCACGCGGCTACAGACGTTCCTACATTGACGTTTTCTTCGCCCTACAGGCATGCTATACCGTCGACCGGAACACGGCGCGCCGAAGATTCGACCTCACGGAGAAGCACGGCGTCCTGCGCTACCTCGCCTTCCTGGCAAGGATGCGAGAGCATGCCCAAGAGCTTCACAGACGGTTCGAGGAAGCCAAGCTCAGCTTCTTCCAGCGCATGCAAACGCCAGAAGGTTTGGCGTCCGTGCGATGGACCGCGCGATCACAGATGGACGATCGCAAGCTGTGGATCCAAGGAGATTAGCAGGATGATTGGAGCGGGTGAGAGACGTGGAAGAAGCGATCCAGGACAAACTCGTCTGCTGCGGTAGCTCAGACTCGGCGGTGATTATACATGCGTTGGTACTTACCATACACGGGCTCGTCGGAGGCGGCAGAGAGCGTGAGTGGACATATGGACTCGGTGGTCTACACCAGCTTCGTTTAAAGTGATGTGCGGAGGACACGGGGCGATTACACAAACGACAAAACCATGGAATTGATGTCCCTCTATGACTTGACCATTAATCCGATAGCGTGAGCCTAGAAAAACAACGAATAAGAACCACCGCGGTGTCGAGACGGAGGCCAGCGTCCCAGTAATGGGCGCCTACGAAGAGATGAGATTAGCGTTTAGACGCGCATTGACGCTTTAGCATTATCGCTGGAATTCGCCTGGCTCAACTTTATCGCGCATCCAGTCATTCCGAGGGATGCTCGCTCGGTGCGATCTCTCACTCCTCTCTCACTTACCACCATCTCAGACAGCATCATGTCGACTGCAGGCACCCAGATCCCCCAAGACGCGGACACCGCATCCCAGACAACTCTCATCCCACACAACCAGCAGCCGCTTGTGATCCGCTCCTACCCCTCTCAATCCCAGCTCGAAAAGTCCATCCAACATGCTGCTGCCGCCCAGGAGAAGTGGGCGCGCCTCCCTCTTAGCCAGAGGATCGCGATCGGCCGCGGATTCATGGTTCGTACCGCTTGCTCCGAGTACCTGTATGGCTTTCATGCTGATCCGCGCGCCTCTGCAGGAGGAGTTTGGCAGCATGCGCGACGAGATCCCGCTCGAACTCACGCTACAGATGGGCCGGTACGTACTTTAGAGCACTCGTTACGCGGCGCGCGCTGCTGACGCGCCCCTCTCAGGCCCGTTTCACAAATCCCAGGAGAGGTCCGCGGGATGCTCGACCGCGCCGACTACATGCTCAATATCGCAGAGTCCTCCCTCGCGGACGTATCGCTCACCAACACGGACAAGCCCGGTTTCCGTCGCTACATCAAACGCGTCCCGCTCGGCGTCGTCCTCGTCGTCGCGCCCTGGAAGTGCGTCCCCCCGCTCGCCTTCCCGAAGGGTTCTTCGCTGATCCTTCCCCGCACGCAGCTACCCCTTCCTCGTCATGATCAACTCCGTCCTCCCTGCGCTCATCGCGGGCAACTCGGTCATCATCAAGCCGTCCCCGCAGACACCCCTCGCCGCTGAACGTTTCGCGAGCGCGTTCCACAAGGCGGGCGTGCCCCGGGACGTGCTGCAGGTCATCCATCTCAGCCCAGAGCTTACGTCTGCGGCGGTGAAACACCCACTCGTCGACTTTGTATCGTTCACGGGAAGCGTCGCAGGTGGCCGTGCGGTAGACATCGCCGCCGCGGAGGCGTCCGGTTTCAAGGGTGTTGGCCTGGAGGTGTGTTTGCACTGGTCATCAGACAGATCGATAGCAGACTGACGGCGAGTAGCTCGGAGGCAAGGACCCTGCATACGTCAGGGCGGATGCGAACCTCGACTACACTGTGGGCGAGCTTGTAGATGGTGAGTCCTGCATGTGCGTCAGCAACTCGCGCAGACAGCTAAACATCCCCTCAGGTGCGATGTTCAACTCTGGCCAGAGTTGCTGTGCGGTCGAGGTTCGTCTTTTCCGGGCCTACGCGTTTATCCGCGCTGAACATCCTGGCTACAGCGTATCTACGTACACGAGTCGATCTTCGACGATTTCGTCGCCAGGTTTGCCGAGATTACCAAGGTTGGCGCAGTCGCGTGCTCGTTCTAACGCTGCGTGTCGTTGACGCCGTGGCACAGAAATACAAGCTTGGAGATCCCACAGAGCCGGAGACGAACCTCGGCCCGGTCGTCAGCGTCGCCAGCGCAGAGCGTATCCGCAAGCAGGTCTCATCGGCGAGTAAGTGACTACCAGCACTTGAGTGCGAGATTGGTAGTGACATTCCGCTCGTAGTTGAGGCGGGCGCGAAAGCACTGATCCCCGAAGACCTTTTCACCGTCGCAAAAGCGTAAGTACGCCGCACCGCATACTCTATCCTCTAGACTTACGGTCGGCATTGCAGCGGAACTGCCTACGTCGCGCCTCAAGTGCTCGTCGACGTGAACCACAGTACGTCCCGCCACCCTCTCCCGCGTTCCCCATATTCACGCCCTCCCTAGCCATGGACGTCATGATGGTACGCTATTTCCCCGCCCCAATCGCCCACCCGCCTACTCATCCTCCTCCCCCGGCAGGAAGAGACCTTCGGCCCTGTCGTCGGCATCCAGAAAGTTAACTCGGACGATGAGGCGCTCGCGCTCATGAACGACTCGCCCTACGGTCTCACCGCCTCGGTGTGGACAGACGCCGACGCGAACGCCGACTCGCAAGAGGCTTTCCTGCGCCTCGCGGACGAGCTGCAGGCGGGCACCGTGTTTCTGAACCGCTGCGACTTCCTCGACCCTGCGCTTGCGTGGACGGGCGTCAAGAACAGCGGGCGGGGGATCAGTCTGAGCAAGTTCGGTGAGTCGCTGCGTGCGAGGTCTCTTTATTGGCAGGGCGTTGACGATGGGGTATACAGGGTATGACCAGCTGACACGGGCGAAATCGGTGCACATGAAGATCAAGATTTAAGAAGTTGCAGCGGCAGAGATGGAAAGCAGGTAAAGCAGTTGTATTGCTAGACGGCCGGGGAAGTGCCACACTGTAGACTGTGGTACGTCCCGCCCGCCTTCCGCGCCACCTCCCTAACTTCTAACTCGCACTACCACAGAACATGTAACCACGAACAAATCATTAGCAGCCCGTGTGCGTCTTATCTAGAGGAAGGTCTGATTGCAACGGTTCGAGAGGAATGCGCCGGTGTTCTTGACGATCGCGCGCTCGACGATGCCCAGCACGAGCTGCACAGACGTCTCGGGTGTGATCGGCACGCTGTCCCAGTGCGGTGCGTACGTCTTGAAGCTCGCGACTATCGCCTGGAAGCCCACGAGTTCCTCCGTCGTCGCTGTCGCTGTCCCTCGCGGCGGCCTTCCTCACCACCTCAAAAAAGCAAGGAGCGACTCATGCGGCGTCTCAGCGGTGTTCACCAGTCCGGGGTTGATCGTGGCTGATGGCGAGGAACGTGGAGTCCTCGGGGCGTAGCTCCGACACGTACTTTGCGACGGCGAGGTTGAGTGCGGCCTTGGACACATAGTACGGCGCGTTTGCGGTGAAAGCCGTGCTGAGCGTGACATCCGTGGCGACGATGCCCGCCGAGAGCAGGATGATCTTCTTGGCACTGCCTGTGCGCAGGCGCGGGAGGAACATGTTTGTGGTGTGCATGACACCAACCATATTTGTCCAGAACTGTGTGGGCGTTAAGGTGTCCATCAGGAAAATCTGCCACTCTGAACCAGATGCAACTTGATGTAATGCAGACCATTCTGTAAGATCAAATAGTCAGTTAGTTCTCAGAATTTTAGTCCCTTCCTAATTGATAGATTAAATGGACAGAAAAGCAAGGATAGTTGAGATTATATGGGGTCATGGCACTTGGCACTTGCTCACAGCATGCGGTAGATGCAAGAAACCTGTAATGACCCAGTACAAGGTCGTTACGGGCATCGTACACCCACTGGCCCAGTGCCATAAGCACTGGGCAAAGATAAGATAACAATGTATTAAATAGACGTGTACGGTGTGCGGGTATTCGGAGCCTGCGCGCCTGGTGTGGGCAGCCTTTCTAAACTGCCCCACCATCCTACGAGTATGCCGAGCCTCAATAGAGCCCAGACCAGAGTATTTGCAGGAAGGGGGCGACAGATTGCGCCCCCCATACGTGAGTTTTACACTTTTTTACTCTCACCGTGATATTCGCCCGATTTGGGGCTCGACATATCCCACATCACCACTGAACTCTAACCTTAAACTGCCTAATATTGCCCAATAAAGCAACAATGTCGGACCAGTTGCAGAACCCCAACACCAAAGGGCATCAGACGCGCCCTTCTTCCCCTCACCACAACCCCCTAGACCGTGCCACGTCAGGTGTGGTACCCCCTCAACAAACATCAAGAGTACGTGCCACCATGGCTGGTCCGTCAACCTCGATGGTGCCTCCCCGCGATACATCGCGAGGCAGGACGATGACCACCAGTGGTTGTCAAGGAAACTCTCCGACCGCCAAACCAGGTGCGAGCAATCCGCCTGGTGCACGTCCTGGCAGTCGGCAGTTGCTGTTCTTGATAACAGTCCCACTCTCAGGGCTGTAGGCGACAACTGGCAGCAAATCCATGACACTTGCTTGTTGCAAACTCAACCACCGGGGACTAATGCGCCCCGGTCTCCAACACATGAGCGACTGGGTTCAACTGGCCCGAGATCATGGTTGCACAGTCGCGTGGCTCAGACGGGGCCATCGCAGGAAGGCCGACTATCGAGGCCTCCCAGCCGCACCACACAAGCAGTGACGGGCACGTCCTTCAGACCTGAGGACATGCAGCGGCTACGTGACGCCATGCGCGATTCTCGGCACAGGTACAAGGAACTTCAGCGACAGGTTCGCAAAGCTGAAGAGGAGTCCAACTCCAACATCAACAATGCGTTGGTAGCACTGGGCCTCGACAATATCTTTGAGGACGACAAAGACTACAAGGACCAGCACACCCTGCAGCCGAATACCCCAGCTGCTGCAATAACAGGATCAGCCCAAATGGTGGCTGGTGACAACAACAGCAAAGAACTGCTGATGGAACAAACTACCATCGACACGCACCTCAGTGACTGGCACTCCGACCAGTCAGCTGAAGCGCAGCAAGCAGAAGCTGTGCTAGTCAGTTTGCAAGACCGGATTGATGCAGGTCGTGAGCAGCGGCTTCGCAATGCTGGGCTATTACCCCCAGAGGACGTTTCACAAGCACCGCAGAATAAGGCTGCACACGGGTCCGGATCATTTCACGGATATACCCGCCAATACCCGTGCCATGACCCACGGATACAGGTTGTACGGGTGCGGGTCATCCGCGTGTGAGGATCCCAGAGGATCGAGGTCTGGATTCTCAGAATATAAAACCCGCAGTCGGATCCGTGAAATATGTAGTAGCACGGGCGACAAAAAAAAGGTCCTGGGTACATCGAGCAATCAATCGTATACATTTGACACTGATAGACGTCGGAATACATGATATAGAACACTTTATTCTACTCGTAGTCAGAGAATATTGCACCAGAGTCAGAGTCGTCATCATTAGTCGGCGGGTCGCTGGAGTCATACACTGTCTGAAGGTCTGGCATGTCTCCATCATCATCTGACTCCACCACCACCTCCAATACCTCACCCTTGACAGCCCGAGCGTAGCGAGATGGTGCAGCGGCGTCCCCAGTCTTGGCAATACTTGTGGCAGATGGTTTGGCGGTGGCGTTGCAGGCGCTGAGGCTCGCATGAGACTGAGCAGCGGTGTTGCCGGGGGTGATGCTCGCTGCAGACAGCGTGGTCATGTCGCCATGCGTGTGCTTGTCAGCAAGTGAGATGCTGCCTAGCCATGCTGCAAGAGCGCGGCCTGCATGGACAAAGGACGGCCCGACGAGCACATGGCTCGAAGTGCGCAAGAGAGGCGACGGCGCGCGGGCATTGCGAGCTGCTTCGGTGGTCTCGATATTCACGTCAAAGACACCCTAAGAAGTCCCGCAGAGGTTAATACCCGCGCGACAGCAGCAACGTGTGATGTACTTACCTGGGGCATGTTGACGCGCAGCCATCCTGAGAGCTCGCGCAGCTCATCGTCCGCGCGCTCAAGCGGATGAAGCTCCATCGCGGTTTGAACGAGGTGTGCCGCAAAGTGGTAGAAGTCGTCCTCAGTGAGGTTGTACTTGCCATGCGTGAAGGCACCGTAAGTGCTGAAGAGATCGTGCAGGGTGTTGTACTGCTCGTCGGAGCCCTCGCATTGGGTGATGAATGGACCACGGAGGAGACTCATCTATGCATCGACGCGCTCGGGCGTGACACTAGTGAGCTCGTCCGTGGGTAGCAGCACCTGGCAAATCTAACGTTACTTTTGATCGCAGCAGGAGGTGTGAAGATGAGAGTCGACTCACGGTCTGCGCATACGTCGGGCCGTACACAAGGAGCACGACGGCCGGCATGGGCTTGTCTTCGATCAGAGACCGCACATAGGCGGTGTCAGCACGTAGGTAGATGTCGGCGCCGAGCTCCATGGGTAGACGAGGAAATAAAGCAGGAAGAATGTTTGCGGCGGTTCTCGAGGTTGTTGGGGTGGACTGGGAGGGGCTCTGCGGACGTAGAAAGGTCGTCGGCACTGGTATTTATATGTTGTCTTGCAGCGGTAGGTGGTACGGTCTGGTACAGCGCGATGTTGGGTGCTTCGGTCGTCGGGAACAAACCCGGGGGACTGCTCAAATTCTGCTGACTTCAGCCATCTGCTACATTGCTTGCAAGATCACCACATGTAGGGCATGCACTCGAGATAAGGAGCTCACCAGAATTCTTTCCAAGCCAATGGAAAGAGAAGGGAGAGCAAAAAATGCACGAGGTTAGCAGGGGGTCATTGTCTGTGATGCGTGAGGCGCCAGTACCTTGCTCGTGCTGATGGCTGTGCAGGATAGTAGGATGATGCACCCGGCGGGGACCCACGTTGTGCAGGCGTGTTGCCTTCCGTGCGGCCAAGCTTGAGTATCGTATGCTAAGACTGGTAGGTCGTCGTAGAGGTAACGCGTCAGCGTAGGAGGTGCGCAGCTACCTCCTTCCCGTTGTTGAACTTCGGCGTGGGTAGGAAGGTGTCAAACTCTAACCTTAAGTGGGCGCTTGCCACGAGTCCCCTACTCTCCCCCTTCGCAAACTCGCTTTGCTACGTCCCTGCTGCTCGAAAACGCGATGAACGCTACCCCTGGGACATGTAATACCCACACAGGCTTCCGCAGTGCATATCTCCGGGTAATTTCACCTGCTGCGTGATCATTTAGACCGGTACTAATACTCGCACACCTCTGCAGCAAGCCAGCCATGCAGCAGATCGACTCATTCCTGCCCTCGCACCCGGGCACCACTGTCCTTATCGACAGCCTCAGGTGATGAGTGAGACCGATGCTCAGGTGTTCATCTGCATGACTGATGCATCCAAACAGACTGAAACCTGCCTCTGGAGTGAGAGAGGAATGCAAATGAACGCGGGCCACTGAGAGGAGCGCGGTGGGAGACGTACCAGAGCAAAAGCAAGCCTTTTATACCTTCTGTGGCAGTGGTTACGATTGATGAGGAACGAAGAAATCGTTTCTTATGGGGTGAGCTTCCTGCCAACTTGCGTGACGCCAATCCGACCCCGTGGGAAAAAATTACTTACCCATCATTAGCTTTCTGATAGGTGCCACATACAAAATTTTGTAATGGCCACAGGGTTAGGGTTGGATTCCAATAGCACAGCTTAGGGTTAGCCTTAGCTCAGTTCTAATCACAATTCTTACCACATGTAAAGCCTCTCCCTGGGCGCTTGTGTAACCCTAGGCTGCACAGCACATGTGGCGCTCACTGCCCACTATGCCTACAGGCTATGTCCCTCAACACATGATTACGATTGATGAGGAACGAAGAAATCGTTTCTTATGGGGTGACCTTCCTGCCAACTTGCATGTCGGAAAGTCGACCCCGTGGGAAAAAATTACTTACCCATCATTAGCTTTCTGATAGGCGCCACATACAAAATTTTGTAATGTTTGCAGGGTTAGGGTTGGATTCCAATAGCACAGCTTAGGGTTAGCCTTAGATTGGTTCTAATCACAATTCTTACCACATGTAAAGCCTCTCCCCTGGGCGCTTGTGTAACCCTAGGTTGCACAGCACATCCGCTCACTGCACACTATGCCTATAGGCTATGCACTGTATCAAAACAGACCCTTAACACATGATATAGTGTAGTTCAAGTACTATACCCCTAGTTTCCTTTTAGAGCAGTGATCTGGTAGTAGTATTTGGATGCCACATGCCACTAAGAGAGGCTAGTCAGCTATCAGTTGAGGTATTATGTACTAAAACAAAGGGTCATATATGTTTTTGTGTGTCATAAGTGATTGATCTGAAAACTATTGTATGCATTCTGGCTTGCAAAAATGGTAAAAATGAAGTATGTCTTGGATTTAGAGTGCAATTTGGAACAGATGGAAACCAAGATAGCACCATGGTGTGCAGCTTGTGAAGAGCTTTGGTATGATGTATAATAGTGCTATATTGATGAGAACTAGCGAAATAGTAAAGGAAATATCATCATTGGAGGGCTGAAAATAAGGTATTTCCCTGATTGATAGGCTAATTTGAATCATTTCAAGACTGTAATAGTGCCATCCTATAGAGCTTGTAAAGGGCTTTCTGATGATATACAATATGTGCTATATGGATGAGAACTGGTGAAGCAGTGAGGGAAATACCACTCAAAAGCGGCTGCTTTTCAAAAAATCTTTTTAAGTACCACGGGCGCTAGTAGATCGCGCTGGCACAGCGCGATCTACTAGCGCCCGTCGGACTTCACCAAATCACGCTTTGGGCGCCTATTTGACCGACCAGATCAGGCTTTACAGAGCCTTCTTTCATTAACATTGTTTGGCCATTTCTGCACTATATAATGCAGAAAACCCTTGAAAACCATCTCCATTGTATAGAGCTCAGCCAGCAGATTCCAATGGTACATAAATCACCATTTATTGGTAATCTGGGTACCTCATAAAACACGATCCCGTGTATTTTTGTATAACTCTATTGCAACTTGTTGATTATCTGCTGTGAAAGTCAAGCATTGACTAAATTGATGACTTCATATTGGAATATGATTTTACACATTAGAATACACACATTAGAAAAGAGACAATGTGAATAGCATCACAGTTGGCAGAATTGTGGGCTCAACACCTGTTTTAGTCTTCTGGTTTGCAGGAGGTCTTGAATTTTGAACACTACAGAGATCAGATAAAAACTTGTGAGTGTCACCATCAGGTAGAGCTCTTAAATAGCTTTCTGATGCTATATAACACATGTATATTTGCCAAAGGAATAGCAGAGGAATCCACCCATCTGTGCTTTTGTAGCCCATTTATCAATGATACTAGTCAAATTGGAGCGGAGATTGAATTCTGCCACCCGGCATACGCCTGGGTCGGATTTTCGACCCAGGCGTATGCCGTGCGGCACAGTCACGTGACTCTACTGTGACCTGTTTGGCTCTGAGCATCTTTGTTTGGCAACCTCACACAATGTTCACCAAATCCAACAAATGTGGGATCACCCGAAAGCTATGGATCAGGAGAATATAATGGGGTTGTTTGTATATTGTTGTGAGCACATATGAGGGAACTACGGGCCAAATAGACCCCTATAAGTGACAATTGGTCACAATATGTCACTAATGGGGGATTGAAGTGGGTCTAGATCAATGAATTCCTAAGCAACATATGAAGTGTTATATACTGTCAGATTCAGAAAATTGAGCTCCACACAATGGTGCTATTGGTGTGTTAACAGGTTGCCATTTGGAGGCATCAATTGGAGTACAAAGCAATAAATAGATTTCTAGGTTCTGATAATGCAGATTGTATGCACACTATATAGTGTTCATGCTCATTCTATCATATGCCTGGTCTTACCATCACATCCCAACACACTTTCATTCCATAGCACAGAAGATAGTGGGACCAATGCATCAAATGAACTGTTTGGCAGATCAACACCTGTGTATTGCATATAATGCATAGTCATACCACCATTAGATCCACATTGAAAGTAGCTTTCTGAAGATAGACGTTGATCCCATGTTATGGTACAAAATGAGCTAACAGTACACATACTGTATTGCAGTTGGGCTCCCTTCACAACTTTCTCAATAATCTGGTGCCTACTGGTCCATATTTCACAAACTGTATATCACCAGAAAGCTATGGATGGGGAGAATTCATCTGTGCACACAAGATTCTATCAATGCCACAATTAGCAATAAGTGCTCAATGGCACAGACCTGATGGCATCATTGCCTCACCCACAAGTATTATATACCACCAGATTCAGTTTTTCAATCTCTATTCAATGATGTTGCTGATATATTTGTTAATTGATCCTACAAGGTAGAACAGCCATCATTATTGCAGTAGTATGGCTTGGAAGCCTTCAGAAAGCCACACCTTCCTCCACCTCATCAATCGGATCTGCCAGTCATGGCCCTCTCCACCCAAGTTCTGTGCCTCCTTCCGGGGCCCGCTGGCAGTTGTGCTCGCAATATGGCCGTTCGTCGCAGTGCCATCGTCCGAAGAGCGTCAGTCCGACGAGCGGGGTGCATCAGCCTTTCCTACATCACTTCACGATGCCCGCAACCCCACAGCGTCCGAAGCGTCTCCGCAAGACGGCAAACAACTAGGGATCACCACGGGTCACCCCCGGGTTTTTTTTCTTCGACCCGCACCCGTACCCGTTGAACCCGCACCCGTAAACCCGTGGGTGACGGCGGGTAACGGGTTTGGTGCCGAGTCATGCGGGTCGGGCGCTACCCGCACCCGTCACGGGTTCTGGGCCGGGTTCCGATGCTCTCACACAATCTCAAACAAGGACAATGGATCGCATTTTCAGGATGATACAAAACACAGACAGCACGTTACTCCGAATCCGAGTTACAGACAGTTATCAGCTGTTACGCTCCGTGCGCACCTTAGAGCAGAGCATAGGTCAACCTACAGGTTATCTGGATCTGTACCTACAGGTTCCTAGAATTTTATGACCATGACCTAGATCTGAATGTGACCTATGTCTAGGTAGATCTGTACCTACGGACCTGTACCTGAGACCTATAGGTCAACCTACCAGATGACCTGAACCTGCACATGTGCCCAGGTTGCTGATAGGTATGCACAGGTTTGCAAGCTGTATGGTTGAATTTATGTATGCAGAGATGTATCCATTAATAACAAGACAGACCATGTACTTATCACAGTGAGCAGGACACAGTAGAGCGCGCAGAGAAGCCACGGTCGGCCACGGTCACGGTCAAGTGCACGGAGATGCCGTGGTTGCGGTCACGGGCGAGTGTGCAGAGACGCCGTGGGGGGTGCAGTCGAGTATGCGGACGCCGGAGACGCCGCGGGGGCGCGGTCGAGTATGCGGAAGCCCTACGGTGGAGCACCGTCGAGTGCGGCGGTGCGCAGAGGCGCAGTCGAGTGTGCAGAGGCGCGGTCGAGCGCACACTGTACTTCTTGCGGACATATGCCCGAGGCTGTGGAGTATGTAGCCCGAGCTTAATTACTAACACTAGTAGTCGCGTGCGCCGGGACACAGCGTGCGAGTCCGGTGGGATGCGCTTGAGTGCGCAAGGCAAACGTATGGGAGCACGCGACGCACGTACACGTGCTTAAGTGCATGCGAACGTTTGCCTTGCACGAGGACGTGATAACCTCGGAGCTCAAGGAAGCGCAGCACAGGCAGGAGGGAGCCTGGAGGAAGCACGGCACGGGCAGAAGAGGGTGACAAAGGCGGCAAGAGCACAACTCGGATAGAGTGAGCGTGGCAGGGAGAGTGTGCAATGCGGGCGGAGGAAGTGCAACACGAGCGGAGCGGAGAAGCGCGACGCGGGCCGCAGGCAGAGAGGCGCAACACGGGCGGAGGGTGCACGATGCGGGCTGCAGGCAGAGAGGCGCGACGCGGGATGAGGGAGCACAACATGGGCGGAGGGAGCACGACATGGGCAGGAGGACGTTAGCTGCACACAGGTCAATTCGAGACGGAAACTACATTGGTAGTACAACACATGAGACTCCAGGACATATCTCTACTCTAGCTCGATCACTTCCACCTGGCGGCCACCCTTGCCGTGCGTGGACGAACCGGACTTATGCATACCTTTACCGGCGGGCGCTGACGCCTTGCCCTTGCCCTTCTCCGTGGCGGTCGCTTTGCCCTTGCCCTTCTCCACAGTGGTCGCCTTGCGCGCGTCAGCAGGAACAGGGTCCTGCGGACCAGCCGACCCCGAGGCAGTCGCGGAGGGCTCAGAGGTGGGCTCCTTCTTGCGGCTGATGGATTTAAGCTTCGCAATGGCGTCACCTTCGGGGACGAGCTCAGGGATGTTCGCCCATGAACCCAGCAGCGTGCTCGCGCGGATGGACTCGTCGGTAAGGCTATGGCGGTACTTGGATACGGTGAGTCCGCCACGCGAGAATGCCCGCTCGGCATCGGTTGAAGCGGCTAGTATAGACAATAGTCAGCGGTGTATACGGATGGCGTCGGCAGGTGCAATGAAAGGAGGCGTACCTGGGATGGATAGGAAGTCCAATGCCATGCGCGCGAGGGCTTGTCGCTCGACAGCGCGCGGCGAGTCGGTGGCCGATGCAGACGCAAGCACAATCTCCCAGTGCGCCAGCGGGTCATCCACACTCGAGGAAGGGGGTTCCTCGAGGTACGCTTCGAACGCGTCGATGTTCGCCCCCGCGCGCCCTGCCCTGGAGATTGAGGCAAAGATCCTCTGTCCACCGCTTGTAGAGGGCGCGGATGCCTGCCAAATTTTTCAGTAAAAAGGTCCAGAAGGTGAGCTCAAGACATACCTGGTTGCTCGCAGACGATGTGCTGTCCACAGAGCCCTGTGCGCTTCGTCGACCAGCCGGACGAGGTGCGGGAGGATGCGCAGCCGGCTTGGGCTTGTAGTACGTCTGCCACTCATCCCGCGCGATCTTGACCGCCTCGTTCACCCACTCTGTAGGCCATTCGCGAAGGTGGAAATACTCGCGCTTGTAGCGGGGGTTTAGGACTACAAATAGGTGCTTAGTGAGCGTATGTAACGATGCAAAAGGTGAACTCTACGCACTCATGGCGATACGGTATATCACGCTGTCGTCCGTGTATGAGTAGTACTTGTCCAAGATGGCGCGCCCGCGCTTTGCCGCCGCGCGCACCGCCGGCGCAAGCTGCGTGTCCTTGTCGACGTCGTTGACGTGGTCAGTCAGGAGGTCGATGTACGGGATTACTTCGTGGACCAAAGCGTGTCCGCTCTTGGAGATCTCGTTCGTCGCGTAAAGGAACGGCTACAAACAAAGAGGTTAGTATATGATCTGTGCGCCCCACAGGAGACTGCATACCTCCAACAGGTCGTATAGTTGCTTCACAATCTCCCACTCATCGTCCGTGAGGGCGAAGCGGCGGAGCCGGACACCCTGTGGCTTGTTGAAAGCCATCAGGTCGCAGAGATGTCTGAGGACCTCTCGCATGTCGAGTGCGCGCTTGAGAACCTCCGTCATCGTGTTCCAGCGTGTTCGTACTGGGCGCACGAGCACCGAACAAGGAAGCTCGGCTTCTGCTGCGAGGCGTGCGAGCTCGGCGCGGACCGTCGGGCTATGCCAGACCTTCTTGGAGAGCTCGGTGATCTATGTGGGTATGAGCAACAGCTAGCGGAAGACAGTGACCCACATACCTTCTTGAGAGCCATATGGCCGTCGCGTACCTTCTGCGGGGTGATCTCGGAGTTCTCATTCTCATCCTCGTATTTGTCGATGACAGCCTCGTCGGCAGCGTCGCGGGCTTCATCGGGCTCCCGGGCATCCTCTTCTTCATCGTCCTCAGCCTCGGGCTCGTCCTCCGCGAAGTCGCGATCGTCCTCAAGGGCGACAAGCTCCGCGTCCTCACCCTGTGCATCGGAGGCGGCTCCCTGGCTACGGCGTCGACGACGATCAGTGTCGAATTGCGAGAGAATGGCCTGGAATCATAAACGCGCATTAGCAAGCTATTTATGTCATGATTCAGGTGCCCTACCTTCACGACCAAGTTCAGAATATGAGCGAGGCATCGAACGCGAACCTTGCCGCCCCGAATCGATGGGATAATCGCCTGGAGCTTCGTCATCATGGTGCTGTTGTTCTCCGCGTTGTCGCAGGTCACGGCAAGGACCTTCTTCTCGATGCCGTACTCGACGAGGCATTCCGCCATCTTCTCTGCGAGGTATGCTCCTGTGTGCGCGCTGTCGAGGCTGACGTGTTCGTCGAGCATCAGTATGGTATCGCAGCTCGGCAGGACACAGGAAGAGGAACGTACCAAATGAAGTCGAGTATAATATGACGGACTCGGCCGTCGAGAACCCAGTGTGCCGTGATACCGAGGAATGAGATGACGTTTGGCGACGTCCATCCATCGACACAAAGATGGATCTTCCCGCCGAGTGCCTGGTAAGTCCCCGAGTTAGCATGCAGTCCTTCAGCCTCTGGAGAAAACGTACCAGAAGATATATAATGACCCGGGCGCGAGCGTCGACGTGAAGGAGACGAATGTCGCGGGAGATGGTCCACCGGGAAGGGATGTCGACCTTGTCGTAAAGCATGTGCAGGATCTCGCATAGCTCTGGGTCCTCGATGAGACGGAAAGGGCGGTGCCGACGCGCGCACCACATCGCGAGAAGGAAACGCAGGCGTGCGGGAGAGTACGTGACGCCCTGCGCATACGCCGATATGAGCTCCGCTTCCGGGACGTCAGCGGGATCACACGCTGATACGTGTCTGATGAGGTTGCCCGTGGAATCTTCATAGTCCGAGCGGTTGACGTGCTCCGAGGGATAGCTGCGGAGGCGTTAGCACTGACTTATGCGGGATGGGGGTTAATGACCTACCGTTTACAAACAAAACGGTGCATGTAGGCCACTGTTCCATCGGGTTTCGTGACGCGCAGCAGCTTGGGCTTCTGGAAATGGTCGTAGCATGAGGCCCACCAAATACCGACGAGAGCCTCTGGTGTACAAGAAGTGGTCAGTAAGGCTCGAGCACAGATGAAGAAATCGAGCGTGGACGAACCGAGTGTTTGCTCAGGAGTGTGCTCGGCCCACCGAACTAGGAAGGGGGCACGCTTGCCGCTGGCTTTGAGAGAGCCCGAGCTCCCCGCAGAACCCACGGGCTGCTTAGTGCGCTTTGCGAGACTGGCCAAGCCGCCCTCCTCGTCGTCGGACGGCGTCTCGGTGTCGCTGTCGTGGTCCGGAAGGGGTTCTTCAGGATCGTCCTCGGATTCGCAGGGTGGGGAGACCTGGGGCTTGGGGCGCTTGGTCGGCGGTCGGACAGCTCGTGCCGAGGAGGGAGCGGCGGAGGCTACGGGTGCGTCGCTCCCAGCCGACTCGGTCTCTGCGCGAGGGCGTTTGGTAGATATGGACGGCGTCGTCTCTGCCATGATGAATGAGTGGAGGCGTTGGCACAATAGAACGACATTCTGCTCACCTTATATAGCCCGGATGCACAGTGACCGAGTCGTCACCCATCTGCGCTGGCAGTAAGTCACTCCCTGCGTAAATTTCGCCTCTGAGTAATGGCCTATGACGTCCACATGGGACCCTTATCATACCTGTTTCGTTTGTCGATGCTGTGGGCCGGTGTCCGATGAGGTGACGGCCGTCTTGGTGCCTTGAATCGCACTGGCCTCAGTCAGCACAAAAGATAACCGCTGAGGCCAAGAAATGCTTACCAGGGCGTATCATACGCCACTCCAGCACGAGGATATGCCTCGATGTGCCTCCTGCGCGCTCAGATCACAGTTTTCGGGCTCGACATCACTGCCCCGAGGCAGGTCATATGCTGCAAAGGCGTCGTATCTACGGCCCGCGGACGAGAGAGGACCGTTGATCGAGAAAATCCAGGTGTACGATGATAGGAAAAAAAGAGGAGCAGGGTGTAATGCGACACACGAGGCAGGTGAGAGGAGAGGACGAGCGGAGAGCATGAGGAGGGAGATTTGTGGGCGCCATGAGCGCCAATTTGGACAGTTCACCTCTCACGAAGAAGCCCGCGTACTCGACCCCACGCACAGACCGTCTCCCACGACGATCCCGCCGAGTACGTCGTAATGCTACTGTCCATCCTCTGCTACCTGCCGCTACTCTGGCTGTGTCTACGGCGTCCTCTGCTGCAATCAGGCACCTCCCATCTACTCACCTCCTGGCATGTGTTCCGTGGCTGTGCAGTCCCCGCGCGCGCTATCGCCTTGAGGTAAACACGTTCAAAAAATCCCCTGCCAGAGCTGACTGTCTTGTTCTCAGTCGAAGAACTGGACTCAGATAACGAACGTCAATCATTTGTAAATGCTGCGCGTGATATGCACGAGGGAGTGGAGCCAGCAGACCGCCATCAAGTTGACCGACGACGACATGAAGCGCCCAGGAGTCCTGAGGGCTGCAATCTTGTCAGATATACTGCTCGAAGCTCTCGCGATGTTCAACCTCTCGACACCCCCCGCACACAAACCCGTCGCAACCCTCCATGACCGCTCGCGTTATTCTGAACGCCCTCGCGGTGTTACACGGCCTCGACAGCGCGACTGGCGACCCCTGGACCAGCCCTCAGTCATGCCAAGCCGACATCTTCCTCCGCATCGACGCGGTCGCCGCGCGAGCCCACGAGATGAGCCCCTGGCTCGTCTTGATCGTCTCGGATGCACAAACGACCAACAACACACTCACTGTAAGTATATTCCTACACCCAGAAGGGTGCGCCGCGTACTGATCAGACTGCTGGTATGTTTACAGCTTCTCATACCCACGCGGACGCCGTTCCAGCTTCCGCTCGCAACCTATGACGAGTGGATTGCGCTCATTCAAAGTTTGGACATGTCGGACTGCCGCATCGCTGATTACCAGCAGGAGACGCTGCTCAAGATCGCCCTTGCGTATCGCGTGTTCGCCTCGGGAGCCCACCCTGCCGTGTATTTGGACGACTTCGACATCCTCGCACGGCGTCTCGTCTCCGCTGCGAAGGTCCTCGGGAGATTCGATCGCGCCGATGCGACGCTTCGGGAGGCTGTTGACTATCTGGAGCTCCATCTACCTGAGGTGAGTACTGACCATTACCTATTCCGTACCAAGCGAACACCGAGTGTGCGAGTCTCCTGCACACCGCGGGGTGCGTGTGCTGGCGGTTGGGCGTGGCATGCACATCGCGCTCATCATCAGGCGCACGCGTCCTTGTCCGCGGCCGTCCGATGATGTTCGAACACGCTCTGATACTCATGTGCCCATGCAGGACATCTTCACCGACATGAACATCCCGTCGATCGACTTCGATGCCTTAGATGTGGTTCAGCCGGTCCATGCCGGCGTCGAAGAGGTGATGTCACCGGCTGGGGACGTCCGCTCTGCCGAGGACCGCTCAGATGACGAGATGTCTGACATTGCTAGTTCCTGCCCTAGTTTGAAGACTTATCATTCCGGTTCTGACTGTGATTGATCTCGCTACACTCAGTGCTCGCCCGACTGAATACCTACTACCTATGGTCGTTGTCCTGTACTTACATATGTTTGTGTCGACTGCCTGGGGGCCCGGGGGCCCGCCTTGCCTTTCTATGCCCGCTATCATGTACCTATGCTTGGATTCCCTGCTGTATCCCATCACTATGTGTTATATTATGCCTTTATGCCATGTTTATGTTGTGTGAGCACATGTAAGGGCCTTATCTGGCGCTCTGGAAGCCACAGGTCGACAGGTATTATCATGCCACTGTGACCTGGGTGCACCGAGTCGGGACCTGTGATCTATGCAGGTGATCTACTGTAGATCGTGAAGTCGGGGATGTCTGACATAGATCTGTGCCTGATCTGTGTGGTAGGTACCTGGACCTACATAACCTGGACCTACATGATCTATTGTAGATCAAATCCAGGTCAACCTACATAGGACCTGGACCTATGCTCTGCTCTACTCCATTCCGACCTCCGAACTCCGACCTTCCTAATCCGGTAACTCCGAGCCTACAAGCTCCGGAACTCCGGACTTCGGACTTCGTTTGATCTTGCTTGCTCGACAAGTCCCCTTGGACTTCGTCCCTCACCATCCTCTTCATCCTCTTCTCTGTTCTGCTCCGATCATCTTGGACCTTGTTCCGCTTAGTCAGCGCGGAACTCCGGCTTAGTCAGCCCCGAACTCCGGTCAAGTCCGACCCTCTGTTCCTTCGGAAATTAAGGACAACTGCAGGAGGTCTCAGAGCGTTGCTAATAGCTTCGCTGAAGTCCTTCCCCTCCGTGCCACACCTCCGTCCGGACTCCGTCCGAACTCCGGACCCTTCCGGACCCTGGAACTCCGAACTCCGGACCTACCGTGTGGCACGTCCCTAACATCAGCGACGGGACACTAGAGTCGGTATTATACCCCCCTGCCGTAGTACCCATCTCCGCGACCGAGTCCGGGTCCGAGTCTGTGCTCACAGCTTCGTGAACCTCGCGCGCGCGCACCGTATCCGGGTCCGAATCAGCGCCTGCGCTTGCAGCACGGCGACCATCGCGCGCGCGCTGCTCTGATCGCCAGGTGCTAGAGGCCTACAATCTTAGAGAATCAGCCATATACCGGTGTACACGAGATGAATATAATACAATACCTGATACTCCGTGCGGGCCCAGTCGGCGACAAGCTCGGGTTGCCGCTCGCCCGTCAGGCCCTCTCTTGCAGCAACCTCGCGGATGTGGTTGAGAAAGTGAGGCCAGTCTCGCTTGCGTTCCCCGCGGGCGTCTTCGATGCTGAAGAAGATGAGAGCACGCGCGAGTCCTCGGAGCGCCGCGCGTTGGCGGTCAGTTGTTGACGCCGGGAACATGCCCTGGCCAGTGGGGTGGTTTATCACTTCCAGCCAGCCCTCCCATCGTTCGCGCGACGCCGCAAGGTCCGCGTAATCGTTTGGAAGAGTGAACTGCAAGTGTAATTAGTAGAGGGCATCGCGAAGGGAACTACACACTCACAGTGACTCCCGTAGTATCGTCCTCCACGCGCGCGATCACCGAGGTGAACGAGCCGCGCCCAGCATGACTCGTCCAAGAGTCAACGAGGAGGCGGAGTGTCGGATCAGGAGTGGCGGCGGTCGGCATCGCGGCTGTCGTTGCGCACGGGAATGGCGTACAGAACTCAAAGACGGGGCTCTGAGAGAAGAGCGGGGCGATGGAAACATGGGCCTCCCTGGTCCTTATATCTGCAGGGCGGCACAGCTGCTGGACAATGTGTTAGTGCCTCGTCTTATCTGCTGCAAATCAGCAGAATATGGTATAGTGTAGCACGGTCGAGGAAGACACAGTCAAGCAATCAGAACATTGTAGCACAAGACACATTACATGAGCGGCGCGCGGCGCGAGGCAGATCGATCAGGCTATGGACGGGATAACATCGCAGTACTCGACCGAGGACGTGTTGACGACGACGTCACTCGTTCTCCTTGACCTCCGGGAGCTGGGCGGCCTGGAACATCTCCGTTGTGTCGACGAGACCGTGTTAGATAAGATAGATAGATAGATAGATAAATTCGTGGGCTTATAGTGGCGCTCAGGCCGTTTACGGCCTATGTGGCCACTACCCGATACTACGCGAAGGCTACGAGCGACGGATCTACACTAACACCTCCTGCCCATTGAAGGGAGGAGCGCGGGGTACAACCTGGCCTCTGGTGCGTCATAGATAACTATGTCCGCCCTGCCTCTTGGTCTTGGGAGGTCCAGGAATGCACGCCGCCAGTTGCCCCGGCGGCGGCCAAAACTCCCCCCGGATCCCGGGATTGGCCGGGATCCACCAGTGCCCGGAGGTGTGCTACAGTACGAACAATGAGGCACAAGAGGACCGGTAGGGTGGGGAAGTGTCTGCGTAGTCGGAGTCGGGCCGCGGTGGGTCCTTCGTATCAGGTGGTGAGGAACTTGAGTGTGAGGTCGGAGTGGCTTGATGGAAGGGCGAGACTTGGACAGGAGAGGGTGGCGTGTCCCAAAAACACGAACCTATCGGGTGTCACAGAGTGAGCCCGAAGCCGGATGGCTGGTGAGAAAAGCAGACAAATAACAGAAAATAGAAAGAGACGAAGCGAAAGAGGAGTGCATGTAAACGGAGCGAGGCATAATCATAGAGAGAAAAGGAGGGCATAGGGGAGATAGAAAGGGGGTGAGAACAGGAATCCTCGAAGATGAGTACTCAGCTAGACTTGATGGGTGTATACTGCGCAAAGCGGCCGGTGGCATCGACAAACTCGAGCAGGGACGAGCGGCACTTCGGGTCCCCTAATAGGTGCTTGAGGGTGAGCGGCTTCTTGCCCAGGGAGCGACGCAGTGCATGACGGGGTTGATCGAAGCGCCGGCAGGCGCGGAGATAGTGGTCGACCGTTTCCGGGACCTGACAGGACGGGCACAGCGGCGACGAGACGACCCGTGTGCGGGCCAGGAAAGCGTTGAGACCGACATGATTTGTGCGGAGTTGCGTGAGGATGCTACAATGCTTGCGTGGGAGTTGCCGGTAAGTTTTGAGGACTTGTCGGCCCGGAGGGATGTCGGAGATGTCTTTCTTGAAACGCTTGCCCTGGGGCGAGGAGTGCCATCGTTGTGTCCAAATCTCCGTAGTCCACGTCTTGTACCGTGCCTTCAGAGCTGACTGACTGTGGGGGAGATCCCGCAGGAAGGTCAGTGACGGCGGGAGTTCAGTCGAATCACCTTGTGCTGCTGCCTTCGCCTCCTCGTCTGCCCACTCATTTCCTTCGATTCCCCGATGCCCGGGAACCCAGACTACGCGCAACCGCAGGGTGCGGCGCTTGCGCTTGAGGCGCTGGAAGTGCTCGTTGAACTTCTCGACAAGTTGCTGACCGGGGCGAGCCCGACGGGCGGGCGTGGCCTTGATAGCTGGCTTGTTGTCGAGGAGGATATTGGCGCGGGTGATGCGCGGTTCAGAGCCGATGATGTCGAGTGCGAGGATCATGCCGGCCAGCTCTCCTTCATACACCAAATGGTCCTGGTCGGAGCCCAGGTAGGCCCTTCGAACATGCTTTCGCTCGTTCCGCCCTGTGGCGACTGCAGCTGCACCGATCCCATCCTGATAACCGGAGCCATCAGTGAAGACGCAGAACTCGCCGCTACTCACGATGTCATCGACCATAGCTGCCGCACTGCCCACGAGACCGTGTTGAGCCCATACGCCGAGGCAAATGCTGGCGCGCGTGCTCTCTGCGGTCATCCGGTTGCGGACGTGCGAGAGGAGGAGTCGACCGCGGCTAAAGATTCGCTCCACCTCGACCGACGTGGCTAGAGACCGCGTGTCAGCCAATCTGAGTCGTCCCGCAAGTCTGGAGAGGTGACGTACCTGGGATGTTCAGATAATCAATCGCCATCCTGGAAAGGCGGGGGTACGTCTTGCGCTTTCCCTGCCACCACGCGATGGCGTCCTTGATCGGCTCGACCTCGGCGGCCAGGTACCGCTTCAGCTCGTCAGTGTCCGAGGGCTCGCGCGCGCCGTTGAGGAACGGCAGGTTATCGAAGATATTGCCGTCGGTGTCGTCGTTGGCAGCATGCTGTGTGTGAGAGAGACTTGTTAGCCTAGACAGCACGCCGGTGCGGAAGTGACGTACCTGTGTGCGAGGCTCATTGCCCTCATCATGTGCGGCACCAGCCTCGTCGTCATCCTTGGGCAAGGAGACGTCCCGATCAGCGTACTTGGCGTCGTACTGCCGGCGCACGAGTTCCTCCGCGACCTTGATCCACTCGGGTAGCCACCCGGCCTTCTCGAAATAGGCCGTCTTGTAGCTAGGATGCAGGACTAAAATGATATTCATTAGCGGTCAGAACATCGCAAGTGTTTAACAGCACGTACTCATGGCAATGCGGTACGCCTCAGACGCGTCCGTGAGCTCGTAGTATTTGTTGAGCGTCCGCTTCGCGAGGCCCATGGCGGTCCGGATGGCGAAATCGTATTTGGCCGTCTGCTTGTGCTTGGTGGCCAGCCGCTGGTCGATGAGATCCATCGCCGGAATGACGGTGGCGAGGTTGGGCATCCCACGGCAGAAGAAGAGTGTGGCCTCCTTGAAGACCTGGGCCAGCCAGGGAGGGAGGGAGGCCAGCGAGGCAAGTCAGCGTGCGCCGAGAGGATGCCACACGAAGGTTTGGAGTTAAGGTTTGTCAGCATTCGTCGGCACACAAACTTAAAATTAAGGTTCAAACCTTCAGGACGTCTGCCAGCTGGCGAGCAATGGTCCACTCGCGCGTACTGAGCTCGTACTTGCGCAGCTCCAAGTCTCTGTCCGCACACATCGAATCGACGACCTTCTGGTACTGCAAGGCGACGTTCAACATGTCATAAGTCGAGTTCCACCGGGTGGACACGTCTCGCGGAATCAAACGCTCCGGCATCTTCAAGTCGGCCACCCGCTTCTTGTAGGCGGGCAGGAGGATCGTGCTGGAGTTGACGACCTTCGAGGCGAACTTCCGGATCTACAGGTGCGTCAACAGTCTGTCCTAACTCTGATTTGGACTGACCACTCACCTTCGTCAAAACCAGTCGCACAGGACGGACCTGGCGCTGGAACTCGTCCCGCTCTTCCTCTGTCATCGCCGCAATCTCGTCCACCCACCCCTCTGCATCATCCATCTCCTCCGCACCTGACAGCGGAATGAAGTCGCCGTCGCCCTCTACCGACACACCTCCTTCCTCCGACTGCTCTTCGTCATCCTCTGCCGCCAACTCGTACAGCTCCTGATCAGCTGCATCCACCTCCCTGTCCGCCTTCGCCTTCAGTACGTCGAACTGCCAAAGCAGCGTCTTGACTACGAGGTTGATGACGTGCGCAAAGCACCGCACGCGGCCCAACAAACCTTCGAAGCCCTCGACGCGCTCCCCCAAGAGGTCGGTCATGACGTCGTTCGGCGAGGCGTTATCGCACGCCAATCCGAGCATCTGCCACGCCCAGGTAAGCACTCCGTCCCTCTCGACCGCCCTCCACGCACTCACCTTGTCCTCAATTCCGAAGTCGCTGAGGACCTGCATGAAGGTGTCCGCCAGGTTGCTGCCAGAGTGGGACTGGGGCCGCGCACGTATGATCAGCATGGATCCCATGTGAGTACCTGAGCACCCACGTACCTCGGCGACCTCCAGGAGGTCCAGGAGCATACTGACAGGCTCGTCGCGCAGGACAAAGTGGACGGTGATTGCGACGAACGCGCGGTGATTGGACAATGTCCAAGCATCCGTCGCAAAGCTCAGGTCACCATCGTAGTCCTGGAGGAGTCGCGCTATCTTCTCGCGAACTTTACCGTAGATAACTTTCATGTTGCGCGCGACGGTCGATGGGGAGGGTACCCAGTACCCAGGCCGTCCCGTCTTCATCAGGTTGAGGAAGCCTGGGTCCTTGACGATTACGTGAGGGCGCATGCTCTGCGATACCCACTTTACGATCTCCACCCTGTGTTCGTGTTTCCCGCTGCTCAGTGCTCTAGGTCTAGAACCGTGGACAAGTCGACATACCTGGTCTCCGCGCGGGTATGCGTACGGTGGGAGTAAGTGACCTGCCCTTTCTTGCGTTCGAACGAGTACGTAATAACACCGTTTCTTCTCAGCCCGCCCACAATCTTCTCGCGAACCTCGTCGACGTTGGCTGCCTTATCAGCCTCGCTCAAGGCCTCCTCACCCCAGCACTTCTTGACGTGCCTCCGGAGGTTGCCAGTGGAAGACGAGTCACCTGTATCGAGGTACCGGCGGCAGGTATACTTACAACCCTTTGCAGCGCAGTGGAAGACATGCACGCGACGCTTCCCATCGTACACGATGTCCGGCGTCTTGCCATAGAAGGCGTACACCGGGGACGTCCAGTCCGCGCTCAAACATTCTGCCATATACACGTGAGTCTCTGCAAGTGTGTGCATGTTATGGACAAGTACTCACCGAGCTCCGCCTCCGACGTCTCGTCCTCCGACGCGTCCTCCTTATCGGTATCGTCCACCGTCATCTCGACATCGCTGTCATCACCACGACGCGAACCGCCCGTCTCCATCCCATTCTCATCTACAACGACTATCCCCTCACGCTCCAACTCGGCGTCTTCTTCCTCCTCGGTGCGACAGGTCACCTTGCGACTTCCACGCGTCGACGTCGAAGTGACAGACGCCTGCGAAGCCGCACGGGACACTGACTTGTGCTGCCAAGTGGGTGAGTACTAGTACATCATCGAGAAGCTCCATCACTGACCTGCGGGGCGGTGGCTTTGTTGCCAGCCTTCTTCGACGGCTCCGTGGCCTTGTCGCTGCCGCGCACCTTCTTCGTAGGTGCACGACTGCCCGTCGACATAGAGGCTCGGTGCTTTGCCATGAGGGATAGCTAGGGTAGGGAGGATGGTTCTGCGGCGAGGTTGGGATGTGATGAAGAGTTGCAGAGCACCCCGTCTCAACGGTGCAACATCTTTTATGCCACGTACGCTGATGTATTATATAAGAACTATACAGTTGCCGGATGCCGGACTTTACTTGTTTTGGTATTGCGCCGGCGCCTGTCAGACCCAAGCGCCAGGTGTTCAGTACACGCGGCCTAAATAGGCAACTGGCGGGTTGGCGCTACGGGTTCGGGTATGCGGCGGGTCCGGGTTGCCGGGTACAGGGGTCCTGCATCCTCACCCCTACCCCTACCCGCCCGACCCCTACCCGCCCGACCCCTACCCGTAACCCGTGACGGGTTGCGGTACCCGTGGTGATCCCTACAAACAACGACAGTAGCCCGCTCTTCCAGCCTCGCGTCTCCACGTGAGGTGCGAAGCCCGCCTAAGAAGAAGGCGAAGGGCAAGGCCGCCGCGTCCAGTGAGCCGTCTGCCCTGCTTCAGTGCCCTCCTTTGACCGTGCTGAAGGATCCACAGATGACCCCGCAGGCTCCGTGGACGACCCTGCGAGCTCTGTGGACGACCCCGCGGGCTCATCGGGCGACGACCCCGCAGGCTCATCGGGTGACAACCTCACAGGCTTGTCAGGCGACGACGCTAAAGCTGAGGACACTGACGGCGGTGTCCCGGCTCTCGCAGCTCGTACGAAGCGTGTGCGCCATGCGCACCCCATCACTGGGGATTCAAAGTCTGCGCGATTCCGCGAGAAGCACAAGGGCAAGTCCCACGAGGACGTCTTGAGTACGTCAACCATCGTCTCCGCTTGCCTCTTCGCTGCCGTGCGCTGATCCGCTTTGCACTGCTACAGAGATCGTCTCAGCAGGCTGGTGCTCCAAGGTCTATGACCATTTCCGACCACCGGAGATCGTGCAAGGCCAGAACGGCTGTGCAATCTATCGCTTCGTGTGCAAGAAGTAAGTTGTACCACATTTTACTCTACGTTCAAGGTCTACCGCTGACATTTGAGCCAGGCATCTATCGAAGCATGTCAACCGAGTCGATTACGAAGTGTCGACAGGAAACCTCAGGTGCCATGTCAAATGCTGCGACCCCGACGAGATCCCGGAGACAGAGCAGATCTCTGCGTTCGCTCATGGGTCCACATACAGCCCAGCCCGCTTGCGTGTGCTCGTTGCGCTGTGGTGCGCCAGACGCCATCGCCCTTTTACTATCATTGAAGACCCAGAGCTCAGGCGAATCCTGCGCATGTTGTACGCGAAGGTGGAGATCCCGTCTCGTATGACGGTGTCGCGAGACCTGCGCTTGCTTCATGCAGATGCGAAGGCCAGGCTCGTCGACAAACTCCTTGTACGTGTCTGATCTATCCTTGATGTTCTGATTATCACTGATGTGTCGGGTTAGAAACTACCGTTCAAGCTTCACCTCTGTGTGGACGGTTGGACGTCCCCGAACGTTTTATCGTTCTTAGGGATCACTGTCCACTGGAACGACAACGGAGAGATCCGCCATGTAGTGCTTGATTTTGTTAAGTGAGTATCTGATCTACGTGTATATCCATGACATTGGGAAGTACTAATGAACCACTGCGGCAGACTCACAAGTGCACACTCAGGCGCATACCTTGCGGAGAAGTTTGTGGAGTGTCTCAACGATTTCGGGATTGCAGAGAAGGTAAGATTGCACCTTTACTCGCACTACTGCAGCATTGTTGCACACTTGTACTCACCAATTCCTCTGGCAGGTGCTCGTTGTAACGTGCGACAATGCCGACAATAATACAACAATGCTCAAGGCGATGATGAAGCTCATTCGAGGCTACCGCGGGACCCTGACGCGTGTCCGATGCTTTGGGCACGTCCTAAACCTCGTAGTGAAGGTACGCCATTCGGTGTTTTGATGGTCAGACTAGGTGATGCAAGCTGACTTCTCTTGTATTCAATTAGGCTATCCTCTCGCAGTTTGAGAAACGGAAGGCCTGCAAAGACCGTGATGAAGAGTCTGAGGACAACAAGGACACCGTCGACGATGCGGAGCGCCAGCTTAACGCGCTCAATGACGACATTGAGGTTGACGATGAAGACGATCTCGGTGCGGATGATGCCGATGAGGATTGTGAGAGCGCCGACAATGCGCTGCTCGATCAGCTCGATGAGGAACATCCCGAGCTTGTTTTGTCGCGTGCGGACATCGTTGTAGGCCAGCTCGCTGTGGAGAAGGTGCGTGTGCATTGTTACGATTGCTGCGGGGCACTGTACTAACTACAATTGCTTCTAGATCACGAAGCTTTCGAAGAAGGTGTGGAATAGTCCCACCGTGCGCGCCGAGCTATCGAAACTTGCGAAGGAGGCCATTCTCGATTGTGAGGTGCTTGTTTGATCAGTCAAGACACGGTGGAATACCGTCACAGAGGTCCTCAAGCGCGCCCTCAAGATGTGCGATGTCCTCAGTGAGCTCTGCGATAAGGCCCAATTCAACAAGCGCGATGGAGTGCGTCTGCGCCGGTACATTCTCACCGATCCCGAATGGGTTCTCATCGGCCAGTTGCACGACCTTCTTGACGTGAGTACTGTGCAGTGTAGGCAGCCGATGTCGGGGACAGTAAACTGATACATCACAGCCATTCCTGTTCGCCACCAAGCAGATCTCCACAAGCACTCGTGCTCTCGTGCACGAGGTAATCCCCTACATCGACATACTCACGGAGCACCTTGACGACTTCGCTGATGACGAAGATCTTGTCCCATCGGTGTGCGCTGCAGCAAAGTGCGGCCATGCAATCATGAACAAGTATTACGAGCGTACCGATGAGACCATCGTGTACCGCATCGCAATGAGTACATGCCCGTCCTAGCTTCACCAATCACCAGCTGTGGTAGTCGTAATGTATTATAAACCGTTCATAGGCCCGCGGCGCATTACATTATAAACCGTTCCGGTTCGTAATGTATTACGAACACCCCGGGGGCCCGAGGCATGTGCCCGGCACCTGCCAAATATGGCAGGCAGCCCCGGAAGCGCTGTTATCAGTGCCCGGCACTGTTCCCGGGCTTATCTATCTTAGATTATGCCTTTATCTCATCAATCCGAGTTCCCCGGACATTCCGGGAGCCCCTCCCACCGGCGCTTTGGCTCCCGCCCCCGCCACTTCCCAATTAGGCAGGTGCACTCAACACCTGCACCTGGGGCACGTTGCCTGGCTCATATTTCGCTCAATACTCATCGCATAGGGTTGAAACCGGGTGCGTTCTGTGCGTATCTACGAGGGCTACAGGATGGAATCTAAACGTCCAAAATCGGATATGTATTGGCGGCGCTACATCGTATATTGATGGCTACTTTACAGAAATACCGCGCGGGCCATAGCACGCCCGGTACCACACGCGCCAACATGAATCTGGTATCCCTGGATAGCGCTGAACAGTGGCCTTCGAACGCGCACTTTGCGGTGAGGATCGGACCACGCGTTCCTGTTCTGTACCTGGTCCACATGGGCAGGTGGTCATTTCCGGGTTCCCGGGCCATATTATGGCCGCATCTGGGCGTATTTGCACGTATATGGGCTTTTTTTAAAGCGACGACTATGTAAAATATTTAGGAAGTCAAAAAGTAGCTGCGCGCACTGCTAGAAGCGATGTGCAACGCCAGGAAAGGGGCTACACCTCAAGACACCTTCATGGTGGATTTCCAGTGTGCATAGTATCTCCATGCAATGAATACCATACCACTGGAAAGCTACAGCTCACAGCTTTCCAATGATGTACAATGCAATACAGACTCTCCGCTTGATGCATCTTTATTAGGATGCCTCTCTCCTCATCCCTCCCAACAGTCCTCCTTGTTCTATAGCACCATGAATGGTTTCTTTGCTCGGAAAACCATCTTGGAATGTACTCCCAATCATTTAAAGATTATACACAGTCTTTGGGAGTGATTTGTCTTTGTACACCATATCAGCTCAGTTTATTCCTGCTTTTTCGCATCTTCTGCACTATTATGAACGTAGCTCCTTCAATTGACCGCCGATTGGGGTGCTTTTTTTTCGTATTGTGGCTACAATATGTATGTATATGTCCATTAACTTACAGGGCTCCGCCTGGGGTTCTCATGACTGTATGCTCTTATCAGTGTTCCACTCTCAGTACATTGCGTCGCGCTGAATAGGGGGCCGAATAAACTGAAAAAGGCCGATCTTGAACACCCTACCGGCCGAGAGCACGCACACAAAAAATGAAGGGAAACGAGTAAATATTGAGGGAGATATAACAAGATCTGTTGACACAGGGGATAGCCGCCGACCGTCTTAAGACGGTGTGGGCGGCAGTGCTGTGACAGTGCCGGAATCCGAGGGCAATATAAGCAGTGCTACAGCAGGGCAAGGCTGTAGCACTGTAAAATCGCTATCTTGACGAGTTTTCCACCGTTTCCTGAGCTTGTTTTTGCGTTGTAATGTGGTTCAAATGCTCTATATAATTGTTGAACCAGATCAGACATAGCTATTCTAAGGGGCCAGATATGAAGGTATAAAAGCCAACACTGATAACACTCTGCCGGAATTCAAACATATTCGATTGTGCTGAAATTTTGTGCACGTATTCTCAGACCTATAATGCAGCTGCACACCCAATTTGAAGGCGATACGCGGTGAGACGAGAACGCAAGAGGCATCTTTCTCACCAGCAGCTGATTAGCAGTCCTGGCAATGTTTAACCATATATAACGCAAGAATCACTAATTCCCTGTAAAGCGCCATATTTAAGCTTTGTTTCAAGCTCACGAACATAAAAATCTGCCGTGTTTTGGGCGAGATATGGCCCAGTTAGGCCTGCCCAGCCCCTTGCTAGAGGTGGACAGGCCGCCGAGCTCGATCGGGTGGCCGGATCTTTGCCGCAAATGGCGCGTTCGAAAGCCACTGCTCAGGGCGTTCTGGGGATACCGGGAGCGCCTCTGTGCGTGAGGAATTGGGCGCGCTATGATCCCCGCAGTATTCCTGTAAAGCGCCCATTAAAGCACCATGTAGCGCCGCCAATACATACCCAAATGTTGACGTTTAAACGCCGGTTTGTAGCCCTTGTAAATACGCACAAAACGCGCCCAGTGCGACGCTCAGGCGTGGATTAATAAGTGAGCTATGAGCCAGGCAGTTTGCCCTGGGTGAAGGTGTTCAGTATACTTTCCTAATTGGGATGTGGCGGGGCGGGAGCCAAAGCGCCGATGGGAGGGGCTATCGGGATGTCCGGGGAGGTCGGGTTGATGAGATAGAGGCCTTATCTATAAGAGATAAGCCACTGGAGAGTGCCGGGCACTGATAACAGCCCTCCCGGGGCTACCTGCCATATTTGGCAGGTGCCGGGCAGATGCCTCGGGCCCCCGGGGTGTTCGTAATACATTACGAACACGAACGGTTTATAATGTAATGCGCCGCAGGGTTATGAACGGTTTATAATACATTAAAACTACAACAGGGGCTGCACCAATGATTAGGCACTAACTTCATTATTTGCACACAGTCCTCCACCCCGCTTACAAGGCTCAATACTTCCGCGACCACAGGTGGCTCAAAGAGTGGATCACGGTCGCCATCGACATCACGAAGGAGGAGTGGAACAACCACTACAAGCCCAAGAAGGCCGCTCCTGCTGTGATACCCCCCGGGCCTTCCGCGTCGGGCTCCGGTGCGGCTGCGGACAAGGGGAAGGGGAAGGCTATCGCGTCCGGCTCTGGGTCAGCCTCGGCGCGCACCGGGGCTGGGCGCCGCAGTGCTCAAGCATCTGGAGCAGGTGTTAAGGTGCGCCTTGTGATTTACAACTTGTCGACGCCCGAACCTCACAGTTGATTGCTTTCAAAGAACTCCGCGGCGATGTTTGCGAGCATCAACAGAAAGGACACGACTACCGATGCACTCGACAAGTACCTGGAAGCCGCCCCCGACAGCACCGTCGACGACCCTCTCAAGTACTGGAACACAAGACTGGAGAGCACCCGAGACAAATCGTCGCCTGAGGCTGCGCTCGCGCGCATGGCGCTGGATTTCTTGTCAGCCCCCGGTAAGCTTAATCAAGTAGCAGTGTTTATGATGCAGCTAACACAGCCCCCCTACTAGCAACGTCCACAGATGCGGAGCGATCCTTCTCATGTGGACATCTGACTGTCTCCCGCCTACGCCATTCCCTCGCAGATGAATCCGTGCGCACGAGCACCATTTTGGGCTCCTGGGCCTTGCTTCCAGATGTCCTCGCAGAGGATGAGCTCGTCGAAGTCATAAAGGCGCATTCGGCTTCCTCGGGACCTCACAAGCATCCCCAAGACCCTCAAGATGCTGCGGGCGTGCACGCCGGCCCGTCCCGCACTACTGGTGCAAAGGCTGTGGCGTCTCAGCATGCTGGTGGGCGCACTGGAGCGTCTTGTGTTGTGGATAAGGTTGTCATCGAGCTCGACTAACTACAATACCCCGTACTCCTCAGCCCTTATTTGTTCTGAATAAAATATCTCGACTTCCGTGTGGCCGTTTCACCGCGTGTATGGTGCGTTTTGAACGTGTGTGGTATACGTCGTCGTTGTACAAGTTTCAGGCCGTTCGCGCCAGGCGTTCTTGCGCACGAAGGCCATCTCTGTTAGAGCATACCTGATTACTTGCGCGGGAGCTCTACCTGACATATCTCGACTTACGTGCGGCCGTTTCACCGCGTTTGGAGCGCGTTTTGAACGTAAGTAGTATATGTTGTTGCTGTACAAGTTTCAGGCCGTTCGTGCCAGGTGTTCTTGCGCGCGAAGGCCATCTGTGTCGACACATATCTAGACTAGGAGCACTAGCACTATATCAATTTGTCCCCCGTACTTCGATGTCTAGGCAGCAGTTGTACCGCAACTATAGCGCTATTTCATGGTATAAGAGAACCTCCATGCCATACTATGCTTTGTTACGGGTTTTTGCGGCTCAGAACGGCTCTGCACGGTTCAGTGCAGGTCACCTGCGGGTCACGGATACAGATCCCACGGGTGCAGGTGATCTGTGGTACGGATTTATTGAGGATCCAGGTGGGCTGGCTTGAGCTGCAATAGACCTGTGGATGAGGATCCAGGTGAGCCGCAGGTGGATCCGTGTGCAGCCTTACCGCGGAATATAGCATTCGACCCTCAATACGGGTCAAGAACTACAACGCACCCACTGAATACGGGTGCGCACATGGGAACACAGGAGCCATACACTGCATATGTCCGCATCGCAAGGACCTGCATATCGCACAGGCCACGTAGATCACACGTGGGATTGGCATAATCCACACCAATCTATGGGACTATCCACCCATGCTGGATGGGAACCTCTGACCACACCTGCGGGTCAGAATAACGACATAGTCTATACAGGGCCCGCATATGGACCTTGTGATAGTATTACTATCAATTGTCTATTGCAGATGATAGACAAAATGGTAGGCCCTGCACCCATTGGTGATCCTCCCACATACCTCAAGGTGGCAAAGCTACCGCCACCCAAGACGTACAAAGGGAAGGATGACCTCGATGCATTCAAAGTGTGGCTGCGAGGCTTACTCGAGTGCTTCAATACGCTCAGGATCATGGGTCCTGAGTTGGATTGAGAGCGTGTCCATATTCTTGGGCAAGCTGTTAGCGGGGAAGCTGCTAACTGGCTGTACAACACTGTACAGTCTCCTTCTAGAGAAAAGAAGGATTGGCTATTCAAGGAAGTCGTAATAGCTATGTACCGCAGGTTCATCCACAAGGACCTGAACCTGAAAGCGGAGCAACAATATGCTTTGCTGAAGTACAAAGCCAGCGAAGGCGGAGTAGCCACACTGTATGAACGGCTACTCTACACATTGGTCCAACTCTGGGAACAACCTACGCCATACCAGTTGCATAGTAAATTCATCAGCGCGCTGCCCAATGACATTGTGCAGATCATGACCGTATTAAATGGTCTGTCACTGTACAAGACCAACATCACACAGGGACCTGGCCTAGCTTAAAAGGGTAAAAATGAAGTATGTCTTTACGATTGATGAGGAACAAAGAAATCGTTTCTTATGGGGTGACCTTCCTGCCAACTTGTGACACCTCAATTGATGCCTGTGGGAAAATATTTTGAAACTCCGCTAATCAGCCATTAGTGTTGAGATAGGCGCCACATACATTCTCCACTTACAAACCCAGGGTTAGGGTTCTCCTCCATTAGGAATTTTAGGGTTAGACACTAGATTGCTGCACACAGCCACTCTGACCATCTGCTAATGAGGCTCTAATGCTTCCCAATAGGTGTCTATGTAACCCTAGGTGGCACTACACACCTGCGGCTTCATGCACACTCAAATGCAGGCTATAACAAACATCTATATAGACTCAAACACAATGTGCATCATAGCATAAGGGTATATCTATATAGTTTACATTACTAGCAATTGTGCTAGTAGTGGTGAAGGGTCTATGATTATTCCTGCCAAGAGAGAACACTGATCACATATTTGAGGGGTGGTTATGTGTACACATAGGACATGCTATAGTGCCATGATATATGTGATTGTATCTCTTTCATCTATGGCAGTTACTAGGGTGATTGAAACTGCAGTTTATCTACTCTGTCTTTGTTTAAAAGACTAAAATCAAAGTATTTCCTTTTTCTGTTGCCCAATGTAGAGACCATCAAAACCAAAACAGTACCATATTGTAGAGCTTGTGAAGGGCTTTCTGATGATATATGATATGTGCTATATGGATGGGAACTGGTGAAACAGCGAGGGAAATACTTCTAAAAAGCGGCTGCTTTTCAAAAAATCTTTTTAAGTACCACGAGCGCTAGTAGATCGCGCTGGGCCAGCGCGATCTACTAGCGCCCATTAGACTTCACCAAATCGCGCGTTGGGCGCCTATTCGGCCGGCAGGATCAGGCCCTGTGAAGCCCTCTTTAAACCGCATTCATTGGCCATTTATACATTATGCAGGGTATATATGACCCGGAAAACACCTCCATTGTATAGATATTGGCGAGCAGGTTCTAATGATATGCATATCAACATTTATTGATAAGCAGATCACTGCAATAAATCCAATTTTGCACATTTTATACCACTTTGTAGGCCAATATGCTCCTGTGTTGTTTATAGCCCACAGTGTGCCCAGGTATATGTGATGTGTCTACATGACATTGCTGTCTTGGTACTAGGACAACTGCAGAAACAATAATGTATATATACCAAAAACTGACAGAGATATGGGTTTAATCATGCCCACTTACCTCTTTCTAGTGTTGTATTGAGGTATTACATTGCTTGTATAGCGGAATTTTCTGGGTACACTAGTATCATAGCATCACCATTGAATAGAGATCAATATTCTGAGCCCAATAGTATATAATACTTGACCATTTGATGAATATGCCAGGCCACTAGCGCTTATTGCCAATTGTGGCACTAATAGAAATATATCTAGTCCATATCTTCTTCCACTGTCACCACATCCTTGATTTGTTTGCACAGATGGATTCTCCTTATCTACAGCTTCCTGGCGATATATTATATGTCCCATTTGGACAAGCAGAAGCCAAGATATTGACCCTTCTCTGTTTGGAGCCAAACAAGACCAAAGCCAATGGCACGCCGACGCGATTCCGCGTCGTCGTGCCACTAGCTTTGGCTTTGTTTGTTTTCAGCCACAGCTCAACATAATGTGCTCATTAATAGACAAGTGTATGGTGTAACATACCACTATTATATATCACCAGAAAGCTGTTGATGAGGAGAATGCAATGGGGGTGTTTGTATAGGATACTGAGCACATATGGGAGTGCT